AAAAAAACAAAGGAAAGAAAGAAAGAAAATAAGAGACTAAAAAACGAGGAAGAGACAAAAAATGTGATAGGGAGAAAAGTGCAACCATGCGCCACTAATCCTCAATTACATCTTGATCATGTCAAGAAAGTGTAATCCCAGTGGCGGCCGAATGCAAACTGCAAACCAAAGAGTCCCTAAAGGGGCTAAGAGAAGCAAAAAAGGTCGTGGGTGGTGGGATCTCCAGGGTTGAAAATGCAGCCTTCCGCTCGCAGTGTTTCCGATGGGTTGGAAGACTGGAAGCCAGTCTGCTGCCTCTCTCTCTACACTCTCCTGTATGCATGGCTGGATGGGGCATAGGCGCCCCAAGACAGGGCGACATTCCAGTCTCGAAGCGTCAACGGTCTGGTCGGATTGCAATCCTGCACGCGTCCATCCCCTCTACACATTCTTGATGACCCCGAGATTTTTATTTCTCGGTCAGGGGTTCCCCCCTCTCCTTCACATCAAACGACCCCTCTTCTTCAAGTCTCTTGGCCAGCATGGGAATGCAGATGACCACCAGATAGACAAGGGTTCCGTGACACCTTGATTCTTGAGAGGATAGCGGATAAGATAATATACAAGGGCCCTCGCGACAGTACCTCTGTCATTCCCGATCGGTGGCCGAGACTAAGACAGACCACGGCGATGGACATCCGCTTTGTCGTGGAGCCGGTCCCACTCATCCACTAACTCAAGGAATATTGCCAAGGCGTCTTACTTTTATTTCCAAAGCGACGGTGCGCCTGACTTGGAGGCGAATGGTGTGCCCACCGACATTTGGAAGCGGCAATCCATCGAGTACTGGTTCATCCAAGAGAGAAAGTCCCTTCAGGGAATACAGGATTGAGCCTGTAGGGTGTCGACAGCATAATTCGTGTGAAACCCGATTGAATGAGGTCCCCTGTGAATTATGGCTTTCGCCCCCCTTCTCTCGGCCCCTTGTCCCTGGTCGCATCCGGGACATGGAAGGGCGCTACTTTAGCGGACCCACCGCCCACACATGTCTTAACGGATTGATAGATAAATCTTGAAAAAGGTCTCGGTCCTAGTGGATCATGCGTGGTGAATTTCCATCACTCGACCAGTCCGTTTGGTTTCAGCCAACGGGCAGATTTATCGACCTGGATACGGGGAGGCGGGCTGTGAGGCGGGCTGTGACTATTGCCTCGACACCGTCTTCCCCCTGAAGATCGAACCAGGACTTCCCATGATATTTAAACTTCCAATGCCTGGAAAGACGGGACGGGGATCCTGCGCCAGGGACTACAAGGTCGGGGACTCAGACGGCAAATGCCAGGTCGAAGTTTGCTTCCGCTCGTAAAGGGGCCAAAAAAAAAACGAAAGGGAAACGAATGGGAGGAAAGGAATAGCCAATGGATCCGGATGGGACCGAATGAGAACGGTGAATCAAGGGGTTTAATCGCAATAATATGGCGCCTCACTTTTTTCTTCTTTTTTTTTTTTCTCCTTTCCCTCTTTTTAATTTTTGTTTAGATCGTGAGCAAAGCGCATGGATCACTGGATGGCCTGTTTCCACGCGTGGCAGCCTCATTTTGTCCCGGGGCTGCCGGGAGAGCAGGCAATTGGGGAAATCTAGCTCGGTTGCAGGAAATCTGTATGAACAGGGAAAAAAAAGAGGGCGGTGTTATAGTGATTCCTTTGTTCTTAGTCTCTTTTCGGCACACCGTCACATCTCCGGCGGGGCGAGGAGGCAAAGCGAGCAGAGGCAAAGCGAGAACAGAGTCTTTCTTGTCTGTCTGTCTCTCGTTTAAGAAACATGATCACTATCAACATCATCGTACAGGGGATCGCGAGACACCGACATTTCAGTGGCTGAACGGACGACCTGCCCTGCTTGAGTGGAGACTAGAACGCAATAAACGTACTACACTGATATAATGTGATGCTGTCCTGACGTATGATTGGTTGTCATGATGTAGAGACTCGTACAGAGGATGAAGGAGAAATCAGAAGTCGAAGATGAAGTTGGAGAGCCAAATTACCGCTTTGGGTAATCCCCGGTCATGTGTCTGGGTGGCTGGCCCTAGCCCTGAGCCCTAGTCATGTGATCCTATTGATGCTGGATCGAGCGTTCAATCAGTATCAATGTTGATGTTGACAACGATGATGATGATAACTCTGATGGTCACTAGGTTGATAGTGATTATAGCGGCTCTGTATAGATTGTGCAAGATAAGATCAACTTGGAAATCCGACTCAGACTTGCTACATATCGGTCGAACAACTCTGGGACTCGGGAGGAAGCTCCCTTGGTCTACGATGTGAGCAGACAACCATATCAATAGACTTGACTCTATTGAGACCAGCATCGGGTATGGCTCTGTTCAATAGTCTCGCTGGATAGAACTGATAATGACCCCATCGCTATCTTACTATCATACACGAATGGTATCGCTTGGAGATAACCCCTCGGCATGGATATCGCCACGTTTTATACCTTCCTCTACACTTTATGGGCAGTGCCCACGGTGCTGTTCTCCAGCGCAGGACGTCCATCCACGGGAGGAATCTCTCAGTTCAAAGTACGTTCGCTACCCGATAGCGCACCGATGCCCCCCAGCTGGGCAGGACGGCTTCCAGTCCCCGAAACCGAGGAAGGAAATGCCCTGTTCTTCTGGCTCTTCGAGGCGGAAGACCCTGGATACAACGAGAACCTCATCAGTCAGTGGTGCTACCCCATGAGAACATTTGGACAACGCATCCAAACTAACTGTATCTACTATAGTATGGTTCAACGGCGGTCCAGGCTGCTCATCCCTAATTGGCCTCACAACAGGCACCGGTCCCATCTTATTCAATGGCACCTCAACTCAGCTCGTGCGCAACCCCCACTCATGGACCAAGCTCGGCCACGTTCTCTACGTCGACCAACCGACTGGAACCGGTTTCTCGACCGCAAGTGCTCCATATCCCGTGCAAGACCAGGACCGCGCGACAGACGACTTCTACCGATGGCTGAAATCGTTCCTGACTCGCTTCTCGCATCTGCGCTCCAAGCGCATCCATCTTATCGGCGAGTCCTACGCCGGCATCTACATCCCCTACCTCGCGGCAGCCATCCTCGACAACAATGATCTCTTCCCCATCGATCTCCGCTCGATCTCCCTCGGCGACGCCACCATCGGTAACCCCGCCGCTATGTCCGCCGCCACCATCGCGCCCTACCTGCGCGCACAGCGCAACCTGCTCCGCATGCCAGAGGAGATTCTTTCCTCATTCAACGAGGCGGAGCACACCTGCGGTTACGACAAGCTCGTACACGAAGCGGACCACTTTCCCCCGCAGGGGAAGTTCCATGTCCCCGGCAACCCGGAGAATCTCAACTTCAGACGCGATGGGCTGCAGCAGCATCAACAGGGGTCGCACTACCGGCGCGGCCTCGGCACCCTCTATAACGAAACATGCAACACTCACCCCACGACGAAAGAAACAGTCTTAGCATCGATCCTCAACTCCACCTGCAACGGACCGTGCGCAACATTTGCCACAGCCATCAACTACCTAAACACAATAGTAGAAGAAGCATCATCCACCAACAAAACAGACCCCCCAGACACAGAGAACCAAACCTGCTTCGACATCTACGACATCAACAACGACTGCAACACCATCGACCCCCTCCCCCTCCAAGCAACCTACTTCAGCCGCCCCGACGTCCAAAAAGCACTCAACCTGCCCCCTGCCCCAGGAAGCACAAGCAGAGAATACAGCCCCTGTAACAAAACCATCCTCGACACCCTCCTCGCCGAACAGCCCACACCACCCGCCTACAACCTCCTCCCGCGCATCGCGACCAAGCACAACCTCCCCGTGCACGTCTACTCCGGCGAATACGACATGCTCATCAACCATATCGGCACGGAGCTCGCGCTCCAGAATATGACCTGGAAGGGGGCGCAGGGGTTCTCGCGGCCTTTGAATAGTAGTGTTTTTTATGCGGATGATGCTGCTGCTACTTCTACAACTTCTACTACTGCCACTGGGCTGACTGGCTTCGGATGTAGAGGAGGGGAACCAGACTGTGAGGAGGCTGGTACGTGGATCTCTGAGCGCGGCGTCAGTTATCATCTTTTCCGTGGGGCGGGGCATACTGTTTTTGCGAAGAAGCCGAGAGAGATGTTTGCTTATGTGCGGGATGTAGTTGTTGCTGGGTGAGGGCATTATATTAACCTTTTGTGTGTGTGAATCTGAATTTGGTCTTCTTCGAGAACCCCCTTTTTGGGAATTCAGTAGTGACTGGCGCCGTGGAAAGAAATTGTAGAACTCTCATTCTTTGCCACTAGACCAAAAACACCAATTTGCTAGTGGTAAGGGCTTGAAACTATTGATATCCAACACGCCTCCCCAAGGACTTGGCACGTCGCCTCAAAAAAATCCCGGAGAGGTAAACAATACAATCAAATAAATTGAATACGGCATGATATTCCTATTACTTTTTCCCCCAGTACTGGGTGCAATGATATGCGAAACCCTTTTGTTAGGGTAGGGACTGACCTGGCGATGGAGGTCTTAAATAACTAGTCATACGCAGGTGAATACAAAGCCACGAACCAAGACTATAAGAAAGGGAACAGGAAGTGAAGAAAACAAGTAGGGCAAGAACAGACCCGTATCGCAAGCCGGACAGTTGAAACCAGAACGAGTGATAGAAAAAGAAAAAACATCATTACGGGACGCCAAGGGAGCGTGGAACAACGCTTCAAGGAAAAGAGAGAGAGCGCGGGTTGTAGAGGCGGTAAGGAGCAGGAAACAAGGCCAATGCTGAACTACGCCAGGTCACGGCTTCAGTGTCGGTTCTCATGAGGGTGGAAAGAAGTGAGATAGGGAGGTGGTTGGCGCTGACGCGAGTTGCACGAGGACGTGCTCATACTGTCGCAACAAGCTGTCAGCTTCGCTCTGGTCGAGTGTTCCCGTTGACGTAGACAATCGCAGGTGCCACTGTCCTGCGGGCCCGGGGGTCGATTCGATCGCGATGCCCGGGCGAGGAGGATCTACGGTCCAGTTGCGCAGGGGGCACTGCACCCCGTCTAGTTCGAGCGGCTTTTCCAGGCTGAAGTTCTGGTGGGTGACCACCGAGGCCCCCGGCTCGTGGTCTGGCCAGGGGGTACACTCCCTGACAACGTCGGCGTATTCCAGACCGTCGAATGGCAGTGACTGGATGTGTTGCTGGTGGACGCGGTCGAGGACCTCCTGTCCCGTGGCGAGGTCCGCCAGCGACACGCGCACCGCCAGCTGGTTGATACAGAGGCCCACGGCGTGGGCCGTCGCCGCGTGGCGCCCATGCGCCGTCTGGGCAAAGACGACGTCTCTCTCTCCTGTGTGCTGGGCTAAGGTGACTGCCCAGGCGGCCTTTGCCATCGTCGCGCTGGTGATGCCGGCCGGTAGCTCGGGGACGTGAACGATTCGATGGGCGAGGAGGAACTGCTTCTCGGAATCTTCAGCGAGCGTTTCGCGGGAAATGGTGGTCAACTGGCTACCCGCCAGGAGGGAGCGCCAGTAGTCTAGCGCTGCTGGCGTGGACGCAGCTAGCCAGCGGTAGAGGTGGGTGGTGTAGGGCACGGGGTCGGGCAGGCACTGGCCATGGTACAGCGCGACCAAGTCCTCCCACAGAATTCCTGTGGACAAGCCGTCGAATTGAGCATGGGAAAGACGCAAGATAAGAGCACTGGTCGACTGCCCAGAGTTGGCCACGATGAATTTGGTTGCAGGCTGGGCAAATACTGGCGTGGGGGGACTGTCCGCAGCACAATGCTGGTCCACCGCGGACGGCGACATATCCTGCAAGGTGACGGATTCGACTGGTGAATTCAGCCGATGCAAGACAACCTGGACGACGTGACCGCGGTAGGGAAAGAAGACGGTTCGGAGAATGCTATGGCGCTGGATGAGCGCCGTGCTGGCGGCCACCAGACGCTCCGGCGCCACACGACCGGCTGTCTGCAGGATCAGATAGAACACAGGACGGTTCAGTCTCTCCACCTGGCCCTGGGTTGCTGGCAGGATCTCTTCGATCTCGTTTGTAGATGTGAAGGCTCGAGGTAGCTCCTGGTGAACACTCTGGACGAATTGCTGCTGCGTGTGGAAGCCGAAGTATGAGCCTGGTACCGGGCGCTCGGGGGCCGATAATAATCCCGGTGGCTTGCATTGCGCCAGCCTGGCGGCCAGTTCGCTCAACTTGTGGGTTTGGAGCAGATCGACAACAGTCAGTGGAAGGCCCTGATGACCCGCCTGCGCGGCGGTTTTCATGGCGGTTACTGAGTCACCCCCAAGCTGGACGAAGTCAGCGTCCATACTGATTTCCTGGGCGGGTCTGTCAAAAACGTTGGAGAGGATGCCCTGGAGTAAGCGCTCGGTCGGGGTGGTGGGCATCCGCATCGGTTGTACCGCGGCGATGTACCCGGCGATGTCGTCGCGAGAGAGCGCCGCTGCCTCTTCTCGTAGTTGACGGCGGTTGGTCTTACCGGTCGGTGTGAGAGGTAGTCGGCGGAGTGGTACGACGACGCTCGGCACCATGTAGCCCGGTACGGTTTGTTTGAGATCCTCTAGGGCTGTATTGGCCGTGCGACGAAAGGACTCGGACTGCGCAGCGAAGAGGGATGGGGGTAAGAGATCATCATCAGTAACCTCGCCGGGGCAATATGCAAACGCCATCAGCATCGGGGCGCCATCGACTGGCGTAATCGCCTCTACTGCAAGATCGCGAGCGTGGGGCATACAGCGAGATAGGCGACATTCAATATCGCCCAGCTCGATGCGTTGCCCACGCAGTTTGACCTGAGTGTCTTTGCGCCCCACATAGCGCAATTCACCCTGGGGCGTGTACTGCACCAGATCTCCCGTTCGATAGACCCGGATGTCTCGACGACCGTGTCGGAAGCGTGTCAGCCACGGCAGCCCCTGCAAGAACGCCGCGGCAGTTTTTTCGGGGTCACGGAGGTAGCCGCGGGCGAGCACCGGGCCTTCAAGCAAGAGCTCCCCTACTGCCCCAATGGCCGCCAGCTGTTCCGGGTTAGACGGAGTGGTGATCCAGCTGACGGCGCCCACTGTAGTGCCAATGGTGCCGGGACGCCAGCCCTCGGGGGGCATGTCACCCAGCGCGCAGATGGTGGCCTCCGCTGGACCGTAGCCATTGACGAGCGTGACGTGCGCCGCCCAGCGATCGACAACGTCTTGGGTGACGGCTTCCCCGCCTAACACTAGCGTTTGAAGGTCTGGCACCTGCGCCGGATGCAGAAGGCGTGCGGTGGTATTGGTCAATGTCGCCCAGTTGATGCTGTGCCGGCACATCGCCCCGGCGAGATCGTTCAAGCGATCTTGATCGGAGACGATGCAGACGCAACCGCCCGCCACCAATGTACTGCAAATCTCATAGATGCTGGCATCGAAGGCATACGAGGCGAAGTGCAGGCTGCGACTGGCGCGACTCATCCGCATCCCGTCCCGATGGTACCGGATGCTTGTGGAGAGCTGAGCATGCTCCAGGATAATGCCCTTGGGCTGCCCGGTGCTGCCTGAAGTGAAGATGAGGAAGGCTGCACCATCCGAGCTGCTATCCGACCGCATCACATCATCGAGAGGGGGCAGCGCTGCGAGAAAATCAGGCGACACGACGACCACTTCCACCCCTTCTTCATCCACCACATGGCCGGCGGTCGTCGGGTGTGCCAGAACCAGGTGACTCCCCGCCTGGCGCACGAGGCTCGCCAGGCGCGCGCGCGGGTGGCCTGCATCGAGAAGAAGACAGCAGCCCCCGGCCATCAGAACTGCCAACAGGGAGATCACTGTCCACGGACCCTTTGGGAAACATAGCGGAACGATGGTTTCCGTCCGCACGCCGCGGGTGCGGAGGTACGCTGCGAATCGCCACGCTGTGGTACACATCTCCGCATAAGATGTCTCTGTCTCCTCGAACACCAACGCGGGTGCTGTTGGGTGTAGGTCCGCGTGCGCGACAATAAGATCGACCAGCGTCCGGCGCTCGACTTCCGGCACCTCCGCGTTCCACCGGCTGAGCTGGGAGATCTCCTCTGGTGTCAGAATCTGTAGGTCCTGCACCCGTGGCACGGTGCGGTCGACAAGCTGATGTAGGACACCGGCGCACTGCACGACAAGACGACGGGTCTCGTCCGCTGCCAGCACGTGCGGGTCATAGTGCGCAGCAAAATGTATCGACCGTCCGTCAGCGGAAGGGGTACAAATCAGGACCAGGGCGTAACTGGCGAAGACGCCCGGTGGCGCTCGCCCGGCAGGCGCCTGGACAAAGACGGATGAATTTCCAGTGGTATTGTCTTCTTCTCCATTGTCGTCATCGGGGAACTGGACTCCGAGGTGCGTCTGGAAGCGACAGGCACGTGCCGCGTCTGGGCCCAGCTGGCGGATGTGGTGTAGGCCCGTATGCTCGAAAGGGATCATGCTAGTCGACTGGTCCTGGACCTGCTGAAGCCAGGCATCCAGCGACTGGGACGGGTCCAGCTGGATTCGCACGGGCACGGTGGCGAACGTGGGCCCTGTGAGGGCCTCGATCCCCGGCACCGGCGCGCTGCGACCGGCCAGGGTCACGCCCATGACGACGTCAGTGACGTCGGTGTAATGCGCCGCGATCACGGCCCAGGCGGCACGCACCAGCGTAGCAAGGCTACAGTTGCGGTAGCGCATCACCGGTAGTGCGGCTTTGTGGTCCAGCCGTGAGGTCGCCTGCGGCGTGTAGCGGGCCGTCGGAGGCGCTGGGAAGATGGCGGCCTGGACGTCTCGGAACTGTTCGCGCCAGTATGCAGCCATGGTGGAATGGTTTGTCGTCTCTTGAAGGTAAGCCACAAAGCGGTTGAAGGGCGAGGGCGTCAGCGGCAAGCCCTTGTAGGCGATATCGACTTGGCGGAGCAGCTGTGGGAGTGACATGCCATCGTAAAGCCCATGATGGATGGTAAGCCGCAGGACGACAGGTGAGCCGCCCGTCAGCAGGTTCAGAGACACCAAACGGCGCCCAAACATGCTCTTCACGGAACCCTCATCGGGGGATTGATCCCACGCTCCAGGGTCCGTGACGACCACTTGCCACATGGCTCTCTCGATGTGCACGAATCGGGTGCGCAAGATTGGATGTGCGATTGCAGTACAATTCCAAGCTTTGTGCAGGCGTTCCCGGTCCACGTCCGCGCGGAGGGGCAAGTCTATCTGGCCGATGTAGGCAGCGGGGTCCCTGCTCGTGCCGGCTATCAGGCCCTCTTGCATGGGTGTGCAGGGGTAGACATCCTCGACCTGAGTCTCCGGGACCGCGCACTGGCGCGCCGCTGCTCGAATGATGTCCTCCTGACTGGACTTGGGGAGAAGCGCGAATGGGGCGCTAGGGGTGTGATTTGCTGGCCGGGGCTCCCCGCGTGTGGTGATCAAGCTGGATATCCGACGACTGCCTAGAATGCTCGCCACCGTCAACGGTATGTCCTGTCGTTGAGCGATCGAAGCCAGCTTCATCGCTGTGATGGAGTCCCCGCCATTGTCGAAGAAGGAGTCATCCAAGGCGATGGCGTCGGCAGATCGGTTGAGGACGCGTGCGCACAGGCGCTGGATGGTCTCCTCATCGGCCGAGGCTGGTGCGCGTCGATGACTCTGCGATCCGGCCGACACCCGTGCTAGGTCCTCAGCAGACAGCTGGGACGCTTCCTCACGCAGGCGTCGGCGGTCGGTTTTGCCCGTCCTCGTTAGAGGGAGCGCTCTGATGCACAAAAAGCGCAAGGGCACCATGTATCGTGGGAGCCGTGCCCGGAGCTCGTCTCTGGCTTGATCTATCCGGCTCAAATGGTCTGGCGTGGGAATCAGGAAGCGACCGACAGTAAGTTTATGTTCTGCTTCTCCCCCTGGGAGGAGAAGGAATGCCATCAAGATGTCCGTGTCCGCACGACGGACCACCTCAGTTATGACCTGTCGCGCCATGGGCAGCAAAATCTCGACTTGGTACTCTACTGCGGCTAGTTCGATGCGTTGTCCGCGCAGCTTGACCTGGGTATCTGCGCGGCCCACGAAATGCAAGGATCCGTCCAGCCCATAGCGCACCAGATCCCCCGTGCGATATAGCCGCGAAGGGGGAGCGGGACGGAACTCCTTGATCCACGACGGACAGGCCACGAACGACTGTGCAGTCCGCGCGGGTTGGCCAAGATACCCTCGTCCAAGTATCGGCCCCTCGATCAGCAGCTCCCCGACAGCACCAACCGGTAGTAAATGATCGGGATCAGCAGGGTCGACGATCCAACAGGCACCGCCCGTGGGCCACCCGATATTGGCGGGATCACTGGCTGTGGTGACATTCGGTTGCACGGTGGCCAGCACGCAACATTCTGCCGGCCCGTATATGTTCATCAGCCGCTTGTGCGGGCTCCATTTGGAAATATCGCTGCGGGCGAGGGATTCGCCACCCACCACGATGGTCGTCACTGTGGGCACATCCTCCGGATCGAGATTTCTAAGCAGGGATGGTGTGAAGTCCGCCCAGTTGGCGCGCAGAGCGGTCGCGGCATGGGCCAGACGGTTCTGGCAATCATCGTCTGAGGGAATGCATACGCATCCGCCGGCCACAAGTGGTGCCAGGAGGTCAGTCACACTGACATCAAAGGCGTATGAAGCAAATTGAAAGCCACGAACCTCTGGGTTCATGCTGACAGTTTCGAGGTAGGCCTGCAGGCTAGCCGCGAAGGCGCCATGTTCAATCACGATGCCCTTGGGGCGCCCGGTCGAGCCTGATGTGTACACCACATAGAGCGCATCCTGGGCGGCCGCGGCGGGGAGCGGGACGTCCGGGTTCGTGTTTGTCCATGGCAAAGCACCATCCAGGGGCACGGAAACGACTTTTGGGGCAAGGGTGGTTGCAATATTCGCGCACACCGCGGATGAGATGATGAAGGCAGCATCGATCTCCTGGCAGATTTCCTCGAGGCGTCTTCGGGGCTGCGATGCATCCAGGAGCACAAAGGCGCCACCGGCACGAATCACGGCCAGCACCGCTACCGGCACCCAGCGAGACTTCTCAAGTAGGATAGGCACCATGAAATTCTCATGCACGGGGATCTGGGCCGCCAGATGGGATGCAAGCCCCGAGGCCTGTGTCCACAGCTCGTCGTACGTCCAGTCACCGTCCCACGCGTGCACTGCCAACGACGATGGCTGCTGAGCAGCACGCGGCGTCAACAGATCGATCATCGTCCGTCGAGGGCGGTCCGGCAGCGCATTCCACTGGATGAGGTCTCGCTTGTCATCGGCACTTAGTGGGCACTGTGCGACAGACAGCCGTTCGTCATTAATGGCATGGATCATCGTGGTGAACTGGTGCAGCATGCGCGACATCTGCAGTGGTGTGATCATTGAGGCATCGAAGATGGCCCGGATTGTCACCGAGTCAGCATCTGGTTCACACACCAGTGTTAGCCCGTACGTGTCGACTTGCGCGTCCTCGGCCGGGGTGCCGTCGCTTGGAGATTTGATCCGTTCAAGAAAACCCGAAGACCAATCTCCGGACGGCTGCACGACGAGCAGCGTCTGAAACTGACAGGCCTGCCGCGCCTCGTCACTCACGCCAGCAATCCGTGAGATCCCGACCTGCTCCACGGGCATTATTGCCGTCATCTGTTCCTGAACTCGCCGCAACAACGGGCGCAATCTGTCGCTCGTCTGCCACTGGACACGGAGAGGGACTGTGGCCAGAGTGGGCCCAATCACCGCGTCGATACCCGTCACAGGAGCCCCCCGACCGGACGTGACGACGCCAAACACCAGGTCTGTCGATCCGGTATACTGCGCCGTGGTCAAGGCCCAGGCCAGGCGCAACACTGTGGACATAGTGGCCCCGAGGGCGTGGTTCAAGGAGAGCGCCGTAGTATGCGACTGGCTCGATCGTGGCTCTGGAATATATTGCGGCGTTGGAAGCGCTGGGAACGGAGCCCCCGTGAAACCCTTAAATTGCGCTCGCCAGGATGCTTCAACCTCAGCGGGTGGAATGCGCTGGACATACTCCACGAAGGGCCGGAAAGAACAAACAGTAGGGGGGGCGGTGGCTGCGTGATAGGCATCCTGTAGTGCTGCGTGGAGTAGTCTCATGGAGAAGCCATCGTAGAGGGCATGATGCAAAGATAGGTGAAATTGCCGGGATTCCGGCATCCAGCGTGCGCATGCCAGCGGGCCGCCCTCCACCAGAGACGTGTCCTGCACTGGTCCGGACCATAGGACGTCCTCGCGCAGCACAGCCTGCATCAGATCGCCGTCGGTCTCAAGACGGATGATGCGGGTGCGCAGGATGGGGTGTGCCTGCACCACCGCAGCCCACGCGGCCTGTAAGCGAACAAAATCGAGCTCATCTGGCACCTCGTAGTCCGCACAGGCCCAGAACGCACCGGGATACTTCAGGCTGAGAGCAAACAGCCCTTTCTGCATGGGGGTGCACGGATATACATCCTCCACGGCGTCGCAAGACACCTGACACTGTACGGCGGCGGATTGGCGCAAGGGCCATAGATCAGGGCTATCGACAAGCGCAAACGGCCCCGTATCAACGTCTGCATTGGGAAGCAGCGCCGTGGTCAGGCGTGCGAGGTCCTCAAGAATTGGGTTGGCAAATATATCTGCCACGTGGATATCGAGGTGGCGCTCACGAAGTAGACCAACCATGCGCATGGCGTGCAGCGAGTCCCCCCCGAGTCGGAAGAAGTGGTCGTTCATGCCCACCGTGTCCGGTGGGAGGTCTAGGAGTTGCGACACGCACTCCTGCAGGTGTTGCTCCGTTGGGGTTGACGGCGCCTCCTTCTTGCTCGACTGGCTCTGGTACGCTTCCCAGTCTGCACGGGATAAACGAGCCCCGAGCTCCCGGAGGGTGCGTCGGTCGACTTTGCCTGTGGCTCCGCATGGGATGCTTGTGATTGGGAGGAACACGCCCGGGACCATGTACCTGGGTAGCTGGGCTGCGAGAGCCGTGTACGCCGTCGTAGCGGCGGCGTGGAACTCACCCGATGGGGTCTCCAGGGTGGCCGGGCCCAACGACGCGGAGGGACCCGCCGCGCGCTGCACAAAGACCGCTAAGACAGGGCGTCCCGGAGTTGCCGCAGGCTCCACAATCTCGGCCACGGCGCGTGGACTGCCCGGAAAGGCAGCCATCGTGTGTGTTTCGACGTGGCCCAGCTCCACACGCTGGCCGCGCAGCTTCACCTGATTATCCTTGCGCGCGACAAATAGTAGAGACCCATCAGGAGCATACTGCACCAGGTCCCCCGTCCGGTACAGGCGCGCCGAAGGGCGGAGACAGCGCAGCCAGGCGGGGGCGTCGAGAAAGCTGGCCGCAGTGCGGAGCGGATCGTCCAGGTAGCCCCGTGCCAGAGACGGCCCCTCGAGCAGCAGCTCGCCGATAGCCCCGATGGGAAGCAGACGGTCGGGGGACTCAGGATCCACAATCCAGCAACCGGCGGTGGTCGATCGCCCGATGCGACGCGGGTCCGCGTGCGAGTCCAACGACAACTGTGTGACCGGGATGCCCGCGCACTCAGCGGGTCCATATCCATGGCACAGATTCAGGCGGGGAACCCAGTAATCCCGATCAGCGAGCGACAGGGGCTCCCCGCCTAGCATTAGATGTCGGAGAAGGCCTGTGGCCTGGTGATGCAGCAGACGGGCCGTGGTGGGCGTGGTGAGCAGCGTGTCGGCCTGGAAGTGGCGCAGGGCCCCCGCCAGATCATCCTGGCACTGGGAGACGGATGGAATTACCAGACAGCCACCAAAAATAAGTGTGGCCAGCTGCTCAATCACGCTGATGTCGAAAGCATAAGAGGCGAGTTGCAGGATCCGTGTGTCTGCGCTCAGGATTCCGGTTCGGCCCATCTCGCGGACGCCACTGCAAAAGGCAGCATGCGACACGAGAATCCCCTTGGGCATACCAGTGGATCCGGAGGTAAAAACAAAGTAGGCTGTTGCATCCGCCGTGCTGGCATCGACCCAGTCAGCTGCTGTGCCGGCCGCATCGTCGTGGTCGACCAGGACCACAGCGGGTAGGTCGAGCGCCGCCGCCAGGGGCGCACTCTGTTGCGTGGTGAGTACGACGGAAGCCCGGCATCGCTGACACACGGTTTGCCGGTACGCCACCGGCTGCGAGGGCTCCAGTGTCACGAACGCCGCGCCGGTCAGCAGTACGGCCAGCATAGCCGCGGGGGTCCAGCGAGACTTCTCCATACAGATCGGGATGATGCAGCCGGGGCCCATGCCGGCGGCGGCCAACCGACGCGCGAGGCGCATGGCCTGGAAGTGCAACTCGCGGTAATTGAAAGAGCCGTCCCACGCGTACACGGCCCGGCGCTCAGGGCTCGTGCGGATGTGCTGCTGGATTGTCTCGGGGATGCTCGTCCGGGCCGATTCGGGAAGGGTCCCGTTCCAACGTAAGAGCTCGGCCATGTCGGAGGATGGGAGCACCGGTAGGTCAGCCAGAGACAGGTCATGTTGCCTGTTAATTATCTGCAGAAAGTGGCCAAATAGGCCCAGCACGCGGTCCATCTGGCAGTGCGGTAGTACGCGGTCGTCAAACTCCGCTCGCACCGCGACATGGCCATCGTGGATGGTGCACTCCAGAGCCAACGCATACTCCCGCGGCAGGGCCCGACGGTGATGATGGGTCTGACCCAGAATCTCTTGCTGTGCGGGCTTTGCAGTGTGATCTGCTACCTGCACGGACACCAGCGTCTCGAAGTGGCACGCCTGCGCCGCGGCGGCTCCTAGCCGGGCAATACGCACCAACCCCAGCTGTGCAAAGTCACTGATAGTCTGAATCTGCCGCTGCATCGACTCCAAGGCTTGCCGGACCGTGTCTCCGCGCGCCAGGCACACTGCCAAGGGGGCGGTGGCAATCGTGGGGCCCGTCGTCCGGTCGATCCCTGGTACTGGGGCATCACGGCCAGACACCATCACTCCGAATACAACCTCAGACGCGCCGGTGTACTGAGCGGCCGTCAGGGCCCATGCCAGTTGGATCCACGTTGAGATTGTGAAGTCTCTGGGGCCGTTGTGTGGGGACAGGGGAACCGATTGTTGGGCGCTTGATTGCGCCATGGGCGTCCACGGTCCTGAGGGTCGCGGAGGGAAAGGCACAGCCTCGCTCTCCGCAAGTGCCTCGCGCCAGTAAGACTCTGCTTTGGACTGGCTGTCGACAACATGCCTAATAAAGTGATTGAATGGGCGGGACTCCAGGGGCCGGCCCGCGTACGCCGCCTCGAGCTGCTGTCGCAGGAGGGGTAAGGTCCAGTGGTCGTAGACGGCGTGGTGCATAGTTAGGACGCAGAATGCTCGACCTTCCTCCTGGACCACGGCCAGACGCACCAGTGCGGTTCCCGGGCCGAAAGAAGTGCCCCAGTCTCGGTCGAGGTAGTCGTCCAGCGGGCCCTCGACGACCGGGCAGGCAACGGGGGCGTGGAGTACGACCTGCACCATGTCGTCAGGGCCTAACTGAGCCAGTCGTGTGCGGAGAATAGGATTGGCACTAGATACAGCCCTCCATGTGTCAACGAGCCTTGAGAGGTCAATGTCGGCAGGCAGCGCAAACGCTCTCTGATCCACATAATCGTGCGGCCGCTGCGCCGTGCGGACCAGGAGGCCCTCTTGAACAGCGGTGGCAGGATATGCGTCTTCAACCTCGGCCGGCGTCACGCCGCATTCGGCGGCAAGGTGCTGTAGAGACCACGCGGTCGACGTGAGGAGTTGAAACGGAACTATCGGGGGCGACTCGGCCCGCTCCGGCCGCATGACCCGGGCAAGGTCCGCGAGGACAGGATGCGCGAAGACATCCGCAACGGTGAGGGAGAGTCCACACTCTCGTGCATGGGCGACTAGGCTCATGGCCGCGATGGAATGACCGCCACAGTGAAAGAAATGCGCTGCACCACTGAAGCCCCCCGGGGCTTCCGGCAGCACCTCCATCCAGAGCCGCAGCAGCAGCCGCTCCGAGTCAGCCAGCGGGCTGGCGGGCGAGCTGATGCTGCTGCCGCGGCATCTTGTGAGGACGGCGGGGGGGATGTCTGCAGCGAGCTGGCAGAGACGGCGGCGATCGAGTTTGCCGGATCTCGTCCGCGGCGGGTGACCCAGGGGAATGACCAGAGCCGGCTTCATATACGATGGTAAACGGGAGCGGAGGGAGTTTTCGATGAGGGTTAGATTGGCAATGGCATAATCGAGTCGCTCGTACGCGATGTCCAACCCTTCCTGAAGGTCATTCCCATTCAACGAGACCGAGCCGGCGCGATGGGTCAGGAAGGCCACGAGGGTCGACTCGGCACCGCCTGGCAGCCGGACCAAGTCAACCACGACATCGTCGACCCCACCGTGCAGCTGGGGCAGCAAGGGTTGCGTCGCCCGTTCAATCTCCTCGAGCTCCACCCGGAAGCCGCGGATTTTCACCTGGTGGTCCTTGCGGCCCAGGACCCGAAGCGTGCCGGCGCCGGTGTGCTGGCCCAGATCTCCGGTGCGGTAAAATCGCACGCCCGGCGCGTGGTCGGGGAAGGAAGATCGCCATGGCAGCGTGGTGCCGTCGACGAACACGTCCAGGGCTTGGTCCGATAGTCCCAGATAGCCCCGCGCGACACTAGCCGCCTCGATAACGATCTCGCCCACGGCACCCACGGGCTGCAGACGTTGGGGATCATCCGGATCAACGATCCAAAGCGTCGCGTGACCCCGGTGACTACGAACGCTCTGTGGATCGGTAGACGGACGCAGATGGGGCTCAAAGGCACTCACGGCAGCGCATTCGGAGCACCCGTAGCCGTTGATTAGGTTGGTATACGGCGCCCACTTGGACACGACGCTGGCCGTGGGTCGCTCCCCGGCCAGCACGAGTGCTTGCAGCTGCGGCAGCCGCCCGGGCTCCACCATATGCGCCACGGACGGGGTCATACTGACCCAGTTGACCTCGTACCGGGCAAAGACGGCGGCCACGTCATCCCAGGCCTCCCCGTCCCGCGGCATACAAACACATCCGCCGTGGATCAGCGTCATGAAAACGTCGCGGTTGCTGATATCAACGGCCAAGCTCGCTAGGTGCAAAACCCGCGATGTGGCCGTCAGACCAAGGGCTGGGCCCAACGTTCGGGCAGCGGTGCAGAAGGCGCCGTGCTCCACGAGTACGGCTTTCGGAATCCCGGTCGACCCGGACGTGCACACCACGTAGAGCGGGTCCTCGGGGGTCACCGCAGCGTCCACAAACTCATCGGTCTGCGGGGGAAGATGGCCAGGGCCAAGAAGGACCCCCTCGAGGTCGAGCTGCCGGGCCAGGTCCGCATGAGCCTCGTCGGTCAGCATGATCGTGGCCCGCGTGAGCCGACCAATAGCCTGTAGCCGGTCCAGCGGGTGTGTTGGGTCCAAATGGAGATACGCGGCGCCGACTCGCATCACGGCCAACCGCGCCACCACGACCCAGCGTGAGTTGCTCTGGCAGATGGGCACCAGGCTACACCGAGTTACCCCCCGCGCCCCGAGATGGGCTGCCAGGCGCGCGGACAAGTGCTCGAGCTCAGCATACGACCAGGTGCCATCCCAGGCCACCACGGCGGAGCGTTCGGGATGGACTGCGGCTTGATTGAGAATCAGTCGGTGAACACACGCCTCTACGCGCGGGGGCGCCGGGGGGCTCCAGTGGCGCAACTGGGTGAGGTCCCAGGGACCCCAGAGCTGGAGATCCCCCATTGTGGCCTCTGGTTGGGACACAATGTCGTCGACAACGCGACAAAAGACTCGCAGCATCCCCTCTGCTTGTAGGGGGGTTACGGCCCCCTCAGAGAAATGGAGCTGAGCTGTCATTGGATCCGTCCTGGATTGGACCACAAGCTCCAGCATCTAGAATGGATTGTCAGTGCTCAGGATGCGCCATCGTTGAGGGTGGGGAGAGAAGAATCATTCATACTGGATGCGGCACCGCTGCGTCTTCCTCGAGGTGTGAGCTGACACGCACCGCCGCCTGACATAGACTGATTTCATCTATCGGCTCTGCCGTCGCGGCAACTTCACACAGCGCCGCCGTTAGGGTCTTGTCGCTGGGCCGTGCGACCTGGCACCGTCGACCTGTTTCATTCGTGTAGCAGGCAAGTGTCACTACATCGATATTCTGATAGACGCCCAGCGCGGTTCCCCACGCTAGATGGAATACCGTGTCACTGGGGAGGTCAAGACGATCTGCAAAACTCGTGATCCGGCCTGTTGCCGGCAGCTCGTGGGCGTCCGTCTGTTGGCGCGGCTCATCATTGTGGTTGGGATAGTCAATCATGATCATAAGTGGCCCGTTTTCCGTTCCAGTGCAAGGTACAACAATGCGGCTTCACTTCTCGATATCGTCCACGAGAACTTTTGAGGGCCTGTTCATCATTGGTCACCGAACGACAAGTTCGTGACCGGCAATCACCGCCATTTCTCTCATTCTCAGGGACCCATACCGACGTTCAATCTTGCAGGGTGGAATGCAGCTGGTTTTTCCCTTGCGTCGTCAGCTAAGTTTCTCTAGGGCCATGCAGACGCGAGAGCAAGGAAAAGACAAGCCACGAAAATAAAGACAGGGGGGATTCCAACAGGGCAGGCAAATAAATGAAAAAAACTAAAAATAAAAATAAAGAAAATAAAGAAAACAGAAAAAAATGACAAGTTCCGATTGACCTGTCGTGGAAGAGAGCTAGGTTCCCATGCGGCAGCCCTGAGACCTTGTTGTTCCCCATTACGATTCATTCCCATCGTCGTCGTTGTCGTTGTCGTCGTCGTGTTGTTTCTCTCCCCTAATTATGTATGATTACGCCGTCTACACTCCCATTGAGCGCCCCGACCTGTGGGAGGTCCTCGAGGATACAAAGCACCCTCTCAACGTTGTCTGGCCCGAGTTCCTCGATCACGATGTGGCCTACGCACGATATTGCGGCATGTTGTCTCGGCTGGCTCCTTTGGCACGGTTCCAGTTTGCCTTCGTCCATGTCGGTCCACAGGGCCAGGAGATCATCGCCGGGCTCGGACGGTCGATCCCCTTCTACTGGCCCGAGCTAGAGACCGTTAGCACGGCCGGATGGCGGCCAGAGCTTCTCGATTCGCTGCCAGCGCAGGGATACGGCGCCATTCTAACCGCGGGAGTGCAGCAGAGTCAGGGCGATGGACCGGCTCCGAATGCGCTGTCGGCGCTCTCAGTCACCGTGCAACCAGCCTACCGACGAACCGGTCTGGCGGAACTGATCATTGACACCATGAAGCGCGCCGCCTCTCTCGAAGGCTTCTCGGTCCTCATCGCGCCACTCCGACCTACGCAGAAGAACCGCTTCCCCGACGTTCCCATGGAGCACTACCTGCACTGGATGACTGAGTCGGGACTCCCCTTCGACCCTTGGTTGCGCAAACACGTCCGTCTTGGAGGACAGGTGGCCAAAATCGCCACCCGGAGCATGGTGGTGTCGGGAACGCGCGAGGAGTGGAAGTCATGGGTGGGTATCGATCTGCACCAGGAGATGCAACGGGCGCCAGATCCAGGAAAGATGAAAACCCTCCCCATTCGGATTCCGGGAGGGTTGGTGCCGGTGGAGTACCAGCCGGAGGATGAGATGGGAGTGTATGTGGAGCCCAACATCTGGATCTACTACCGCCTATAGTTTTCCTTTTTGGGGCCGGGGGCATGTGACTTGAGGAACCTCGTGATAGAGGAAGCCCTCATTCAGTCTTGGCGGAAGTGACGGTTCTGAGACAAACGCGCTCGGCATGGATGATGGTTCAATTACCAATACATTTGTTAAATAGGTTGCAACTAGGTCGACAGGTTCGGCTTTCAAGTATTGCTCTTGAAGGCAGTGGAGTATGAGATTGAACGGTAAAACATTACTACTATCAAGTTCCATATAAGCGGTACGACTACCTCGGTCTCAACTCGACGAAGAAGATATTCCAGGACCCGTAGTCACTATCTTCCCGTCAATAGCAACTCGTCGGGAGAGCGGCAAGGGTTGAGGGCGTACGCTTTTGGGCTGGGATCGGAGGTGAGAGAAACTATTCCCATACACAGGAGCCCGCAGTTGAGTGTGAAATAATCAGAATCATATTCGTAGGACCCGTGTGGGAAGATGATACTTCTCGCTAATGCATCAAGAAATTACGACGTATGAGACTGCACCACTTGGCAGACATGGCTCTGATGTGATCCCTCTCCATTATCCATTTGGACTTGTTCTTTTTGATATAGCCCGGTGAAACCGGAGTATCGTGTCTACCCAACTCAAACATAGATCTATAACCGTAGATATCTACTACTGTCTTTTTTGTGAGTCATGAGCAAGAGAGAAGTCCACCATGTAATTGAGTCAATGTTCCATGAACACCGGGGGGCCCTTATCAAACCAAGCCACGATGCAATGACTGCGCATCCAAGACGACTGTACCCCCCTATATACCTCCATGATACGCAATATATTTGTCGTGAAAAGCCCTCCAAAAGCGGCATGGCACACATCAAAATGATATATGTTTGTGTATAAGTGTATGGAGTGTTTAGTATCTGTAAACCGCCGCTTGGGTGGGAGGCTTGATTCCATGGCTGAAGCAGCGTACAGAATTTTACCGATTTATATTAATACATACACCGTTCATGGAATATGTATTATAAAATGATCTTGCCAACCTTGAGATCAATGATTTAAATATATGGAGCAAGCAGCACAAGTACTTACATATGGCCCCACAAAAAGTCTACCGGGCTGAGCTGAATCGGAGACAACATGTCAAGTCCACGATTGACTCATCCAACAAGTTTCGACGGTCTGAAACCTTACCTGACCACCAAACCCTGGACAGGCCAGGCCAGGCACATTATCTCGAGACCGCTTATCCAACGTTTTGGTATCCCAACACATTATGGTTTGAAAGGGATACCTTGCATCTAGTATGCCAATTGTGGTCATTCCAAAGGGCAAGCATGCCGATCACTACACTCCGTAACCAGATCTCGCCATGGGAATGGGTAGCCCTTTGAACAAGACGATGCCCTGCCCGATTTTGGGGACTCTCGGACACGCCGATGCCCCCCTCACCCTCCTTATGCCGTAAGAACTCCTCGACAGTGTTAGTATACCGCTACTCTAGGGTGTGCCTGAGATACCACGATCTAAACAGAGTACATGGCAAGCCTCCTTTACTTGACATCCCTTGATACCCCTACATATCTCAATACGCATTCTCGCCGCGCCTTGCCAGGATTCGCGAATTCTCCGTTAGGTCGCTATCTGGGCAGGCCTTCAGGCTAACTCACCGCTTCATCACTCACCGAAGTTACGTTTCTTGTACATGTCAGCTCGAAAGTCTCCTCGCGCATGCTCCGTTGATGCTGGCACTGGAGTGGAAACCCCTCCCCACCGGTAACTTGGGTGGGACCCGCGATCATCCTCCAACCTTTCTGTGACATATGAAGTGGAATGACCACCTGCTAATCACCCCTAAAACCACGGAAGTTCGTCTTTGTTGCACTGTTCGGCCCGTCAATAGACGCTCCTTCCTCCCCTCCTTTGTACACACCGACACCGGTCTCTCGCCATAGGCATGACTCTCATTGTTGGCGGCCGTGCCCACCATAGAGCGACCGACCCGGTAGCGCGAATTCTGGATATTAGTCGGGGTGCCGTGAAAGGGGACCTCCGAACAGAAATCGTGGAGGGTCTCCAGGCTGACCCAGCCCAGTTACCCTCGCTGCTCTTGTGGGATGATGATGGTCTGCGGTTGTTCAACCGCTTGGCCCAGTCCGAGCCCTATTATCTCGGGAGGAAAGAGGGAGAGATCTTGAAGAAACATGTCGCGGCCATCGCGGCGCAAATTCCAGCGGGGACGGTGATCATTGAATTGGGATGTGGGCAAGTGAGCTTTGCTCCCTAGAATATCTGCTCGATGGTACTGACTAAAAGACAGGGATCTGTACAAGACGCGCTTAATTCTTTCGGCCCTCGAACAGCAGCGTCGCGCCGTCTCCTACTTGGCGCTGGATGTCTCAGCCCAGGAGCTGTCCGCCAGTCTGGACGCCCTGGAGCAGGAGTTTGTGGGTGCTGCTTATGTTGACATCCGTGGACTGCATGGGACATATGACGACTGTGTCCACTGGATTGCCCAAGGAGCACCCCTCAGGAAACATGTCACATTCCTTTGGATGGGAAACAGCATGACCAACGGAGGCTTCGACGGTGCGCAGTCCGTCTTGCGAGACGCGGCAGCAGCCTGTAAACGCAGTGGACTTGGGGCCCAATTCCTCGTCTCGTGCGATGCGTGTCAGGACCCAGTACGCCTCATGGCGGCGTACGATGCCGCCGCGCTGCCCCTACGGGATTTCATTCTTCATGGGTTAGATAGCGCCAATCGGGTGCTAGGGCGGATTGTCTTCCAGCCGGCCGATTGGACGGTGTACACGCAGTATGATGCAAAGCACAGTATGGTCGATGTCTCTTACACGCCGATACGGGAGCTAGTCTTCCACGTGGAAGATGGACGGCCTCCAGTGTCATTGCAACCAGGTGCCAAGGTCCGCGCCATAACAAGCGGGAAATGGTCCCCTCAGCAAATGGACGCGGTGGCCCACGGCGCACACTTGCAAATCGAGCGGACATGGATGGACGACGACCAAATCTATGGTAGGTGCAATGACATCCTCGGCGGCCTCGACGACGCAAGCTGACCAATGCCCAGGATTCTATATCTTGCGCCCGCAAAGTCCGGCCAAGTGCTCGGTATGTCCTCCCATGTCATCCACATGAACGGGCCCAGGGCGCCCATGCTCCGAAGGGATATCGTGAATGTCCTATGACCCATCTGGGACCAGTCAGTGGCCGTATTGGGCCCATCTTACGACCATTGACGCGCGCAAGATAACTATGGCGTCTGAAGACGTTGTCGTTCCTTCTTTCACCAGGGAATTCCACTGAGAACTAAGAGAAGTCTCATCTTCGAACGAAAGGGCATGCCAGATGACGTAGCGGTTCTACTGAACTAGCATCTCAGAAAACAATGCAAGATAATTGACGAAAATCCTCTGCTCCCGTCCTGTAATTCACCGATAGCTCAGAACCGATTAATAAACGCGAGGTGGCATCGACGATACGCCCCCGCTCTGCGCGAAGTAGACTTAATAATTGACCCCCGTATGGCCCGATTGCGGAATTATCTTCGGACTTCATTTGCTTGACGGTTGGATCCACAACGATGAGTTTCATGTATGAGGTGCAGAGCTCGTTCAGGGACAAAGGCGTACAAATCTCAAATGGAAATTTCCATCTTGAGCACAGAGTGGCCGACCTGGCTTGCTGCAAGGGGTAAATGATGGATCGACAAGCCGCAGCCAAAATGACAAATGATAAAATAGGTTCTTCCGGCCAGGAACCTGGATCGTCGTCTATCCTCTACCTCTCGTCCTGCCCTACCTTACGCTCTTCCATTCGCCATGGACTGTCCGCTCGGGAGCGACAGCCGCTGGGGCCCACGAGTGGTTTCCCACTGCCGCTCGTTCGACTTCACGCTGGCCTTCGAAGATGTGGCCTTCGGTCTTCCCCCGAGTGCAATATTCCTGCTCCTAGTGCCCACGGTGTGGTGGTGGGGACGAGCCGCGCCGAGACAGCTATACTCCGGTCGACTGGCGGCCGTGAAAGTCGTCTGTAACCCTCTCCTGCTACGAAGCCTGCCCGGATCCATTGTTCCTAACCTCCCCCGGAGTAGGTAACACTGCTGTCTTTATTAGCCATCCAAGTGGTCCACACGGTCTTGCGCACTCTTGACGAGCGCCTGCAAACCACCTCGGCCCTTCCAATCGCCGTCGTCAATATCATAGGCCTAAGCGTGGCACTCGCAATGTCAGCCTGGGAGGACCAGCATCGCGTCGATCCCTCCGTCGTGCTGGTTCTCTACTTCAGCGCGCAGTTGGTGCTGACATTGCCGCAAACCCGCTCGGTCTGGCTGATCAGCGGGTCTTCGGCCGTCTCCATCCTCGGCACGCTGAAGACGATCCTGACGCTGGCCGTGCTGGCCACGGAGTCGTGGTGGAAGACTAGATGGCTGCGCAAGCCAGGTCTGACTATCGAACAGAGGTGCGACTTTTGGACTCGGGCTCTCTTTGCCTGGACTTGGACGACATTCCGCCGTGGGTTTTCCGCCGTGCTCGATCTCAACGAATTGCCCCAAGTGGACAAGGCATTGCAAGGTCACGACGCCGTCCGTCGCCTGCGCGATGCGCATGGGGCTGTATTCTGGGCCTTTCGCACGTCCTTCCTCTCTGCCGTCGTGCCGCGCTTGTGTGTCTCTGCGTTCACCTTTTGCCAACCGTTCCTCATCACGGCCGCTGTGCAATTCTTGACCAAGGACGGCCATTCTGAGGATGCTTCCAACAAGTCCAAGGGGCTGATCGCAGCATTCCTGCTGGTTTATGTGGGATTGGCGGTGGGTCGGTAGTCTATGGTTTTTTTCTGATTAGTTGTGCTAACGGATATTCGCAGCTTTCCAACGCCGTCTACTGGCGCCAGTCATTCCGGTTCCAGACCCGCGTCCGGGGAGGATTGATTCAATTGCTCTATGAGCAGTCCATCCGCAAGAGTCCGGCAGCCCTTGCAGACCGAGCCCCGTTGACTATGATGAGCACCGATGTGGAGCGCATCCTCGCCGGACTCCGGTTTGTACATGAGCTGTGGGCCGCGCCTTTGGATGTCGGGATTGCTGTCTGGCTCCTGCAACGGCAGTTGTCCGTGGCCTGCGTTGTTCCAGTAATAGTAGCTTTTGGTGCGGTCCCCTGGTTCCCTGCCCCCCGTTTTTTCTAATGCTAATCCTCCTGACCCGCTAGGATGTCTTCTCGCCATCTCCCGTGTTTCCGTGCTTGGGAAACCCCGACAACAGTGGTGGGTCGAACGGATCCAACACCGAGTAGAGACCACCACGGTCCTCCTGGAAAATATGAAGGCTGTGAAAATGCTAGGGCTGCCCCAGGTCGTCAGGGATCTAATCCACCGGCTTCGGGTGGTAGAACTGGACACATCACGCCGGCTGCGGCGCGTGCTGGTCTGGCAGCTATTCCTGGCAGATCTGCCCCCGGAGCTAGCCCCGATGGCAACGTTCGCCGTGTATAGTATTCTCGCTGCACTGCGCCCTGATCGTGCCCTTCTCGCGTCTCGCGCTTTCACTGCACTCTCCCTGATCTCGATTCTCACCACCCCCTTGATTATCTTCATGCAGGCACTTCCCTCGTTCATGCAATGTCTGGGCTGCTTTGACCGCATCCAGAGTTTTTGTGACATCGGTGCCCCCGCATCAGTCGTCTCCTCGGCCCTGCCGGAAGAAAAGGAGCCTAAAGAGTCATCTTCGATGGTCTTCGAATGCCGTGGGGCAAGCTTTTCCTGGGCCTCCAAGGAGCCAGAGGTTCTGCACGGGCTCGACCTCACAGTGCGACCCCAGTCCGTCACCATGGTTGTTGGGCCTGTAGGTGCAGGAAAGTCGGCACTGCTGGCTAGCATGATCGGTACCACAGTAAAGCTGGCCGGTCACATTCTGACTCAAAACCCCCGGGCTGCTTACTGCCCGGCCGAGCCATGGATTCTTAACCAGTCGATCCAGCAAAATATCACGGGGTTCGGCCAGTTCGACCAAGCTTGGTACCGACACGTGCTGTGGCTCTGTGCCCTTGACGTCGATCTGGCCATGCTTTTGCAAGGAGACGATACCGTCGCCGGAAGCAATGGTGTGTCTTTGAGTGGTGGGCAGCGGGCGAGGATTGTAAGTCATTCAATCACGTACCCGACGGTAGAGCGCTTGTCGCTAACAATATGGCGTAGGGACTGGCCCGGGCGATCTTCTCTCGTCAGCCGGTGTTGCTTCTGGATGATGTGTTCAGTGGTTTAGATGCACGCGCGGTTTCTCTGATTTCCCGCCGCCTCCTAGGATCCGAGGGCTATTGCCACCGAGCCCAGGTCACCGTTGTGCTGGCAACCCATAATCGTCTGTCTCGAACCTCTTTCCCCCCGTGGGACCATCATAGCTGACTTGTGTGTGCACTGTTGAGAATCCCTACTGCAGTACGCCGACGATATTCTTTTCCTCGACCATGGAAAGATCGCCTATCACGGTCCTTTCAACAATCTACCACCGACTCTGTTGGCCGAGCTTTCCCACGCTGGGTCGCCTCTATCAAACCCTGACGATGAGTGTCCATCCGACAAGCTAGTGGCCAGCGAACCTCCTAGTACAGCATCGCCGGAGGACGGCGACTCGTCCGGAATTGTGGAAGAGAAGGGAGAATTGGATTGGACGCGGCGCGAGGGCAGCTGGTCTGTTTATCATTACTATGTCCAGGCGGCTGGCTATCGATGGATTATCATCTTCCTTGTCCTCTTGGCTATCAACGCGACAGCATCCAACTGTTCCGGTACGTGTTTCTCGTCTTTTTCAATCGAGGGGATGGGCGTCACTAACCGACTGCAGTGGTCTGGCTCCAGAAATGGTCGGATGCCAACAGCCGGAAGCCCAACCAGTCTCTCGGCATGTACCTTGGAATATACATAATGCTGAATTCGATATCCATAACGACCACATTTCCCCTAGCATGGTGCGTACGCTGGGATTCTCCCCAGGATCTTGCACAGGATATTCGCTGAGACAACGATGGACAGGGTTCTCATGATGAACATTATCACCAATACAGGGCTTCGGATGCATTCCCACCTCCTCAGCGCTGTAATGGGGTACGGTATTGCATATTCATCTCACCGTGTTCAGAAGCTGACTCGCTCAAAGTGCCCCGTTTAGCTTTTTCCGCGACGCTGATATAGGCGAGATCACAAATCGGTAAGCATCGATATCGCCCGTTTCCACCCCTGGCTCCACTGATAGCGAGGTCACAGGTTTAGTCAAGATATGGATCAAATTGACTTGCAGCTCCCGATGATAGCCGTCAATACAAGCATCAGTAACTCCAACTTCTTATCCGATCTGCAGGATGTGACAGGCTGACTGGATAATTTTGTCGGCGGATATAGGTCTCGCGCAGTGTCTCGGGAAACTCATAATTCTCTGTATCAAGTCCAAATACTTGGGCATCGCGGTTCCCATCCTTTTGATCGTTGTTTACGGTATTCAAGTGGTTTATCTGCGCACGTCGCGCCAGGTTCGCCTGCTAGATATCGAAGCGCGCGCACCACTATTCACCCATTTCCTAGAGACCATCCAGGGCATTGCCGTCCTGCAGTCGCTGGGCTGGGAGTCTAGCATGACTCGTCAAGGGGCCGTGCTGGTTGACCAGTCGCAGCGGCCGGCGTACTTTCTCTCCTGCATTCAACAGTGGTTGGCCCTGGTGTTGGACCTGATGACGGCCGGCGTCGCCGTGCTGGTCGTGGTGCTGGGAACCCAACTGCCGTCCCAGGTAAGCCCCGGTAGCATTGGCGTATCGCTGAACATGCTCCTCGGTTTCAGTCAGTCCCTCAAACTCGTAATGCGCTACTGGACGCAGCTGGAAACCTGCATCGGGTCGGTGGCACGCGTCCAGCGTTTTGTACACGAGACCCCGTCCGACCATCGAGAGCCTCCGGCGCTCGCGTTACCTCCCGAATGGCCTGCCCAGGGAGGTATCGCCATCAACCACGTCAGTGTGGGCTACCGGTAAGAGACTGCCTGGGGTTCGAGAAGAAGCGACACGGCTGTTGTGCTGACTATTGGATCAGCGGGACCGAGTCCCGGCCAATCCTGCAGGATATCAATCTGTCTATCCGCCCAGGCCAAAAAGTTGCCATCTGCGGCGGGTCCGGCAGCGGCAAAACAACGCTGCTCCTGGCGCTGTTGCAACTGGTGGATGTGCACAGCGGGAGCATCGAGATCGACGGTCAAAACCTGGGTGCGATCCCAATCACGGAGGTGGCGTCCCGCATCGCCGTCGTTCCGCAAGAGCCCTTCCTGATGCCCGGTCGACTGCGGTTCACTCTCGACCCGACCGATCAAATCCCAAGCGACGCGATAGAGGTGGCCCTGCGCGCCGTGAGATTATGGGAGCGACTTTGTCCTGACGGTGATCTCGAGGCCTGCATCACCGTATCTTCCTTGTCGATGGGGGAACGGCAGATGCTTTGTCTGGCCCGCGCCCTTTTGCACCGTCGGTCTATCCTTCTCCTCGATGAAGCCATGAGCAGGTTGGTCTTTTCTCTTCCTCTTCCGTCCTCGTCAAGTGCGGGACAAACATGCTGACCGTCAACCCTAGCGTGGACTACCACACCGAAGATCTGATGCAAGATATCATCGACCGCCATTTCGCCTCTCAAACCGTCGTAGCAGTGGTTCATCGACTCCGTACCATCCGCCAGTTCGACCGCGTCCTAGTCCTGCAGCAAGGGCGCCTAGTGGAAGACGGCTCCCCCGACGAGCTGCTGAGTCGGGACTCGGCGCTGTCGGCTTTGTACCGTGCCTCCGTGGCAGCACCAGATCCGGATCGCCCTTGATGTCATTCATTTCTCATCATTCAGAGTTGGAGATGGAGGATTGGATGCGCTGGGAGTGCCAGATGAATGGCGGTCAGGAGGGAGTGGAGAACATCATATCACCTTTCTTTTGGGGTAATTCGATACTCGTGGCTCGAGGAATAATGTTCATTATTCCACTTAATAGGTCATCTCGTCAATCCTATAGTAGACCGAGGCCATTACCACTAATAACTGTATATATGTGCTTTCCATTCAGGGGTGTTTGACATGGAAAAATTGAAGAGAAAAGCAGTGACTGCAATCGGTTAACCGATCAGCTGACCTGCAGGCAGTCCTTTTAGCACAACATTTGACAATCTTGTGCTTTAACAAACTGCAGCCTATTGAGGTCTGGATATTATTGGTCTTTGTTCTGTTGGGATTGTTTTCATCAGTTGATTCGCATGGGGTTCACGGGCTAGAGACTGTTATCAAATTTGGATATAGAATCGATTGTGCTATATACGGTAACTACTTATAGGTCACCAAGTCAAAATATATATAACAACGCTCTTCAACAAATCCAAACTCAGCAAGACCAAAACCAGCAGAAAATAATGGAAAAATAGAACTAAAGAAACACTCAATAAACAGCAACATCCAATCCAATATTAACTACATATATCACAAAAAGCTAAACCGCGATGCAGACCAGTCCAAGCAGACAAACGCCGATGATTCCGGCTTCATAACGATCATTCATTCTCTTCTAAACTTTCGTGTTCCTGTTGTGTTTGCCCTCACTTTCTAATTTTTTTTTTGTATCGCTTGCTACATGATAAATAAACAAATCAAAATCAGAAGAAAAAAATTTGAAAATATATAAACATTCCAGTCATTGAGGTCCAAGTTAGCAGACATGTATGTACTAAACGCCATTCCAGTAGTGTATGGGAGTAACTCCTTGTCCAGAATCAGTAGCCAGATCCAGTCTGGTCATGCCTGGACGCGTCGCGGTATGCCGTACAAGTCCGGAGATATCCCTTGTAAATCTGATGACGTCTAGCTATGATGAAATGCAAGTGGGTTGTCGATCCGTGATGGAGATCCCTGGAAGATTGTAGGTCTAGAATGGGCTCGCATTGCCCACGGACAGATGGGTAGGTCGTTAAAGTAAGGTCGTTATGGATATCGACCGACAGTCAACATTAGTAGTCGATTCCAGGTTATTTGAACAAAGCAAAGAAGAAGTGGCAGGCACTTCAACGTCGGGGGAAAAAGGGTGCGTGTTTCGGCATCGAAAGCAGGGAGTCCGCTCGCTGGAAGACATCCCCTTCGAAGAATTTGTCGCTGTATGCACTTGCAGGCGTGGACGGGATGGTGGCCTGCGCGGCTGGGCCAAGCGCAGCACTGAGCGGGGTGGGAGATGAATCAGTATTGAACGTGTGCGGGGCTGACATCATTTGTGCATGATGGGGATGTTGAGTCTGCAAGGGCGGTCCGTAGAGGTTCCCTGGCGCATTGCTCACGGCCATATCGGCCAGATATGACCATGGCGACGCCTCGATCAGCCGACCTGCCTCCCTGCTGGCCCTCTGGACCGGACGGAGAATAGTGATCATGTCGGGAGGGAGCAGCTGCATGCTCCTGACTTCCCGCATGTCGGTCACCAGGTCAACGAAGGACTGCATGAATCCTTTGCAGAGTTGCCAGAATTCGCGCTGGTTGCGCATCCCGCCCCCAGGTTCCTTGACTTTCATGCTGGAAAGGCGCATCCCCAGCGCCTCCGATACTTCCAGACATATCCGACATCGCCGGATTAGGTTGTTCCACAGCAGTTGAATTCCTTCCGATTCCCGCGTCTGCTCAGCCACCTCCAAACACCGCATGAGCTGCCGACGGGCCAGAGGCAACGCTTGGAGGGCCGCCGTGTATGCGGACGTCAGTTGGTAAAATATCCTTTCGAAGATCCGCTCTTCCTCAATCTCTTCTAATCCCGTGAGCGGGTTGACTCGGGGCACAACGACGTTCGGCATCGGCGGGAAGGACTCCCCGGAGCGAGGGGTGGCAAGTGACGGAGGCACCGATGTATTGACCATGTTCGATCGGCTACTCGAGCGACTCCGCGAACCGAACCCAAACGACGGTGGCGCAAATCCTGGCGAGCTCAGGGCCGACTGCGAATGGGTCGGCATGGGTGGTGGTCCACTCGCGGTTATTTGGGGACGTTGGATGGTAGTGTCACTGCGGAACCGGCGCGCCGTCAGACTCGGCTCGCGGCCTCTGGTCGGAGTCATCGCAGAGCCAGGGAGCTTCTCACGACTGGACGGCTCGGGTTCCCTGTGGATCTCGGGCACGGATGGCTTCCTCGTAAAGGCCCGTTTCCGCATCTCGAGCGGAACTCCAAGGCTCACGCAGGCGTTGCGCAATTCCACAATGCCACCGTATATCATAAGCATCAGTGACCGCACATAGCGCGGATCACCATTGGCAACAATCTTATCCAAGCTGTTGCGTAGTAGGGCACCAACGTGGGCGTATGCCATAATGCACGTCTCACATTCCCTTCTAACGGCCTCATTCGATTGAGGCGTCCAGTCTCGGTCATGCGAGCGAGGGTTTTCGGCATTCTCGAGTGCCTCGTTCAGCCGGTGAACATGGGTAGATGCGTTGTAAAAGACGATCTCCAGGCTATTCCGTCGAGTATCATCGCGTTTTATCACGTTGATCAAGGCAGAAATGTGCGACTGTACTTGGAATAAGGCAAATAGAATGCCTTTGGCGCTCTCAATGATGGGATCCGCAACGTCCCTCTCACTCTTATGCTCGGGCAAGCTTGACATGCGATTGACAAAGCCCTCTTTGAGTCGTCTGCGCTCTCTCGGACTACTGGGACTGGGAGAGTTGTTCCCACCCATCGCGGCAGACGGCCGGATTCGGAGAATGGACCCGTGACTGAGTCCGCGCAAGTGACTGTTCCGAAACGGTCGCGCTTCATTCAGGGTTCCCAGATCGGTGTTCTTCCGGTTGATCACGCCCATCCGCTTGAACCTCGCCGCGAAGGAAGCTTGGATGATGCCTTCGCTGTTGCTGCGATTGCGCTCGTTCAGACCGACGAGCGGGGTCGCACCAGGCCGTTGAAGCATGCCGTTGTGGAAAGAGGCCTGGCCGGAAGCTACCCGATAATGGGACTTCAGCGGAATCGGCGGAGGTCGAGACAGAGACGGTGACTTGGGGTCGGAGGCACTGTCCCCCGTGCTAGGGATCACAGGGAATCGACTACTGACTCCGCGTTGCTTGACCGGTCTGGGAGTATCCCACACGATCTCAGCGATTTCGGTTTCCGGGGTGGTGACCGGCTGTTTGGTCTTGAGAAATCTCTTCAGCTCCGCAGTCAGGGCAACCTCCTTCTCGTTATCCGTCATGGCGGACGAGGCCAAGTCGGCATCCGGTGCTTCCAGAAGCCGTTGCAAGGGTTGCCGCAAAGGGTTCCCGGCCACCTTGAGGATCTGGAGTTTGTTCATATCCGACAGCCCCAGCGGCAACTCATCTAGACGATTCTGCGCCACAGACAAGACACGCAAGGAGGTGAGGCGTTTGATTTCCTCGGGAAGGTGGCCGAGTTTGTTGCGACTGAGATCCAGAATCTCGAGGAACGGTAACTTGTATACCTGTTGAGTAGTTAGCAATTGCAATGTGTATCGATTGGGCAGAATATCGTAGACGTACACCTTTGGGGAATTCACGGAAGTTGTTAGACCGGATGTTGAGATACTTCAGATGCGAGCATTCTGCGAAGCGATATGGGATGTGAAACAGGTGGTTGTGCGACAGAGATAGCCTATGGGAATCTATTAGCCCGGTCCCCAACTGTTGAGGGTCCGATAGAGCGAAGGAGGTCCACGCACCGCTCCACTTCATCTTTGATGATATCCACCACTGCTTCCGGAAGGCGGACGATATTGGAATGGCCCAAGTCGATGGTCAACTTGGGCTTCACCACATCACTGACCGCTTCACTTCCCGCTAAAGACCGTTTAGTTTCCTGAATGCCATTCTCCACCGCACGACGAGCCAGCTCGATCGTTTCCTCCGGCGACAGAAGCCGCGGTCCCGCAGAGGTCGAGGCGGTGCTGCGATGATCACCTATTGATCCATTGACCAATGTAGCTTCGTCTTCGCTCCTTGACAGTCCTTCCGTATTAATAGAAGAAGATGACGATGACGGGGCAGTTGGTTCTGGCATTCGTCTGGCACCATTATCTTCAAGGTCGCCATGATATGAACGAGGCATCCTGAGAGTGTCCTCGGGGCGAACCATCGTGGACAACATGGCGGGCGACCGGTGATTTCTCCCCCAGCCTAGTCAATGCAATCACCACGTGGGTTCTTCCGGTCGGGCTTGTAATCCGTAGACAATCTGGAACTCGGGGCGTCGATCAAATTACCAGTGTTTCCCTGAGGCGTGAATGAGGGCCGAAAAGTAGCATGATCGACGGACACGGCGAATGCGACACAGTTGGCCGCGCAAAAACAGGGGTCGGCCAGAACAGAGATAGAGATCAGGAGAATAAACAAAAGGAATATAGCACGTCGAAATAAGCCGAACGCTTGTCAGACTCCTGTCCCTAGCGGTTGACGGTCTGGGTCGCGAAGTCGAGCAAATCGGATCGGGCACGGCGCGACGAAAGACCGCAGCGGTATCGTTAAGCGGATTTCACCCCAGCACAGGGGGGGGGAATAAGCGGCCTTGATCACCTCACCCCGACAGTTGAGCTATCAATATGACAGGTTGTATCAGCGATAAAAAAGATAAGTTCGTTTCGTAGTCGGTCTTTTCTCGAGAATCTGCCTCGGATTTGTGTAATTCGACGGATGGGGGGGAAGCTAGTGAAACGCGGAGAAAAGTCGCAGCTGTCAGATGGGAAGCGTCCCCAAGCCGGACCGATGACCGACAGAGGCAGAAAAAAAGGGGACAAGAAGGGGAATAGGGAGGGAAAGAAGGAAGGGGAGATGTGAGCGAAGAGAGGGCAGTAAATGGTCGTGCTGATGAGGGATCAGAGGAATTCAGGAGGAGAACTGGAGAAGAAGAGAAAGAATGAGATGATGGAATGATTCAGTGGAGCAGAGGCTGACTTGGGCCGACACCTTAGGCCACCACTTGCTCCCTTCTTTTTCTTTTCCTTTCTAGTATTGATTGATTCTCGATTATTTTGTAATTATTACTTTCATTATAGTATTCTTATTATGATCTTATTGTTTATTGATTTTTACTTATTTTATCTGGTTTGTTCGAGACAGCTGGATATATATTGCATGAAGGATCGTAAAGTATGGAGTAGAGCAGAGCACCGAAATGATCAAGACAGTAGAATTATGGAATAATAAAATAAAAATAGTCCCATTGAGAATGACTACAGCCAGTGGACCCAAGAGTCCATCGAGAGATCATCTCAACAAGACGATTGGAAAAAAAAAACATCATATTCAAGATGTAGTAATATACATAAGCCATCGCAGATTTTACAGAAACTGAAGCATCACTGTGACCCCAACCGAGTTAGAGACCAGCATCCTCTCTCACAGTTCAGGCCGCCCGAGTAATCTCCTCTTCCACTAAAGGTGCACCCGCTGCGAGCAGTTCTTCGGGGCCCTGCGCGTCAGGAGCATCGCTCACCCCAGTTCCTTTACTACCGGCCATCTGGGCGGCAGCGGTGGCCCATTCCTTCCAGCGATTGTAATGTGCGTCCTCGAGTCCCATACCGATCTCCAGAACCGAAGGTCCGAATGTCGCACCGGTAGCTTGGGCTTCTTCGGCGGCTACTCGTCGTTCAATGTCCTCCTGGAGTCGCAGTCGGTAAAACTCCCGACGCGCCTTATCGTAGGCGGCGCTCTTGCTGAGGTTGGGCACGTTGTTCAGGAGCCAGAGTTGTCGCTGGACGACGCTGTTTTGTGCAAGTCAATCCGTTAGCATCCCTATCATTCGGACCTGTACAGTCCCCATGACAGTCGTCAAACAACATACCTCTCACCATCCAATTTCTTCCCCGGCTGCTGGAGCCGGCTCCAGTCGTAATGTGAGTGATCGTTACCGGTCGTCTCGACCAGGATGCGAGGTCGGGCCAATTCCCAAGGATGATCGCGGAAAAACTCCTTGCGCAACTGATCCTCTTCGTACCTGATCGCGGCGGGTTGGAACATGCGGCTAGGCTTCTTCGTCTTCCTGCGCTTCTCTTGGACCTCAAAGACGACCTGCGGCTTCTGCGACCCCGGAAGTGTCTTGACGCGCTGTCGGACGAGTTGATGCTCCTGGGGTTGGTTCCGCACCAGAGCCTGTGCCGGGGGAATCTCGGCGATCGTGTTCAACCAGATGGGGGCCTTGTACGTCTTGCCGACTATATTCTGCTGCAAAGCCGACCGGCCGACTCGAAGAGCCGTGAGATTGTATTTACCCATGGTGGTCGTGGGGAGATGGCGGGCCAAAGGGCGAGGCCGACGGGGAGATAAATGCGGTCGCGGTGAGATCAACGGGGGAAGGTGATGGCGATTGAAGATTGAGTCTGAATAGAAGAGAAAATCAATAGAGAAAAAGGCGAATTGATCCACTCCAGGTACCAATGGGGCCAAGTTTCCTGAGGGAAGAGGAAGAAGAGATGAGGTTTTTGGGGATGAACCTTTACGGTTACTAAGGCGAGTTAGGTGGGAAAAAGACTGGGTTACCATTAAGCCACTCCGATTGGCGCAGTGCGGCTCCGCTCCGGGAAAAGCCCAAAAAGAAAGAGAGAGAGAGAGAGACAGACAGAGACAGACAGCGACAACCTCAACATCTCCATCCGCTCACTACTTTCCCTCGTCTCCAACTTTGGGGGTTCTTCCGTATCTTCTTCTGGAGTATCTGTCTTTTATTGCTGACATCTGTTGACTCCTCAGCTATTCAATTCCTCGCCTCCCCCTTCTCTCATCTTTTTTCCTCTCCACCGTGTTTTTTTTTTTTCTTCCTTTCACTCCCATAACTTCAACAAAGTCAACCACGTTGGAGGAAGTCTCTTGACACTGGTTCCTCAAACGCCTACTGCTCGAGCGTGTCTCGAGACTCATGCATCGCTAACTAGATGCCACGATGTCTGCCTTCTCATGCCTCAGTCCGATAGGTCCCAGAGCTCGTTTCACCTGCGATCAACTCCCTCGCAGTCCGTGGATACGCGCTTGTCCGTCAGTAACGATTCGATGTCGAACTCCGACACGCCCACTCGTCATGCCTCCTTCCTGCGGAAATTGGGACCCCGACGTGCTCGCCCCAGCGCCGCGTCGGTAGCTGACTTGTTTGTCAGTTCGCTCGTGATAGCGGGTCACTGTCGCGAGCATGCCCCTCGCACGAGGGGGTTGTCGACCATGTCGTGGACGACACCACATGACGCAGTGGGGAGATTGAACGGCCGGGGGGTACACAATACGAGGCAGTTGTCGTCCCCGGTGCGCTTGGATTGTCGCAGGGCGACGGGAGAGTGTCTGCAGGTGCACCGGGCGAGGGCGCAGCGGATGTTCAATTCAGGGATTGCACCCAAGGTCGAGGATGAGACGGAGGGTGGTCGCGCTGTGGAGGGACCATTAGGGGATAAGGTGTGGTCCGAGCGACACGATGCATATGCGCGGTCGAAACCAACACAGTGCGTGAAAGCAACGTCATTACTAGAGGCGGCGCCTACGATAGACACGGCCGGGTTTTATAATGGACCTGAGGCGGAATCAACCACAATGGATACGGCGGTGGAGGAGGATACACCAGGAACCCGGCCAAATCTACTCGGGAGGCGGGAGGACTCTCGCTACGCGCGGAGAACGGATGCCAAGGAGGAGTTGCGAGGCTCGACCTCCCAACTGTACAAGGCTATATTCGGAGACTCACTTGACTGGAAGCAAGCAGTCGACCGGGCCACCGACGACGCCATGGCCAAAGTGAAAACGCGCCCGGCATCCCCGGTCCGTCGGAGTAGGGAAGACGACTTTTGCGAACTCCAGTCGGTTGAGGAGCTGGTCGACGCCCTGTGGAGTGGAACGAAGTCGAACCAATATCTTTTTCGGCTGTACAGAGAACTCCCGCAACCTGGAGTCTCGTACCTTTCCAAGAAATCCTGCGGCTTGCTTTTACGCCGATTCGCCGATCCCGGCAAGCGCCGGTTGGTGGACGCTCGCCGGTATCTCGCCTTGATAGATGATATGATCGTGGCCAATCTCCCCCTCTCTCGGTCCCTATGGACCTCCGCAATCCATCTCGCCGGGCGCACATCCGGCAAAGTGTTCAAAGAAGATCTGGTGCGGTCGATCGGGCTTTGGCAACAGATGGAACATGTGCGTGGGATACAAGCGGACAATGTTGTGTTCAACGTCCTATTCGATATTGCGATCCGGTCCGGCCAATACGTGGTTGCTGAGCGGATATTGCGCGAGATGCAGAAGCGTGGGATCGTCTTCCACCGCGCGGGCAAAGTCACAGAGATCTTCTTCTATGGGGCGGTGGGCGACGTCGAGGCGATTCGCCGGAGTTTCGATGAATTCGTGGCGAGTGGGGAGATTGTGGACACCGTGGTGATGAATTGCCTCTTGCGGGCCTTTCTCAAAGCCGGGGATCATGAGAGGGCGGAGCAGCTGTATCAGAGCATGGTCGCGGCGCAAAGGACCATGATCCTGGACGGTGATCGATGGATCCATGGCAAGGGGAGACTCACGGCGGAATTCGCCCAGTATCGAAAGCGGAACAAGGAGCTAAATCGTCTCCTCCAACTGTCGGGCGCTCTCAAGGACCGGCTCCCCGAGCACCACCGAGCCCTTCAGAATGCCTTTTCCATGGTGCCTGACACGCGGACGTTCCACATCCTGCTCTCCCACCATGCCCACCACACCGGCGACATACACGCCTTCATGTCCGTCGTGCAGGACATGGAAAAAACCTTTACCGTTCCGCCGCGCGGCATGATCTACACCATGCTTTTTGAAGGGTTTGCGATCAACGCGCGGAAGAGGAGGGGATGGACCAGCGCACGGCTGCAGCAGTCTTGGGAAGTGTATCTCCGCGCTATCTACGAGTCGAAAGCCCGGTTCTACGACCGCGTCCACAACAGGAATCTCGTCTGGGAAAGCCCCGTGAAAGACTGGATGACTACAGCAACCGCTGGGAGCCAGGTTATTTTACCCAAAGTCCCTAAAGGTCTCTACACCCCACTACCCACCGAACAGGACATCCTCGTGGAAACCCGCCTAAGCGAGATGACGGAAAAGCCCAGCGAGCCGGCGGAAGACGAGAGCCCTTCTATCTCCGAAGAGAGCGATCCGCCGGACGCCGAGAAGGCGGACCACATCGACCACGAAGACATGTTCGACCCACACGCACACAACCTCCAAGACGACCAGGATCTCCTCGACGGACTAGAGCACCGCATTGAGAACGGCGTGTTCCTCGGTCGCCGAATGATCGTCACGATCCTGCGAGCGTTCGGCTCCTGCTGCGGACCACGTGAAGTGATGGACGTGTGGCTGAAGATCGAACATCTCTGGCAGCCGCAACGCCGCAAGGCGATTGACGTGATGAAGGTGCGAGAGGAGTTAGACAAGCAAATCAACATGGGCCAGGAGAGGTATTGAGCGAACCTCGAGCCGTGTATTGTACTCTTTGATTATTTTTTGCCCTGTATATTCTCGACCTGTTTTTATATACCCTTGGAGGGGGAGGTTATCTCTCCACGTTGCAACGGCTTTCCGTCCTGTACAGTATTGGTGTGAATGGGCGATAACAAGATAGAAATAAATTATTCAAATAGATTCCATGATATATCCAACTTGCTATGTATCTAGGTATTGTAAAATGCACACCAACCAAACATGATCAGCAGTGATCGTAAAGACAGCAATTCCCAAATGGGCTATATTACTCACGTGATATCGCGTTTCGTGACGCGGGCGAACCTCATCCCCATCGTCCATCACCCACCCATCCATCCAGACAATCTCAATCGGACACAAAGAAAGATGCCCGAGAATGGTCGTGGACTCTTCCATTCGCCGCCGCAAGGTAGATCTGGACTTTCACCTGCACCGAGTGTTTCGCAAAAAGTCTTTCCGGTGGGTCCAGACGATACCAACACATACGCATGAGAGAAGAGTAGGAGATGGAGACTAATGCATGGCTTGTTATATGGGGAGTAGGCCTCTCCAGCGAGATGTGATTACTGCGGCTGTGGAGGGGCATGATGTCTTCTTGCAGGCGTCGACGTCATTTGGGAAGAGTTTGTGTTTTCAGTTGCCGGCTGTTGTTAATCATGGAGGTTTGTCTTCCCCATTTGAATACAGGAATGTCTAGTTTACTAACAGTGGAACAGTGACCGTGGTGATATGTCCTCTCCTCGCATTGATGGTATGGCATCGCCAAACTAGAATCTTCGCAACACTGCTAAAAAAAACTAAGACCGACCAAGTCACAGCCCTCCAATCCCTCGGCGTCGAAGTAGCAACAATAAACTCAACCACATCTCTCTCCGAAAGACGCGAAATCCTCGCCGACCTCCTCTCCGGCCATCCGCACACACGACTCCTCTACGTCACCCCCGAGCTCTGCCAAACAGAGACCTTCCGGCGCAATCTGCAGACCATCCACGCGCAAGGCGAACTAGCCCGCATCGCCATCGACGAAGCGCACTGCATCAGCGAATGGGGCCACGATTTCCGCCCCGCCTACAAAGAACTATCATGGTTCAAGCGCACGCTGCAAAACCCTCCTGTCCCCATCAGCGCCCTCACAGCAACAGCCACGCCGCGCGTCCGCGCAGACATCATCACCCTCCTCGGTCTCGACCCAGCCCATCTCAAGATCTTCAACACCCCCTCCGCCCGCCCTAATATCCACTACGAAGTCCGCTACCTCCAGCACTACGCCGACGACCCAACGGATCCGCAACAGTCGCAAGTCAACGACCTCGTCTCGTGGTTGAAAGCCACACATGCAAGACGCCTCGCCCGACTCCGCCCCTCCCCATCCTCATCCCAAACCCCCCTCCAACCCCTCTCAGGAATCATCTACGTCCCCCTCCGCTCCATCGCCGAAACCCTCGCCACCGCCCTCCGCAACGCCTGGGACTCCAACATCCTAGCCGAAGCCTACCACGCAGGCCTCACCTCCCAAGACCGCACGCGCATCCAATCATCCTGGACATCCCCCTTCCCGTCCTCCCCGTCCTCACCCTCAAAACAACCCCAACACCCCGCCTTCACAATAATAGTCGCCACAAACGCCTTCGGCATGGGCATCGACAACCCCTCCGTCCGCTTCGTCATCCACTGGACACCCCCACGCAGCATCGAAGGCTTCGTTCAAGAATCCGGCCGCGCAGGCCGCGACGGGCGCGCCGCAGCATCCATAATCTACTACAGCGGCGCCGAGCGAGACCGCGTCCTCGAGCGATTGCGACGAGACGTCGAAAACGCGTATAACCGGCGGAATGTAGGCGTGCGGGCCAGCGCCGAGGTGAGCGATAAGCGCGCGAACCTGCGGAACCTTTTTGCGCGCTTGCAGAGCTTTCAGGCTGTTGTGCGGTATTGTGAGGGGGTGCGGCGGTGTAGACATGTGGTTATTAGGGGGGTTTTCGGGGATGGGGAGTTGGAGGCTATGGGGTCGCAGGTGCCGCCTGGGTCGCAGATGGCTAATACTTCTGATGCTGATGGGGGAGGAGGAGGAGGATCACCGTGTGATTACGCGTGTGATTTCTGTAAAGAGGGCAGAGAGGGTGTTGCTAGGCGCAAGGCGTCGATGGCGTCTGCGGGGGACATGGAGGGGTGTGTGGAGGAGGCGTTGGAGGGGACTATGCAGCTTATGTTTTCGAGGATTTTTCCTGGGGGGAGGTTGGAGGGGGGATAGAGCTGGTGATGGGAGTTTTCCTTTTGAAAGGGTTGGCTTGTTCGATCTTATCCTATAGATAATATTTATGCCGTTACGGTCTGTATATAAAGGGGCTTTTCTTCCTTTTATTATCTCTTCTTTCTGTTAATGATAGGTAATCATGGTGCATAGTGCATACTTGCTGGATAGTCTGTCCGTCCACACGCCTTCATCTTGGACTGGACTTGAACTTGGACTTTATTATTAGTTGACGAGAACCGCCTGTGGTTATCCTACCAGGCGCACATCATCATGTAGAGAAAGAAAGAGAAAACTGCACATACCAACAGAAAGTAACTCCGTATGCTAAAAACTAAAACAGTCAATCTCGGACCCAATATCTTCTTTTACACTGCAACGGGGATCCGTCCGGTCAACATCAAGGTTAAAGGTAAAGGTACAAATTGACAAGGAACCCTGAGTCAGCTGTTTACTCGAACAAACAAAACATCATAAAATTTACTCCACCGCTCTGCAGGGCAGGCCCTGTTTTCTTGTTTTTCTTTCGTTAAATAAGTGGTTCACCTGATCTTACAGTGCATTCAAGTTGACCAGTGCCCGTTGACGGACTGACTACAGACCCGGAGGGGGCGGGACCTTTGGATATGTCAGAACTGTCTCATACCTCCATCGAGAAATGGATGACTTACAGCACCGTAGCTGGGAGCCCCAGGAGGAGGCGGCGGCGGAGAGCCGGAGCCGGGCGGAGGAGGGGGCGGTGCTTCGCTGGCCGGCGGCGGCGGGGGCGGCGCAGGGCTCTGCGACTGTTGCTGCTGCGCAGCGGCCTGCTGATAGTACTGGTAGTAGGCGACGTAGTTCTGATATCCACCATAGGCCGCGTACGGATCGGAGGTGCCGTAGTACTGGGCGTACTGCGCGCTGTAATCCGCAGGAGTTCCCGCCCCCGATGCAGTGGACGCGGGTTGCTGGGTCGCGGGGCTGGCCGAGGCGGACGGGGAGTGCGATGGTTGGTTCCCATAGCCTCCGTAGCCTCCGCTTCCGCCTCCACCTCCGCCACCGCCGCCATAGCTGCTGTTGTACCGGTCTCCACGCGGGCCGTTGTATCCACCGTAGTTGTGCTGGGGGGGATTCTCCTTGAAGCGCTGGTATTGTTCGCGGACGTTGCCGAGCAAATCTTCGCACAATTCCTTGGCGCTCTGGACTTCGTTGGGATCGGGGCCACTGTCTACTCAGTACGACATCTCTCTCAAGGGGGGGGGTGGGGTTTCTTACGCAACGTGCAAGAACATGGGCTCATCGCTTTCCCTGCCGGTGCTGTTCTCCATGAAGCCCGAGCCGCGGCCCTTGATCTGGACCCGGCAACGGGTCTTCTGCTGGATGTGCTTGACATAGGCACCGCCCTGTCCGACGACCTGGGCACGCAGGTTGAACCCGGGAATCGGCTCCAAGTCCACGGGAATCCGCTCCTCGGGCCATTTACGCTGGACGCGGTCAGCATGTCTCACATCTGATGAGTCCTTGCGGTACCGATCCATACCCGGCCGTATTCATCGCGTTCCACCGGCTCCGGCTCGCGGCGACGGAACCGTCGCTCGTCCACCAGGTTGGGGAGCTCCTTTTGCATGAGATCGTTGATCAACTCGACCGCCCTTTCGAGGCCATCTTTGTTCGTACTCGTCACGTGGAGAAACAGGGGCGGGTTCTGTGGAGGAGAGAGAGGTCAGAAAAGTGAACACACTATCGACAAACCCAGAGACATACCGCAGCGGTGGCCATGTTCTTGTCGGGATAATAGTTTCCTCGGGTGGTGACATCTTTAGAGACATGTTTGATGAGCTTCCTTCTAGAGTAAACACAGTTGGCAAGGAGTGGTATGGAATGAAGGCGTACCGGCGCCAGTTTCATCTTTGATCTAAATGTCACGCAGCGGAGGTCAGCAGATGCAAAAGAGGGTTTGTGGCATGCTACAGATGATCCGTGGGGTTAACTCTCAGCGACCACCAAAGATAGAAGCAGGGGAGAAAGAATCCAATAGATCAAGGTAGCCGCGGCAGACCCAACTGGCAAGCAGGCGCCTGGAAGATCAGCAATGCGACAGGAGTAATTACCATTTTCTGAGTGGAGCCCTTGGTCAGTGTGTAGCGGTTGCGCAAATCATTAATTTCAATATCTTTAATGTAGTCTCCATCGGCGACGTAGATCTCCGCATTCAATTTGCCGCTGTCACCGGATGGCGAGGCAGCGGGGGCCGGGCTGGCGGTCTAGACTAACGGTTAGTCTCTTTCCTTTGGTAGGGAGATATATCAAGGTATGTCAAGGCGTCAAGATATCCTGGTGATGAACTGCATACCGAGCGGATCGGAGGAACATCGACATGTTGAATTCCCTTCTTGGCCTGCAACTGGGCGTTGATCTTGGCTGCTGCGGCCGCTGTACACATCCATCCTCGTCAGTCTAGATCCGCAACCCGGCACTCCTTCGTCCAGCCTGTTCCTGGGAATATGCGACATACCAGCTGCGGCGGCAGGATCGGCAGAGGCCGACTTTCTCGACGAGTCGGCACTCGGACTCTGGGGTTCTCGGCTCAGAGGGCTGCGGGTTCGCGTGGATTCCACCTGTCGCGAAGACGGAGAGCGAGAACGACGGTCGAAGCGGGAGGGACGTCGAGGCTCGGGCTCGGTGCGATCAAAACGGGAACGTTTACGGCGGTCGTCATCGGCCATGATGAGCGATGAGGTGGTCAGACAAGACGGGGGAAAGATGGTTAGAAAGGCCAAGGAGTAAATGGAAGTTCTTGCAAATGCCCGTGGGTGGAGTCCCGCCCAGTCGGGCAAAGTAGTTCGGAGGAACTTAGTGTAGGATCAGACCAATCAGGGAGATAAGAGATAGGCGGTGAACAGGGATGATCGACTGATCCCAGGTATGGATTGATATGTGAAGAATGAGGGTAGGATAGAGAATAGATGAAGATGAAGTTGAAGTTGAAGTTGAAGTTGAAGTTAAAGAGAAGTGAAGTAAAGAGAATGAAAGAAGAAGAAAAGAAGTCAAGAGAGAGCCTGACTGCCTGAGAGCCTGGAAGCCTAGAAGCCTGGCGGCCGGGGAGCCTGAGAGCCTGAGGAAGAAAGTCCAAATCGGGAAACCAAACCACGTGATATCTCCGGATGGACCAGTACACACTAGTCTATATATAGTCTAGCGGTAATACCATCAAAACCACAAATACACATCATATCCGCAGCCCATTACCACACAATACAGCCTATGACTCAACTGGCCGACGTCGGAAGGCGGAGAAAGACCGACGCTCCCCGTGCCCGGCAAGAAATAAAATATGAAGCTGTTCATCACTTTCACCACTTTCTGACTCTTTCTTTCCCCTCAACTCTCCCCGCTTCATCCCCATCTCAACCCAGTCTCAATTGAGCGGGTCATCAATCTGTGGAGATCCCCCATGGCTCTCCGACACTCCCTGATGCTGTCCACTTCGGCGGCCGCATCTTTGCGGTCCGTGGCGTCCAAGACGTCCCGATCCACCGCTTCGATCCCCCGATTCACCACCGTGCGAGCCTCCTCCAGCTCGACCTCCGCGCTGGCATATAAGGCCCTCCACCGTCGCTCGCCCCTGCCGCTGCCCGTGTCGGATACCTCTCCGCAGTGGGACGCCCCCACGGCTGTCTCGTCCATCCTGTACGAGACCCCCGTGCCGCCGTCCAACCCGCCCAAACGCCATGTCCTGAACTGCCTGGTGCAGAACGAGCCCGGCGTGCTGTCCCGCGTGTCCGGGATTCTCGCCGCCCGCGGCTTCAACATCGACAGTCTCGTCGTCTGCAACACCGAGGTGGAGGATCTGTCCCGCATGACCATCGTCCTGCAGGGTCAGGACGGTGTCGTCGAGCAGGCCCGTCGCCAGCTCGACGATCTCGTCCCCGTCTGGGCCGTCCTCGACTACACCGAGTCTGCCCTCGTCCAGCGCGAACTGCTCCTCGCCAAGATCAGCATTCTGGGCCCCGAGTTCTTCGAAGAGCTGCTCCAGCACCATCGCGAGATCACCACCCCCGGTGAACTTCCCGAAGGCGGCGCCAAGGACAGAATCGCCGAGCTCCCCCGGACGGAATACCACCCGCGCAACCTGCCGCCCAGCCAGGCCCTCCGTCACAAGCACGAGCATCTCGACGCCATCACCCGTCTGACCCACCAGTTTGGCGGCAAGGTTCTCGACATTAGCACCAACAACTGCATCGTGGAGCTGTACGGCTACCCCATATCCCAGTCCCACCATTATCTAGATATCGGTTACTAACATCATTGATAGCTCCGCGAAACCCTCCCGTATCGACTCCTTCATGAAGCTCATCAACCCCTTCGGTGTCTTGGAATCCACCCGCACCGGTCTCATGGCCCTTCCTCGCTCTCCCCTGTCCGAGCCGACCGAGGAGCTCGAGAAGGAAGCCGCCGACGTGGTCGATGCCAGCACCCTGCCCCCTGGCTAAATCAATCCATTCAGGATTCTTATCAGAAATGAATGGCCTCCATGACAGATAATACAGCGGACAAAAAAAAAATATAAAAAATATGAAAATATACTAAATAATCTACCAAGGCTGGATGGTATTGTAAAAACCTTTGGTTTCATTTCGGCTTGACTGGGTCTAACTATTTATGTGTGGCCGTTCCTTCCTGTATCTCTATTTTACTCTATTCTTAATGTTGTCTTTGTTTGTTTACTGCGTCAACCGAGTTCGTTTACTAGCCGTGCTTCAATAAAGAGATTTACTCTTCAAGAGTTCCATTTGTGATGTTCAGCCATTTATGTCCTCAGACTCCAGAATTCGATCAAGCCAAATTCAAGTCCAATTTAATCTCCACAACAGTCTATCCTGAAAACTCCAACAACCAACTAACAAACCAAAACAAGAAAAAACAAAACCCTAACAAAGTAAACCAAACCGTGTACTCATCACCGCCAATCTAACCAACGTTCGACATAAAGATAAAAGAAACCCCCAATCATAACAACAAAGTCAAAGCCTCACATTCGAAGAAATCCCCTTACCACGATACACGACCGTCTCGCGGAATTCATGGATCCGGACCCCAACGCTAGCCACGGCGTCAAGCCGAAGTGATCCGCCTAGAGCTTTCTTCAGACCGTCGTATCCTATCCCGCCGACGTCGAGCTCCACCGGTAACCGTGGGCTCTTTGACAAGCCCGGCGGTACGAGGAACGGACTGCCGTAGTCGATCCGGCCGACTATTTCGTTCTTGGGGTAGAGAGCCTTGGCGTCTATGGAGGTGATTTCGAAGGTTGTGTTGGGGAAGGGGGAGGATAGGGTGAATTCGGCGGTGGAGGAGAGGAGGTGGAACTGCGGGTATACTATGTTAGATACGTTTATTGACGAACGAATTGGTGGGGTACAAAGCCCGAGACTCAAAAGGATTGTGCCATGGATACAGGTTCTATTTATAGAGAGAAGCTTAAAAAGGCAACATACCGTGGCATCTTGGATAAACCGCATGTTGTCGTCGTCAGAGTCATGACCAGGCGTTCGCCGCACAGGGAGTTTCGGAATGAGAGTTTCAAAGCTCAATCGAGACAGTGCTTTACCGAGATGAGGCAATCCTGGGATCGTTTGTTCGTGGCACTGAACCGTCACAGACGTGTTGGAGCCTGAAGGCGTTAGCAAGATAAGACCAAGGAAACATCGCCGTACGCACCAGAGATGTATCGTGATAGCAGTTCGCGGCCAGCGCTTACGCCTCGTGGGCCGTCTAGGTCCAACGGGCGCCATTCCAGGTCGACGGAAAGGCCAGAGTTCTGTCCAGGAACAATAGAAAGATCACGAGCCACGATATGAGCCACCCTCGTAGAATTGTAGAGCAAAATGAAATCGGCCAGGGGCACTGACGCTGCGTACGGGGTCGGATTGGTAACGTTGATCCGCGTTTGCAGAACAAGGGAAGATTCCGTGGTCGGGCCGAGCTGCAAAGCGTCTACCCGTGGTTTCAGGAGGTCGATGGAGCCGCCGGCCAACGCTATCGCACCGTCAACGGCTGGAGATTTTCCTAGCCTGTGCGGCGTCAATATAACTCACGTTTCACGGGGACCTCTCCATCCGCCGGGATACCGCGGATGGCGAACTTTCCAAGCCCGGTGGCGATCTCAGCATCAACCGTCGCGGCCACATGGAGTTGAACACTTTTTCCTTCGAAGAGCAGCGCCTGTATGACGTCTGTCAGGACGTCGCCATCCGTCACCTCCAGGGGTGCATCTTTCATGGCGAATTCCACAAAGAGGGCGGGAGAGCCGTCGACATCCGGCACAGTGGTCGAATTGGCGGGCTGCCATTCTGGGAGCTTCAACACTCCAAGTTTATCCCCGTGGTAGAAGACGTCTGCCGTAGCACGAACACGGGGGACATCAACGTGCAGATCAATCTCCTTGGGTACCCCAACCAGCACCTTTACTAATGCGGAGATCGCGGGTTGGGATTCTGGCGAGTCTGGTTCGGCGAACGGATCCGGCATGGTGAAGTGTACATCGGACATGGTGAAATTCCGGACCAGATTGTCCAGGGCGTGTCCCATGAACGACATCGGCACCGTCACGCTCTTCATGATATCAACCACCCAGTCCGGCGTACCTCGCGTCGGCTCCTCTGCTCCACGAACATAGACGGTGGTCTGGAGTCCATTCATGTAACTTCTGACCAGTAAATCCAAGGGAGAACTCTGTTCGCCTGGACAGGTCTTCACCAGCTCATCCGAGAGACCCCTGATCACACCATTCACATCCACGAGGGTCGTATGGCCAGGGTTTATGGGGAATTCCCCAGTTGTAACACTCGCCAGGGAGAGATACGGGTCATCAGGAGAGCAGTTCGGGACCAGGACCTCAAACCCCAATGGGGGAATCCTAAGCGTGAAGGGGGAGGCTATTTCGGCGGCGATGGAGACATCAACCTCCATTGCCCGTGCTACCCCAGAGAGTTCTTCAGCTCCGTCATGCACGTTGAACTTGAGGATGTCGATTTTCGGAAGGGATGGGAAATCCTTCTCTGTCGATCGAACGTGTCAATTGAAACGATCAAGGATGGAGATGATCAAGTTGACCTACCTTCCAAGACAATAGATTTGGCAAGGAGATGTTCCCCTAAACGCCATATGCCTGACTTCATATGTAGTTGGGTTTTTCCTTTGATTGACAACTGCCCGAGTCGTCCCTCTAGCCAGTCCATACCCACAGCACGGATTCCGTGGACGTCGCCTGCGACAAGTTCGGCCAAGAAGTCAACCCGGTTGACGTGCCCGTTCCGAACATTGAGTTTGATCGAGGGAAGTGACGCCGTCCCAACGAGAACATTGCCATACTCGGGAAGGTATACCTCAGCATCTGACGGGTCCGCTTCAACCTCCCGGCCGATCCAAGTGACCAGACGACCCAGCGTCCGCACTGACCGCTTCTCCACGCGGGTAGCATCAAACACCACATCTCCTTCAATCCTAGTTTGAAACCCCTCCGCGGTCGCTGTCTCCACAGAAATATTCCTCGGAGTAAACACAGCAGCCTTATCGGCATACTCTCTCACGACAGCGGGCGTCACAAAGGCGAAAACAAGGATGCCCACGACCGCCGTCAACGTCAACGAGATGCATAAAGCTGGCCACCAGATGGTCCTCCGCGGCTTCAAGTCACCGTCTGACGACTCATCTTCTTGTACTGACGGAGAGGGACTTCCGGACTCGGCAGTCCCGTACACAGTGAGATCATCATCGCGACGGACCAAGAGAGGAGTCGATTCGGAGGTCAGTCGAAAGGGACTATCAGAGTCTGCGGAGAGAAGTCTCTGTTTTCCCGGTGACTGCGATTGACGGGGGGAGGTAGGGGGCTGTTCGTTCAAGAGAGGTTGGCTTTCCTCTCCAGGCATGATGGCTACGCTCCGAGAGTGGGAACGGGAAAGCGGGTAGACAAAATGCGGAGAGGGCGAACGTTTAATGGCAGGAACAACAGGCGCGTTGAGCGGAGATTTGAGGTGACCACCCGTCTGATAATTCAATCAGCAGCCGAATCCAGTGTATAAGATGTCGGCCAAACTCTGGATGAAGCGGTGAGAGATGAAGAGTTGACCTGGAATTGAAGGGAGAGGGCGGAGAGAGAGAGAGAGAGTAAGGAACGCCTAAAAGGACTAGACCAGCGAGGTCCGACTGAGTCAGCATGTCTCCACCACGTCCGATCGACGTCACCGCCACTAGCCTGTTTGGGACGGGGGATCGACCTGACCGTACAAATTATATCATGCTCGACACGTTGGGTCTGGGTATTGGACCGAATACGCTTGCTGATTGGAGTGGACATGATTCGCTACATGTGAAGTTGCCTGAATGACAGAAGTAGCAGGAAAATCTAGCCTTGTCTATCCAACGGACCCATCTATGCTTACATCACGAATTGCGGTAAACGGTGGGAAGTAAGGATGCTCTACAGAAGCATGGTGGGTATTGCTCTATCCAGTATCTTGTCGAACACAGCTTGGAAAGTGGCAACAATAAACCGGATTCTATTCTCACTGGGCTCTAAAGCTTTACCACCGTGCACTCGACATCGAGTCTTGAGAGTTAGGGCTGTCGGTGCACGTGACACCCCGTTCGCCCTGCGTATATTAAAGATCTACTTCGTACCCCGGACTTTCATATCAAGAATCTGGTGGTTGACTATGATGGGCACCTTGATGTGCTTGCATGTGCTGGACTATTGTGGAAATATAGAACTGGATGATGTAGTATTAAAGAGTGCAAGCAGATGAGCTTTCGATGACCTGAATACTCCCGTTACTAGATATAAGCATATACTTATATTTATGCTTATATCAGAAGGATAATACCAAAGTTATTCGCTAACACTCGTGACTCCATTCTATACAAGCGGAGTTCCATCGCGAAAGGTGCATTCTGCTCAGCTTGTCCAGGACCGGTCTTGCAAAGCCCACCCCAGCACCAACCACCCCCCTCCACCCCCCATTCACTCCAATTCCAGCCCTGACAAGTCCACCTCCTAATCCGGCATCCCTTTCTTCCTTTATAATTCAAGTTGATCTACTCCAGGTGTAAACTCATGGTGACTGATAACCTAGCGGTCAGACCACTCGACCAACTCTGGGCAAGTAGTATGGCCTCACATGTGAAAACCCAGAGCCAGAGCGTGTCTAGGTTCAAGAAGTCATGAGTACGATTCCCCGCTAAGTCTGGCTAAGGATTTTCAGGAGACCTTTTCTTCTCCAGCACTGGGATCTGTAGGCAAACCCCCTTCTCTGCGGGGGGTTTCGTAGCCGCCCAGGGAGTGGTGATCTCTCGGGTAATGCCGTCGGCCTTCTTAGGAAGCCCCGCGGCGGGTGAGCTTTTTCATATGGGATTGATTCTAATATTGATGGGGTTGGTTTGATGGGTCGCAGATGAAGCTATACAGAGCACAGAGGTTGATGCCTGAGGCAGTATACCAACCAACCCCGATCAGCCCTTGGTGAGGCCAGTCCTCACTATTATAACTGTACTTTGAATCTACTGCTTATTGGGTATCAATTCCCCAGGTAGTTTGGGGATCTATCCGGTAGCTTCATCTGTCTGTCTATCGAGGGATATTTGAATACACCTCGGATGATAACAGCGTTTGATCGACAGACTGAGCATGGATCGATAACGGTACAATAAAAGAGATCCACATCTGTCCTATAGATTTAAGATTATCAGCCCATTGAGTAATATCACACCATCAAGGCAAAGATCTCTGCTATCAACAGTCCGTTGCATGACGATGTTGGAGAGGTTGGTTCACTTTCACATGTCACGGGTGGAGAAGCCGATTATTTAAGGTGATCGATCCCTCTTTCGTTCCGCCTCCGCTTCCACCCTTTCTCCGCATGCGTTCTGCCCCTCCCGTTGAAGCTTCAAGCTCTCCAGCTCTTAAGTGAGGTCGTCATTTCCCCACCGGTCGACTTGATAGGATACGATACTCATGGAGGTAAATCCCCATCGTTACTGCAATGGTGCCATTGTCTACGTACTGACGACATATCCAGCCCCCATCTCAAAACAGTTTCCGCTCTCGCCGCTCCTATCCCTCTCTCAAACATGTCTCTATCACCCCCCTAACGCCTCGATTCCCCATCGACGGTGACGATGATGACCATACCGCGAAAGACGTTGAGTCAGCGGGGGACTACTTCTCCCCACGCGACGAAACGCCCGGGACTCCAACCACCTCGTACCTCGCCAGCTACTCCGTCCCCAGCACCCCAGGGGTCCTCTCGTCGCGCAGTCCCTCCCGACCCCGACACCACACGCGGAGCAAAAGCGCCAGCCGTAGACTCGCCGGCGACAACAACCTCGAAGCCCAGGATGCCAACCAGCCTCTGCACCCTGACCACCACCGCCACCACCACCGCCGCCATTCCAGCAAAATGAGATCCTCCCAGCACCACCACCACCAATCCGACACCGACGGCCGTCGCGATGCAGAGTGGATGCTCCGGGCAGGGATCGCACTCGCATCCTCCACGCGCGAAGAAAAGGGTCAAAGCTGGCTCGCCAAACGGGAAAGCTCCACGAGCCTCCTCGCCGACGGCAACAACCTCGACATCGACGCCCCGACCTCCAAACCGCGATCGGGCCGGACCACCCCAGCAGCATTCTCCCGACGCGGGTCCCGGTCGCGACCCATCAGCAGACGCAACAGCCGGCCCGATCTCTCCATGACGACAGCCACCACCCCAGGGTTAGAAATGACAGCGGCGTCATCGCCATCGGGCCCCACCTCCGCCGCACGCGATCACCAGCGACCGCTCAGCGGCGGCGGCCACACGCCCCGACATTCTGACCCAGAGACACGCCACTTCGTACCTGATTTCGTGGACGAGCGGATCCGCGCCGAGATGGAGACCCTGCAGCGGGATCGTTGGGACGAGTACTCCAGCTCTAACGGGTCGCCATCGTCATCAGTAATCGACTCCGACGACTCCGACCCCGACGATTCCTCCATCGACGAGGAGGAGATGCAGCGGCTCACGCGAGAGCGGGGGTTCGGCCTCGGCAACTGGTTCGACCGCATGGTGGAGTGGACCGTCTTTGGCGTGGACGAATGGCCGGACGAGACGCTGTCTAAATCAGCTGCTGATGGGCAGAAGAGTCCTGTAGACGTACACAACGACAACGCTGCTGCTGCTGATGACGAAGACGACAGCGATGACGATGACGGCGCCTCGTTATCCAACGCAAGCGAATCAGAAATGCCCGTCTCTACGGAGAAAGCAGACGCCTCAGCTGGGGGCTGGCAGGATGCAGGGTGGCTATTGCGGGCGATGAGGCGGTCATTCTTTTGATACTCTTTCTGTTTTTCCTCATATCCCTTGCATTTACACCGTAGTTATAAGGTGTTTGTTTATTTCATTCATCATTGTTCTTTATCAGTTGACTAGTCCATCTCATTTCATTCATATCATATCCATGCATAATAACCCATCCCACCATCCTTGGTATATCTATCTAGCTCACCATCTATCTACCTACCTACCTACACACATGTCTATCTAAACCCGAACTACAGCAAATATGACCCGTACCTTACAATCTTTTCTTTTTCCTCCCCTTCTATACAAGCTGTGTCGCTGCTCGTAGATAGTTACACACTATAGATAAGTCACATCTATATCAGGATCCGGAGTGAGTGATAAGAGACGTCACTTGTTCTCCATCTTCGTGTACTTCGTACTAATTCCATTGTTGTCGCCACTTCAGAAGGGGCAAAGCAAGGTAGGTAGATAAATAGCTATTCAGTTACCTTACTTATTGTCTAGGTGTAACAGCAAGTTTAAGTTGCTAATACCTACCTACCTACCTACCTACCTCCCTATACAGGAGCACTTACTAGACGCAGACTAGACAAGCACAATGCAAATCCATTTCATAAAACAAAGAGACAAAAAACAAACAAAAAGTCTATATATACCATATAAAACCCCCCCAAAAAGGTAAGCTAACACTCCCAGGTACCTAGGTGAGCAAGCACTGAGGAAGGTAATCAGCGCACTGTCCCCTCCTACATCCAAGCCTCCCACGTAACACTCACCCAACCCAACCGAACTCATCATTTCCCTCCATACACACACAGATACATACATACATACATAAATAGATACACGCTCCCCCCTTCGCACAGCCCGCGGGAAAAGAAAAAATCCTACCAGTCATGAATCGACAGCTGGCTGGTCTTGCTCCGTTCCCGTCATACGGCTGAAACTGACTAAATAATTAAATTCCGCATTTGCAGCTGACAGATACGGCTCTGTTGAGCGGACGCACGTAGCCGATGGTGTAATGTGGTGTGGGTTGCTGCGTTGGCAATGTTTCATGTTTCATGTTCATGTTCTTGTTGTGAAATTTATCCGTGGGAAAATAAAGGCGATGGATAAATAAGACGGGAGTATAGAATGACGGAGGATCGTCCAGTTCGGAAATATTTACCGAATACGGATGGATGGATGGATGGCATCATAGCGGTAATGATAGATAGATAGATGGATCCTCCCAAGTTATAAAACGGACAAAATCCCTTCCCCCCGCCTGCCTTCAAAAATGTAGGAAATTAAATAAGGGGGTATACAAGAAACTTCGGGTTGAAGACGGAGACAAAAAAAAAAGGTAGTCAGATAGGCGGTAAGAGACGATGCTCGGTGGCAAATCCACGGAAACAGATGAAAGAACGGAATGTAGGATAGGACGATAGGAAAACCAGAACGAATGGATGGGTACCACGCTAACCGGGAACAATGCAGTGGTATCGACAATATAAATGGTAGTCGAATACAAAAGATAGCACAGAAGACAAAGAAACGAAAAAGCCGAATCGACAATACATCTGCCAATAAATCTAACATGGAAAGAAAAAGAAAAGAAAAAAGACAAAGACAGGGGGAAAGCCTTCGTTCCGATTGACGGAAGAATACGAGATCGGGAAGAAAAACAAGAGAATTCAAAATCAAGAGAAGGAAAGATCTTTTTGCAGACTGTTAACGCCGAGCTATTTCTCAACTCTCTAGTTCATGCAGTTGGTATCGTGATCGTATCATACGTGGACGTGCACGGTCGAGGATGTGGTCGGTCGCCCTTGCAATATCAAGGGAAATAGAGATTGCGGATGTGCCACATGAGGATGATCTGGGGTCATTTCAATATAAGACGGCTTCACCAGGGGCCGACTTTGACCGGCGTCCCCAAGCCATACGTCCCGGAAAGCAACTGCTCGCGGATGGAACTGAGGTCGTTCATCCCGGGGCTGCCGTAGGACTGGGACTCCGACCCATGCATCCACACCAGGCTGGAACCAAGCTCGTTCACGGCTGCCTGCAGTTTCCCGCCGGAGTTTTGGTTATGCTTCGCCAGTTTCTGATCCCACCCGCCATACTGTAACTGAATGCCACCGCCCCGCTTGGCTGCCTCCCGGATCACCAGGATCCAGGCTTTGCAGATTTCGTCGTACGCAGCGTCCCGCTCGATGTTGTTCTGGGGCGAGCTCCACCGGGGCAAGGCGTAGATGATGTCCGTAGCTCCCTCCAGATAGTTCAACGACACCGACGGCTGAGTTTCGTGGGGCGGCAAAAAGTGGGGGGTGAAGTCACTCAAGGCGTCCAAGAGTTCCCCAAGAGGCTGTCGGACTCGGTTGTAGGCATAATCGGATTGGGAGTTGCTGCCCAGCGGGAAGGAGGATTGGAGCTGGGACTGGTAGTTTCGCAGGACCTGCAGAGCCGAACTGACGTTGGGACGGGGAGCGGTGTGGACGACCTCATCCGCCAGTGCCGGGTGACGTTCACACATGGAGCGAAGGACACCTCGGAGGGCATCCGTGTCCAGGGTCTCGAGAAGGCGGGGGAGCGACAGTGGACGACCCGAGACGTTCGGTCGGGCTCGCTTTACGTTGCGAGCGACGGGGAGGGAACGAGGTGTAAAGGCCGGGGAGTTGGTGGGAGAGGCCGACATGCGTCCATCGTGGTCGTTGCCATCATCGTCGGCTTTCCGTTTTCGAGAGGTCGGGGTATGACTAGGGGTCGACACTAGGTATGGAGCGTTAGCTTGAGCAGCACGAGGGAACGCAGATCAGCAAGGATGACTTACTTGAGCGAGAAGGGGAGAAACGAGAGTGCTCATAGAAGTGAGGAGGCATGGGAGGTGTGGCCACCAGGCTGTTCATGATGATGCTCACTACCACCACCACCGCCAACAGCAGCTGGTTGGCAAAAAAGAGATGTTTGACCGGGAGATAAGAGGTCGATGTCGTGATCAAGTCGAGTCGAGTCGAGTTAGGCACGAGGCGAGTCGACAAAGGCGAGAACAAGGGAGGGTGGGGGGGAGGGGGGAGAGTTTAATAAAGGAGAAGGAGAGAGATAGAAAGGGGAAAAAAGTATGGACAGCGGTAGTTGGAAAGTGGAGGATGAAGAAAGGATAAGAAATAAGAAAGAGAGAGGAAGAGAGAGGAAGAAAGAGAGAGAGAGACTAAGAGACTTAAAGTCCGGTCAGGATTGATTAGGTACGAAAGGAGGAGAGAGAGAGAGTTGGTTTGAGTGGTGGGGAAGAAAGAAAGATTTCATAAGGTATTGAATTAGTTAATTGGGTAGTTGAGTAGGTACTTACTGAGGTAGGTTACTGGAAAAGCGGTGGATGACATGGTCATTTGATTACCGATACCGTATAGTATGGTATGTAACCGGTACCCTCCAATGAATCAAACAACGGTTGCGGGAGGCAACCTGGGCGCATCCCCCAGAGAGATGCTTCCAGCACCCTCCGTCCAAATCCGCTATTCCTGGTGCAGTAAGACCAATACGGTATCGGTATCATACATACGCCATCCAGACACCTCAAGTCATCCATCAAGTATAAGTATGATCAGTCGATTGGGATCCATCCCAGCAACCAAACGCCGATGTCGAGTTCTCTTCCATCATCATGTCCGACTCAAATTCTAGATAATAATTACATGGGGAAAAGTTAAAAAAGAAACAAAAGAAATGAAAAAGGAAGCCCGTGGTCGCCCGACGCCAGGGAAAATGCGCCCACCCAAGACAACGGCTTCATCCGGCGAATCAGAGTGCAAGTACTTCACAACAGTCGAAGTAGGTCTAAAGTAAGGCAGGACAGCCCGAGAACATGGAACATCGGTAATCATACGAAGAGATAGATACCCCCAGCTTACAGGTACAGTGACTGGGCGGCGACGATATCTCGTCGTACCTTGGTCAACGCGGTCTCGAACTTACCCTCCAGCTCCTCACTGCCCATCACCTTGGATGCCTGCGCCATCTGTCGCATACACTCCTCCAGTCTCCGGAACACACGAATCAGACTCCCTTCATATACGTCCGTCATGCGGCTGGAAGAACCAACAAGTTAGCGATCAATCCACACACATTTAAGATGCGAAGGGTCTCCACATACCAGATATCGGCAAACGATTTCCCATTCGCCCACTCGTAAATCACCTCCATAAGCTCCCAGTGGAAACTCTGCACGTACTCGTCCTCGTTGACGGCCAGCTTGGATTCCTGGGCAACCTTGGCCACAATGCGGGCCTGGGCCTGGATCTCCTTGAGGGGCTTGGCCAACTCGTCCCGGGTCAGAGCGGGCGTCTCCTTGGTCTTCTCCTCGAAGACAAACACGCTCAGGACGGAGGCGATCTGCTCGGGGGTCAGGGGGTTGAAGAAACCGTTGAAGAGCAGCTCGCTGAGCATCAGTTCGTCGCCCGTGCTGATCTCGCAGGCCACGCGCGCCTTCAACTGCACCACTTCGGCTTCGTTGATGAAGCCGAATCGACGCAGCACCCGCTTGCGGCATTTGAGCTCGTCCAGTTGCATGATCGACATCGCTTCGGAGATCTTCTTCTTGGTGTCCTTGATTCGGGTCCCCAACTCCACTTTCCCCGCGTATTGGTCGTAGAGCTCCGGTAACCGGGGCGAATTATGCAGGGGGTTCGCGAGGAGCCGGGACTCGAGAACCTCGATTTTCTGCCATGCATGTTAGCGAATGGAAAAACTTTCTTTCTACCCTCTCTGGAGATACGGTCGGCAGGTAACATACCCGGAGCAGCTTCTTAAAACTGTCGTCTTTGATTCCCATGTCCTCGATCGGGTCCAACACAGCGAGCCCGTCGGGGAATCGCCGCTTCGCCTCGGCCAGGGCCTTCTTCACCCCGTTGCGCGCGTCCTTGTTGTTCAAGTCCTTGGGAAGGTGGAGTCGAATCTGGGCGATGGACTGCACACAAGCGAGCGTCATGGGGACGACTTCGATCCGGGTCTCCTGTCCCTCCTGGGGAGGAAGCACTCCCTTGGGGAGGTCCTCAAAGGTTTGGGTCGGGGCCGCAGATCCGTCCGAGATAACTAGTAAGACGTCCAGGATGTAACTCTGGTGTTCTTCCAGCTCCTCCTTGTTCGGGCCCTTGGGCGCCTTGCGCTTCTTGTAATTCACGAGCACACCCCACCCGAAATCCTGTTTCATGTGTCGCACGTGCACCAATCGTCCCGGTACCATGAACGGGAGACTGTTGCTGGGATGGCTGGTGACCGCTTGCATGTCGTCGGTGAACTGCGCAAGCTGTTTCCGTAGATCGTAATATTCACGGATGGTGCCCTCGTCGGAGATTTCCGTGTTGGCTCTCGTGTCCTCCAATTGCTTCAGCTCTGATTCTCAAGTTAGTGAAATTGCGAGAGAGGATTATCGCCCGTCACACTGAGAATGACATACCTTTTTCCAGAGCAGCAACACCGGCGGTGTTTTGGAACTGGTAGAAACACCGTTCCAGCATGAACTCGGGCGAAATGCCTTCGACACGCATGAGATTCAAAATCATGTTGTACCCCAAGTGGAAAGCCGAGTTCAGCCGATCCTGTTCACCCCGGACGATTTCCTTCGCCACAGCCGGGTCCATCTCCTCGCCGACCATCATGATGACGATACCTCGGTCATCCAGACCTCTTCGCCCCGCACGACCCGACATCTGCACAAACTCCGAGGGGGTCACCCAGCGCTGACTGAACCCGTCGAACTTGCGCACACTGGTAAAGACGACCGTCTTGGCAGGCATGTTAAGACCAATGGAGAATGTCTCCGTGGCAAAGAGAACCTTGATGAGTCCTTCCTGGAAGAGGATCTCGATGGTTTCCTTAAGAATGGGGAGGAGACCAGAGTGGTGAACACCGATGCCCCTTCGGAGGAGGGGAAGGAGGTTCTGGATCTGAGGCAAGTTCCGATCTTCCTCCGACAGCATTTCAATGGCACTGTCGAACACCTTGGACACCATCTCCTTTTCGGAATCGTCGTTGAAAGCCAGGCTTTTCATGTCTAGGGCGCACTTCTCGCACTCGCGCTTGCTGAAGCTGAAGACGATGACGGGGTTGTAGTTCTTGATCATGATCATCTTGACGATCTTGTAAACATCAGTCGGGCCCCGGTTGCCACCCTTGTTGATCTTCTTGTCCTTGCCCTTTCCTTTCCGCTTCGCCATCGCATCGGCCGGGTCATCACCCTGCTTGTCGGCAATGGTGCTCATCGCTTTCTGGAAATTCTCCTCGCGGAATTGTCCTTTTTCGTCCACGATGAGATGCATGCCCTCGGCGCCGGCGGGGAAGAAATAATGCTGCAGGGGTGTCGGTCGGAAATCCGTGTATACGACGTGGCAGGGTTGGTTGTGCATTTTGGTGACCCATTCCGCGAACTGCATGGCGTTGGGGATAGTGGCAGACAGAAACACGTATCGGACCTTATCGGGCAGGAGGATGATGGTTTCCTCCCAGACGACACCACGCGCTATTCTTGTTAGCAATGTAGATCCATTTACGAGCTGCGTCTGTCACTCACTCGCATCCCGCATGTAATGGATTTCGTCAAACACAACCCAGGCAACTTCGCGCATGATCTCCGAGCCGCGGTACAGCATGGACCGGAGAATCTAACAATTAGAGGATGGTTAGTAGTGTCCTGTGAAAGAAAAGAAAAAAGAACGGTATCAACGAACCTCCGTAGTCATGACCAAACACGTAGCCGTAGGATTGATCGTAACGTCACCCGTCATCAAACCAACGTCCCCAAACTCCGCCGCAAACTCCCGGTATTTCTGGTTACTCAATGCCTTGATCGGACTCGTATAGATGACTCTTTGGTTATTCTTCAAACTCTGAGCGATAGCGTATTCGGCGACCACCGTCTTTCCGGCACTCGTATGGGCGGACACGAGCACGCTCTCCTCGCGCTGGATCGATGCGACAGAGACTTGTTGGAACGGATCCAGTGTGAACGGCCACACCCTCGCCGGGTTCTCCGGCGCCTTGTGTTCAGAGATGGGCACATAGGGATAATTGGGCGGAATCGCAACCTGATGTCGAACCTGGTGCTGCAGCACGACGGACGAGGGCTCCTTGGACGCCTGCAAGCCCGCCGAGCCCGCAATCTCACGCTCCTGTGCCGTCTCAAACAGATCCGCTACCACCGGCTCGGGCTCTTTGTCGAGTCGCGGTCGTTTCGCGTCGGGCGTGTCGGGAGCCGGGGCGTCGGGGAGTTCTTCGTCGGCGGGTTCGGGGGCGGGGGCGGGGGCATCCTCCATCGGGGTACTCTCTGTAGTCTCCGCCGACTTGTTGTCCTCCGCCTTCACATCCCCATTGACTTGGCGCTTCTTGCTCTTGTCCTTCTTCTGTCGCTTGGGTGCCGCGATGGACGGCTTGCCCGCCTGGGGCTGGTCCTCGAAGACGTCGAACAGCTCATCCATTTCTCTCAAAGGTCATCCGCGACGGGCGGAAAATAAGATCGTGACCTAGAATGAGATGGGGAATGGGGAGGGGAGGAAGAGAGAGAGGCAGGCGACTTCTTTTCGACCTCTTGTTCAACAACTAGAAATTTCAATATAATTTTTGATTGGGTGATCGCGACAGTTGAGCGGGTCGACCGAGCTCTCCGGAGAAACTTTCCGTTTCAGTCGCGTATCATCACGTGGGATTCTCCGACCGGACGGAGTCGGATTCGATACTAACTTGAGTGGTGAATCGTTCCACTTCTCTCCTGCTCTTCCCCAATCGTACCACTCTTGTGCTCTCGACTGTTCAATTCAAGGTACACCGATTGATCTTCCTTCTTCCAATCTCCTCCATACTGACCCTCTAGAAAGATGAACGCCGCTACCGCTCTCCGGGCCCGTATGGCCACTGCCTCCATTGCCCGCCGTGGCTTTTCCACCACCCGCGCCCAGCTCGGTAGCCCGTACCACTACGCCGAGGGCCCTCGCTCCAACATCCCCTTCAACCCCCTGACCAAGCACTTCTTCTGGAGATACTGGGGCTTCATGAGTGAGTATACCCGGGTGGGCTGGTGGAAGCAGTGACCCTGGTATAACAATGGCTGACATTCGTTTCTTTAGCCGTCGGTTTCGGTCTTCCCTTCGGCATTGCTGGTATGTTCCTTGTCGCCTGTCCATGGCTCTCCGACCGACTCCCTAACGCTGTTGTTCTCTTTAGTCTGGCAAACCTACAAGACCCGTTAAGGGATTACTGCGGTCGCGTGTCGGCATCTTGGACCTTGGGAATGGCCGAAAATGTACGCTTATTTAGGGCGAGGAGGGTTGTGTATAAAGCTAGAATTGATTGAGTTTGGCTTTTCTACCGGTTTCTATTCCAAGTAAAATTAAGCCAGAGCTTAGATACTATAAGTGAAGGCTCGTAGAGGGAGAGGAAAGCGTCTGGTTATTGTGCTGGGCTGATGGAGGCATAAGGTCCAATATGGATGAAGTCATTGGTCGATTTTTGTTCCCCAAGAAAATTAAATAAAATCTAATCGGCGGCAGTTGATATTGTTCGCACCCACACACTCCGGTCAACTCCCCCCATCTCTTTTACTTATTTAGGAATTAGAAAAGATTGCAAGGGTTGATCTTATTCTTTTTTCCTTTCTCTTTCCTTTCAACTCGTCCCATTTTCAAGGTGAAACTGGGTTGATTCATGGCGGGGTAAAAAAGACCGCTCCCTCAACCTCACAAGATGCGCAATTTGAAAAACGTGCGCCTCGCCGAGGTGCACCTCCAGAACAGTCTTCCTCTCACAGCAACCGCATGGGATACAGCTTCGGATGCCCTCGTCTGCACGTTCGGACCGACCCCCGAGACAGCGATCATCGAGCTGCGAAGAAAGCGACAAGACGCCTGCTTTTCCGAGCCAGTCTCCGCAACCGAATTCGAAGTGATCGCATCATGGGACGCGCCCTGTCCACTCCCGGACCTACCCTGCGACCGTGTCCTCTCGCTGCAGTATTTCGCAGACAATCTGACGGCCTGTCTCGTGCTGGAAGGAGGCGACATCATCATCGTCCGCGAGGAGCCTCTGCCCGGGGAGGACAAGATCGAGATACTGGGTTCGGTCGATGTGGGGATCACTGCGGCGGCGTGGTCTCCCGATGAAGAGCTTCTGGCGCTGACGACTCGCGCCAATACTCTGTTGTACATGACTCGGGAGTTTGAGAATGTCGCGGAGATTACATTCACCCCCGACGATCTCCAGGCGTCGCAGCATGTCTCTGTGGGTTGGGGTAAGCGTGAGACGCAGTTCCAGGGAAAGCGAGCCAAGGCGCTCCGGGATCCGACTGTGCCGGAGAAGGTGGACCAAGGAAATCTTAGCAGCAAAGACGATGGCAAGACCACCATCAGTTGGAGGGGAGACGGCGCCTACGTCGCTGTCAACAGCGTCGAGACGGGTGCCCGCCGTGCCGTTAGGGTCTACTCTCGCGAGGGAAGCTTGGATAGTGTGAGTGAACCTGTTGATGGGTTAGAGGGCGCTCTCAGCTGGAGGCCGTCCGGCAACTTGATCGCAGGGATCCAGCGGTTGGATGATAGGGTTGATGTCGTCTTTTTCGAAAGAAATGGTCTGCGTCACGGGCAATTCACTCTGCGTCTCACCGAAGAAGAGAGGTCGTCGTCGTGGGTGTCGGATATTCAGCTGAATTGGAATGTTGACTCGACGGTACTGGCGGTCCAATTCCGGGACCGGGTTCAGTTCTGGACTGTTGGCAATTACCACTACTACTTGAAGCAGGAGATCTTTGTGGTCGTGGATCCGGAATACTCGCACCCCTTTGCATTCAAGTGGCACCAGGAAAAGGCGTTGCGATTTGTTGCGGCTGCCTCCGGTAATTTACTGTTTATCCTTAACCCCACGAGCATGTGCTGATCTTCTACAGCGTCAATCCTGGACGTGGACTTTGTCTTTGACGTGTCTCATGGGTCGACCGTGGCTCCGGAGGATGTCGGCGCTACGGCAGTCATTGATGGTAGTGAGTCTACGCCGCAAAGAACCGGGAAAGGGGGGGCATCTCTGACTGTTATAGGAACCTTGAAATTGACGCCGTTGCGGCTATCGGGCGTCCCACCCCCCATGGCGCACAACGAGTTGCCACTGGACTCAAACGCCATTGACGTCGCATTCAGCAAATCGGGCACCCGGATCGCAGTACTCATGAATGACTGCTTTGCTGTATATCTCTGGTCGCTGAAGACTCGCCCCGTGGTCACCCCGATCCTAGAGTCCAGTTATCCGCTGTCCGATGCTCGCGATAGTCGGCCTCGCCAGATCGCTTTTCTCAACGAGACCGAGGTCTATGTCCTCAGGAGTAGCGGGCCCAACAAGACCGGTATCGAGCGGACTACGTTGGAGAACCGAACGACCCAGATGGCGTACGAAACGGCGGACTCGGAGCAGCTATTTTCGATCTTCTCTTCTCTTGGACATGAGGCTCTGTGGTTCTCTCATGTTCGCCAGCCTGGTCAACCGATTACCTACTCAAACATCACAGTGTCTCCGCAAGATGAGTTTGTCCTCTCTAACTGGGAGCAGAGTCCATCGGCAGATACCTATTGGGCCAAGGCTGTTCGAATCTCTGAAGAGGAGGTCATCTTGATCTCCTTGACAAGGACCGGTGCACTCTACGCCAACAAGACCCTTCTCGCCAAAAACTGCACATCCTTCCTTCTCACACAATCTCACGTCCTCTTCACTACTTCGCAGCACCTGCTCAAGTTTGTCCACTTGACTCAGCCAGAGGGTGAGCATTCCCGAAGCGCCTCGTGTCTGTCACACTTGCTGACTCTAGCTCCTAGATATGGAAGTTCCCCCAGATACTCCCGAGACAGACGAGCGCTGTAGAAGTATCGAGCGCGGATCACGCTTGGTGTCTGTCATCCCTTCCACCTTTTCTGTCACTCTACAGGCGCCTCGTGGTAACATCGAGACGGTATACCCACGGGCTCTCGTCCTTGCGGGGATCCGACACTTCATTGATAACAAAGACTACCGACGAGCATTTCTCACTTGCCGTAGTCAGATGGTGGACATGAACATCCTTCACGACTATGCGCCGCAGCAGTTCATGGACAATGTTCAGCTGTTCGTGGACCAGGTCAAGAAGGTCGATTTCATTGATGAATTCATTTCTCGCTTGAGGTTTGCAGTCCACGGTCAAACGTTCGACACAACAAGCTAACGCTCCCAGCGACGAGGACGTCTCGCAAACCCTCTACAAAGACACCCTTAAACTGCCCCAGACAAACTCTCCTGCAGGTGTGGAAACAGGCAGCGCCCCGAAAGTCCCAGTCAAAGGCAGTAAGATCAACCGGATCTGCGACGCCTTCCTCTCAACTCTGGAGAAGCGACTGGACACCAATCTGCACAACCTTATCACCGCACATGTTTGCAAATTCCCTCCGGATCTTGAGAGCGGACTTCAGCTGGCTGCTCGCTTGAGAGGTTTGTAGAGATGCCATTACTACCCGCAGAACAAGAGCTAACCAGTCGCAGAACAAGCACCCGAGCAAGCGGATGATGCGGTAGAGCACATGTGCTTCTTGACAGACGCCAATCGTCTATACGACAACGCACTGGGTCTCTACGACTTAGAGCTCACATTGATGGTCGCGCAACAAGCCCAGCGGGTAAGTACTCCTTTATTCGCCGCGTCCTCCAAACTGTGTCTCACAACCACGCTAGGACCCCCGAGAATACCTTCCCTTCCTACGGAAGCTCCAGCAAATGCCCGAGCTGCGACGACAGTTCGAAATCGATAACTATCTCGGGCGCTGGGCCAAGGCACTTCACAGTCTCCACAAGCTCAACGCGGACGACGAACTCCGGTCGTACGCCGTCAAGCATGTGCTGTACAAAGACGCCATCGACGTCTACAAGTACCAGCCGGAGCAGCTGCACGAGATCACTCGCCTCTACGGCGACTATCTCCACGACCAGTCCAAGTTCAAGGAGGCAGGCATCGCCTACGAGTCCCTCGCCCTCTACACAGACGCATACCAAGCCTACCAACTGGCCCACCTCTGGCGTGAATCCATCTACTGCGCAACGATGGTCCCTCTGACCCCCGACGAACTATCCGCCCACGCGCTCACACTCGCCACCACCCTCGTCGAAGAAAGCCGCGACTACATCTCAGCCGCCCAACTCCACGCGGACCACCTACACGACATCCCCACCGCCGCCCGCCTCCTCTGCCGCGGCTCCCGCTTCGCAGACGCGACCCGCCTCCTCGCCCTGCACAACCAGCAGTCCCTCCTCCCCGACATAATCGACAGCGGCCTCGCCGACGCAATGGGCACAATGACGGACCTCCTCGCCGACTTCCGCACCCAGCTCAACACCCAAGTGCCCCGCATCCGCGAACTGCGCATCCGCCGCATCACCGACCCCCTCGCCTACTTCGGCGGCGATCCCACATCCGGCGACATGGGCGCCGACATCCCAGACAACGTCTCCCTGGCACCAACCAACGCATCCACCCTCGCCGGCCGGAGCATGTTCACGCGATACACAGGGAACACAGGCCGCACAGGCCGGACAACCAGCACGCAGCAAACCGCCAAAGCCCGCCGCAAGGAAGAGCGCAAACGCGCGACAGGCAAGAAGGGCACCGTCTACGAAGAAGAGTACCTTGTGAACAGCGTGCGGCGGCTGATTGAGCGCGCGAATGCGACGGTCGCGGAGGTTGAGAACCTTGTCTTTGCGCTGCTGCGGAGGGGCATGCGGGAGCGGGCTGCTGCCGTTGAGAAGACCATGGCTGAGGTGTTGAAGCTTTGTGGGGATTGCCGGGAGGAGGTGTTTGAGATGGCTGGTGCTGGTGCTGGTGCTGGTGCTGGTGAGGCGCCGGCGATGGGTGAGGTGCATGCTGGGGGTGGTGGGTTCCCTGATGGTGGTGCGACTGGTGTGGAGGGGAGGCCGCGGACGGATGTCCCGGTTGTTAAGGAATTGAAGGTGTCTGCATTGTTGAATTAGTTGTTTTGTTGACTAGGCCACATTGTTGGGTTAGGGAGAAAGGCCTGGGGTTCTGGGTTGACTACATTCCTGATGCATGACTATAGACACGGGGAAAGAAAAAGTAAAGTATAGCGATTGACGCATTGAATGGATGATGATCTCTGCCTTTTCAAGATCAAAAAATTTACTATAAAGAAAGTACTTGATGTTGTGGGGTATTTCTGACGAAGATTAAACGTATGGAATTAACAGCATCTCGCGACGCTGGACGTATATGAGTCCCACCGCATGTTTAACCATACGATGGTATGCAGTGTCGATACGAACTATATCACACGAAACAAAAATTATATAACTCAAACAAAAGAGAATGTGGGTATCCGCTCTAGTTTCACCACAAATCAAGAGGTAACAAGAACAAGGTAGGTATCCTCAACATATACTTCTAAATTACCGCGGAACGAGTCTATCCAGAAAGCCTAATGAGACAGGACATCCCCGGACTCGCTGACCAGGTGCTCCTCGACGCTGATAGGGCCCTCGCCCACGCCGGTCAGGATCACACGGCTGACGCCGCCCTTGAGAACCTCGACGGCACGCGGGTCGACCTTGTCGAGGGCGACACCGGGGCCCGAGACGTTCTTGACGGCTTCGTGGAACGGACCGCTCCAACCTTCGACGTTCTCGCCCAGGATGGCCTTGACCGTGCCGGCCACCAGCTCGGTGTCCTTCTCCTCGTAGTAGATGACGGCATTGGGGCCCGCATCGAAGGTGTAAGCGCAGACGGTGTGGCCGACAGCCTCGTTGATGTCGTGGACGAGACGCACCGCGGCGCGGGACACATCGTTCATGTAGAAGATGGGCGGCCACGAGTCCAGGCAGGTAGCGTGGAAGCCATTGGAGTCGCGCATGGTGATCTCCGCGAAGGTGGGGAAGTCACGGTTCTGGATGGCCGTCTCGATGGCGGCCATGCGCTCGGCGACGACGGTCGTAGCGCGCGTCGCGAACAAGTTCGACGTCGCCACGGTCGTCTGCATGCCCTGGGTGCTGGGGACGTCCTTTTTATCCGCGCTGACGACCAGGACGACGGCGCGCATCTCGGGCCAGTGCGACGCCGGCGCCACCTCCTCGGCCAGACTGTCGCTTCCGTCGGCCTCGGTGCCTTCGCGCCAGGCGACGTAGCCGCCCATCAGGGAGCGGCAGGCGGAGCCGGAGCCCTGGCGGGCGATGCGGCTGAGGTCACGCGGGGACTGCGGGAGCTGGTAGAGGTCGGCGACGGCACGGACGAGAGCGGCGAAGCCTGCAGCGGAGCTGGCCAGACCGGCAGCGGTGGGGAAGTTGTTCTCCGAGACGATGCGCAGGGGGAAGGCGGACAGCTTGGGCAAAGAGGAGTCTGCATTCTCGAGAGACCGACGCAGGGCGCGGAGGTTGGACAGACAGGCGAGCGTGCGTTTCGAGGACTGGATGTCTTGGGGCTTGCCGTTGAGGATGAGTTCGTCGGCGGAGGGGTATTTGCCCGCACAGGAGGCGGTGGTGAGGGTGCGCAACGAGCGCTGCGACAGAGTAACGGAGAGAGACGAGTTCGTGGGCAGGTTCAGAGTCGTATCCCTCTTGCCCCAGTATCTAGTGAATTGACCGTCAGCATGGGATATTCGCTCAGCGCGTAGTGAGGGATTTATCCCCCGGTCAAGAAAAGGAGGGGCACTGACTTGATAACGGCGATGTTGACGGGGGCCGTGGTGGTCGCCCGGTACACGGTCTGATCGGTAGGAGCAGCCATTGTAGTAATTCTAATTCAATATCTCAAGACGAGGAGTATGGGAGGAAATTCAAAAGACCAGAATAGGGGTTGTCAGACGAAGAAGCGAAGAGAAACGGAGACAATAAGCAATAATCAATTAAATTACTCCGTACGGAAAGGCGCGAAGGCGGTGAGTGCCTGAAATTCTCTCCGCCCAAAGAAAATAATCACGATGTTGATTCCTAATCAACTGCAAATATCCCAGTCGCACTCTCGACCCTTGCTAGCCCCGGGTCCCTGTCATTTCCGTTATCTTGCTCAATCCCACACAACTCACATTTACGGATCATCATGGGAGCCGGTGCGAGTACTCCTTCTGCGCCCCCAGCCGACTCGGCCGCAACATGTCCCGTCGATCATAAAACCCGCGAAGCATGGCTGCAACAACAGAAGCAGGCTTCTGCCGACGACAACACGTCCAAGTCCAAGTCCCAACGACCCCTATCCTCAGATCGCGAAGTGAGCACGATCCCGCGCGCCTTTGACCCCACGTCGGACCCGTCCGGGGCTGCCGCAGAGAGTCCGTCCCCGTATGCCGCATCGCACGGCACCCCATCCAACGCGGAAGCCGAAACGGGCCACGACAAATCAACCGGGAACTGGATCTATCCGTCAGAGAAACAGTTCTTCGAAGCGCTTGTGCGCAAAGGCAACACGCCCGCCTCCACCAACTCCGCCTCAGAGCTAGCCACCAGCGTGGCGTCCATCATCCCCATCCACAACGCAGTCAACGAGCGGGCTTGGAAGCAGATCCTGGACTGGGAGAGCCGCGCGCCCGCGTCGGACCCCGGGAGTCGGAAGTGCGGCGGGCCCCGTCTGTATTCGTTTAAGGGACTGGGCGTCGACCCGGAGTTCTTGAGCCCGCGCGCCCGATTCAACAACTTGATGTTGGGCTACCAGCTTCCCTTTGATCGACATGACTGGGTGGTGGAGCGGTGTGGTGGAGAACGCGTCGAGTACGTGATTGACTTCTACCAGGGGAAGACCGCTGGGCCGCAGGGTGCCGGCCTGTCGAACAATGCCGGATCGGGGAAGCTGAGCTTTTACCTGGATGTGCGCCCCAAGCTCAACACCGTGGAAGGGTGCCGGATGAGGTTCAGCCGCTTCGCTGGGCTGTAGGGTGGCTTCTCGATTGGAGGCTGATTTCTGATTTCTTTCAATGCACATAGAGGCGGACTCGGAGTTTGGATAATGTTTTGGCACATGACGATGTATAATCTTTGTATAACAGAAGCTATGTATGATAGCAATACTCCAATCACATGTAAAAGGTTAAAAAGACAGACATGGACGTAGAAAAACAAAAAAAAAAAAATAGAAAGAAAGAAAGTCGTTGCGCATGCCCACTCCATAGGCGCCTGTCGACCATGTAGTAAATCCCAAGACAGAACGCAAAATGGCAGTAGTAGTTGAAGACATCACAACCACACATAAGATGAACAAGACATTAGAGGATATCATAGGAAATTCTGGTGTATCAAAACACATCGGCGTCTTCGAGAGGATATAAAAAACACATGAGGATGGTCACACCCGTCTATCCAAGGGTAGCCGCCAGCACAATGATCAGGAGGATCACGGCGAGGATCACAAGAAGGCAACACGCCTTATTGCGAGCATTCTTCTGGTGTCGGCTGGCGCTACGCAGTTCGACATTCGCCCCGCGAGTGTCGTGCGTGACATTCTCGACATTGTCGCTGATAATGTCGAGTTGGCCCCCTTGCTCGTGGACAATGTGGGCGACATCACGAAACAGTTCGTTGAGTTCGCCGACACTTTGCTCGATGTTCCGGATTTCCGTCTCCCGCTCGATGATGAGCGATTCTTGGAAGTCCACCTCGTCTTGGTTCGCCAGGCGGGGTTGCTGCTCCTCCAGCTGTTGCTGGAGCTGCTGCTGCTGTTCCCCGCCGTGACCCTCGGCAGGCAGCTCGCCCTCCTCCACGGCGGTGCGAGCAGCCACAGCAGAGGCGCGTTGCTTCTCCAGTGCGCGACGCTGGATCGTCTGGAACTCGTCCAAGGTGGCGCGAAATTCTGAAGACAGTTTCTGCTGAGTCCATTTTTGGGAGGGCTATAGAACGTTAGTACTTTTATTGACTGTTTGATATACCAAGTTAGAACATACGTTTACGTCCTCCCACATCTGGACCTTCTTAATGCCCTCAGCTGCATCCTTGAAACCGGCACGAGTTTGTTCCAGCAGGGTGTGGACCCGCTCGCGTACTCTCTCCGTATCCCGTCGCGTCCCTAAGAGGACGATCTGGTCGGACAGCCGCGTGATGTTCGAGGTGAGCGAGAACAACTTGTTCGAGAGATTTTCGGTGAAGCGATCAAACTCCGGGTCATCTCGGTACTCGGGGTCATCGGACCGGCGCATTGTCGTCGGCTGGGACTCTAGGGAATCTAAGCGATCGAAAGACATAGCGGACGGTGTAATATATGGATTTTGGGAGATCGATAGAACGGTGCGACTGGGGAGTGGAGGGAGCAGGGAAGGGAGAAGAGGAGAAGAGGAGAATGAAGAATGAAGCAGGTCCCGACGATCAACGGCGTATGACGCTCGACGGCGGATGGCGCCTGCATCCTTAGGCCGACCAATGATCACCTGATGATAAGCCCTGTGTGGCTGGTGGTCACATGACTCCATCATCGAAGGCGGTGAGCTGTGGCTGGTGCATGTTTTGATGCGGCCGTCAAAAAAGCTTCATGATTATTTCACTCCATCAACTCCACCCCCTCCACTGTCCACGGTTTCTCGCCTTCGAATCGCTCATTCGAGCTTTCAGATCTGGAGCTTGCGATAGTATTTGTTTTGTATTGCTGAACATGCTGTGAATTTGTCCCTCCTTCTCCCTCCGTGAGCTCGTGCAGTCCCTCGTTCAACCTGCATCATGGCGGCTACTCCCCGGCCTCGCCCTTACCGGCGCATCTTGACCTCGGCGTTGCATAGGAGGTTTGTCCATGCCTCCGCAGTCACACTACTGGTCTGCTACCTCGTAGCATTTCTCATTGGCCAAAAGTCATCTTGTACGTGCAATAACTCAATTCCTCTCTCTGGTGGTTGCGGTCACGGTCATCTTGCGCCGTGTTGAGTACGTCCGGTAGCTAATGCGCCGTCTTCTGTTCTTTGCCAGTCTTGTGGTCATGGTTTCCGATCGGAGGATGTGGCATCCGAACCGTCCTTCTTTTCATCTCCTGTCTCGTCATCTTCGTTCTACGAGTGGGCCAGATGCACGTCGGCGCGAGAACGACGTCTTCCCCGCTCAGCACACTCAAATATCTCGCTCCGCTAAACATTATTCAAACTGTTGGCTGGTATATTTTCTCCGCTTGGTGGTTCAGTGAGATTTATAAATTCGCTGCCCCGACGGACGCTCACCTCGAATGGGTGAAACGGGGAAGGTAGGGTGGCACTGGAATTGATACCCATGAAACGGGCGAGAGGATTGCTGACACGAAACTACTAGGCCACACGAGAGGGCCAGCATCAACGAACGACCTATCTACCTCTATACCTGCCACTTTCTTCTAGCTCTTGCGCAGTCCGCGGCCCACCTCTACTACGATTTTGATCGCATTCCTATCCCCGTCGCTAAGCGGGAGATTGGTGCTGCGGAACGGAAGACCGACCCCGTTACGAAGCGCCTTCAGGCTGCATTCCCTTCTATGATCCGAGACGGCTTTTTGCGCAGTTCTGCAGTTGTCGCGCTCACTCCTGTGGTGTACACCCTCTTCCTTCGACGGCCCGCGTGGAGTTTCACCATGTACTTTGCGCGGCTGTTTTGGGATTTCCCACGGTCCGCCGCAGATCCGCCAGGTCTGTTACCGCCAATTGGCCCAGCACTGTTTGTACGGACCTTGTTCTCGAGCGCCCTCTTGATCCTGTGCTGGCAGACCGCGAACCTCTGCTTTTCCCTCTTTCTCAGCAAGGAGCCGCTCAAACGCGGCACGCCGCTGACGGCCGAGGCGAAAGATCCTAACGGAAGCCTGCTGACGGGCCTGCAAGCGAAGAAGGAGACGGTCAAGACGTTCGCCTTTTGGGAGCTGTATTTCATCAGCCAGCAGTTTCCGGATCGGCGGAAGGCCATCTTCAATGACATCGACCGTGAGGGCGGGGCCGCCTGGTCTCAGATCCACGAGGCCGCCACGGAGATCATCAAAGGCATCTCGACGCGAATCAACGAGAAGCAGAACCCGCCAGCGGGCGCGACGCCCTTGCAAGCGGAATCAGCGGAACCCGTGCTTCACACACTCCCGCGATTGACCGATCCACCCAAGGAGGGCAACGTCTTCGCGGATTCGCCCAAGGGGACGTCTCGGCAGGCAAGGCTCGAAGAGGCCGTTAGCTCCGCAGCCAAGTCGTACGGACAGGCTCCAGATTGGACTCCCGTGGCGCGGGCACGAGCCCGCGATGTCTTCGACCGCGCTTCCTCCGCCATGCTGAGCCCGGAGCGCAAGCAAAAGCTTCTCGCCTCGTCCCAGGAATTCAAACTGCTCACGGGCGGCACGCCATCGACTCTGAAACCCGAAAATGTCCACCCGATCCTCGCCCAGATCCTGCGGTCTCCAGTCGGCCTCCTCTTCCGCCAGACCTACGCGCGGCGACTCTCGGGCATCGTCCTCGGCACACCGCACGCCAGCCTCTGCTCCGTCGTCGACGCCATCGAATCTCTCACCGGCCTCCTCATCGCCAGTCTGCAAGAGGACCAGTACGGAAAGGTGCAGGCCGACGTGCCGGGGGTGGTCCGCCTTTTCACCGAGACCATCATGGTTCTGGAGCCCTTTATTCACGGGGGTCTGGATGCGCACTGGACGGACATCAACTTCCCACCCTCCAACAACCCCGAGGCCCAGGCCGAAGCCCGCCGGATCCCCGACGTGGACCTCGTGCTGTACACGCTCAAGAACTCCCTGAACGCGCTCCTCTCCGCGTTCAGCCTCTACCTCAGGGACATTGGGCTTGTCGGGAAAGATCTCCGACTTGCTCGCGAGGCAGCCGGGGTAGCCGACGAAGAACCGATCTTCTGAACTATATTCCGGCTTGCTGGTCTATGATGATCATGTATTTTGCTTTTTTTTATCACCCTTATACGGGTGGTGTGTGTGCTGGTCTATTCCAAATATTTAGGAAAGTTACAATCCAGACTACTGGCTGAGACCTTTCCCCGTTTTCATTGCTTCCGATCATGTCCTCTCTTTCTTATTTGTTGTCAAAATTTTGGCTGTGCATAGTTGCGGCGTTAGTTCAGGTATCAATCCAATTCAATGAAATTCAATCAGAGCCCTACATGGGTTCGAATATAGATATACAAAAATATCACAACCTCCCATGCTCATAGGCCATCAAAATACATACACCGCCAAACCACAGGGTATACAGACCCAAACAAAAGAACACACACAACACCCCTCAGCTTACACAACAGACTAACCACAAATGCGTCTCGACCCTACGACAATGGGCGACGGTGTGACGGTAGGATACTACCTACATATATCCAGACACACACACCCACCCCTGTCAATCCAACATTGCCAGCGCATGGGACCTAGCTACAAGCAAACTACCTAAAAGCCTCTGAGGGTCCAGTCGGCAATATTACCAGGTTTACAGCTAAGCGGCGCCAGCTTTTCAGGTAGCCACTCAAGAGTATGTACTTGATAATACGACCGAAACAGTTGGCAGGCCTAGCTGACCACCGCTATGACGACCCTGCAGCGCGCACAGGCAGATACGTGCTTTCTTATACGCTCATTATGGTGTGCGGGTGTGCTCTGCTTCTGTGCGTGCGCAGATACCCAAAGTAGATGATCTAGGCCCTAACGCTTGGGCTTTACGTACGGGAGGTTCAAGTAAGGGTCTCTTTATGAGAAGACTAATCTAGGCGGTTGTCGAGGGTGGCCGTGAGCGGATGGTTCAGTTCTTACATGTAGATAAGCAAACAGTTCATGCATGTATATACTTACCTAGGTAGATAGGTGTATGTCTAGGTAGGAATGTAACACACCGGAGCTGGAATCAATAAAACCGCTGAGAGACATCCACTACCTACAGCCTGTCAAATTTGCAATCCTCCGAGCATTCCCTGGCGGAAAGAGAGAGAGAGATAGCCATTAGTACTGAGCCACTAGGTACCAGGAGCATGTCCGCGTCAGCAGGAGACTGAATCAACAGAGGGAGAAATGGATCGATCCTGCCTCTCCCTTCCATCTCTCTCCATCCCTCTCTCCCTGTGCGTAGATGTGTCCTCTGTAGACGTCAGTGTCTGCCTTCCATCCCTAAATCAGGCTGTGCAAATCCAACGGATCCTCCCCATACCATCATGAGGCGCAGTCACACCACGATCCGCAAGTACCTAGGTTAGGAAAGTGCTCTATACAATGATACCACAAGCTAGTCCCCATGCCACTACATAGTGAATCTCCGCTGCGCAGTAAACCCACTAGGTAATAGGCAGCATCGTCCGGTCAAGCGGGGGCACACGCCTTGTCCCCTCCCCGCACTACGCAGCCTTGTCGTGTCGGCTCGTGTGACCGACATAGTGTCGTGTTTGTCTCCGAACAGGGCTGAGCGAGGGATTTGGCTATGTCCGCTCTGGTGGGGTTGAATTTCGACCGGACAAGGCGTTCAAGGGGGTTGTGACTCGGCAAATAAGGGTGTTTATCTTAGTTTTGTCAATATTGTCCTGCTGTATCCCGTTCTTTAGTACACTTGGTTATACATACATCGCTATCACCAGAACGGAAACTGGTCAACAAAGTCCAGCCACAGCCACAGACACAGACACAACACCATTGCATCAATCAATGGGGTCAATAAACCGCCTCATGCGGGTCCAACCATCACAGACGTGGGTCCGAGACAGGCCCAGGAGACGGAATGGCTGATAGCCTCATGACGGCTGAGGGGTTTAGCTAGGGGAGGCTTGTTCGTGTTGCGGCGGATTGTGGGAGGATTTAGTGCTTATGAGTTGGATGTGATGTAGAGCTTGGCGCTTGAGCATTGATATAGTACCTGGGTAGCTACCTAGGTAGCATGGTCGATACTCATGGGAGACAAGATGTAGTACTGGATCAGGTTTCGTATAAGAATGGAATTTCCTCCGGACGGTATATAGACATATCTGGTATACAGGTAGTATATGCTCAAATGCACCGCAAAGTTCTGTATATGATTGAATAGCACATGATGTAAGAAGCTAGGACTCAGGTTCTCCGGGGAAGCCTGATCACCGTTGATGGATCCTGGGGGATTCAACCCACTTGAAGAGCGATAGTTCACCTCCTTCTTTTAGTATCCAAACAGTAAAGGAAATTCCTTACTCAACAGACAGCATCTAGGTTACTATGTATGACCGACTGTAGTGTTCTCCGACCTAACCTACTTGGGCAGGTGGGCTACATGCACCACAGTGGAGCACGAACGAGGCAGTGCTGGGCTAGCTTGAGAGAGAAAATCACAATACCTGACAACAGAGAACTCCATGATCATGATATCTTTTATTTCATGGTCTGATAGTCCATAGTCTATAGCACTAGTCAACTTAATTCTAGGCTGCCTGAAGCTATCTCAGCATAGGCAGCTCAATTGTTTTGAATCCTTGGAGGATCTTTCCTAGGGAGATACCAACCCATTTACTCGCTTTAAAATGGCTTCCAGAAGGATCACCCTGATGGAAATGACGTCATGTCACTCGCACATCATTTCTGGTCCATCTCATATGATTAAGAGAGTAGAGAGCAACCTTGGGACGAGGATGATCAGGATCGGCCTTGTGATATGAGATATAACCAGGTCAACAACAACATCCATAATTGAGGGTGGAAAGCGGTCTGATGGATGGAGCCGTATGCAAATTACCCAGTGGTATTATATCTGTAAGTAACGATACCGGTACTGAATACATGTATCCTATCGAAGTATAGGTTGGTTTGTTCTAGCGTGGCCCAGTTGCGTAAGAGCAGTCTGCACAGCCCCCGAGCCGGCGCTAGTGAGGCCCAGACTTTATTTATCCAGGAGAATACTGTTTCCTCCTTACCTTCCTCCTGTACCTATGTGGTCACTATGGATATCATATCATCAAGGTTGGCAGTGAATAATAACCTGCTGACTGTTACCTACCTACCATTACTGGTAATTTACTAACATCAGGTCGGTCCTGATGAATATAATGATTAACCCCCGCCAAGTTTCCTCCCCGATCTTCCCTCTCCCATCACGCACGCAGATCCTCAAACCAATATCCGCGCTTACATTGGTCGATTCACCGCGTTGGCGGGGCTGCCTTAAAGCAGCCTCGTGGGGTTGTGGAGGTTTTTTTTTTTTTTCTTTCTCTTTTCTATAGTTATACCTTTTCCTTGATTATTTGGAGGGATTCTATGATTTTACCATGCTATCTTTAATGATTTGCTTTGGATTGACAGCCCTAGCGCTTTAACACGAGGTGAATTCAAAGATCCCTTGCGCGATTGATATCAATATTCGTCAAGGTACTATGATATCCGACCTCGACTGAGACGCTGCGTCATCGCTGTTGACATGATGCTTGTTTGGCTGGCCCTCTTGATGTGAGCAATGTACCAAGAAGACCAGTACCAATAAGCTAGGGTACAGGAAGTAGATAAAAAAAAAAAAAAAAGCCAAGCCAGCAGATAAGAAGAATAAGCTCTTCTCACGCATACCTTGATTACCTTTCAGTCCCAGTCAGTCCAGTCAGTCCAGTCAAGTCAATCCCAGGCCAACTGCCGTGCCTCCAACCCACTCCGGTCTAGCACGGCGGGTGGTTCATCTATTCCCGGATTCGGAATGATCGGCATCAGGGTCCTCCTCGATCCAGGTTTTGATTTATGACTGAGTCCTAGTTTGGTTGGTTTTTTTATTATTTCATTTGAGTTTCATTTCTTGCTCGGTGGGTTTACACGGGTTTATTTGGTTGAATGGACGGTAGTATCATTCTAGAAAGCTCTTTTTGTGCTTGTTTGTTTGGACGGGAACGCTGTTTCATATTCCAAAACTGGTTTAGATGAGACTAACAAATCATATTCCCTGTTTGGTACGGAGTATTGACAGTAGTTAGATTTCTTCCGAGACTGATTGCTCGAGAGTCGAGACAGCCACAGAAAAAAAGATAATAATAGCGCTGATAAACTCGAACCAACTGTATGATGCAAGTTATGTACTTTATTATACGAGTCAACGCAGATCCTCAGTTAAACGCTTGGACTCCTGCAGGACTCTGATCCAATCGATCCATATCTACCGATTGGGAAGAAAGACCAATCCTTGTCCCATCCAAGTCTCGTATCGTGACCACCATCGAAGGATGAGATGCGTGTTAGCGGGGCGGTCCTCTGTAAACGCCCATCGTACTAACTTTGATGATGCTAACTACGACGGTGCCACTAAGGACTGCCTAGTATCGGGCTGTCTGTGCACGACTAGCCTGCAGCCTCCTAAGGCTGAAGGCTGACGGCTGATGGCGCTTTAGGCCGCGTTTCAGGGAGATACCACCTATGTCTTCGGATTAATTGTGGTGGTAACTAGCAAGAGCATTCGTTCTGTTGTCAATTCGTTTGTGTTCTTATTTTCTTTGTTCAATCTTTGTGGTTTCTCGTTGATCTACCTCATCCACAGAGTACTCCATCTCCATATATCCCGTACCTCCCCTTACGTCGGGCATCTGGGTCTTATTATCCTTCTTCTTTCGTCCGGAAGACGCATGTGCTTTCGTCATCTAGTCGATCATCCCATCTACCAATCTGCGGCAGAGATCAGTCCTACCTCCCGTCCTAGTAACCAGGAGAGTGATGGCAAATGGCCCAGAGACAACGCCGCTGCCTGACAGGGGCAACGTAAAGCATAATAATAGATCCAAAACCCCACTCGGCCACTAAGCCTAATATCTGATCCATTGGATTGCCACTTGCGCCAGTGGTGGAATTGCCTGCGTGTTCTTGATGGGAGGCAAAAGTGCTGCATGTTGGATATCCAGTCGTTATAGGCCGGCCCGAGACAACCTCATCTCTCATCATTAGTTCCGCGTCAATACCCGGCCAATTCCCGTCGAGTGTGCTCTGTAATGTTCGTGGCGATGGCAACCACTCCAGAACTCGTATTTCAGTTTTTATTTTATTTTGAGACTTGATACGTAGCACGTGGCAACTCAACGATGGCAACCAGGTAAAATACAGCAGGTCTCATTCCGATGATGCGGTGGGAATGGAGAAGATCGTATATCGCATTACCGGTGCTCCCTCGCCTTGTAAGGTCTTACCTCCTCTTTTCTCTCCTCTTCTCTTCTTTTCTGTTCCCTCGTATCTCATCCTACGTTTCACTTGCACGCCACCTTTCCTGGGCAAGAATGATGGGCATACGAGTGGACCACTCGTACCGCATCACCCAGGTTAGGGTTGAGAATGGAGACGGAAAAGGGGAGGGGAACTCCTTTTTTTATGATTTATTCTTTATGATCATGAATGTCATTTGTAGGCTTATTACTTCGTATCCATACTTCTCAGTGATTTGGTCATGACAGCAGCATTGTGGCAGTGCATGTATCTAACGGAACACGGTGGAGCCCACTAGGCCTTGATGGGCAGAGGGAGAGACATCCATTCGTCCCTCTGCTTGTACCCTGGATGAGCATTGCTTCAATCCTTGGATGACCGTTTTTCTGGAATTCGTGTTCCCTGGACCTGATTGTTTCTTCCCCTTTTCTTCGATGTGTTGTTATTGTTATCATGAGTGTTGAGGATTTTTCTCGGATGATGGAATAGTAAGAACTGACCCTCTGGTAGGAGAATGCAATGATATCCCCTCAAATACCCCAACCCAATGCGAGGTTGAAACCGTCGAATCAGAGTATCATAAGACAGGAGTCGTCATCCAGCACTGCCTCACTCCCCTTCCTGCCGTCCCCCAGTTGCCTTCCCCCCCCCCTGGTTCCCTGTCGTCGGCTCGGCTACCAATCCTGTTTCCTGTCCCCTCCCTCCTCCTTCTCCTCTTTTTTCCTTCCTTCAGCTATCTCCCTGAGTTGGTTCGCCCCATAAGATGATGACTGGTCTGTTTTAGTCGGTGGATGAAAGACCCGATGACTCTGACTGTGACAGTCGAAAGGACCGGACGAAAAAGGAATGATAAAGTATTAAAGTTTGTGGAGTCGGCTGCCCTGCTAGTTTCTAACTCTGATCAGCTCTGGTGGTTGACTTGGCATTTTCGATGTACTATCCACATATACTCCGTACATATCTAGATCATTGTACATACATGTAATATATACTGGTGATATAGATAGATAATAATATTGGGTTATTCCTTACAGTTCTTCACCTCCCCGCGTGGTTGAGCATCAGATGTGGACCATCTGTGGTTTGCAATCGCCTTGGAAGGCGTCAAGGGATGAATCCGTAGACAGGGGCATCCTTTTTGACAAGCGTTACAATTTACAGCTTACAAGGCTTAGATGAGTCAATATCATATTTTCATATTTTCTTTTCTAATTCCTCCCCCTGTCCATCTCCTGCCATTCTCTTGAATATTGATATTTGAAATCGGCTGGATGACAAGGACGCCACCTTTCCTTGGCCTGTGGCAGATACCAATCTGATACTGTACGGATGTTTTTTCATTTATTTAATTTTGATCTTTATTTTTTATTTTCTTCAGCTATAGTTTTCGGATGGGGTAAGATTGTCGGTATACGGTGTTGATTGCACATGTTTGTCATTTTATTATTATTTTTTTTTTTCTCATTTTCATTCATTTAATTTTAAGTCTCTTTCCTATTCTTCTCCTCGGAGTACTCTTCTCATTAGACTTGAACATAGAAAGGGATTATCCCATCTTCACATCCTCTTCCAGCCCTGCTGCCAGAGACCAATAATACTGATCACGTTCTTCCACGCCTTATAGGAAGGTATGATACGGAACAGGAGATATACCAGATTACATCTTAGATTACATAGATTACATACGGATACATCCATACATCCATACTTTACATTTGTATCTCTTTACTTTCTCTCTCTCTCTCTCTCTTTTTCTTACTTTTACTCTGCTTTGCCTCAATTCTCCCATTGTTGAAATCCACCGATTCATCTGCCTCATTTCTCCCTCCCTCCCTCCCTCTCTCTCTCTCTCCCCCCTCTATCTCTCTCTGACTTCCCTTCTTCCCCCCTCTTGACCTCCTCCCCCCCACTCACATATCCCCTTCCCTGTCAACATTCCCTGTCCAGACAACTGGATCGCACGTGTTTTCCCTCTCTCCTCGGACTCTTTTCTCATCTCTTTATTTTCATCTACTCCTCCCCTCCCCACCCTGGACCAACCCATTTGTTCCTGACGTCGGACAAGGCGACTGTTTCTAGAAAATCCACTGGTGACTCGATAAGCGCACCACAGCCAAATCCTGTCTAACATCTCTTTTCCTCCTTTCGAGGACGCTGCGTACCCAACCCAGCCTGCCTCTTCCCTTGTACTACTTGCCTCACTGCCTTTCTGTCTGCCAATCTGCCTGCAATCTCTCTCTCTCTCTCTCCGGTCCCTTTTAAATACACTTCTCCTTCCCAAAAAAAAAAACCTTGAAATCCCTCCAGCATGTTTTGTGGTTCTTGCGCCGGTCTCCGTTAAGTTGCCGCCGTCCGGCGAATTGATGGAAACACAGGTCGGGTTCGCAAGCTTGTGCGCTTTCATCTTTTGAATCAATTTGCAAAAATTCAGCCAAGGTAAGGATTCACTATTTTTTTCTTGATTTTATTTTCCGTTTTGAATTAGGGAAAAATTGAAAGGAAAAATAAGGAAACAGCCTTACGTTTAACCTGTCAGCCGTCAGCCTTCAGCCTTATTCTTTACTACGAACTTACCAATCGTAAACACATTTCAAGCTGACTTTCCCATCTAGAGTGTCTCCCTTTCATTGCAAAGTGACTTCTCTTGATTCGCTCTTTATTGGCTTTGTTGGAATCTGCAGTTCGCGATCTAGAAGCCGGTTCTTCTCTCAAGTCGCTCGACGCAGATGCCATCCGTCTGGTTACGGCTCTTTCGATGACGCACCAGGGCTGACGGCTTTCGTGTGATTTTCACTATCAGCTTCTCATGATCAGCTCGAGGCTTCCTATTGTGCTATTCCAATCACCTTTGCTTCCGCAGGATTGCAACCCCCGGTCAATTTCCGTCCTACGATGATGGACTTGCCACGAACCACGCCTCCGTTGATCAACGTCCACGATTTGAACGGTGGCTATAGTCACCCCGCTTTAGTGGAACGATTCCCTTACTCCATGTCTGGGCGGTCTTTCGCGCCCCCGGGTCCCATGCCAATTCCCGCGAACCCCGTGTCCCATTCGGCGCCGCCACCGCTGCCGCCACCCTCGCGCATCTGCGGCCTCGAAAATGGCTACGACGCCGGCTGGCTGCACGCGAACTCCAGGGGCTCGGTGGGATCCACTAAATTGGCCCCCATCAACCCGGGTTCCAGTCTGTTTGGCGGTCATCGTCGCCCGGAGTCCGTGCCGCGGACGGACCCCATGGCCCTCGACGATCTCGACGGTCGACACAGCGGTCTGCCGGTCTCAAGGAGTCCAGAGACGTTCATCAAAGTGGAGCCGCCCCCGCCGCCAGTCGACGACGGTTTTCGAAGCGCCGTTGGCGTCCACACCAGCCCGATGTACGTATTGCACCCGCGACTGACAGTCTAGGCTTGGCTGACCTCCCCATCCATAGTCTGACGGGCGAGCGAAACTTTTCTCGGAAGAGCGTGAAAGACTCGTCCGATGCATACGACCAGCATCTTCTGTCCAAAATCGGCAAACCGCTGTCCCCGCGAGGATCCATCAGCGTGAGCAACGAAATCAAACCCCCACTATCGACCCTCCCCGTACCGTCCGCGCGCACCTTCGCCAACTTTCCCTCCCCCGGAAGCTCGGAAGGATTGTCTCCCGATGCGAAGTGGCCCGGGGGCTCTCAGGCGGGCGGGGCTTCGTTTGGGACCCCCTTGGGATGGAGGGATTACGTCGGTTGTCGAAGCCCGAGTGTGGAGAGCAGTGCTCCGTCATCCGCCGTCGACTACGACCACGCCGCCTATCTCCGGGATGCTAGCCGCCGTAAGGGTGGGCAGTACGAGGAGACCCTCAGCCTGCCCAGCCGATCAAACCGAGGAAGCTACGATCAAGGAGTGTTTTCGGATATCGAAGGGGATCTGTCGACCGACGAACTGCTGCCACCACGGATGGTCCACGTTCGAGAAGCGACCCCTCCCTACCTGGATCCGTCGAAATCCGGCACGAAACGGCGGGCGTCCTCCCCACCACGTGAACCCTTGGGAGACGAGCGACACCCGCTCCATGTCACCACGAGCAATGGTGATTTATCCCAGCGGAGGACCACGGGGCACCCGTTCACCAATACGTTGACGGTCAACGGTGGGTACGCACCGAGTCACGGAAGCCTGTCCGCGGCGTCCTCCGTAAGTCTACGGACATCGGGGTCTTACTCATCCGCGACCCTCTCGGTGGGCGGAAGTAGCATGACGAGCGTGTCACCATATGAACGCCCTTCCCCGGGGGGGTTGTCCCCCGCATCCGATGTTGATCTTCATCCAAGCTCTCCTGGCAGCCTTGTGGGTCAGCCGGTCGCGAGAACCATCCCAGGACCTGCCACCGCTCTTGAGCCGCATAGCGCGCAAAAGCTGCCGCTGCAGTCGAATACCGCCGTTCCCAAACCCGTCGGACCCAAGATTGGATTGTATATATGTGATTGCTGTCCCAAAAAACCCAAGAAGTTTGAGAATATCGAGGATTTACGGTAGGCATTTGCCCAAGTTGATGCATCTGATTGGTCGGTGGCTTACTTGACATAGGGCACATGAAATGGAGAAACAGTACTCGTGTCTGTATTGCAACAACCGTTTCAAAAACAAGAACGAAGCGGAGCGACACCAGAATTCCCTGCATCTGAGACGCCATTCGTGGTCCTGCGCGGCCCTCCCGGACTACCAAGCAGCCTTCCACCCGTCCTCCTCCCCGACGAATCAGACCAGCTCTGGCCCGTCTCACGACACCTGTGGATACTGTGGCGAGGAGTTCCCCAACTTCCCTCAGCCCGACTGGGATGGTCGATTCGAGCATCTCACAGCGGTGCACAAGTTCGGCGAGTGTAATAACGCGAAGAAGTTTTTCCGCGCGGACCACTTCCGCCAGCATCTCAAGCATAGCCATGCCGGAACGAGTGGCAAGTGGACCAATATCCTGGAAAATGCGTGCATGAAAGAAGCGCCCCCGGAACCTAAGAACAGCAGCACCGGATCCAGTGGCACCTTGACGTCCAATCAGATCAGCGAAGTCCTCGGTGGCTGCTGACGATGGATGGTATTTCCTCCTTCGAGGTTGCTTTGCACCACCGGACGCGAACTCCCGCCAATGCATGAAGAGAATGGCTGGTAGAAAGCCATTCTAGGATTCTGGGACTGTAGAGTCCCCGATATCGCTTCTCTCCTTGGTCGGTCATCCCGCTGGGAAACACTTCACCGGGACACTCCGCTTGGAAACACTCCACTCGGACACAATCCCACATCTACTCTCCTCTCCCATCAGGATGCGGGGTCTTCGGGCTGTCCGGAGACACAGGCTGGTAGTAGCGTTGACAACGCCGCCTGTCTTATCTCCTTTCTCTTCTCACCATATACGTATACCTCGAATGAGGTTGGCTGTCTATCCTGGTTGGATGGATACATACCACGTACAGAACCAAGGGTGTATATACGAAACAGAAACACCGGGGAGGCCGAGCGGTCAGTGTTGACATGATATGACATGACACGACACGCTCGCTCCTCAGCTCCCTCATCTTCTTCTCATCTCCTATCTCCCGTCCTATCTCGTCCTATCTCCGTCCTCCCTTCTTGTCATATCTTCTTCTAGTGTATCTACTCTTCTCACCTATCATTTCCTGCTTTTTCTTTCTTTCAGTGGCGGGATAAAATCGGAGTCTTGGACAATGTGGTTATTTGGTTGGGAGGATCTTTGCTGGTTGTTGGTTGTTGGTTGTTGGTTACTTGGTTGGCTGGTTGGATGGCTGTCTATTTAGTTTTATTTGATATTGACTGCTAGGTAGCTAGGTAGCTCCTGTATGCTAGTGTCTTTTTTTCTTCTATTTCTTTTATTCAATATTTGGATATCATGATTGATTATCAATTGGACCGTGTAAATACATATATGAGTGGGTGTATATATAGGTTAAGGCTAGATGACTACCCTGGATGGTTTGGGTGTAAGTATACGTTGTATTAATTATATAGAGGGCTATGACAACTTCAACACACTACGTGCATAAGCCCTAATGCTGTGTATAGTCTAATACCATCTACTTTCCATAGTTAAGTCTAATCTAATACTGTCACTAACACGGCTATCGCAAAAACAACCAGATAACCTATACAACAACTAAAAAAAGGATCAACAAGATGACAGACACAGCATTATATACTACGTAATCAGTTGGTTAGTACTAACGTGTCGCACCTCATACAATATCAATGCACTACATGTATGTCCATATCATGTATATACAACATAACAATTACTAAGTGAAAGCTAAACCAAGCCCTACTATCCTATACACATGTGTTCAACTATCTTCTCTATAAATAAACATATGGTGAGCCACGCTGACACATTTCCACAACCTCGCCACCCACTCAACCCGAATAAAAGGATAGACAAATGACCAAGTAGTAGACGACTTATTCTATTATCCCCCTATAGAGTAATTAAACGCCCCCCGACGGAACAGATGGGAAAAAAGACGGATCTCGCATGCGTTGCAGATTGCGTCGGGCTGTTTCCGCGTTGCGGAGTCTGTCCAGGCGCATTTGGTAGAAGGTTCTGATTATTATTAGTATTTTAGATTTATAGATTTAGAGAGAGAGAGAGAGAGAGAGAGAGGAACATACTTGTGTAAAGCAAATATCCGAGGCGAGGTATCATCCGATGAAGCTGATTTCTTAAGGGAATCAATCTGTAATAATGATCAACAACCGTCAGGACCAAAGACATAAAGAAAGAAAGCAAAAGTAAGACAAAGAAAAGAACAAAACAAACCTTATCATCCCTCTCCTTCTCACTCTTCTTCTCATCACCGTCATCCCCCTTCCCTCTATCCTTCTCCTTCTCTTTCCCCTTCTTATCCCCATCTTTATCCTCCTTCCCCTCCGCATCTTTACTCTTCTTCTTCCGCCGCTGCTTCTCCTCATACTCCCTCTTAATCACCTCAATCTCCCTCTCCAGCGCCTCCTCCTCCTCTTTCTTCTTCTTCGCAGCCGCATCCTCCGTATCGACAATAGGCGTGCAAAAGTGTCGGTCTTTGAGGTGGGTGGCGCATACGTAGAAGTAGTCCTTAGCCCCTATCAGTCTGCCTATTTCTACACTTATATAGAACTATACATAAAAGCGACAAAGTATGATAGTAAAGGAAGAGTGGAGGAGCGGGGACATACCTTATTATCAGGCGTGATCAAAACACAACTAGACGGCTTGTAGCAGATGGAGCACGCTTTGGCGGCTGTGTCTGCTACGCGACGGAGGTGGTAGATGTTTGGGAGGGACATTTTCTACCTCCTCTTTCTGTTGCTACATTCACTTGGCAAAAAGAGAAAAAAAAGTGTCTTGAGAAATAGGGCCGAAGTTGGAGATGTGAGATTGGAGGGGTGGCGCGTGGGCTTATCTAGTATCGTAGGTATCGATATCTTGTGTGGGGAAGCGAGAGAGCTTGGCTGGTGAGTGATGTCATGTGATGATTATTTTGGTGCTGTTGTTTTTGTGGGGGTTTACTTTCGTTCTTGAATAACTGTTTTTTTTTTTTTTTTTTTCTTTTGTCTATTGATTCATTGTATCTTATGTATTGGTATTCAATATTGATGATGGATTATCGAGTGTTCTCGCTTTTTACACTATGGACATTGTTTGATATATATATTCTGCGTCTGGGCAGCCGCGGATCAATAACCTAGACTAATCGAACAGATGAATGTTTTTTCTATATCCAGTTTCACCATATACATACATACATACATATCACCAACTCGACAACCCGCCTACTCAGTAACACTATCCTTAATCCCCCGCAACGTACTCAACTCCTTCGACCCCGTCACACTAGCAGCATTCAACGAGCGTCTCCGCGCATCAGTCCACAGCATGAACTCCCCATAACTCTTCGGCGTAACCTGCACATCCTTCTCCACCAAGAACGTATAGTTAAACATACCCGTCGACTTCTTCGTGCCGTGCTCCACATCACGGACCTTCGAATCAACGCGCACCTGCACCTTCGTATACTTGCTTAGCGGACCCTCCTCCTCCAACGGCTCCGTGAACGCCACCGTCGCGCGGAGGTACAGCACGCTCCCGACGGGCACGGGGTTCTCGAACGTGCTGGGGTCGAGGGCGACGAAGTTGGGGCGGGTGTGTGAGAAGGAGGCCGCGCAGCAGAAGGCCAGCTCGAAGGTCTGCTTTAGCAGGAAGCCGCCGAAGATCATGAAGTTGTGGCGGTTGCGGTCTTGGGGTTGCATTATCATGGCGGATTTGAGAACTGTGTCGTTCATGAAGACTAGGTTGGAGGGGGCTTTGTAGGGGGATTCGGGGTCTATCTCGTTAGGGGGGAGTTGGTGTGGGGGGGGGGGGGGGGGGGGGGGGGGGGGGGGGGGGGGGGGGGGGGGGGGGGGGGTTGAGGTTGGGGAGCGTACTTAGGTAGGACATCTCTTTGGTCCACATTGAGTGGATGAGGTTACTCTCTTCCGCGTCGGGGGCCTTTTCTAGGAGACTCTTCGTGCGGAGAGCCTTCTTGGCCTGGTAGTTCTCTTCGCCTTTCTTGAAGAGGAGGCGCTCTTCAGGAGTTTCGACCAGTAAAGGCGCGACAGGGACGGGCCTATAACCGTTAGAACGAACCCCAAGCATAACGAGTCACCGGTACATACTTCTTGGTAACCGGATCAAGCGACACCATCGTGAACGCGCAGGTGATAAGAACATCCTCAGGCTTAGCCTCCTGCCCCTCCGGCGGGGCCTTAGCAACCTGGAGAGAAATCTCCATGCTAGACCGGCCAGTCGAATACGTGACTTGACCGCTGAGTTCCAGATCGCAGATCTCCATCAGCGGATGCTCGATGGTGATGCGATCCACGGCGGCGGTGACGGTCGTTACCGAGTCGCCCGTGTGTCTGTAGGCGATGACACCCGAAAAGGCATCCAGATCCATTAACAAAGAGCCGAGCCTGCACATAGAATTAACATCTCATTCCATAAACACACCCTCAATAAGGGCATACCTAATATGCCCCGTCGCATTCAAATAAGAATCAAGCAGCCATTTATCCTGCGCCAGCGGCAGAACCTACCCAACAAATCAATCAGTCTACCCCCCAGTATCTCATTAGAAGGGGAAAAAAAAACCTACAGCCTTATAATAACTATCCGACATCCTCTTTGGCGGCAGACTGTCTCTCGCGCCCGCCGGTTGAGCCTTCTTCGGGGCGCGCGCATCGTCGCGACTCTTCGTCAGCGCCTCCACCCACGGCGTCTTCACCCGCATCGGCATCCATGTCGGTCGCTCTGCGTGCGCCGGACTGGAGTGGAAAGTTTTTCGCGTGGCGGGCAGGGCCGTTTTGCTGGTAGCCAGACGGGTGGAGCGAGCGAGGATGGACCGTCGCGTGTGGAGGGCGAGCATTGTGCTTAGCTGTCCCTATGTCTCTCACTAGAACTGGCTGTAAGATAGAGTATATCGATGTGATTCCCTGCAGCTGAGACACAATCATGAATATAGAGGATTGGTTGAAATGAGAGAAGAAGTACCGGTAGATCGGTTACTCGGTCTGTTAGGACGATAACTGATTGGTAGTTTGAGGTAAGTTAGGTTCAGCCGGCCCGGTCACTGATTCGTTCCGAGGCCTTTTTTTATCCGCTCCGGCTGCTTTTCCGGGTTTCGGTTGATATTATTCAACTCCGTACTACAAGAGTGAGGTGCGAGACTGTCAGTGGATATAATATCAATGGTTGATTAGATTTGATACTGCGTATTGCATACTGGATCGTTCAGGACTCATTGAGGCGCATCGATCTACCGATGATCTGCCGATGCTACTATGACATCATGCAATTGACCGGATTTGGGGGCCATCTTTAGCATACGAGTAAGTGTTGAATAGATGGTGGGTATATTAGCGCAGGTAAGCACAAGTCTAATGCTATCAAGTATCCCAAAATTGAACGAAAGTGGCAGAGATCTATCTAGAACAAAAACATAACACCCAACACTGCGATCCAGTAGTATGTCGGAGCGCTGGACAGTCCAGCCCCTGACTCGGTGTCTGGTGAGCTCGAGGCACTGGAACTGGGCGAACTGGGCGAGTCGCTCGTGTTTGACCCCTTATCGTCACTGTTGGAGCTATCCGAGTCGGACGTCTTGGTGGGTGAGGCCGAGCTCGAGGAGGAAGAGGAAGAAGAAGACGAGGAAGAAGACTTGGTCGCAAAACCGATCCGGTCCTCGTCGTAGTCAAACACCGTGTACACGTTCTTCAGGAAAACATCTCCGACCAGCCATTCGTCGTCTCCGAACATTTGGTGGGCCACGATGGTCGAAAGGCACATCGACCCGGTTGCCTTGTCGCCGATGTAATCCTTGTGCGAGATGGAGTAGCTGACTTTCGAAAAGGTGAGCTGAAGATCGACAGTCGAGTCGCATGGCAGGACGAAAGTTTGCTTTCCAGACGACTTGGCACCGGGGATGAGATCGTGCAGCGTCTTTGCGTCATCCGGGGGAAGCAACATGTATGAGGTGCCCGTGTCGATGATAGCGGTCCTGTCGCTGAAGTGGCACGCGTGGCCGTCCACGCTGGCGTCGTCGAGGGGAATGCGCCAGTGGCTGACGGATCCAGTCGTGTCGGTGTAGGCGATATCCCCCGAGTATCGAGATTTGTCCACCCCGCCGATCGTCACGGCGCCGTTCTTTTCATCGTCGGAGCTGCGCGAGAAGCTGAAGCCGATGATGTTCGAGTCAAGCACCTTCTCCTTCTTGACCTGGTCCATGAACGTCGGCTGCCCGAAGGAGCCCTCCTCGGCGCGCCCAAGCCCGATGATCCCGTCCATGGGGTAGGATCGGAAGTCGTCCGATGCCTTGGACGCCAGGCCAATCGGTAGCCGGACGTCCACGTCGCCGATGGTGATGTTGTCGGTCCCGACGACGCCGCTGACGGTTCCTGTCCCGTAGCCGACGTGCCAGTCCTCGTCGGATGTCTCGAGACTCGAGGACTCCTTCTTCCCGAACGTGTTGTGCAGCGAGCAGGCGGTGGATTTGCAGTCCGCAGAAAAGAGCCATGTGTTGACGCCCCCCGTGTCCAGCATCATGTACATGTCCTGATCCTGGGAGCCGACTTTGACTTTGGCGAAGTAGGAATAGTCTCGGCCATCCTGGTTGAGGGCGACCGTATTTGGTGAAGATGGTGTGTCGGCCATGACTACCTTGTAAGAGTTGTCACGGCGTTGAGGGGCTTTCAGGCTCATGCTCGAGGAGCCTTCACTCATGGTGGCTGTCACTTCATCCTTTGTTACATCTGCCCCCATGCTGGAATCGCCAGTTTCATATTTCAGGGTCCATGGCATAAAGGCCTGGGCACCGGTGGATAAGGAAAGTGAGGCCGCAATGAGACGGCATGGTGAAAGACGCATGATCCACGAGGATCTAGCAGGAAGAAATGACAGGGTGGGTCATTTGACAGAGGAAGTGAGCGTGTTGATTAGGGTAGAGTGCCAGACTCTCCGGGGAATTAGTAGTATTGATTAAAACGACAGATGTAGATCTAAGGCAGGCCCAGATGAGACGCGTCTATGTGGAAATCATTGAGCAAGCAGGCTGTGATGCAAAGGGAATTAAGAGTGAGGTTGAAAAGGCATATAACAGCGAGTGAATGGTAGTGGACGGTATAAAGGTTCGAGTGATATAAAGATTCGAGGACCGAGTACAAAGGACCAGCGCCACAGAACCACACCACCTGAGAGGCAAGAATCTGAAGGTCCAGAATCCAGGAGACCAGTCGAAGTCAACTCAGAGGATGGATGTGTCTGTGCAACTCCTGAAGAAAATCAGAATCAAAGAAACAGAAAATCCCCCTCGTCAAAGTACGGGGATTCCCCATTGAGGAGAAAGGTAGCCAAGGATACTTAGGATAGTGGATAGGACCCACTTCCAGGTTTGCTCAGGCAAAAAGTTGAACAGGTCGAACTCAAGTGGTCAATCTAGACCACTAGTTCGTGGCGCCATCCAGGTATAGGTTCGGATCAGCGCTTGGGACAGCTTCTTTGAGCCATGGTGAGTGGGGTAACCGAGGAAGGGTTCCCCTGAGCCATCACAAGAGAAGGATAAGCGATCGTGAAGTGGACGAAAGAGGAAAGAAGCTATAAAAAGATAAAAGAAAAGAAAAGGAGACTCAAGGGAGACTCAAATGTGAGACAGGGTACGTTCACTCCCAAGGGGGAGTGAAGCAAAAGGAGAGGAGTAAGAGGCAAAGAAAGACAGATCCAGCCAGTCTTGGCATGACAGCACAGGATCCATCGAGGCAGCGATTGACTCCGATCGGCGGTGAATCCTTCCGCTGAGTGAGCATCATATTCCGCCAGAGGGAATGGATTGGATGGGAGTAAGTAGACAAATGGATCGTAGACGGTCTGAGTGGCTGAGAGGGAGCTGAGAGGCGGTTTCAGATGATGAATCTCGATGATGCAGATGGATTCAGCTGTTCCACTGGGTTGCCACTGCGATGTGTCCGAATGCCATGTCATTGAATGGACCGACATGCATTAGTAAAGTAGGTATCCATCGTATCCTGGTTATCCTAGCTGAGTGACTTGCAGACACGCCAATTATGTTTAATATATGGTGACCGGTTATATATAGAAGTCAATATACCCGGTGACTGCCTGAGGCATTCACCTTGGATAAGACAGCGTTCTGATACCTACTACATACATCCTGCAGCTGTTGATTTTTCAGGCATCCCTTCAATCCATCTATCCATATACTAGATCGAGTTCATCATCCTTGCTCCAGTCAACTTGGAGCATGACTGTATAATGTGAACAACACGTCAAAACATTGATAACTCGTTCCGATCTGATTTGGCACTTGACAATATTGAATATCGATCTGCAGCCCAATGAACGTTTCGTGCAACCACACTGACAACCGCCGAGTGTAGCAGACAGATGGCACATGCAGGTCTCGGAGTCAATTCCGTCAGCATTCGACCAATAATCAAGTTACCAACACATGTGGGACGGATTGGTGGGTATGACAGAGGTTGGCATATAGATGGATGAATCTGTCTCGAAGACACCGTCTCATTTATACCTATTGATGCGTCGGACGTCGAAAGAAATACTGGGTAGGTAGTACGCCTGACAGGGTGTAACTTCCTACATTGCTTCTGTTAAGACGTCCGATCTTGACCATTCGACCAAACACACAGTGGCGAGTGGTAGGGGCTTAATGTCCAACAACTTCCAACCCGCTCTCTCACTAGATGTTCAGTGTTTGTCCACTACCTTTATACACCAAACCATCGAAAAAGCAAGAATCCACAATTATGAACATATAATCCACATCCACAAGATCAAGGACAACATCCAAGCTCCCACAGGTTACAACCCCAGACCCCACACGAACGCTCCAAATCCAACTCCAACTCAAGTAATTGAATACAATCAATCCCACAACGATCTAATTAGTAACTAGGAATCAACCCCCACTTTCATTAGCTCAAAAAAGCGTATAAATCATGTGTGTATGTCCTACCGATATAGTTATAGCTGGACTGCACAAACCCAGTCCAGCCAGCGCATCCCTCCCACCAATTTCACATGACCTCATCGGGAAGACCCGGGGAAACAACAGATCATCCCATTCCGCGACGACGCTAGCTAGTCTAGTCCTCCTGTCCTCGTGACCACCTAGTACTCACCTACTCAAAAATAGGCAGTAGTTTATGACTTAGTAGTAGTAGAGCAATGGACACTGGATTCCGTCTCAACGCCAAGTTGGGAAATGCCGCGGTGCCGAGAGTGTCTTATTTTGCCTAGGCTAACTATAAGTATAGAGTGGGTGGATAAAGGAAATCCTCCGTAGGTCCATGACTCCTATTCGGGAGAAATGAGGGTCTCGTGACTTTCGGATCAGATAATCCCCATTATTGCTGCCGATGATCGACTGCGTTGGTCCACTCTAGTCAGTGCGGGTTCTTGTTTATCCCTCTGTCCGGGTAGGGCACGGAAGACTGTCGGCCGGGGACGCTGGTGTGGGCTGATCTCAATATGAAGACAGCCACGAGGGGTGATGATGGTAGTGTCGGAAACTGGCTGTAGTTTCTACAAAGAAAAGGATTATGTACCAAGTGATGGGTGAACAATCTGGTTCTGGAGCAGATATGCTGCATCGTAAATCAAATAAAGTAAATCGCAATCATGTTGAACAACACATAGGAAAGTTAAAACACCACGCTGAAAAACAGAAAAATAACTTTGAAACCCTCACTGTCTCTGCGAAGGCTGGGCCTTGGGGCCTAGGAGATCATCCAGGAAGCCATGCCATAACTCTTGCACGACACCCCCGTTGCTAGACCCGTTCTGTTGCTTCTGCAGCTCTTCCTCGAACCGCGATTTGCCCACCGTTTCGGTCAAAGAAAATGGGTCGATATCCACAGCGAGGTTATCCACCACCTCTGTCATGGGACTGACGGCGACGTCAGCTCCGGCACCGGACACGGTGTAAACGTGGGGTCTCATGGGACCCGAGCTGCCGGAGGGCTGCTCCGCTAGGTTCGCCTGGGGTCTGGCGTAGAGGTCGGGAAAGATCGGAATCCGCAGATCGGGGCGAGCAGCGGTGGTCTCCATCTCCGACATGGAGGGCATGTAGGCGAAATCCACCGTGGATGAGTCACCCACGGCCTTTTGGGAGCGGGAGGTGTTAAATTGGCGGCCGGAGTTGGTCCTGCAGATCCGGCAAAAGGTATGATGTCAGCTGAACCGATCTTCGACCGAGGTAAAAGATAGCCCCATAGTCCCCATAGAACCATGAGCTCGGGATTAACATACTCTGCTGCGGTACCATTGATGCGCCTCATGGCGATGCTGAAGGCGCGCGATTGGAGGAAGTCATGGTTGGACAGACGTTCGACCAGCTACGTGTTTCCGAATACAGTCAGTTTTGAGTCGTCCTAGAGGAATCGTGCGTGGTATGGGTACAAACCTCAGCCTGTGTTCCATGCGCTCCTAGCTTCCGGGTCTGGCATTCTCCCTTGAGATCCGAAAGACTACGGGAGGAATACAAGGACGCCTTGTCGCCAACGCTGGCAGGGGGTGCGGAGGTGGCACCGGTGATGTGTAGACCCCGTCGAGTGCAGGGTGTAGTAGGGTGCTGAGAGAGCACGCGAAGGGCGCGCAAAGACGTGGAACGGATAGCTGCCATTGGGAAGAGAATATGTGATATCAAACGGATGATAGAAGAGGATGATTTATTGTCAAAAGGTCGAAACCAGATAGGCAGGGGAGGGGCCGTTGAGGACAGGAATGTACAAGGTAGTTGAGATGTACTGTGCAGTGGTATAGAGATGGAATGTACCAGGAACCAGGGGGTGATGGGAGGTTTAAGTAAATGGGAGAGCAGAAAAGAGCCGAGGAAGATGGATTTGATTAGATGCACGGAATAAAGGTGACGGAAAGAGACGAGAATAGGAAGAAGAAATTAAGAAGGAAAGGAAGAGTCTACGGGAGTGGATGGGGAGGGGGGGAAGCTCTTGTATTTCGGAATCCGAGGGTATTGATTTGGCCCGCAGTAAGGAAGTTAAGGAACCGTTGGGGGGGGGGCAAGAGGAAGAGTACTGTAAGGTAAGCTCAATGCAATGATGGATCCATTCCTTCCGGGGGTTCTCCCATCACCCATCTCCCATTCCAGCGGTCTGGCCAAGTCTCCCGGGCCCTAATAGTACCAACCACTATCATTTTGGGATCCTTTCATCTTTCTTCCGATCGACACGATGTTTTCTTTTTCTGTTATTTTCTTTTACTCTTTTGGGTCTTTTGGTTGGTCCCGTTCTTTTGACAACATGACAAAATGACAAACAGCTTCGGCCTACTATGTGCTGGTACCTCCAGGACGAAGAGGTACCATCGTGGAGGGGTCGAAACGTAATCCAGAATTGTACCTCATCATGCTTTCTCCTCCTGGTCAAACTCTCGGGGGGACCGCAAATGCATGATCCCCGGCACTTGCTCCATTACCCCGTGTGTCGGCCGACCAATAGATCCGACGATGCCATCCTGAATCCCATGGTACGGGAGGGAAATGTACCGGGGTCTGTTAGCTCGACCAGTCGATGATGCTGATCCGGGCGTCATGAGGGAAATCACATTGGCTGTTCCCCCTCTAGATTGGTTTGGAGATGCGCCCACCTCAGCCGTTGTAAGGCAGAGAGCACTCCTCAAGAGGCCCTATCGGCCCTTTCCCCTCCTTTTCCATGCCATCGCCATGTTCGATCATTTCATCTGCCATACATGATACAAGGTCCCCCGCACTTGTTGCAGCATTCGCAGGGTTGCGAAAATGAAATTGACGATGATGACGACTCTCGCAATCAAAATATCTAGCGTGGCTTGTGAAATCACTCGGAGAGGAAGATCTGCCAGATAATCCTGGTCTAATCCACACTGGAGCAGGACCCCGTCGACCGACGGCTCCATACTACGAGTCTGTCTCTTCAATGCTTGCTTCCATCCACCCGTGCATCATCATCCGATCTTCATCCGTTGTAAGAGAGACCTGACCTGATCCCTTCGGCCTGAGACCCGAGGGACAGCCCCTGTCGCTGCATCACGTCAAGCACCATGTGTTTCAGCGCGCGGGCCCATCGTACGAATTATACGACGTATCAACGGTGAGCCGAAAGGGAAAGGCAGCGCAACACGTGACGCCTAATAAGTATGCGGGAGATGCAGACACCGTAGAAAGTACAGTGCATCAGCTGGCCATCGGAGTATTCACACCTCGTACACTGACCGAGATGTGGCACCCCCCCATACTGGGATGGAATCGGGGTAAATTACCACAAGCAGCAATGTGGTAGCTGTGGAGTATACTTAATACAGACATGGGACGGAAAGTTGTAACAGGGCGGGGCAGCAGCCACTGAGATCTCTCCAACAGACGATCACCCCCTCATCATCCTAGTTAGAGGTTGCTGTCGTCTGGATTATCATTCGAGAAGAGTCACCTGCAACCAGTCAAAAGGACGCGCACCCTCTCCACTTTGATGACTGCAAGAGAAGTCGGTGAGTGGGGAACGGGAAGGGCGGTCACGTGAGGTCGATCCTGCCGGAGTTACTCTGCCAGTCCGCGTTTCTTTTCATTACGGTGACTGGAAGTTGTCGAGGGGGAATGCGGTGCTCATATATACGAAGTAGATATAGGCACAAGGGGCTTCAACAACCCCCTAGACCCCCAACATATACTGATTCGTCATTCAATCAACTCAACAAGATGATTGAGACGATTGCTGGGTGAGTCAGGGGTTTGTTTTGTGTGTTTCGGTGAGAGATGTCTCATGTCTGCCTAGCTGGTACCTTTCTAGATTTTGGAATCTATTTTTGATGATTTAATATGTCATGATGGTGTTCTATTTTTATTTTGATTCTTTCTTCCTTCATTCGATTCCTTTATCTCCGATGTGTTGTATTTTGTTTAGGTTCGGTTCTTATTTTGATTTTATTTTAGTCTTTTTTGTCTTCTTCTTCTTCTCCTCCCTTGCACCGGATAGTCTGATGGATGGGTGGCTGGAATGTGATCTGTATAACACCTACCGGTCACGGGACCCCGCATATCTATTCGTGTATCTCACTGGCTGTTGTCTCGGGGTTGTTTGCTACCTGCCAGAGGTACCTAGGCTCCTGACCAAGCTACCAGGTAGGTACTTGCAGATACAACGGGCCAGGTGAGAGCCTTGAACATATAAAATCTAAACAAAAGTTCATTTGATATATGCCTATCTCAATCATAGAGGTTATATTGAGCCGGAAATCACCATATATATACTGAACCATATATCGGTCTATGCTGATAGCGTTGTGCATCCAATTCCGTGTATAGTCGTGATTCTCTGCACGTGATGAAGAGAGAGAGAGAGAGATATAAATATATATACGCAGGCAATTAAAGCTTCGAAATTCCCGAGACGCGTCTACTCTTCGCAGTCTTATACGCATAAGGATGTCTCGCCGAGTCAGGAACAAGGTGGTCGACATCGCCTGTGTGGACCAAGTGCGGACCGGCCTCGTCTAATGTCGTGATGCCCGTGTTGCGCATGGCGGTTTCCAATTCGTCGCGCATGACTATGTCGTGTTAGATGGGCATGGGATGAGTAGGTGTTTTACGCAAGGAAGTACTCACTGTCAATCAAATGCTCCACTCCCTCTTGGCCGTAGTTCGTCGCGAACAGCATGCTGCGTCCCATGCCGACGGCAGTCGCGCCGAGAGACACAGCTTTCAATATGTCGGTACCCCGACGAATGCCGCTATCCACGTATACTTCCATCTTGTCAAAGACCTCCGGGCAGCGTTTGTGGAGTTCCAGGAGCGTGATGATCGAAGGCGGACTGGTGTCCAGATTGCGTCCGCCATGGTTACTGAGCAAGATGCCGTCCAGCCCGGCTTGCATGGCCAGCATGGCGTCGTCCGCGGACATGACGCCTTTCAGACACACGGGGAGATGCGTGTGTTTCCGAACCCAAGCTAGATCCTCCCATGTGAGCCCCGGGTCGATGAAACCGGCCATGACGCGACCCAGGCCGCCGCCTTTCTTGTCGTTCGACGCTGTGGACGGCGCCATTGGTACTGACAGGCTTTCGTCGGCTTTCACCCGCTCGTCGGCCTCGCGCTTGCCGGGCCAGGCGGCGTCGACTGTCACGAAGATCGCTTTGATGTTGGGGTTGGCGGAGCATTGGCGGAGGAGCGCGGCGGACTTCTCGCGGTCTCGGTTGACGTAGAGCTGGAAGAAGAAGCTTGCGGATGGGGCAGCGTTTGTGAGCTCGTCTACGGTGTAGGAGGAATTGTTCGAGACCTGTCCAGATGGTCAGCATTGGAGGGGACTGTGCAGCTGTCAACGTACTCCTTGCATGATGCCTTTGCTTGCGCAAGCCCTAGCGATGGCACATTCCCCGTCGGGATGGATAAGCTTGGCCATCGCGGACGGGCTCACGAATAGAGGGAAGCTACAGTCCACTCCAAGCATAGTGGTCTTTGGCTCGACGGAGCGAACATTCCGCAACACTCGGGGTCTGAACCATATCCGGTCGAAACAGGACTTGTTGGCATCCCGGGTGATAAGATCTGTTGCCGCACTGTGGTAGAACGCCCAGGCTTTCTTGCTGGCTGTCTTTGAAGCGACAAACTCGAAGTCGTGCGAGTTGATCAGGGTGTGGAGCGGGGGCTTCTCGTTCTCCAAAACTACCTGTGGATTCTCGCTCGGTGGTTGCTTGGTCCATTCGTCGTCGATTGTCGACTCGTCGAGGACTCCCATGTATTTGTCTGAGGGGAGGTTGGACTTAAGAACGCTGGGAGTGTGGACCTCAGAATAGGCCTTGGTGGCATCGTGACCTGCGTATTTCAGAATGACTGGTTATGACCCCGCAGGTTAGCGCATCGTCACTCAGACAGTCTCCAAGTGTGATGCTCACTCGCAGAGCCACCCGGATGTTCCTCCAAAAAGTCTGTCACATCCCACACATGATTATCCACCACAATCCAACAGTCATTGGGGGTGTTATGTCCCACAACCTGTTGGGTAGAGAGGGGTTTCCTGTCCGCCATGATGAATGGCTTTGTACGGGTGATGAGATCGATACGAGAGAATGATTAGGAATGGGGCCAAAGAAGAGAAAAGAAGGAACGAAGAGAAGAGAAAGAAAAAGGCCGCTCTATTATTTACTAAATATGTGACAGGCACTAAGAATTGGAGGATACCAGCTTGCTATGAGGATCGAATTTTGCAGTGCTGGCCGCCAGCTCCTCCACAATGCGGAGATAACCAGATTAGCTCGGTCAATTGGTCCCACCACGATTTGAATCTCGGAAAAGAGGCCCGACTCCGGTCAAGATCTCCAGCAGCAGAACAGCTCAGCTTATAACTGGCATCCATCAATTACATGACTGTATGCCTGTATGCGGTTGAACCTGACGCTACTGATAACGTGGTTGTCTTGCATGAGATTATTCCCACGAGAGGCGGCTGTATTGCCGGAGCTGCAATACCTTCATCTTGATAGGCTAGAGGATTGATTGCATAGCGCAAGTCTCGAATATCCAACCACCTTGGATATCCAACCAGACTGCCAACAATTCCATTTCAAAGCCGGCGAATGTGTCAACTGGAGACTCGGAGAAGCGCCGAAGCCGCAGCTGAAGGGGCGAAACAAATCAGTCAAACTCATCTCGGCCGAATACCCCACCTGTCACCTGACATGACCGCTGATACCAGCCACAGTGGCGCGATAGTCCGTGTGGCTGGAATGGGGCGGGAATTTCAGGCACAAATGGCTTATCGCTCATGCACGATAACTCACAACAAAGGTCTCTAGGGCTGATCAAGAAGATAATCGTTATCTACTTCTGATGCGGGTGGCTCTTGGTGTAGACAATCTGTCAAGGACTAGTAATACTTCCTGTCTAAGGCGTGTGGCACTTCGAGGGATTCCTGTCTTGCACCAAACCCGGTTTGCATCCTTCCAGCGGGAAAAACCAGGTATGTGCCAGTTTGCCCCAGGACAGAATGAAAGAAAGGATGGGGCCGGAGGAACGTGATATTATTACATATGGCCCCTATAACCAATTTCTTTGCTGAGACTAGACATGATCAATGGGAATAGTACACTTAAACTTACAACCAAAAACAGTGATTTGGAGTAACTGGACCCCTCGTTATCCATTGCATACACCAAGATTCCAAGAGACGTGGTGCAAACCTTTCTCATCCGTCAAGATGTCTGAACCACAGCCGTTAAGATACGTCGATGTGGGTTCTCCTCCTCGACCCTCAAGTGTCCTTGGTCTGACGGAAGAACCTGATGAATATCTAGATCGGGATCAATTTTAGCGATCCCGTGTTCAGGGGAGAGTATCACGGCAGACAAGTCCATGAGAACGATTTGGACGATATCATCCAGCGTGCCCGCGATGTGGGCTGCCAAAAATTCATGGTCACTGGCTCCGATCTCGAGGAGTCGCATCGGGCAATTGAGATCGCTCGGAGCTACCGTACGTCCAATCATGCCCCCCCGGTGGGCGCTATAGTGACTGTCTCTACTGATGCTGATTTCTCCCATAGCGGGCTTCTGTTATGCCACTGTTGGAGTGCACCCGTGCCAGGCTAAGCTTTTCGATTCATATCCGGGAGGTCCCTCTAAATTGATTGACGACCTCCGGACTTTGGCTCAAGAATCCAAACAGTCGGGATATGTTGTTGCCTTTGGAGAAATCGGGCTGGACTATGACCGACTGTTTCTGAGCGCCAAAGAGCCACAGCTCAAGTACTTCGAAGCCCAGCTGGATCTGGCCGTGGAAATCCAACTCCCTCTTTTCCTTCATTCCCGCGCTGCCAGTGAAGATTTTGAGAAGCTTCTGGCGCCGCGACTAGCCAAACTTCCCAAGGGTGGTCTGGTGCACAGCTTTACGGGCACGATGGAGGAGATGAACCGGATGGTGGCTCTCGGCCTCGATGTGGGCATCAACGGATGTAGCTTGAAGACGGAGGAAAATTTGGAAGTGGTGAAAGCTCTGCCACTAGAGCGCCTCCAAATCGAGACCGATGGTCCTTGGGTATGTGGTCGAACTATCTCTTCCTCTGGCCCCTTTCACTAACACGATCGTCTTAGTGTGAAATCCGGCCTTCTCATGCGTCCTCCAAATACTTGGAAGGAGCGCCGACGCTCCCCAAGGCCGTGAAGAAAGAAAGGTGGCAGAAAGGAGCCATGGTCAAAGGAAGGAACGAGCCAGCTGCCATCGCGCATGTTGCCCATGTTATCGCGAATCTCAAGGGGATCACGGTGGAGGAGGTCTGCGAAGCGTATGTAACCTTCTACGTCTGCCATGGCTTCCGATCTATTCAAGGTGCTGACACACTCTATTCTAGGGCTTGGAACAACTCCATTCGAATGTTTGGACTAGGGGAATCGGTGTAGTTTCGGCTTAGATCTTGTTCTCTTCGCGCCAATCTTATAGAATATCTTGTCGTTGTCGGGCCACATATGAGAGAATCAACACGTCCATATCATGTCATCCCAGCCTCACCTGACTGGACTCGACATGAGACAACACGGGATGGGCTTCTTTATCCTTTCCTTTCCGTCTTTATTCGGCATGTCTCATTAAACGACCCACAGGTTCTACAAAGCCTTTATCTGATAGACCCAGAATCTACATCTTCTCATCAACCAATAAGCGATCGAATTGCTCATTCATTCTTCATTCACTGCCTCAACTGACGCTCATCTACCATTCCATATGTCATAAACAACACCAGAATCAGTTAGCGTGGGTTGGGCTGCCTGAGTTCGGTGGCCACCTTCCTGCTTTGCCTGCCCTATTTAACTGTCCACAGACTCCTTCCGTCACCCTTACATCTTTCTCTTCTACCTCTCTTCGTAATTCTACTCCATCTGTCCCCTTGGCCGTGCCATTCCATTAGGTTTTCCCTCTTTCAATCATCCCGTGATCACACATGCTCATCCAAGCGTCATCTTGCACGAATCCTGATCTTTGATTCAAGATGACTGTTCTTTTGTGTCCCTCGCCCTTGGGCTAGCCTGCTCAGCTCCTTTCTTCGCTATCTCATAGTGATCCTGTGTTTGGCCCCTACCATTAACGATCACCACTCGTTCATTCCCCCTCAAGATCTCTTTCTATAGCATAAACTCCATCTCGGAAATCCTTTTGTCTAGTCATGTCCATCAGACAAACCCTCGAGTCAGCAGGACAGTCCACTACTTTTCATCCTGCGCCGGAGGCTACGATGGCAGTTCCTTTGGCGCAGAACACGCCAAACAGCCCCCATGTCTCGCATCGCCGTAAGTGCTTCCAGTAATATGTTTGGAGCTTAATGGGACGGCCACGGGTTGCTCATTGACTTGCGCGCATTAGCTCAGATCGAGAGGTCGTATTGCCAGGATCTCGCGCCGATAGATTCTGGCCTCCCGGACAATTTTGCAGAAGTTGTGAAAGGTGTTTATCGCAGCTCTTTCCCCCTCGCAGAGAATCTTGAAACATTGAAGGAACTGGGTTTGAGGACCATCCTGTAAGAAGCGATATCCTATGCAGCTATTGTTATCCGCTGACGGCCTAATCAACAGTACTCTCGTTGACGAGCCCTACACAACAAGCCATCTGAAATTTCTCAATGACAATGGGATCTCACATCTCCGTATCATCATTCCGCCAAACAAGGACCCAGAAGTCGAAGTGTCGAACACCGACTTGGACAGGATCCTTGGAATTTTGCTCAACAAGGCAAATCATCCAGTGCTCGTTCACTGCAACAAAGGCAAAGTATGTCTATCATCTGGTAACGACGCTGTGATGCATATAGACTGACCTCGTTTGAAAAAGCATCGTACAGGTTGTGTCGTTGCCTGCTTCCGCAGGTTGCAAGGCTGGGCGCTCCAGGATGTTATTGACGAGTACCTGAAGTATTCCACGCCAAAGTCCAGAACACTCGATGTGAGATTTATCGGACTGTTTGATTCATCAAGGCTTTCTCAATTGGCTCAGCACTCTGGCGTCGCATCATGGGCGTCGTCCACTATGCACCTAAAGACGCAATCCGAACACAACGAGCGGGAGCAGATTCCACCAAATCGCCGCATCTACGCATCTCGAAGCGAAGTCCGAGCATCCGAAGTTCGAGCATCTTAGAGGTTTCATAAAATCTTGAGCGTCATTGTTTTCGCCACGTGTCATGTACGCTGTCAGCCTGTTTCTGCCGTCTTTTTTGGCCCTCGGAATGGTCTGAAGTTAAGGGGGATCTTGAAGGATATCTGTGCGACAATGTCTGGGAATGGGGACAAATTGTTGACTGGAGGGTACGGTGTATCGATCTCATTTTTCATTCAAATTGGCTCTTATCTGTTTGGGGTTTGAAGTTTGGTCACTTCCTGTTTGGTTGTAGGTATCTGTCTGCAAAAAAACTTGCCTGTAGTCTTGAGAAGTGTGAAAGTTAGACTTGTCAGATAAGCTGCACGATCTTCCTCACATTACAAAGGATATATCCATCTCTAGCATTTAAATATCATGTCAACGGAAATATTGTTCTATCATAATTATTATTATCATTTTCATCATTCTCTGTTTTCGTAAGACTACACTAAATATCTAACAGAAGACACATAGCCCCACTGATCAAACATCAACAATTGAATATGCATCGCCTTGATACTACGAGATACTATCCGCAACCATACCCAGCTAATTGCATATTCGTAACTAGTCACAAAGCATATAATCGGACTCGTCTCCCACACAATCCTTCCCGTCTCTTCGCCACGGAAGAGACATTGGATTTTGGAGCTCATAATCAACCGCATCCGCCAAAGACACTTCGTCCCCACGAGGCGCATGTTCAAGCAACGAGCAAAGCAGCTCTTCTTGGTCGGGACACAAATCAAAAATAACAATATCTTGTGGGGTAAACGTACTACTTGGAGAAATGGTAGTTTCTCTATCGAACGATAAGAGCGAACAGGTATCTCCTTCTTCTTCCGCCGCGTCGTCGTCCGCGCCGATGTAGGAGTCTGATATGGTGTCTTCTCTGTGATTATACTCTCCGAGAACATTCTCTCCGAATGCCTCGAGGAGGGAGTCGTCGCTTAGAAGCCCAGATTCGAGGGATAATTCTGCTCTTGTTTTTTGTGAGGAGTGTAGCTTTCGTGCAGCTTGTGGGTCGTAGAGCTGTTTTTGCGCGATGCACCAGAGGGATGATTTGATTGTGTCGCGGAGGTTGATGATGTCCGTGTTTGGGTGAGGGTGAAGGTTTTGAGCTGCTTTTGGGTGTTTGGGGAAGAGATTTTGTAGATTGGAGGCTTGTTCGCGTAATATGGGGTTGCGTGTTGTTTTTAGAAGGGAGGTGATCGATTTGGCGATTGATGGGATTAGTTGGGCGCGTTGGTTCATTGCCTGGTTGGTTGGGTGGGATGGTTAGTTGACTGGGTGGTTTTGGGGGGGGGGGTTGGCGTTCAGTACTTCTCTGTACCCGGGGCTGAAAACTGTGGGGACTGTTTGGGATAGAGAATGAGGGGATTCGGGTTCAGGGCTTGCCATGTAGTAGTTCCCCTGGTGAGATGGACCTGCGATTATTCCTTCTAGACCGTTTTTGAAAAGGGAGACAAAATCTTGGGATATGTGGTCGTGCTCTTCTGGGAAAGTGGAGTCATCGTTGATATACGAATACGGTTGACTATTCTCTTCTTCTTGTATTTGGTAGACGTCGTCGAGGATGTTCAACTCTCTATCTGCGTCAATCACCGGTGTAGTGCTTGAAGCACAGGTTTCAATAAAAATTGGAATGGTAGGGATCCAAGCCGGGAAACTCGATGTATGTAGCTCGTCATATGTATTGATCCTCAGAACAACATTGATTGTAGAGACAGAAGCGACTGGGACAGCGGGAGGAGGGTGAGCTTCCTGGGGATTCCGCAACCAAGTCGGGATTCTCGACCGCTTCGCCAATGCGGATCGTATTGGGGTTTTCCGCGCCCCGAGCGAAACCTGAATCCCATCCCCTTGGTCGTTATACTCGCAGCTTTTCAGGTAGACTGTAAGACCTAAATCATGCCAGATCTAGACCATTGCCGTCAGAATATATATCCGTTAGGGAGGGATGTATGGGCAAAGCCACACATGGGGCTGGTTACCTTGGAGGTGCATATGATATCCGCAACACTAGATGTCACATTTGATATAGGACAGACAGGGCTCTGAGTGGCTTTGATGTAGATGTGTAATCTGAGCTCGGGGGTCTGGTCGAGCCAGACTTTGCTTGAGTGGACCGCCTCCTCGAGGATTCCTACGTCTCCTGCGCTCCATGATGCAGTAAAACCGATCTGTATTGATGTGTGGAGCGTAATCTCCAATGTGAGATCAGAAGTCGAAAGAGATGTCTCTCCCAGATCAATCGTATGGGTCATTGTATGGCCACCATCAAGTCATAAAAGTGGGGTGTGACTACGGAGAATTGATTACGGGTCAACACAAAAGATGAGAATATTGATGGTACTGGCATCGTTGTTTATGCGCATTGGGGGTTCATATCTGAAGTCATATACTACAGCGTGTGACTTTTATACATCTGTGTATCCAACTTTAGCTCAGAACTTTAAATACATACCCCACTAGTACCATTCAGGGATAGATAATGTACTCTACAGGGGGTGATCTCAGGAGCCAAGAAACATCATGAGATCTGATATATATGAAACGTTCAGCAATTATACTAATCAGTTATAGGACCTCACAGAAATGTCGTTCTCTCACTAAGAAATCCATCCAAGAACCCAACTGAGACCAGAATAAATAAGATGAGATCATCTTATTGTTGCCTGATACGGTAACCGTTATCGATAAGCGCATCACGTGCACATCCCCATGATTATCTGGCCGCAATGCATCACCCGCACGTGGAGATGGAAATACCAACAACATCGCCAATTTCTTTAGCAATGCCTGGGGATGAAGGCGAATTTCCTCTTTTGACCGAACAAAATGACTACTCCAGTCCTTACTCCCCCCCTTTAGTCCCACTTTCTCCCATCGGACAACACGACCAAACCGCTCACTCGCTCCTACCTAGCGCATCCCCGACTTCTCCTATAAATGGTCACAAACGCCATTCCTCCATGTCGCAACCCGTTTCAGAAGGACAACGTCGCACTCCCCGCACTACGAACCGTGTCAGATTTGACATTGAAGACGGAGCGGGAGATGAGCGCCACTCGGGTAGCCCTGAGCGCATCTCAGGGGAATCCGCCTCGTCGTGGTTGGAGGAGGAGGATTATACCCGCGCGACGAATCAGCCAGGCATAAGTGGCTCTGGGCAGATGGTACCGCTTCTCACGGACATAGAAGCACCGAGCGTGGCCCTTGCTACCTCGGAGGACTTCTTCCCTGAGGAGCACCTTGAAAGTGCCAGGCCGCGGAGTGGAATGCGGATGGCCTTTATGAACATGGCCAATAGTATCATAGGCGCGGGGATTATCGGGCAGCCCTACGCCCTCAGACAAGCGGGTATGCTGGCGGGTATGGTCATGCTGGTGGCTTTGACGGTGGTCGTGGACTGGACGATCCGATTGATCGTGGTAAACTCGAAGTTGAGCGGCGCGGATTCGTTCCAGGCTACAATGCAGCACTGCTTTGGGAGAAAGGGGCTGATTGCCATCTCAATTGCCCAGTGGGCCTTTGCGTTTGGCGGCATGATTGCTTTCTGTATTATCGTGGGCGACACGATCCCGCCTGTCCTAAGTGCCTTATTTCCGTCGCTTCAGGAGACGTCTTTCCTCTGGCTGCTCACCAGTAGACGAGCCATTATTGTTCTCCTTATTATGAGTATTTCATACCCGCTGTCTCTGTATCGAGATATAGCCAAGGTATGTCCTCTTCGGCTAAAATTACCCCGCGTCTTCTTCCCATCATTGTCTGACCATCGAGTAGTTGGCAAAGGCGTCGACATTGGCGTTGGTAAGCATGTTGATCATATTAGTGGCTGTTATTACCCAGGGATTCCGTGCGCCCTCGGAATCTCGAGGAGACGTGAAGGACTATCTCTTCGTCAACTCTGGTTTCTTCCAAGCCGTGGGTGTGATATCTTTTGGTATGTCCCCCGTATCAATGAGACTGGGTGTAGTTGGAATCGTATACTGACCATGACAGCCTTCGTTTGTCGTATGTAGTACCGCTCCCGTCCATGATCGCAGACTAACCATATCGAAGACCATAATAGTCTGTTGATCTACGGCTCACTCAAGAAACCAACATTGGATCGATTTGCAAGGGTGACCCACTATTCCACTGCAGTCTCTCTCCTCATGTGTCTAGTGATGGGTATCTCGGGTTTCATGTTCTTTGGCTCCAAGACCCAGGGCAACGTTCTCAACAACTTTCCTCATGATAATATCATGGTCAACATAGCTCGACTGTAAGTCTTGTGACCGTACACTGGAGAAAGTCTTGGACTGACATTAGTAGTTGCTTTGGTTTGAACATGCTTACTACCATGCCCTTGGAAGCGTTTGTCTGCCGTTCGGTCATGACCACTTACTACTTCCCCGACGAACCTTTCAACATGAACAGACACTTGATTTTTACGACCGCTTTGGTCGGCGCGGCAATGGCACTGTCCTTGCTCACATGTGATGTCGGAGTCGTACTCGAGCTGGCTGGCGCGACAAGCGCTGCTTCATTAGCTTACGTTTTCCCTCCATTGTGCTATATCAAACTGAGTAAAGCCAGTCGACGGTCGAAGATCCCAGCCTATCTGTGTGTTGGGTTCGGGATCGTTGTCATCGGAGTTAGCTTGGTGCAAGCATTTTTCATGATCATTGGTATGTTCACAGCTTCAAGTAGCCTAATAGAGACCACCTGGACGCGCTAACCACTGATTCTTGTTTATATAGATGGCAGTGATTCTGGTAGCTGCAGCTCCTGACCATTCCATAAATTGTCCATATGCGCCTGATAGACTTGTCGGCCCTTAGATCTCGATCTTGATGTAAATATATAGGGCTTTACCATTAGTTCGTTGTTTATATCCCATCGCTACAAAACCCAAACCACTTAGGCGATTTACCACATCACATTCTTCAACTTTAAAAAGTTCACAACCAGTAGGGTTGGTAGGTCGGGGATGTCAGGACTCGATGTTGCGATGTTCCTCCGTTTGCCAGAGCGCGTTTGGTTTTCCCAGCAACCCACTCCTCTCAACGGCCGTACAACTTGCATATACTCATTCATTTCTTCATTCACTCTTTTCTTTCCTTCACCTTGTCGTCACACGAGCGCCTTCAGCTAGTTCTGCTTCTCCGTTGTGGTCACGGCCGAACCTCTCTTCTTTCCACGCGCCATCCATTGCCAAATTCACGCATCGTCTTTCAGCTAGGGTCACCAGTTTTTTGTTTCCTTGACAGAAAGAAGTACAATCTGTTGTCTCTTGATACTTAGAAGTGGACTCTTGTTTCTACGACTATGACTGGATTTAGGTGGTGTTTCTAGCCGCCCAATACTGTCGTCGACTGCATCTCTCCGTCTACTCTGAAGCAACACCGTCTCATCGAATTTTGTCCACTCTTTCCATTTTCTCATCATCTTTCCATCTGAGATACTGTTACTGTCGCCTGATAATTTGACTCATCATGGATCCAGTGACCGCAGAGCGGCTCCAGAAGCTGCAAATGGTGAGGACTCTATCTACTCCTCTACTCTTCTTTGGGCTCTGCCTAATACTTGGGCGAAACCGAATCAATAGGCCGATCTAGGAACAGCAAGACGTGAGCACATCTCGACTGCGGATAGCGCAAAGTTCAACAAGCTTCGTCTTGAAGACATCGAAGCAACCCGGCTATCGAACAAAGTCGGATCCAGGGCCCAACGTCTGGCCCAGACAAACAAGGATAAACTCGCGGGATGGACCAGTAAGTCACGGATGAAAAGATCAAGTTTGCGGAGTCGCTTTCTAAATACATGACTAGACGTGCACAAGACTATTGGAGATACGGAAGACCTAGAGGATCTCGACAACTTGATGAATGGCCAGAGCCACCGTGCACATCTCAACGCCAGCGTACGCCGTGTGGATGAACCGATAAGATCTTCGAGGGGAGCCCGAACCTCGGGGCGCGGAGGCGGCGTGGTTGGAACTCGAGGTCGACGGGTCGCTCCCTAGTAAGTGTCACATTGCCAGTGAACGACTGTATGTCCGTGGCTCTTTACTAAAGTATCAGCCCCCCTGTAACTGCAGCGAACTCGGTTCCCATTCCACCTGACCGAAAGCGTGTGCAAGACCTAGCGCTAGTTCCAGAGATCAAGAAAAATGACCATGAAACAAGTTCTCAGGGAACAAAAGCGTCATGTGAGTTTATACAAACCGGTCTATCATGGTTGACAATGCAATACTAATCGCACAGCCTCTAGCTTCAAGTGTATCTTCTTTCCCCCATGGCAAAAAACCGCCGGATTTCCTCAAAAGCAGAAGGCCGATGTAAGTGTCAACCTTCGTGATTAAATCACAAGTCTGATATCCTCGCAGCACGGGTAAGGGCGACTTCTCTAGATTGATCAGCCCACCAGAGAGCTTCATGGCTGCCGCTCGACAGATGATGCAGATTCAGAGCATAGTCAGAGAACCCTCCGCACCTAAGACGCCGCCACCGACAGTCAGTGAGCCGGTGCAAAGTCGGAAGGCCGTTACAGAAACATCCAAAACTAAGGCATTGCCGCCTAAGGTAGCCGATAAGAATGAGCCGATGCTAAATCGGGAAGTCCAAGACGTGGATAAAGCCAGAAGTTCCGTTACATCCAACAAAGAAGATCCGGCCAAGAAAGGCACTCAGACGTCTGTTGATGGCAACGAATCCATGTTGACACAGAACAGAGGCGAAGGTCCTTCTAAAGCAAAGGATGCTCCTAAAGTCAAGGATGGTGAAATTGAGAACAGTGATTCGAAGGCTATGAGCCTGTTGCACCCAAAAGACCAGGGGCAGACTATCTACCAGCCAAAGTGTCACCAAAATCAGCCTTCGACTCCATTGAAGGAAGCTCTGGCGCCTAAACAGGCGACTCCCAATAACAAGACAAGCACAGAAACAGCCATACTTCTGGACTTCAGTGCTACGCCACCTCGAGGGCCCTCTCTTCAAGATGACTTGGCAAGCCCTGCACTCCAGGACCTCAAGGGACTACAATTTCAAGATATGTTGTTTGATAGAGGTACTTTAAGTTTGGGGCAACGGGAACTGTGCAATTCTACATTCGCCCCAGCAAAGAAGTTGGGCTTCCAAGATACCGAGGAGGAGAAAGCTAACGCGACTGACACTCAAGTTTCAACGCCCGTCGCGCACCCCAGTCCACATGATACCCACCAGCGTGACATAGAACTACTATGCGAACTTATGGAATCGGCATCATTGTCCAATGAGCACCGTGAAAAGCTAAAAGAGATAGAAGCGGAACTATACAAGTCCCAGGGACCTACCCCAGTGAAACGCAAGACAACCACCATAAAAGTCCCACAAACCCTTCTACCGGAAATGAAGCGAGAAACACCAGAGGAATTGTTGGGTCCTACGTCATCTTCTGTGGCACAAACACCAATCGTGACAGGCATGACACGCTCGACGCCAGCACCCACGAACAGCCCAAGCCCGCAAAGCCAGTGGAATATCAAAGCGCCGCCGTTCGTCCCACGCGATGTCTCGAACTACCGCTCACCACCAGATTGTTCCTCCAGTGATTCCACCGGGAGTCTGAAATCACCTCCTCAACCCGGTCAACCGATGCCTGTCGATATCGATCATATCATCGGCGACCACCTGCTACCTGGAAGGAGGGGAAGTCATGGAGCTCTAGGCTCGGTTCCCATGAATGTGTCTACTTCTGCTGGTTCGTCTTCCATCCAAACATGGATATACATCTAACCAGCCTGCTAACTTTCTTTCAGTCCCAGACAAATCTTCAGTCAAGTTCGACATGCCAAAGGCACCCCAGTCAACTCGTGCTCTTCCCCTGAACAACCCCTTCTCTCCCCGACCCATTGAGAGTCTCAAAAAGCCCACCGGGTTTTCCATACCACAAGTCCTTCCTAGACTCACCGAGCCTTCCACTCCTTTAAGAGTGCCGAAGAGCAGAGCAGTCCGCATTACGGACCCCAACGGCAACGATTTGAGCGAATCAATCTACGCCCCTAAGCTCGTCGGATCCAGACCAATTGTCAGAGCTCCCAGCAACGCAGTACCGACTGGCGCCGTGAGAATCACCAGCCTCAACAGCAGCACCACGAGTCAACAGGTCCACGCCGCTAAGCCCGTCGAATCCAGATCAACATTCGGTATCCCCAGCAGAACCACACCAAGCAGTGCCGTGAGAATCACCGACCCCAACAGCACCACCACGAGCCAACAGACCCACGCTCGCAAGCCCGCCGAAACCAAGCCTAAAACCACCGTCCGTCCAGCGGTGAGTGGCCTGGAAGGCTCGATATACGCCACATCTCCATCCCGCAGGCCTCGCCGTTAGGCTGGTCAATAAGAATATTCAAAGTTCAATACGTTCCGCTATCTCGTTCTGTATTTAATCGGAATCTGTTTTCCTGTTTTACTTCCTTGCAATGTTATTTGCTCTCCCTCCTCCTGGTTCTTCTTTTCCCTTTTGTCTTTTCTTTTAACCAGCCTTGGTATCTCCGTCGTTCCTGGCGTTACAAACATATTCCCGACTGACGTTCCTATGCCATTTTTCTCCTTCTTTACGGCTGTACACTATTCAACGCTGTTTGTTCCTCGCTAGCTCTCCCTTCTTTTCCAGTGTTGCATGTGCACGAAGCTTGGAGAATACCCCAAGCACTATGGAAATCTGTATGTACTCGTTATTAATCAATCAAGGATATGTCATTGTCGGAGTATCCGCAAAGTGCGCCTTCGAGTTGCACGTAGTAAGTATTATATAGATACTTTCCATATAGACCTGCCGAAGGTGACATAGAATAAGTCTGGGTCAGGAAGCATGATATAACAAATAAAAGAGAGAATGCGCAGCGAACAACGAACAAGAACAAGCTACTGCATACTATCGAAACTGAAAAACAACAAAAGCCAATATCAAAAACGACAACATCAACGCCTGAAACACCAGCAAGATAAACCCCATTTGTCCTATTTCCTAACGCCTATGCATATAGGCCCGAAGCCACCGAGAAGGTAGATAGATAGATAGATGCCCTTCACAAGACAAAGTAGGACTATGTATGTCCGGAAATGGAAGAGCTAACTAGCTAGCTGGTATCCATTCTATTGTTGTCTTTGGTGCTGTTGCTGCTGCTGCTGCTGCTGCTGCTGCTGTTGCTGCTGTTGCTGCGCCAAGCTAGCCTCAACAGCTTTAAATCTCTTCGGATCATTGACACCAACAGTGGAGGCAGGCCCGCTGCCATTGGAGGTTATCGCGTTCGTTACATCATTGAGAGGAGGGCGTTTCCCGTTTTGGTTTTGCGGTGGCCCATAGCCCGGTCGATTTGCTGGTGCTGGTGCTGGGACAGCTGGTGCTGGGGTATTCGCTGTGGTTTGTGGGCCAATGTTCGGGCGTGTTAGTGGGCGGAAGGATGAGGTTGTTGGGGGTCTGTTCATTGGACTGCCGCCGCCGCTGCCGCCTGGGGCGCCGATCTTGCGGGTCATGTCTTGGGAGGGATTGATGAAATCGCGTGTGGCGTTCGGAGCAGGTGAGGCGCCGGATAGCATGGGTCTTGAGACGGGGAGGGACTTGGTGTGATCTACGCCGGCGGTTTTGCGAATTGATGGGCTTTCTGCGTGGGGATCGAAGGCCGTTGCGGATGGGTTGTGTGGGTTTTCTCGCAATAGGTCGGCTGTCCTGGCGGAGAAGAATCCGGCTGAGGGAGAACTACCCGGTGGGAGCATGTCCTGGGCTTTGAGGTCGGGGTTGTTCGAGCCGAACTCGCGTTTTACCGGTGGTGGACCGGCGGCTGCTGTGGCGGGTTTGTTGAACTGTGGGTGGGATGTCTGCTGTCCGGGTGGTTCTGCCCTGGCCTGTTCAACGCTTTGCAGGTGGACATGAGGACCAACGCGGGATTGATTGGTATTCCCTGGTGCGGGAGGAATTTGTCGACCATTGAGGGCAGGAGGGGGAATCTGCCTGGCGGCAGGCCCTGGATTCATGGGTCTTCCTGGTTTGGAGGGCGTTACCATAGCCGGGTTCGGCCTCCCGTTGGGATGGAAGTTATTCCCATGAGGTGCTCGATTGGCGTTAGGTCCGTGCAAAGGAGTTGGTGGCTGCTGTGTGTCTGGTCCGATTACAATTTCGTCGGGATTCCCAGCCTCGGCTACCCCAAAGTCTGCCTCGTCGAACAAATCACCTGCTGCCATTAGCGATCGCGAATCACAAGACAACCGCCTCTATATACGTACTCCCAAACTCTCCACCGTCATCGGGTGAAGTGCTATTACTCGTATTGACGGGTTTCGCAGTAATTGCCGGACGCGGGGGAAGATCATCATCCTCGGGCGTTGGTTTGGGCCGGACAGGCTCTTTTCTAGCCACAAAGTCAGGGTGGCGGTGTAGGTCATCAACATCCCATCTGGCCTTGATTGAACAGTCAATAACCACCGCGGTCCCAAACCATGGAAGACACCTACCGGCGCGGCTTTCACTTTCGTAACTTTCGAGATGTAGTCCTTGTCGTAAATGCAATTACCAAGCACGTTGCCAAAGTTCCTTAGTGCACGCTTGAGGCCATCAGTCGTGCCCTCTTTTTTGGCTTTCTCGAAAGCCGCAGCTTTCCCTTTGCAGTTCTCGATGTGACCGTATCCGATGTCCTGTGAATCCAACAGGTCAATATTCGTGAAAAGAGCCGGTATCTCGAATAACAAAGCACATACTTCGTGGAAAGTTCCATCCTTTAAAGTGACCCTGATGATCACAGATAGACCCAGGCTAATCTTCCCCGTATTCGGACTCTCCTCGACCTGGCAAAACGAAACAGTTAGCCTCTCCTCCCTCAGCACCTCATCTCCAGCGTGCGAAAGCCCAAACATACAAAATCGATCTGAATATTCTGAATCGAGCTCGACCACCCATTAAACCCAAACACCTCATTCGCAAGATTGATACATTTATCCGCCGAGAGGTAATGCACTTTCTGGCCCCCGGGACCCGATCTGGAGGAGATGTATTCGGGCCCAAGCTTCTTGTCTAGGCGAGATTGGAGGGTGGCGATTTCTCGAGCGGTGTACTCGTTCATGCGGCGCTGGGGCTCTTCAAATGGGTTTCCTGACATTGTTCCGGTCGCGTTGGGCATCGTGATGCATGCTGGTCCGCCTCGATGTTGGTCGCCGACACTAAGTAAGAGACGCGTTAATGAGTTTGAGGGGGTGCGGGTGTGGTAGGATAGGATGTGGGAAGTGTGGTTTTGCTTACGCAGGCATAGTATGTTAGATAAGTGTAGCGAGTGCAGTCGATATCATCGGAGAGGACACGACTGGTCGGTGGTGAGGTGGGTTGATTGACAGGGCATGTTCGTACGTTAGTATAGCGGGACGCGTGACGGATGCCGACACGCCTTATCGCGATGTCACGTGACCACATATTCCGCAACGGACCCTGACTCGATCACTTGTGGTTATTGGTCGTATCTCACTGGCTTTCATTCTAGATCCAATGCTTATGGAAATTGGAAGACTACACGCTGATGGTTTAATTTGAGACTAAGTTCAGCTCAATGCTACGAGTTACACTGCTGTGGTAATGCGACAATGCGTGATGTCTAACGAACAGCACGCCGACACCAATACTTCAACCCGCAGGTGTGTCGGTCAGATAGAATTATGCTCAATTAACCCATCACGTCTTGTGAAGGTTTAATGAATATTATTTCCTGGGCTCGCAATAATATGGCATCATTGAATGACGAGACTGGCACTGGGGATCAAGCCCAGGTCTTTCAGTGACTCGCCAAAATACTCCGAATCAAAGACCTTCCTCGGGAAGGTCTGCAAAAAGCTCTGCACCTCAATGCCATCTTCTTGGTTCAAAGCCGCCGCGACCTCAAAGAGCGTGGTAGTGACGGGCAACGTCTTCATAACGCTACCCTTGGGTGTTTGGAATCGCAGGCGAGTCTCCGTGTAAGCAGACGCCGGTTTCGATGCGACAGGTCCCGAGGTTGTGGGCGCGGGTGCCGGCGCCGGTTGAGCAGGAAGTGGCTTTCCCGCTCGTTCCGCTTTCTCGCGTTCAGATCTCAATCGGCGCTCTTCCTTGTCGGCTTCGATCTTGGCTTTCACCCGTCGCTTGGCTTCGATCTCATCCTGCTTCTCCTGCTTCTTCTTCGCGGCCTCCTTCATCCTCTGCTTCTTTTCGAGATCCTCCTTGGCATCCTGGTTTTCCTTGTTGCTCTTTCTTCGGATTTCCTGGAGCAAAGATGAGGAGTCAGACAATGATTGTTGGGGTGTGAGGGATGTCTGTCATACCTCGTTCCTCTTCTTATCGGCCTTCTCCTGCTCCGTCAGACCGGCACGCTTCTCGGCTAATTTCAGGCGGAGCTCCTCCAACTTTGCTTTCTTCTCCTCCTCCGTCAACGGCTTGAGTTCTTCCGTGGATTCAGAGAAGTCGACATGTTCCGATTTGGAAGCGTGGAATTCTGCCTGGGCCTGGCTTCGGAATTTTTTGCCGCACTCGTTGCACACCAGGCTGCGGGCCTCTTCACCGGGCTGCAACGGGGGTCCCTCTTCTTCCTCTTGAGCATCATTGGACGCCTTAATCTCGTCGAGCGATTTGTCTTGGTTCTGTTCGAGCCATTCGAGAGCACCCTGGACTGTAGAGATTGTCAGGTCAGATATGAGACGGCAGAACGCTGACGGGGAGTAAACCTACTGCCACCGGTCTTTGACACGGCTAGCTGGGCTCTTTCTTTATCAAAGCCCATCTCAATGAGCTGCTCTAGATCGGATGCCATGGTGGGCTGCTAGGTGTTGCGCGGTGGGGTGATTGGGTTGACAACGCGGGGTAATGGGTGATATGATGAAGACTAGCTGCCTTTTGGGAAGAACGATGGTTGAAGGCGTATTAATAACAGTGGTAAGAGATAAATCCTCTGGATAATTGTGGACGAGATGATGGTTAGTGAGGTGTGAAGTGGAAGAAGAAGAAAACACGAAGTCTTTGGAGAGGTTCCTGGTGACGTATTGGTTTTGGGTCCATCCATTCTCTGGTTGATTGCGGGAGGGCCCGCTTTACGCCGTGTTACCATTGTTACAGTATCATCCTGGCTATCCTCCTCCAGCATCGTGTATCTCTCTGTTCTACAGGGTACCTTGTGTCTAGATCTTTCTCTGGGGTCTATTGGGGTTGACTGTTATGGAGTCGGTGTTTAACATGGTTTTTTATGGGAGAGTGGCCATGACACCACTCTAGGATGTAAGATCCGCAGCCATCAGGCATGTTTGTTCCTGCTTGTATCTTGAGCTCAGGGCGACCAACTTCGGCTTGATCACCCAGGTCGGGACGAGATCAATGCTGACATGTCAATGCAGTGACATGTATTGGGCCTCATTAGGGCTCCATAGCAGATGGATTGCCTGGGGAGGAATTATTTTTAGAGGACCCAAAGATGTCGCGGTGGATCCAGAGCGATCGGTCTAAGACAGGGGGAAATGAGCATAAAATAATGAACAATGAATCCAACCGGCGGGTCACCTGGATCTGGTCATCAGCTGATATACTCAGACATCAATATTAATTCGAGTCGGTTTCTGCGATCATTCAAATGCAGCCATGATGATCATGAGAAGAACAAGAACAATAAACAGAGAGAGAAAGCACGAGATCGATTTCATGACATCACCTGACTGTGGCTGAGTCAGCCATATACTGGCCAATGAGCGACACCCCAGGCATCCAAACAGACCAAATCACCCAGAAAAATACGATACCGAACTGAGCACATCGATCTCCATCCGACTGCGGTTACCTTCTGCCTCCTCCCCCATCAACCATCTCCTTCATCTTCTTCTCCCCCCCCCTTAGTTTGGGTGATTTCCCGTCTCATCTTATTCCTCCCCACTTCCCGTTATTACTCTTGCCTACCCTTTTCTCGCTTCCTCTCTTCTTGCTTATTACGTTGATCCTCCTCTTCAACCATACCCCCTTCTCCCCCAGACGCTTCGTCAGCGATTCCTGCGCCGTGCGGTCACCATGTCTGTCGTTCTCGACCCGCCAGAGTTGAGCTTCAAGCGTAGGTGTCTTCGCAAGTCTGCGGTCGTCTTCTACGTATTGACGGGTTCTAGGTCCCTTTAACCGTGAGGTGTGCCAGGTCCTCCACCTGAACAATGAAAACCCCGAGGCTGTCGTGTTCAAGGTATGTCGGACAATCTCCCTTGAATCGTCGATCGCATACTGATACCTTTCATCCTTGTAGGTGAAAACCACGGCCCCCAAGCAGTACGTTGATCCTCGGTTGGATTTCACATGGTATACAAGTGCGAACGCTCACTGGTGGAAACAGTTACTGTGTTCGTCCCAACTCAGGGCGGATAGAACCCGGAAAGCATGTGGACGTCCAGGGTAAGAGACCGATCGGCATGAAGGGTTCGACGATACAGCGACAGCGGCTGACTGTGATACAGTGCTTCTCCAGGCCATGAAAGATGAGCCGGCCGAGGATGCCAAGTGTAAGGACAAGTTCCTGGTCCAGACTGTCTCGGTCTCTCGCGACATGGAGTTTGCCAATGTCACGTCGATCGTAAGCGCAACTATTCTTGTGCCCATATCCTTCACACCCACTAATATGCCTCTAGTTCGAAAAAGCGTCCAAGTCTGCCGTCCAGGAGCGCAAGATTCGCGTGAACTGGCTGCCTGAGGATGCCTCGGGCGCCGAGGAGGGGACGGAGACCAACGGCATTGTATGTACCCATATTCCTATCCATTTTCCTCCACTTGCGCAACGTATCTAACAACATATCTCTTTCTTTTTTTAGCATGTTCCCGATGATGAACCGCCTGCCTACACCTCCCCGAATGCTACCTACCAGACTCCCGCTGTGGGCATGGCGAAATCCACCACGGACACGTCACCGATCCCACCGCCTGATTTCAGCGACAAACCCAAGCGCGAGATCTCGACCCCACAAGCCAGCAATGCCCAACCCACGTCGGTCCGGTCGCCCACCGGGGCTTCCGCCGAGGAGCTCAAGTCCAAGCTGTCCGACGCCAATTCCCAGATCCAGAGACTCAAGGACCGGCTGGCAGACCAGGGTCTGCGTCAGAGGAAGATCGGAGGCGAAACGGAAAGTGCCGGTGCTCCCTTGGCTCAGCGTAGCGCCCAGGCTCCTGTGGCTGGTGTTCCCCTGCAGATTGTCGCCGGCCTGTGCCTGCTGAGCTTCCTAATTGCCTATTTCTTTTTCTAAACGGACCAGGGCACTAGTTTTCTTTCCGTCTTGCACTCTTCGTCCCCCTGTCCACGTGTCTAATGTCGTCCCATTATTATTTGCCTTTTTCTTACCCGAACCAATTGTATTCTCTCTGGAGAGCACTACCTTGATCATTTTCTAGCATCAGCATTGAGTTATGTCTTGCTTTGCTTTGTCGTCTTCCATTTTCTTGTTCTGCGCTTTCAATTCTTCGCCTAGGCATTCCAGGTCGGGCCTTCAACCTACTTATTCTATACGCTTTATTTCTTTTTTTCTTTCTTCAGTTTATTATCCTTCGCTTTCCTTTATTTCCTTATTCTCCTATATGGTATGATCCGTCAGCAGTGCGACTCAACCACCAACCTCGATATAAGAAAAGCGAACTTCTTTGCTCGAGTGTTCGGGGCCCGGTCGTCCAAAGCCCAGCTCAACGCCAGGCCGGTTGCACCTCGGGATCTAGTCATCTTTCTGTATCTTAGCAGCGGACTCACGAGTCAAGTGTTGAAATTTGCGTGTATTACCTTTCCTCCCGCCTCGTCGGATCTGATTTTCTTCTCCCACGTTCATAAGTCTAGCCTCACTAGCTGGCACAATAAAACCAACGGTCTTACGATGATCTCTCTATGAGCATACACCGGGGTATTAGAAATAGTATACGAGTAATAAAGAGTAACGAAGAAGAAAAAGAATATCTGGTATTGCACATCATATGGTTACACAAATTCCAAAGCATCCATCCTTAAAACACCAAACGGGCCCACCGACAGCATCATCATGATTCTATAAGATAACAAACGGGGTACATAAAGCAAATAATAGCAACATGTAGAGAAAGGGGGGGCGGGAGAAATACAAAGAAAAATTTTGAACCGTGAAACTCTCAATTCTGAAGCTCACTCTCCTTCCACCCATCGCCCGACTCCTCAGGCCCAGCTGACGCAGCGGAGATGCCCTCCCCGCTGCGGCCGGAGGAGGTATTACCGCCGCCGCCGCCACCGCCGACGATGCGACCGCCCTGCGCGCGCTTCACACGGCACCAGGGGCCGACGTTCTTGTCCAGGATGAAAGTCCAGATGACCCAGGCCCAGCTGCGGTGGCAGGGGAGGGGTTCGTAGAACTCGGCGGCGATGCGGTGCAGGGTGTGGAGTTTGGTCCAGGGGATGGCGGGGAAGTCGTGGTGTTCGTTGTGGAGGCCGACGTTGTAGGTGAGGATGTTGAGGGGGCCGTAGTAGGAGTAGGTTTCTGGTGGGGGGAGGGAGTCGAGGGGGTGGGGCGTTTTGGTGTCGCTCTTCTTCTTCAGCGCTTCGAGGGATTCGGTGCCTCCTGATTCGACGCGGGAGAAGAAGTAGTGCTCTGCGATGAAGTGGCCGGCGCAGGGGTGGAGGGAGCCTGCGAGGAAGGAGCTCGTGATGAGGTAGAAGAGGGGTTGGAGGGAGCCGCCGCTGAGTTTGGTGAGGGCGATGTCGAAGGAGACTTGGACGAGGATGTTGAGGAAGTGGATGGAGGTGAAGGGGGGACTGTAGATGAACATGGGGCGCAGGGCGTAGAAGAGGATCTGGAAGGTGCAGAAGAAGGCCTTGCCGAGGAGGGAGTCCAGGAGGAAGGCTTCGACGGCGGTGGGGAGGTCGGTGTCGAGGCCGACGACGCCGAGGGATTTGTGGTGCGTGAGATGGTAGGGCTGTTGTTGTATTAGCTTTAGCTTCTCGATCTTTTCCCCCCCTGTCATCTTTTCCTTTTCTTTTTCTGGAGGATTGACGGCTACGTACCCGGAATGCGGCGCTATAGGGGATTCCAATCGGGAGATTGGCGACCATTGCCAGGAGACGATTGCCCATGGGGGATTTGAAAGCCAGGTTATGCGAGATCTCGTGGATGGCCAGGAACAGGTTCTGGTTGGATGTCGCTCCGATCAGGTAGGCCGTGGCCAGGAACCGCCAGGACAGGATGGAGGTGTTGCGGAGGAGGTAGGCGCAGCAGATCTGGAGCGCGACGACGCCGAAGACAACATATTTTGTGAGGGGTTCGGGTCCACAGAGTTTGGTGACCTGATCATCACAGGCGATGAGTTAGTTCTATTGAACGGAGGTGTCAAGGTATATGCTCGGCACGTACTTCTGGGTGGGCTTTGATGATCGCCTGTCGTCTAGAGCGATGCGGTTCCTCGGTATACGTCCAAAAGAATTGGTCATCGACGACTGATGCCTCCGGGGGTGGGATTCTGGTCGAAGCATTCGCAGAGGTTTTGGCATCTGAGTCCGGACCCTTTGCGGCGGAGACGCGGAGGTGCGGTGTACCGTCGGTTTGGACGGCGGACATGATGGTTTGGTGGACAACGGAAAAGTGGGAGAATGGGGGTTTGAATTGCAATTGAATCAACTACGCCATGAAGAGCTGAGTCAAAGTGAAAAGGACAGATGAGAAAATGGAGAGAGGTGGAGCGACGAGCGAAGGACAGGCGGATCTGTTGATCCGAGTGTTCTGATTATTATTCCCTTATCCATAACTTATCCCTGACAGGCACGCGCATGACTAATCTGGTCTAGACCGCTTTCTGTTCGATGCAGGGACGGCTGACTCATCCGTCAGTCATCAGCGTACGTCACAGGGTCTCCTTACCCTAACTGCTCCCTGCGCGGGGCCTACAATTCTATGCCGCAGAAACAAAGAGAGGAAGAAAGGCTGATTATCCTACCAGCTCCTCAAAGGGAGGCTAAGACTAAAGACATATGATGACGCAGGGCAGGCAGGTGCGAGGGTGTCAAGTTAAATTGCGCGTAATCTCGTAGATTGGCATGTTCTGACAACTGTTGGTATAAATATAAACCAGAACAAAGATGGGAGTCGAATTGGGAATGGCAACTTGACAGAGCGGGATAGCGTTTTTGAGTGCATTGAGAGGAAAGCCTTGACCTGGTGGCTAAGACTATCAGACATGCCTGATGACCGGCTTGGGTTTGAACCAGAAGCGGACGATTCCATGGATTGGTAAACCCGAGTAGTTCGTGGTGAAGATGACATCAGTTGCCTGTCTGGCAGTGCTCGCTCAGGGTCTGGCATCTTGAATCAAAGTCCAGTTTGGGGAAAATAAAATTTTCTACTTGCAATTATTGAAATAAAAGAAAGGAATCACCACTCGGCTGCAGCATATATCATGACAATCTGGGCCTTCCAAGCAATCCTGTATCCACTGCAACAACAGTTCAGAGTACCTTGCTCTTCGCCTCTCCCGCCATGTTTGTCATCTTCGCCAGCTTCTCTTTGAAGGCCCTTCATATCGAAGAAGTATCTCACTTCAGTGGTGGTTTCTCAGAACTCAATACTAATCATCAATCCCCAAGTTATTCAAAATCACGCAGCCCGACTTCCCTACCGACATGATGATATGCTTGTATGACTTGGCGATGACTGCATAACTTAAGACCAAGGCATTTAGCTCGACATATTTGATTGATGATTTTCTCATCCACAGCACCAATATGGCAGGATGACAGGGGAACAAAAAGCTTTCCGCAGGGAAGCTACAGGTGACCCATGCCATCGAGATACTTGCGCCGGTAGGCCGCCATGTCAACTAGCCCTTGATAAGGCCTTTGGTGTGTTCGATCTTGTACAGTAGTGTGCTGGGACAGATCTGCCAGAGACCAGACTACCAATCCGCTGACACCACATTCAACGACGACATTGTTTTCTGTTTTTGAGGTAGTTTCGGGAGCGAAATGACGCGATGGTCCTCTGACCCTATAGATATGAATGATTAGCCAAGCTGCATCAACCATGTGGTAGATTGATCGATGCCTCGAAATGGCCATCTTGCCAGGATGCATTGTAGTCCTAAATCAATTGCATCCGGGGCTTCGAGCGGCAAGCAAAGATGTAGGAGAAGTCGACAACTCACATCGGCAGTTATAGCTATTAAGGAAAATGAGGAATCTCCAGTAAGGAGAGATAGGCCTTTCTTCCCAAGTTTTGGGGCTCTTATAAACATAAAGAGCAAGCTATATTGTCGTGCTTGAAAAATGTATATTAAACTTTGCAAGCATGCCGAGATTGCATCTCGCTTGCGGTTAGAGGGCTTGTAAAAACACGAATACGTTTTCTTTGGCCGGTTCAAACAACAGCTCTCATGCTCTCTTTGAAATAAGTTGCAAGATAACGGCAATCTATATATGGTGCCATTATAAGCAGTTTTCAAGATGTGGTATGAAAAAAGAGAAGCAAGATATCGCATTGAATATAGGGTTATATATGAATGCACAAGGTGTCGTGATGTCTTTTGTAGCTGAGGGGTAATTTCTTGATTATTCGCACAAGAAGATTTATGTGTAAGAGATGACTACAATGGAACAGGAAAAGAGAGAGGAAAACAAAGCTCCAATCACCAATCACTCTATAGTCATCAGGCTAGGAATACGTATGATAGATATCATTCACTGAATTACCAGGTGAATGTCGATCAGGGAATACAAAGACGTCTTGGACCTTGGTCAGTGTATCCATCTGAAACTAAGAATTTACAGTGGAGGTTCTAAATGTCTGATTATGGGAACTTGTTTGAGACTGGCATGGGATAAACCAGTCTTCCTGTTATTTAGTTCCCCCAATCATGGCATGGGCCATGTTTCAGATAGCAAGTGAATGTAATTCCTCGGAGACAACGACAGGTTAAATTCGAAGCGGTGACCATCTGGGAAGTGGTTAGCAGCATCCTGAACCACAATAGTCTGGAATACATAGCCATCTCTGCAGAATGCAGACCCAGGATACTATACTCTAAACCGTTTGGGTTCTCGTGGCTAAGTTAGCCCACAACATGATACAGGTGAAATCCAGAAACACAATGAGCACACCATAATAATCTTTTTGAGTTAAGTCTTGCGATAAACGTTGTATAATCAATCGTCGAGACTTGAGGGACAAGCGTTGTCGTTACGGGCCTCCTCCTCTTCTTCCCCGGCTTCCTCAAACCACGCTTCCTCGGTGTACTCATCTGCTTTAGGATTCAATATTATGGCCAGTGACACGCAGCTGCTTGCAACCGCATCCCCGTGCATTGCGCCGGATATGAGGTCTCCTCCCGGCCTCGCTTGTGGCTCCCCTCTGCGGCCCATTTCTTCCCCTCGCCTCCCTTGCCCCCTGACCCATCCTCCGCCTCCTCTTCGGCTGCTGTCACAGCTGTATTAGTTATAGATATTGACCGTTACACTGTAGAGTACTCACCTCAGAAACTGCGGCGCGACCCAGAGGAGTCAATGTGGTGAAGATGCAAATTCTGCACCCCGGACACAAAGCAACTTTCTGCATATCAATGAGATGCATTACTTCTCTGTGTAGGCTGCCCTAGAGTAGAGTAGGTAAACTCTGATGAAGGATTTACAAAGCCGTGGGTGCCGCCAGGGCTGCTAGGAGACGGCAGTAATTGGGAACCGAACACGACCAAGTCGCTCGCAAAGTGATCTCCCCATCTGATGCTCAAATTCGTTGTACCCTGGCATCTTCGAGCTTCTCGGAGAATTTCACCGTTCTACCAATCTACCCTCTCTTTGCTCAGAGTACGTCGTGAAATGGGCCCATGTAATATCCTTGAGTGCACCATGATAGAGACCATTATCAAGTCTTGAACCGCTCTTTCTGCAAAACCATTTGACCAAGCTGTCGCCACTGATGTCGTGATATGTCTAACATTGAGTCCCTGTACCTGCTCGTGAGACTTGGCTCCTGCGAAGTGTGTGCCACCACCAGCATACACTTGGTCTTAGTGGTAATGCAGTGAGGATATCTCGCTGGGTTTTTTTTGCACGCCCAAACCGGCAGTAAAATAAATCGAGTTCTATTCGTATTCCTTGATATTCACCTCCAGCTCCCCAGTTTGAGATACCACGTCAATGTAGCTTGGCGAATATAGGTGGAGAGGAATGAGTCCGTCTAGACGGGGGAGCTCATGGCTGGGACATCAGCCCTGGAAGTAAAGCTGATCTCGGCCCGATGAGACGGGGAGACCAGCGAATTCGTGACGGCTAAGAAGCTGGGAATAATAGCGGTTGACTGCCATGTCCTGGAATGGCTTTTAGAGGGGTGGAAGGAGACATGGAAAAAAATATATGTCGCATTGAATATAGGGATATCTTTGAAGGTCAGAAAGGTGATTGCAATGATATCATGTGTAGTCGAGTGGTAATTCCTTGCTCTATTGCAATAGAAAAAGAGGCCTACTGAGGAAAGTAGATGAGGGAGGAGATTAGGTGTGTGATGAAGGTAGAAGGGAAGTAGGAACTCGGGAAGAAGACAGGAGAAGGGATGGGAAAGAAGAAAAGAGTAAAATGGAGAGTGACTGCTTGAGAAGGCAAGGATATAACTATAACAATGATCAGCTCAAGGTGATAAAATCATGATTGTATATGATGGACGCATCTTCACGTCAAGTTGGCCCATTCACCCAAGGAAGATATCATGATAGGGTTGAGCTGCTTAACTGTGAAACTCCTTAGAGATTGCATGAGACGACTTCCTGCCAATAGCCAGAACGGATAGGAAGCCAAAAGAAGGGCGGCACAGCATGATTAGTAGCAAAGTGAGAAGATATAATGTTGGATCTCGTTTTCACGTTGTCATTTGCATGATTCGTTGAGCTGGCGATTCTATACCAGTATTTATATAACATCCCAAAACGTCAAGCAAACCCGCAGCTTTTTTTTTGTTTCCTCCAGATCTCTCGAATGGGGAGGGAACCTCTTAATAGTCGTCTCCACGGCTGATCACCTCTTTCACGTTGGGTCGCAGCACGATGGTCTATCGATAGGTTAGTACCACCCCGAGGCAGAAAGGGTGAAAGGGGAAGTCCTACATGTTCGTATTGGGCGGTGTATGAGCCCTTCACGTCACAAAGGGGCGGGTAGTCCTGTACGATGCCGGAAGACACCAGGTTGTTCAACTGCAGACGCGTGTTAGTAGACTTCTTTATTCACGGTCGATTCGTCAACTTACCCCGAGAAGATACTTGTCCTGGCCCAACCGGTCCAGATACCGCCGGCAGAAGGGGAGAGTGCCAAAGTTCTTGTTGATGACGTTCAGCAGGTTCTTGGCGGAGGTAAGTCGGAGCGGCACCGGGGACGCATTTGGCGTCAGGGCGTAGTGGGAGGTTTCCATCTAATTGCGGCATCACGTCAGTCGGCTGCACCCTTTGAGGGACAAATCACACCACTCCAGATCACTCACATCGTCTCGCACGTAGCCCTTGCCGGTGCTACCGAAGGTCTCGATGGCAAACACTTCGCCTTCCTCCATCTTGGTCTGGTCGGTGCCCTTGACGATGGGGACACTCTTGCCGCCGTGGATGATATGCTGATCGATGTTGTGGCCGTTGAGATTCCGGATACACTTGACGGGGTGCATGGTTCCGTTGAGTTCGACCTCGTAGCTCTCCATCGCCTCCTGGATCGCGGCGCCGATGTCGCTCATGCGGACGTCAATGCCCGCCTCGCGGATACCCGTGTTGGTGGCATCCTTGACGGCCTCCAGCAAGGGGTCGTACACCGGGTCGAAGGCCACGGTGAAGGCACTGTCGACAATGCGGCCGTTGAGGTGCGCGCCGAAATCGACCTTCATGACGTCGCCTTGATTGAGCACCATCTTGTTGCCGGCATTCGGGGTGTAGTGCGCCGCGCAGTGGTTGATACTGAGACCGCAAGGGAAACCCATACCGCCCTTGATGTTATCACCCTCCTCCAGGCCTTGGTGGCCGGTCAGCGCACGGACCGAATCTTCGATGCCCTCCGCGATCTCCGTCAGGGTCTGGCCGGGCTTGATGTTCTTCTGCGCATACTGGCGGACCTGACGGTGCACCTCGGCACCCTGGCGGTACTCCTGCAGGAAGTCATTGTTCATGCGGTCAAGATAGCGCTTCTCCTCGTTGGTGGTTCGGTAGGAGTTGTCGTTCTTGTATTCGACGATCTCGCCTTCGGGGTATTGGTTGTTGGGGAAGAGGTTCGAGACCGGGACGCGGGGAGGAGAGCTCTGGACTTTAGCGCCGCCCTTCTTCTTCTTCTTGGGCTTGCGCTTCTTCTTCTTCTTGGCGGCTGGGATCGTTAGACCATATGATACCAACTGACGGGGTGTACTGAGGAGTGGGGGGAGGGAGTAAAGGCGGGGATGATCACGTACCTCCGCTGGCAGCACCCTCGGGAGTAGCATTTCCCTCATCAGCCTCGTCGTCGGAATCATCCTCTGCTTCTCCAGCTTCAGCTTGACCAGCGGCAGGGGCGTTCGCCTTGGCGTCGCCGCTCTGACCGTTCACTGTCGGGGAAGTCCGATTAGCATGTATTTCAAGGTAGCAGTATCTTATCAGTGGCAGAATATGCGAGATCCACGGAATGGATGCACCAACGAAGGGGGGACTGACGGTCAAGCTTTTTCAAATCCTCACTAGCCTGAGCAGCCATGGTGAGAAATACCAGTCTGCTGGCAAAGGAACAGAAGATATAAAGGTGTCGGAGATGGTGGGGAGAGAGGTGGAGGAAGAGGAAAAGCGAGGAAAAAAAGAGGGGATTCGGCGGGCGGATTCCGTCGGGAGTGTTGCCTGAGGCAGATTTACATTATATGACCCCGTTCATGCACTTGATATATAGTAATATGTAACTATATAAATATATGAATATTTACTCAATGTGATATCTCTATATAGATCATTTCCAAAGCAATATTTACCATGTCCTATACTATCAACGTGGTCCCCTTAGCCTAGTTGATCATTAGATGTATGTTTGACTTCCACAGTACAGCAACAGCAATAGAAAAAAGATAATATCGAGAATGATTTTATACCCTTCAAACAATCGAACGATCCAAGAAAGCCTATCTGACTTCCAATGTTGCTTACTGTCTATCAACTGAACGTGGTGAAAACCGCTCCAACCGGCTCGATCCCCACGACCGATGACGCACCTCCGATGAGCGGCGCATCTCCAACTCACTCGCCATCTTCTTCCTACAACACTCTCTCATACAACAACCTTCAACATCCAGGTCTTCCCTTCCATTATTCTCCTGCCTACCTCAGAGGCATGCTATTTCCTCGCGTGAGGATCTCCTTCATCCGACTCCGCCACCCTTCGCCCCTCGACTCTCTCCGCGCGGGTTCACCCTCCTCCTCCAGCTACACCACACCCTTCAGCACATCCTCACAATGCCGCGCAACAAGTCGAGAACCGACCCTATATGAGGTCCTCGACGTCCCCATAACAGCCACCACCGCCGAAATCAAAAAGTACCCTTCCCTTCCCCATCCTCCCTTCTCCCTCCCCCTCCCCTCCTCCAAACCAACCCAACTAACACAATAAATCAAAAGACAATTCTACTCCCTCTCCCTCCGCCACCACCCGGACAGAAACCGCACAGACCCGCACGCAACAAACCGCTTCTCCCGCATCTCCTCCGCCTACAGCGTCCTCTCCAACGCCGCCAAGCGCTCCACCTACGACCGCGAACACGGCATCGCCGCCCACCTCGCCTCAACCCACAGCACCGCCCACCCAGGCCAACACCCCATGGGCAGCCACAGCAGCTACGGCGCAAATCTCCACAACCACGGCGGCGGCGGGTCCTACGCTGGTTCCCGCCCAGCTAGCGGGCTCAGTAAACGCCGGGGTGCGTTTCGCGGGCCACCGCCTAGTTTTTACGCTCATGGGGGGTACGGGAATCGTAAACCGCCGCATGGGGCCAGTGCTGGGTTCGCTGGCGCTGGGGCGGGTGCGGCAGGAGGAGGGACGGGGGGGACGGGCAAAACCGGCAGTCGCAGCGACGACGACCACACAGACTTCATCAATCGCAACCCGGTGAATCACTTCAACGCGCGGGGCCACTACCGCACGCAGACGGCGGAGGATAAGCGGAGACAGCAGCGGCAAACGCGCGCGCGGAACGCTGCGATTCGAGAGCACGAGATGGGTAGCTCGGCGGACTTTGCGTTTCGGTTTATTGTTGTTTGTGGGATTTTGGTTGGGGCGGGGGCTTTGGCTGGGTGGCCTGGGGCGAGTGGGAAGCCTGGTGTGGGTGGGAGTGGGAGTGGGAGTGGGAAGTTGGGAGGTGGGGAGAGGAGGGATGGGGGTTTGGCTGGGTAACATGGATGGGTGGATTGTTTTTTTTTTACCTTATTTCTTGTATATCTTTGCGGTGCGCTGCATTTAGGAGTACCTTTACTTACTTTATACACGGCTGCGATAGCGGCTCTGCTTGGTCGAACCATACAGATACAGATCACTACACCGGACTCAAATAACTCAATACCAAACAAAGGAAAGTAGGTTGATGTACAGTTCTCGTCGATAGTTACGATACATGATTAATACGTTGACATCCAGATGGCAATGACACCCACGCGCAACATCCATTCCCAACTGCGCATCTGCCGGCAAGATAGCTAGCTGATCGACTCGGCTATCCGCAGACTACTAATCTAGGCATGGACGAGCACTGCGGGAGTGGCTGGCGGAGGAAGGAAAATTCCTCTAAGCCTCGAAGGTGAAGCTGGCGCCGACCTTGTGGGCGGCCTGGTTGAGGTTCTGGGTGTCGAAGGAGGCACCCAGGCCGAGGGTCACACCAGGGCGCAGGAGGACGTTGTAGCCGAGAGCGGCGACACCACGGTCGTTGATCTTGGCCTGTATTGGAGAGTAACAATTAGTAAAAGCCTCAAGAGTGAAATATCGGTAGAGTGGAGAGGTGCAGATCACATACTTTGGCGAAGGAAGAGGGGTCCAGGCGGTACTTGCTGGCGACCTCGAGGCCGACGGAGTTACCGGACTTGGAGTCCCAGGTGGCCTTGGCACCGGCCTCAACCTGGGGGTTGACACGGTGGTAGTACGAGGCGGAGAATACGCTCAGGTTGCTGCCGGCGGTGATGGCAGCGGTGTACTGGGGAACGCTGTAGCCGACGGCAGCGGAGTACTTGGTGATGGCGGCCTTCTGGACGTCATAACCACCCTCAGCACCGACGAGGAAGCCCTCGTGGCCGAGGACGGCGTCGAAGTTGGCCGAGGGGCCGTTGAGGAGGTCGAAGAAGGCACGGGCGTGCAGGTTGGGCTGCTTGAAGTAGAGGTTCAGCTTAGCGCCCTTGGACTGCTTGGCGGGCTGGTACTGGGTCAGGATCTCAGCTTTGAGGCCCTTGGCGATGTTGTTGTCGAGCTCGAGCTTGGTGTCGAGGGCGTTGGCGGTGGTCCAAGCCTGGGTCAGGGTGAGGCCTGGGCGCGGACAGAATATTAGCCTGACTGAATGCTGGGAAAACCGCGACATGACGAAATATTTGACATGCTTGGACGAGACCCGGGCACATGTGAACATCATCATGGGCCCGGGCTCGCGCACGCTCCTGCTTTTTGGATCGGGTGGTTTGCCTAGGGGGCGTTTGCGTTTTGGGGGATCTTTACCAGTGGGCTGGTCAACATATTTGGCCTCGAGCTGCGCGATCAAAAAGTATTAGTACTGCATCATGTCACTAGACCATTCTCAAGGAGACACCTACAGTGCCAGCGATGGTACCCTCGTGGGCAGACTTGCCCTTCACGTTGAAGGTGACGCCATTGGGGGCCTTGGACTTAACCTCCAAGCTGGCTAGTTATTTTGTCAGCTACACCGAAGAAAACAAACTCCCCAAATCAACCAGGGCATGTCAAGACCAGCACTTACCAGGGTTGGAGTGGTAGAAGTCCTTGTTCAGGAGCTGTGACGCAGAGGATTAGCATGAAAAATCCCTGCCGGACCAGCTCTGCCTTTGGCGCCTCAATTTTGCCAGGACAGACTCAGAGACAGAGAACATACGTCGTTGGCCGCCTTGGCGATATCGGAGAAAGCAGCAGGAGCAGACATGATGAGTGGAGGGGGAGGTGAGAAGACGGTGACGTCGAAAGATTACGTGGGGAAGATAGTGTGTAGAGGTGGAAATTGGGGAGGGAGAGAGAGAAAGCGAGAGAGAACGAGAGGTGAAGTCCGTCGTTGGGTTACCTAAGGCCAAAACAATGGGAACTGCTGGGAAATCATGGCACGGGAATTCCCTCCCCTCCTGATTGGTGGCTGGTCGGTTCCCGGTAAAAGCCGCTAAGTCCCGTGATCTGGCGGCCTTGGGCAGAGATTGCCCGCCGTCGATTCCGTCATCTTTCCCTCCGTGGAGACGATCTGCCGAACGTTGCTTCCGCTATCGATGACAGTCGACAGCTATCTTGTCTAGCTCGTTATGATGCAGCGATTTTCGCCGTCCTGGATATACTCCACCTCTGTGTCTCGGATTTTACGGTGGTCTGAACCTCTTCCTCTCCTACTCCGTACACCCACGTTGGTCGAAGATCGACAGGACCGTTGAATACGATCGTCCACCACGGGGCCCAGGGCCCAACAACCCAACTCGCATGGTCTTCAGATAGAACTTTGATTTATTAAAGGAGCACGCGTCTCATGATCAGTGCGACATCCGAAAAATTGAACAAACAAAGGAGATACTAGAAAAAAACTTGACGCCACAGATCCAAGCTCTTTACGCAGAACTTCACTGTACCCACCCAAGACAAATAGAAGATGCCAGTGCTAGAAGAACAGGAAAGCAGATGCTCGGTGGCCCGCAAGCTCGTCCAATGAAAAATTCACTTTTGACCCCAAACAAGAAACTTTGGTAGATCATCTATGCATGCCTCTATACCCATGATTGCCCAACCGAAAACGCGCAGAGTTTATATACCCAACATCTATTCGACGCTCTTATACTTGGCGTTGTGGGTCGCAATAGCCCTAGAAGAAAACGAACGGGTTAGCAGATGTCCGGACCGACCGTTACACGCGCCATCACTTACCGTCCACTGGGATCGGTCTGCTTCGACCATGTCGGGGTCCAACGCTCAACGGTGCCCGCGCACGAGGCAGGGAAGTGCTCGTCGAACATCGTGCGGTACCAGTACCTAGTCTTCGTCAGTCATCATTCCCACGGATGAACTATCCATGTGCAGAACTTACGCTTCCTTCGTGTCGGGAACGTCGCTACCCCACTCGGCCTTGGGGTTCTTCATCATCTCGTCCGTGACGTGCTCCTCGGCCGCATCCTTCAGACCGTCGATCCAGCTGTAGCCCACGCCGTCGCTGAACTGCTCCTTCTGGCGCCAGAGGATCTTCTCGGGCAGGTACGGCGTGTTGTCCGGCTCGTCGGTGGTGTCGAACGCTTTCCGCAGAACGTACTTCTCAATGCGCTCCTTGGTGATCATCTTATCGGCAGGGTCGATCTTCATGGAGGTCTCGAGGAACTCCTTGTCCAGGAACGGCACACGGGCCTCCAGACCCCAGGCGGAGGTCGACTTGTTCGCGCGGAGGCAGTCCGCCAAGTGCAGGTTCTTGACCCGGCGAACGGTCTCCTTGTGGAACTCTTCCCGGTTGGGGGCAGCGTGGAAGTACAGGTAACCGCCGAAGATCTCGTCGCTTCCCTCACCGCTGAGAACCATCTTGACACCCATGGCCTTGATCTTTCGGCTCAGCAGATACATGGGCGTGGAGGCACGGATGGTGGTCACATCGTACGTCTCGAGGTGGTAGATGACATCGGAAAGAGCGTTGAGACCGTCTTCGACGGTGAAGGTGAAAGCGTGGTGCTTGGTTCCGAGGAAGCGGGCGACTTCGAGGGCGGCCTCGGTATCGGGAGCACCGGGCAGACCGATGGAGAAGGAGTGCAGCTGCTGCAGAGTAGTGACGGTGGACAGCTCGTTGGAGTCATCGATGCCAACCAGATCCGAGACACCGGTCTGGTTCTGAATGGCGGCCTTGGCGGCATCCTGCATGCGCAGGGTCTCGCGCTGGGCGATGGAGGCAACCAGACTGGAGTCCAGGCCACCGGAGAGCAGCACACCGTAAGGGACCTCGGCCATCAGACGCTTGCGCACAGCCTTCTCCAGGGAGTGGCGGAGCGTCAGGTAGTCGACGGGAGTCGAGGGCACGTTGGTGGGGTCCCACCACGAGGGCTGGAAGTACCGGGTCAAGGCACCGGTGTTGGAGTCATAAACATGACCGGGGGGGAAGGCCTCGATCTTGTCGCAAATGGGGTGCAAGGACTTAAGCTCGGAGGCGAAGTAAACGGCACCGGGGGTCTCGCTGGACCAGCCCAGGTAGAAGCTAGTGATACCGATGGGATCACGGGCAGCGATGACGCGGTTCTGCTTGCGGTCGAAAAGAACCCAGGAGAACATGCCATCAAGATGCTTGGGAGCGTCGAGGCCATATTGCATGTACTGGGACGGTCAGTATCCACCATTGTGCAGTGCCCAAAGGCCGAAAAACAAGATTGTCCAGTCTACCCCACATACCAGAGGGATGATCACTTCGCAGTCGGAGTGCGTCTTGAATGTATAGTCGACCTTCAGTTCCTTCCGGAGGATACGGTGGTTATAGATCTCGCCGTTGACGGCCAGAGCGAGCGAGCTATCATCGTTGACGAGGGGCTGGGCACCGGTGTCTAAGATGAATTTTTGATCAGCACGCACATTCAACTCAAGAGGGCTTGGCATAAACCATACCGATACCGACAATGCTCAGACGCTCATGCGCGAGGACTGAATCTCGTCAGCGACGTTCCAATTAGCACGAGAGCCCAATGATCGGCTTACTGGTGTTGTCGGCCATGAAGTTGCCACCTGTGATCATGTCAGAAGCCTGCAAGTATAGTGAGGGGATACCGGCGGTGTTTGTGACTCACTCCAATCGGGACCGCGGTGGCGCACACTGAGGACCACAATTAACGCATACTCGGAGACGGTGAATTCGACAGGATTATACTCACGCCTTGGCCATGCGCAAAGCCGTGGGCTTGAATTTCTGCACATCAGGGTGCCTAGCAAGGTACGAAGTTAGCGGGGGAAGGCGAACGAGAAGACCTCGCGAGACCATTCGCGGGGCAATCAGGGTCCACGAAACAACTAGGGCCAAGAACATACCGGTGACAGGCGAAGATACCACACATGTTGACCACAAAGACCCAAAGACGAAGACAAGAACAAGAGAAGGAAGAGAGAAAATGAGGGGGAAGAATTGGGCACCGTGGTGATGAATTGCGGGATGGGGAAGAGGATTGGCAGAGGGAGAAGACCAGAGAAATGGAATTTTAAATGGACTTTCTTCCCGTTCCGGGCGGGGCGGAACTTCGAGGGGCGATTTCGGTCGCAAAATTTGTCTGAGTCACTTTCCCGAACCTCCGATAAGATAAACTCTGCCCGCGCCCGGATTTCGTGCCTGCTTATTGGTTGGCTGGACTGTATTCTGCAGAGGTCAACTACAGGTACAGAACTTAGTACTATTACTGTCTATAGACCAGAACCCTGCATACAAGGAGTACCGAAGTGGTTTTGTGATTGATTTATGTGTCTCGTAACTAGGGAGTATGGATGTGTATGCTATGCTCAAATTATGTAGATGGATTCATCATGCTAAAGTCACTGTGGCAATATCTCTCGAATCTTCCACAATCCCCAGCTTGGTCCCACTTAAAGCTGTCTATGGAGGGCGCCATGGACACACGCCACATGGAGACGGAAATATCAAGGAAAGCTTGAATACTGAGTAATACCGCCTGCTTTCGGCGCGAAAACAAGATAAACAGGGGGGAAAGAATACGTCAAATGTTTTAAACGCCATTCACTGGCCCATCAATTGGTTAGAAATCGAAGACGCCACGCTGAGGTTTGCTAAAATAAACGAAGAGGGAGATAGGAATCAACAACCAGCCAGCCAGCCAGGAGGATAATATCTAAACAGGCGGGTTATCCTTCACAACCTGCCGCACTTTCTTCTCGTAGGCCGGCTTGTCCCTCTTGAACAGATTGTACGCCTCGGCCTGCGCGGGGGACTCGGGATTCGGGTCGTCCAGCAGATCCTGGATTCCCAGCAGGATCTGCTTGATGGTGATTGCGGGCTTCCATGCTTCTTCCTCGTTCAGGATGGAGAGGCAGACTGTGCCGGAGGGGTAGACGTTGGGGTGGAAGAGCGGGGGGACGAATTTGCCTGTTGTGATGTTAGTCGGTGTTCTCGCTGGGGTATGAGGTGAGGGCGTTCAGCGTAGACGACTCTGCGGCTCGACGAACGCCCTCGGCTCGGGGAGGAGTGCAGCGCATACATTTCGGAGGCTTGGTGGGGTATTCTATGCAGAACAACAGATCAGTCTACCATCCGCGACTAGCAACACGATAGGGAGAGAAAGAAAAGGAAGTGAACTCACCGTCTGGGAAAGTGACTTCCAGCTTGAACAGGCCCCCGTCCCACAGGGTATTGGGTTTACCCGGCACGGCGCACTCCCAGCGCTTGAGGTCCAGCACCCCCTGAGGAGACCGTTGAGGTTTCGCGTAGAAACCAAACGGGTGATCCCGTCGCCACTGCTTCCTGCGCATCTCAATCAGTATTTACCGTTTGGGCGCGATGGTGGGGGAAGGTATCGCAAGGTGGGGTGATTGACCCGAGCGATCCTCAGATTGCATACCTCTCCTCCGCGAGGCGGTTTTGGCATAGAGACATCGTAGTTATAGTAATCAGCTTCTGTCCAGCGACGACAGGAGAAGACGATATCAAAAAGTAGGTGACGGTCGATTTATTCCAGGTCAAGCGGTGCGATAGCTGACGTTACAACGAAGCGGGAAGGAAGAGATCCGAGAGAGGAAGAGAGACGAGAGAGAACAAGGGAATAAGAGGAGAAGAAAGTAGTTGCAGAAACTAAATAGGAGCAGTGAAGAGGCGTCAGTCACTGAAGCTAAGCTGAGGCTGGCCAGCAAGCGAGTGCCACCAGAGTAGGTATCAAACGCAGCGTCCCGAAACAAGTGGCAGCGGAGAGCAGATAATCGCGGTGAAATGGCAATGTTCTCTACCTTGAGTGACCAGCAGGAGGGTCCTAGCGCCCAGATGCCAGAGAAAGAGCCCCTAAATGTACAAAGACAGCGATGAAGCTGAAGATGAGAGAGATGCAAGGTGAATATTGAAAGAATGGACCTGACGCAGGCGGTTCGATGCCCCACAGCCAATGGTCAATCAGCGCCACCGGAGATAGATCCCGTCACGTGATGGCCGCCTGCTCGTCATACGTGCATGATCTTCAGTATAGCCTCGTTGTTACAGGCATGCCGGTAATCCTTTGTGGTTTTTGATTCACATTCTTGAGGATAAAGAAGTGCAATCAGCCAGAATCGCTTCCATCTTGTAGAAAGGAAAGCGCGGTACGCCGTCTCCAGAAACAGATGCAATGCATAATGGAACAAAGGGCAATTGTCCAGGATTGTGAACGACAACAATGGCCCATTGAATCTCTTTCATATATCAGAAGCATTGAGGAATATGAATACATTACTTTAGGGGAAGGGATATAAATTTCACAAGTCGTGTGTATTAGAAACATCATACGCCCACCATTCCTCCCTCGACAGGAAGCCGACTACAAGCGACTCTGAATCCCTCCGCATCAGCATAGACAACCCCCGGAAAGTCCTCAGATCGACAAGACAAAAGCAATGTGCCAAGAAGTCACCTGGTATTACACCCTCTGTGAGCATCTCAACCCGCTCTACTACTTCCACGTTCCCTGCGCGAAGGCTATCCGGCACGGGTACAATTGCGATCCAACGCCTTTATACATTCCCCTCTTCGGTGCATGCAGCGGGTGTCGTGGAGATACATGCCCCATCAGAAAAGCGATGGGAAAAGAATATAAGAGACGATTATTAGACACCGGTGATGCCACAGAGTACGAGGGCGATGTCAGTACTCTGGAATCGGATGTCGACTCAGGAAGCGATACCACACTCGACGGGTTGGAGTTGTTTGACCGGCTTACTTTTTGATGATAAGAGCCGACACAGTTGTCTCAGCGAAACAAACCATCAAATATGCATCTTTCAGTGTTGCTCAATACGGGGAAATCATTAAAGCGGAAAAGTGGAAGGCCTCGGTATATTGGGGTTCATGTCAATTCATTGTAGTTCATAAACCTAGAAAGTTTTTATTTTCACTATCAGTGAGCCTCTGCTCGCTTTAATCCTCGTATACGCCTTCTTCGAATTTCTGCGTATCAAAGAAACGAGCCGTGATCGTATTGCCGTTGAACACCCGCCCTTCCAGAGCGTTGACGGCCTAAATTGTCGCTATTAGATGCAAGGATACCAGAAGGGGAAATTAATAGAACTTACCCGTAAAGCTGATAGCTGGTTGACGAACTTGACGAACACAGGTACCGGGGGCCCCGAACCACGAGAGATAAAGACACGCTCAACGTTTCCATACTACCCGAGTTAGAAATGAAAAGTAGCGGAATGTTTGATTGACGTACCTTCTCCGAGCATTCCTCCCCAATCTCTTGCATCAATCCCCCGTCGTGATCTCCCTCCAGTTCGGCATCCACATCCATTCCGTCGAGCATGCCTTTCAGGACAATCACTTCGCTCATTGCGCCGAACTTGCTCCCTTCCTCTTGTTTCTTTTTACTGCCAATGATCTTGCCCCGCCCAGCAGGTGTAGCAAAGCCACCACCTTCCGAGTCGGGTCGCTTCTTCTGCTTGTCCACTTTGACCTGTAATGGATTGACGATACCCGATCCCGTTGCGCCCAAGCCTGATCCTTTGGTCCAGCCATACTTCGAAAGGAGTCGCTCGGCGAACCCCTTCTGCCCCGGTCGCAGAGAGCGTTGGTCGTCTTGCCCAGGCTCTTCCTCGGCTGGCGCTTCCTTGGCAAATACCTCTTCCAGCTCCGCCTCGGAGGCAGGAATATCTTCCGGAGGCGGAGGCAGAGTGTAACGAACTGGGGCTCGAGAGATGGTCGCAGAGGCTGGCTGCATCGCTTCCATAGGCCGGTTTGGAGGTGGAGGGGGAGCAACGGGTGCTGTCGTCGGCTGAGCTCCGGGCATTTGTAGGCGCCTTCGGAAGGCATCCTCCCCGGAAGGGTCATCCGGGACGACGGACTGCGGCTCAGGCGGAACATAATCAGACACTGGCGCATCCTCGACGGTGGCATCATGCGGCTCATATGGCGGCGAATCCCTAGGCGGCGGAGGTGGAATGTCGTTAAGGTTTGGCGGCGGTGCGAAGCTTGGCGGCGGTGCGAAGCTGGGCGGCGGTGCGAATCGGCCTGTTCAAATATTAATTAGTATATAGCGGCGCCCACGCGAAGCATGGCATTACGAACGGTTCATGGGTCGGTCGCCATCATCGGAGTACGAGTCCCTACTTGGGGACCGCACCATGCGATGAGCGTACAGACGGTCCTTCCAATCGCGCACCTCGTTCATCTGCTCATCGCTATGTCTATATTCCTCAAAGACATTCGGTCGAGACGGATCGTAGATGTCGTCCCAGTTCTGATAAACAGCTTCCGAGTCCTTGTTCTTCTTGCGCTTCTTGCGCCCGCCCCGCTGTCGTTTGGGGCCCGCATAAAACCCATCGTAATCGTCCTCCTCCGTAGCCGCCCAATCCGCCAGAGTACTCTTGGCGGCTGCCGCCGCAACGGACGTCGGAGTCGCTTTCGGTAATGGCGGTTTCGGTTTTGGTTTCTGCGCGGACAGCTGTGGTCGCTTTGTAGGTTGAAATCGGAGAGAAGCTGGAACCCGCCAACCCACCAGACCCAAGTGAGTAATCAGATCGCCAAGTCAAGACAGTAGGGTATAAAGGGTCGTTTCAAGGGTTTGAGCTCTACCGGTAGGAAGTTGCTGCTTTTTGGCAGCGGAATCATCGGGCTGCGACTCGCCTTCGGAGGACTGTTTGAAGACGACGGGGGCGCGGGAGATGGTGCCGGGGGATGGATCTGGATTTGAATCCAGCAAGTTGGCGTAGAGAGAAAGCATCCCGCCGGGTTTAGACTGATTTGAGTCCGACATAATGAAAGTGTCCACCGACTGGACAAGATTAGAGGATGATGGAAGAAGAGGTGCGGAAGTATGGCCGTGATATTACGGACAGATGTTTGTTGTGTTTGACTTGTTTGGTGGCCGCATTTGATTGTGCACTTAGTCAGTTGTACATATAATTATACTCCCTGGTACTCCGTATATTACTCCGGATTAGCGGTAGCCTACGAAGTAAGTTCTAACTAACTACCACTAACTGGTAACAGTTACCTAACTCTCGCACGAGTCTCCACTGCAAAAGAAGAAGACTCCAACGGACGCCTCCGATGTGGAGCCCAGACGATAATGGGCGTGCGGAGAAGTCGGTGTCCCTTCCCTTAAGTTAGTCATCCCAAATGACGAAGCGATGACTGATGGACTCGATATATAACATAGCTCGGAGTCTGTTTTTATGTCTGCCTAAGTTTGATATGACCGTATGGTTATAAGTTACTATTTCGTCTATTAGCCAGCCATCACCTGTTCAGTTGTCTCATACAGCTCTCATCTCACCATGGCGACTCTAGCCCGTTCGTTCTCATCCGACAGCTCCGATGTCGCTATCCTGGTACCCAATCGCCCAGCACCGCTGTCCGTCTTGTACCAGCAGCTTCATACCCATGTCGCCGAGTTCCAAGCCAAGCTCGCTAAGCTAGGGGTAGGACATGGGGCGGCGGTGTCGATTGCCCTGGTCAATTCGTACGAGTTCATCGTGTCATTCTTGGCTGCGTCCTGGCAGCGCGCGATCGCCGCCCCACTCAACCCAGCCTACAAGCAGGATGAATTCGAGTTCTACATCGACGACCTCAGTTCCACCCTGGTCTTGATCCCGCAGGGCGCTTACGCGCAGGATGGACCGGCTGTCCGTGCGGGTCGCAAGTACCAGGCGGCCATCGCCGAGTGCTACTGGAATGGCACCGAGATGGTCCTGGATGTCAAGGAGCAGGGGAAGCTTGCCGGGGCCCGTCCGGGGCAGGTTGAACAGGCGCAGCCTGATGATATCGCTCTTGTTTTGCATACGAGCGGCACGACTGGTCGTCCCAAAGCGGTTTGTGCCCTGTTCCGTCACAGTTCCTCTGGAGTTGACATGCTAACAGCCATGGTATAGGTGCCTCTCACGCACAAGAACCTCACCACGACCATGAGTATGTAATACCTTGCAGACTCCAGACGACGGGGCTGAACGACTTTCTAACGCAAAATCCAGAGAACATCCAAGCGACATACCAGCTCACCCCGAAGGACCGTACGTACCTGGTCATGCCTCTCTTCCACGTGCACGGGCTGCTGGCGGCCTTCCTGGCGCCCCTCTACTCCGGCGGATCGGTGGTCGTGCCGCCTAAGTTCTCCGCGCATGAGTTCTGGGCCGACTTCATCAACTACAAAGCGAACTGGTACTCGGCCGTGCCGACAATCCACCAAATCCTACTGAAAACCCCACTGCCGACTCCCCTCCCCTCCATCCGATTCATCCGGTCGTGCTCGTCCCCGCTCTCCCCGCAGACCTTCAAAGAGCTCGAAAAGACGCTGAACGCGCCCGTCCTAGAGGCATACGCGATGACAGAAGCCGCCCACCAAATGACCAGCAACCCGCTCCCACCAGCGAAGCGCCAACCAGGCAGCGTGGGCATCGGGCAGGGCGTAGAAGTGCGCATCCTCGACCAAGAAGGCAAAGAGGTTGCGCAAGGCAGCGAAGCCGAGATCTGCGTGCGCGGCGAAAACGTCACGAAGGGGTATCTGAACAACCCGTCCGCGAACGCGTCGTCGTTCACGCGGGACGGGTTCTTCCGCACAGGCGACCAGGGCAAGAAGGACGCCGACGGGTACGTGATCATCACGGGGCGCATCAAGGAGCTCATCAACAAGGGCGGCGAGAAGATCAGCCCTATCGAGCTGGACAACACCCTGCTGCATCATCCGAAGGTGGGCGAGGCTGTGTGCTTCGCTATCCCGGACGAAGGCCACTACGGTGAGGATATTGGCGCTGCGGTCGTCCTTAAGGCGGGTGGCGGTGCTACTGAGGAGGAGTTGAAGGCTTGGGTGGCGAGTAAGCTGGCCAAGTTCAAGACTCCCAAGAAGGTGTGTTTCTCGTGTCTCTTGATTAAAGACGCACTATGCTAATTGACGCAGGTCTGGATCGTGTCGCAGATCCCCAAGACGGCGACGGGCAAGATCCAACGGCGAAAGGTGGCTGAGGCTATGCTGAAGCCGAAGGCGAAGCTGTAGTCATATATACACACATATATGTGTATCTTATACGAATATATTGTGGCACAGAACACCACTCGGCTACAAAAGATATCTAGACGCTTCTGAGCTCTGTGGGTACCCTTTGATAGCCATCTTATATCTAGAATTAGAGAATATTATATAAGAGGAAAGGCCCTGTATATACGCCAAGTTAGGTCCTAAAACATCTTCCAAATTAATCTGTCTTTGGGTGCCAAGCTAGCCTCAGCATAATTCCTCTTGTCATAATGTGGAGGCCACCCTAATTTTGCAAGGAGACTTCGCCGGCTATAGATTCTGCACCAAAAAGCGGATCTAGGGCGATGACCTGAAACGAGACGGAAAAGGCTGAATCAATCGCGGGGGAGTCTCCAAAACGAGGCATCTCCGCATTGGAACGCGTGCTTAGACTTTAACACTACGGGTGCGAAGAAAATATGGCGGACCAGGTCCGGAGACAGACGCGAGACCCATTTCATATGGTGTGCGTGCAAGGTATCATTTGGTCTGCGATGCTCTCTTGTACCGATCCAATGCCCGATCTCGGCTTTCTGAATGCTTCACAATCGGCTTGGGATACCCATTTTTCCTTGCAGTTTCGCCTGCGCCTCGCTCATACGGCTCATGGATTGCTGATCCCTGGACGTCGCGTAGTTCCGGTACCCAGCGCCGGATGTACTCGCCGTCGGCATCAAACCGTTCACTCTGGCGAGACGGGTTGAAGATACGGAAATATGGCTGCGGATCAACGCCTGTGCTGGAGCCAAACCCCCATCCCCCGTGGTTGGACGCAAAGTCCCCATCGATCAAGTTCTCCATGAAATATCGTTCCCCGCGGCGCCAATCAATCAGGAGGTCCTTCGATAAGAAGGAAGACACGACCATGCGAGTACGGTTGTGCATCCAGGCGTCCTGTTTCAGCTGTCGCATTGCTGCGTCGACGATGGGAAATCCCGTCTTGCCCCCACACCAGGCGTTGAACTGATCCTTGTTGTATTCCCACTCGACATTGGTGAACTCGGGCTTGAAACATTTGTTCATGCTGGAAACAAATGATACGTGTCAGCGTGGACCTTGTAAAGGTTTTCTTATGAGGCATCCTACCATATAAAAGGCCAATGGACAAGCACATGTCGATAAAAGTCCCGCCATGCAACCTCACTGATCCATGAAACATACCCGGGCTCTTTGCGATCCAGTTGATTCCCGTTGGCCTGTCTCGCCATAGATACCGCAGTTCTGGCACTCAATGCACCGGAGGCAAAGTATGGACTAAGTACAGAGGTATGCTGTCCAGTCGGAAAATTCCGCATATTGTCGTATGACTTTGCTTTCTTTTCCAGGAACTCCTCAAGACGGCGGAGAGCTTCATGCTCACCGGCCGGGTATAACTTGTGAAGATGCGACTTCTCTTCCTCGGACAGCCTCTTATTGGTGGGTGGCGCAGGTACCTGGCTGTCGAACAGATCTCCAAAATGCTTTCGGGCATTTCCAGGATTAGACCCCGGCTCTTCCACGGTCTCCAGATACTCGGGGTTCTCTTTCAAAAAGGCTAGCCACGTGCGATACCACGGGCTGTACACAGCGTACTGCTTTCCTTGTTGACTGCTGAGGGAACCTGGCGTTACGACGCAAGTATCGTGGGCCGCTTCAAATTTGATGCCGTTGTCCACACAGAGTCGCACCAACCTGGCATCTCGCCGCAGTTCATCGACTTCGTACTCGATATTCGCGAACAGATGATTGGCGCCCCACCGTTCACACAGATCAAGGATGCGACTTGGGATTTCTTTGCGCCTGTCCTGCGTCTCCATGTACAGCGGAATATCAAGCTCACCTAGGTCCCGCTTCAACTGTTCCAATGTCCGGAGCGTAAGATCGACGCGAGCTGGACTGGTAAGATGAGCCGTGAAATCTTCCGGCGAGAGAATGTACAGGCAGATGAGCGGGATCTTGTTATCTCGCGCCACCTCGTAGGCCATGCGCAAGGCCCGATTGTCATGTAGTCGTAGGTCCGACTTGAACCAATGTACCACGGCATTATTGGGTCGAATCGACTGCCTCGCGTCCATTGTTGCTTCATAAGCCTTCTGCAGAGTCTCAATTGGACGCTCTAGTGACCCATTATTGTAGGCTTCGCAGCGCTCGTTACTCATTTCCGGTGGATAGAAATCGCGAAGGACAATGCCGAAGTCTTCGGCTTGTTGGAAATTGGGATGCGGTTCCGTCAAATCAAGTCTGCCTCGCTTGCTCGCGTGCGAGGCACCATTGGTGCCTGCATCCTTTGAGGTGCTGGATGTCCTGCGTTTCGTTGGCGGCATCGCGGAAAGGCTATATCGACTGAAAAATACTGTAGCTGAGAGTGGGTAATTGGCAAGGTGTCCCCTTATCTTCATTGTATTCCTTTTATACTCGCAAATGCAGGCGAGGGGCTGGATGGACTATCGGTCAGATCGAAAGATCGAGGAGCAGATGCTGCCCTGACGTCATTACCGATCCAGCGTTCCAGTACATTTGGTTTGTTTCTCGATCCGTGAGGATTCATTCAGGCTGGTGGCATCACAGTTGGTTTGGTTGACATGCTCTCTAGCATTCTATCTCCAGCAATTGACATTGTTATATGCAGTAGAATGACATGGCAGCTACTGAAATGGTCTAGGTGATGAACGAAGTGAAGTAATGTTTTGCAGAGAAGACATGGTCAATGGATGTACTTTACGGCAATCTTTTTGACCGCCCTTCCCGATCAACTTCGTGTACTGGAACCACCGCAGTATATTGAGGGCTTCAACAATCCCCAGTGGTTTTTAAGAGATTCCACAATTATTTACCGCTGATCACAGTGGCCAAAAGTTTGAAACCTGGTTTTGACCGTCTTGACCACGCTAGGCTACTTCAGGCCATATCCAAAGCGTATTCAAGTACATACACCAAAGACAGAGGTTCCTTCACTGCAAGATTCTCCACTTTCTTCTTTAGGATCCTTTGTTTATACTGAGTATAATATAATTGTTTAGTGACTGTGATAGTATTTTGTAGATAATATATAAATAAGGTATTAATATTCTTTAAAGCTTATAAAGAGCTGGCTAAGTCTTTTTATTGTTGATTAAAGCTTCCTTAAACTATAATTAAAAACTACTAATTTAGAGTTATGAAGACATAAGATTATCTTATTATATGTACGGAGTATATATATTTTTTTTTCAGTTTAATTCTTCTATTTCTTTAGAAGAAAGAAACGTCAAAATACAAATGATAATCAAATGTATGGGAAAGGTTTGCAAACGCCGCAGATCAGCTGGCCGTTTATCCGATTGCCAGTCACTGCTTCTTCCACAATCTATAGGTGATCTGTAGCATCTTCTACTATTTAATATGCTCTCATTATGCCATAGTCTTTGTAAATTCTGAATAATTTCTTCGAATCCTAAGAGATATCTGACAAGCCAGCTAGAAACAATATGAGTGCGCCATGGCCGTAGTTTTGATAAAATCTAAGCCCTACCTTGGGTATCCTTCCATTCATCATGTAATCGTGAAAACGCCATCCCTGTCCATTCCAATTCCCGATACCTCCAACGCGCCGTAGTCCAAAAACGACAAAACAAAACGTACATACAATGTGTCAGCCGACCTACTGCGAAGTGCCGGTAGGGGCGCGTGGCTTCCCAAAATACCACTGGGCAAACATCTTGAGAGTAGCCTCATCCTTGGTGCGAAGATCATACAGTTTGGTGGGGCGAACCACAAGAGTATGACCTTCCAGGTAAGCTTCGATCACGCGGGCATGCTGGGGCCCCACTAAGGAAAAGACCATCATCTAGGGCGGTAGATTAGACGTGAGGTTCTATTATTCGAATGGAAAGGAGCTACTCACTGGCGCAACCATATGGTCGATGAACCGGGCCCATCTCAGGTGGGCTTTCATCAGACGTAGAATGGGCAGCAGTTCACCTTGGAGGATGTGGCCATCATTGGCGTTCAGATTGTTGTATATTGTAGCCTTGAGATGTGCATAGGGCCCTTCTGTGACCCGTTCGATGTCGTAGAATCCAAACTCCGGGTACTCGATCCGGAAGAGGTCCCTTTCCTTATACACAGGAGACCAAATCAGCCTATTATTGGGTCAGAATGATGAGGAAAGCCTGCAAAGGGAGATATTATCCTACTGGACCGGAGACCATACGACTTCGCCGCCCGCGGGCTTGGTGCTGAAGGAATAGTGGGAGAGATAACTAGACCAGTAGATGTCGATTGCTTGCGTGCAGGTCTTTGGATCTCTGCATTCTTCTGAAATTGAATCATGGGCAAGATATTCCTGCTCGTACTCCTGGTCATATTGGTCGTCAGGTGTCGGCAGGAGATTCCCATCCAAAGGGGTAAAAAAAGCAGGTCGATCTTTTGAGTTCTCATTCAGGACCATGGGCAAAAACCGAATTTGACCGATCTCAGCTGAGTCTATTTCAATTTGATGGTCCGGTTCCAGCCCTTTGATGTGCTTCTCCAGGCTACGCATGGCCCTGCGCATTTCCTTTCGCTTGGGACATTCAAGAGGGACCGACATCGTGGATCCAATGGGCCAAAGTGATGAGAAAGAGGAAAAGGTTGTTTAGTTGTCCACTATTGTAAGAGTTGCTCAAAAGACGGATGGCTTGGAAGAGAGGAAAGAGGTTGTGTAGTTGTTTCGTTTGGTTGTGTTTTGTTTCTATTTTGCCGCCAGAGTCCAGGGCGGTGATGGTGATCTACTGTACTTGTTGCGGGGTGACAGCGGGTCCAACCAACACTAGTCACTCCACCTAACTACTACTATATGATTCCACTGTGAATCCCCCAGATCTGAGGACAAAGATCAATGGTTACATCCAATTACAATGAAGTCCTTGCCGCCAGTCTCCTCTCAAAAGTACCTTAGCCATGTGCAGGTCACTGCTTCCCTCCACTCCAACCGAACTGGCGCTTTTCCAAGACAGTTGATTGCTGGAACATCCCAGGGATGCTGCACTCGGCGCATCACCTACATTTGAGGTTATCCAAAGGACAGTGAATGTCTCTTCTACTATGCCAAGCTCTAGACTTTTTGGTCTTGAGCCAGGTAGACTAGTTTCTATCTTTCTACTCTCTGCTTATCCAAACCTCCCACCACAATAATAAAGGCGCTGACTACCCAGCCGCTGGCGTTGGACACTTCTTTCCATCTTAACTTTCATGTTTGTGGAACAACGCGCCCTAATCCCCATTGTGACCCATTGATCGAGAAACAAGTGGATTCTATATCCTCGCAGAATGACAGATCTACCTTCCAAGTTGCCCGATAATTACAGGACGTGGCAGGATGCAGTCAAGGCGCACAACCTTGTTGGCAAGACAGTGCACACGGCTGAGCTTGTGTCGGCTTCCAAAATAGAATTCAAGCAATTTTTGCTTTTGCGTGTTCTTTGGGATCCCCGTATCGGAGATCAACTGACCGACTTGCCACTAGCCCTGAAAAAATATCATGCCCAGGCCAAGGAAATGCTCGCTACATCTCAATCCTGGGCGGACTATTGCAGTGGCATCAAGAACGGCGAAACACCAGAGGGCAGCTTTTCAATTGCCAGACATTATCAAATCAAAGCGGCTACCGGTGGGGAGAATATGCGACCGGACAGCTTCGATACCCCGGTTGCCATGCGCACCCGCAGCCACACGACGAGAAATCTGGCGGAAGCATTGAGGGAGTTCCATATCGACAGGACGCCATCCAAGAATCCCATCCCAGTGCCCCAAACGCCCAATCTTGAGGAATCGTCTGACGATGAATCTGTTGTGATAAGCCCGCCCCCGTCAGCTCCGACACCAGCGATCCTGGTTCCTCAAGATCTGCACAAGTTGATGTTTCCAGCTACCAAGGACGAGCAAATTGTCAATGCTGCTCTCGTCGTTTTCCTGAACGCGTTGACAATTCACTCCCCCATTATCAAACGCTGTGACTGGAGCCTGCACAGATACTCCTTCCTTTCCGAATTTGATGTAGCCAAATTCGTATCCAGGACCGATGGGTATCTTGATGACAGCAGGGGTAACCCTTATGCTCTGATCGAAGTCAAACCCATTATCAGAGGGGTCACCAGTCAAAGCCAGATTCAAATGCAAGAAGGTTCACAGATGGCCAGCTGGATCAAACATGATATTGACGCACCTCTGGAAAAGCTGTTGGTTTTCCCCTCCCACCTCCCGTCTGTTCTCTTACTGATGGGACTTGGACTTAGGCGAGCTCTGATTTCCCAAGATCGGCATGAAATCTTCATCACCATTGCGGAGTACGACAGCGGTTACGTAACTTATCTCCGAAAGAAGCCCCTCAATAACGAACCCCTGTCGTTCTTGACCATGCGTCAGTATGGCCCTTGGAACACTACGCACGCTGGGCACATGAAGAAGCTGGGGCCAATTCTGCTTGCACTCACCCTCTACGCCGAAGATGAGGTGCGGAAGACCGAAGCATCTTTATCTGACTAAATGGATACTCATTTAGTAGATTGATTGACTGGAGTTTCTTTAGTAGCTGTGAGCTTGGAAAGGCGGGGTGAATTGTTTCTTCTGTTTGTCCTTCTATTTGTCATCTCCACTGTCTTTGCTTGTTCTTCAAGTTAGGACGTGTGTTTTATTAAGACCACCCAGTCCCTCGAGACCAATTGCCCAAATCATCAGAGTAGATACCATATTCGGTGACGCATGTAGAACTCTGATGGAGACTAATGGGGTCCCACGTAGTGCCATCAAAATAAGATGTACCTTAGGGCAACCAACACTACATAATGAGGTACCTTTAACCAAGTTAATTCTTGAAGGCAGAATATATCTCCGGGGGACCGGCAAATCCGAAGTGATACAACAGAAATCAACACAGTAGCAGGATTATAATCAAAAGAAGAACATGTATTCGCTCGACTGTATCCCATATACCAACAGTCAGCGGCGTCCGCTCAGGATACCGGACGCTGTGACAGGACGCAAGGATGCGGCGTTGTAATAGTAATATAAAACATAAGATCGCCACGCGGAGTATCGTGTATAATCACCCATCCCCAGAGCCAGAACTCAGCTGCCTGGCTCTACACTAATAACTTACTATCCACTCTTTACATGAGGATTTTACGTGTTATTGTTGCCATTTGATCATAACGATATCAATCAAGGTTACGTGCTTAGATATATGATAGTATAAAGATGTCTGAACACCTAGTACTATACTGTAAATCTATTGACCTACTAGACAAGTAGCCCCTCTGCTTGCTGTATTCGCATTACTAGACAAACCCTCTCTGATATCTACCTATACTAGTTCTAGTCACTAGATATCATACATCTTCTGTATATCGCCAGGTTCTACACCTATATCTATATATTACGATAATTATAATCCCCCAGACCCCAGCACTAATGTTTATGAATATTGTCTCTTCTTCATTACTATTATTTTTTCTTCTTTTCATATAATCACCTCTCTTCACACCTGTATTTCTTTTTATCACTATGCGTCTTCATATGGTGGTATCGGTAATCAATCTCTAGAGTTTAATCACCCTCTTCTGTCCCTCATTTCATAATATGACAAACACATAGTGATAACTTACGTGCCAGCTGATTGCAGTCACTTCTATAATAAGCTTATATTGCGACAAAGTTTGATACATGTGGTTTACAGAGCTATACTAAAGTGCCTTAAGAGTCTTCTATAGATACGTGAGAGAATTTTATATTGTTATTTCCAAGTATTCTATACAGATTCTACTAGAGATCCTGTAAGATACTTTAAAGAGTCCTCCACAGATACGTTAAGTGTTTTTTTAAGTTAGGTACTTCTAAATACCTATTCACACAATAATGCCCAATGCCCAAAGACAAGAAGACCCTTACATCCCAACCCTAACAGCCGATTTAAACTGCACCAAGTTAGCACCATCCTATCCTCCCCACACCAACCAATAAACACCACATATACATATACATATACATATAAAGGGGGAAAGAAGGGAAGGAAGAAGAAACATACCGGAATAATCTGCACCTTCTCCTCATCCCACACTCCACTGCGCGTATAGATATCATTCTTGATGATCTGTTTCACAGCGTCTGTGTTCTCAGCCCGCACGAGCAACATGCTTCCTGAGAAGGCGGGGACGGATTCGCCTTCTTGGGGGTGGTGGTCGAACATTGCTCCTTTTTATGTTAATTAGTTTGTATCCTTGTTATTGTTCATGTATTCGTGGGGAATGTGTGGTATATAGTGAAGTAGACAGTGAAGAGTGTAACCACGATGGTGTGCCCTGTGTATACTACCATATACCACAGAAAAAGTATCCAAAGGCAAGCATGAGCAGACTCATACAGCAGCCAAGGAAGCAAAACGAGGTAGTAGCAGTAGCAGTAGCAGTAACAGGGAGAGAAAGGGAGGAAAAGAAAGAAAGAGAGAGAAACATACCACCAAGAACCACCTCCCCAGCCTCAACAAGCGGCTTCATGCCTTCCAGATGCAATCTATAATAACAATTAGCATATACACCTTGATCCACCCTCTCATATCAATCATATCATGTCAACCATATCAACACATCCCCTAGGACGGAAACCCATCCTGCGATATATCCCTGTTCATAAACAAACAGCAGACAGACAAACAGCCAGACAGACAAGACATCAAGAGTCCTAATAAGTCCATCCCTTGCATCCACCATATAAGACAAGTAAAGAAGGTAATACATACGGTCGAACCTCAATTCGCTTATCCACAACACCGGGCTTATCCGGGCAGATGCAGATGAATTCTTTCTTTTCCTGGGCCATGGTTCTTGCTTCCTATGATGTACCGTTGCTTGTTGGTGGGGTTTGAAGTGGAGATTAAATCTGACTCGAGGCTAGGTAGCAGTAGAGACGGAGAGGGAAGAGAAAAACAGTGTAGATTAGATTGGTTGTGGTGTAGACATCCGAGGTGGGACGGATGGTGGGGAATTTGCCGGTTTTTTGCCTCAGGCATATAACCATTTATATGCTACAGACTCGAGGGCGGACCCACTGCTCGTTGATTCGCGTGGTTATACGGAGTACTCCGTACTGGTTGGGCAGATCGGAGTTATTACATGCAGCTCGGCACGGACAGGCTGGTTAGCCAACGGTTCTTCATCCCACTTTCCGGCCTAGATATGTACAAGGTGTCAGGCACTGCGGCAGATCCCGCTACAACAATATGAAAGATATGATCGGTTTTAATCGCGGTGGTGTCTGACCGCGTGCAATTCCTGTCACAGCAGGGTAAAGAGACAGACACCACCGAGATCATCACTAGGGGTTCATAAGAGATCAATCGTCTCTCTATGACTCCAACGCTAAACAAACATTTCCCATGCGCCATGAATCAAACGTAACATCCCACAACATCAAAAGAAAAGAAATAAGACACTGATTATGGAGCCGGGGGAGGCGATGGATGTTCCCCCATGTCGAATATGGATGCAATGAACCGAATGAAACAGCGCAAGGCGCATCTCCATGCATAGACCTAGAGGATATGCGCCGGAGATACACAAATTAGGGGTATTGATTCTCGGACACGGAGGCAGGCGTAACGGAACGGGTCGCGGACCCGGACGGGGGCGTTAATTGATTAACCCGGAGAGTCCTCGGGTGGCGCGATTAGGCGTTCCCGGGCTTCTCGTCCGTGTCGATATGCCAAACCACGTAATTCGGCAAGCCGTAGACTTGGTATCCGGCGCGCTTCGCCATCGCCGCAAAGCCCTCGGTTTCGGCCTGGTTTTCAAACGAATATGCGGGGAAGTTGATACCTGGTAAAAACGCGATCAGTATGTGGATGGATGACACAAATTCAAGGAGAGAACCTACCGGTTCGGTGAACGTCGGCCTTGACCAGGATGTTGACACCGCCGATGCCATCCAGTTCCAGTTCCTCATCCTTGTCCTTCCGCCAGTCGCCCATGCGCGCCATGTAGGTCCGGCCGGTGGCGTATTCCTTATACCCCTCGGCCAGAATAGTGTTGGGATCGATCTGCTGCTTCAACCGGCGTCCCTGGTCCGATTCCACCCACGAGTTATAGTCGACTAGAATCAATTAGCCACGCATATCGATAGGCTCCGAATGGAGTGTACATACAACGACCCTCGATGTCAACGCCATCGCTGTTATACCGGTGGAACCAGATGTCTAAATAAACGGTCAGTCAATGCCAAACAGACGCATGTCGGGTATCATACTAGGAACGAGGATATCCCGATCATGGGCCATGAAGTCCTCGAGGATCTTGTCGGGGCTGTCGACGATGTCGACGTCGCGCCAGTACACCCAGGAGTGGTCGGGCTTCAGCGCGGAATACAGCAGATAGTTGCGGGCGCGACCGATAGCCCGACGGCGTGGGCCCTGGGCGGCGAACGAGTGCCGATCCTCCACGTTCATCTCAATATCGGAGCCAAAATCCTTCTCGACGATGGTAGCACTGCGGAAGGCGACCTTACCGCCCTGGTCCTGGATGCGCTGCAGCTCGGCGCTCAAGACGGCCAGGGTATCGTCCTTGGAGTCGCCGACCAGGAAGGCCAGATCGATGAGGTGGTGAGGATAGGTCAATTTGTAGAGCAGGTCAAAGTAGTTGGACAAGTAGGGGGCGGCGTCTCTGAGAGGCGTCAGGAGGAGCACGCGTTCGGAATTGGCGACCGCCTGCGGGGTGGACTTGACGGGATTCAGGTCCATGCGCTCGATGCTCGTATTGTTCACTTCGTAGGGCTGGTGGCTGTTGAAGATGACCGGGGTCTGCATGTGGGAGCTCCACTGGACCATCTCGTTGGTGGACATCTCCATGGGCGATTTGGAGGGACCATAACAGTAGAAGCTAGGCAGTCGCCTGGTCAGTGCCATTACGGTCTCCTTTCCGAACTCGCGCGAAACTCACCTTTGCATCCCCGATGCCGACCTGGTGACCCCGCGCCATAATAAGATAATCATCCCGGTGATGGCCAGCGAGGCCAGAAACCGGGTTCGCGTCACCAACACCAGGAGAGCCCGCCAGGGGGGGAGCCTGGATCTGGTGGACTTCCACGTTACACCACCCTTGGGGAGTAGCATTTTCGGGGATGAATTGAGAGCGCTGAGGACGGGAGGGAGAGCGCTACAAGGATCCGAGGCGACAATCCCCGAACCGAAGCGGATGAAGTCCACAACCAGGTATCGACGTGGAGCGCAAGACGGAGGGCGAAACCGACGAGGAGCCGCGGGATCGAAGGAAAAAGGGGGTGGATTGGAAGATTGGAGATGGTGGCGTCAACGGGTCGTGAAGGATGCGGCGAACACTGGATCGACTGCGATGCGAACAATGGGCCGGTAAATAGAGGGTAAAAACGGAGATACGAATTCGAGGGCGTTATTGGACGGTCCGAATATGGTTCTCACGGAAGATGGAGAGGTTGGAGGTGGTGGAAAGAATCCAGAGTTGGGGGCAGAAAGACGCAAAGTGTCCCATCAAAGAAATCCTGACCGGGGGAGTAAAGGAAGGTTTTCGTGGCGGGAGGGTCGTGACACAGAAACACCCAAACCGGAAAGAAGATTGAGAACACAAACCAAACGAATGGATGGATGGGGACGATCCGAGAGAGGGAGAGGGAGAGGGAGGGAGGAAGGGAGGAAGAGAGAGAGAGGAAGGAAGTGAAGATGAGGCTAGAACGCAGAGAACAGGCTAGTCAACTCCCGTACGCAGACTAGTTAGTTCTCAAGGATGATCTCCAGGGTAGAAAAAGACACGAATCAGGGAGAAAAGAGAAATTGAAGGGTCAGTCCGAGACCGAATCCAGGACTCCGATCCGGTCTTACTCCGACGCACTCGGGTTGCTCCCGTTCCTACTACGGATGACTATCAAGTGCGTGGGTATAGGAGAATCCGTGGCTGTAGTTTGTTCCCAATCCGTCTTCCCCACTGCTCTAATAATATCGACGGATGAGATGGTTCTGTTGTTTCATCTTCCCAGATCCTTTGGATGATATCCACTTTGGGATACTATCTTGTAATGGAATTATGTGATCAAAGACAATTCAAAGAAATTTTCAAAAGAATTTAGAGAACAAAATTCAAAGAAAAATCCAAAGAATTTTCCTTATTGACTACATAAAAGACATGCCTGAGGCAGCCGGCCATTTGAATATCCAACGGTCTGCACTGACCTCATCACTACGATCTAGGATTGAATCAACCGGTTTACAATCAGTCCGCTAGAACAAAAGACCGCGTACATATGCAGACACTACCCACTGAAGCACTGGTTGTGTGCGCTATTGACCACTGAGTTAGGTTTGACTCTTCCACAACCCTTACCCTAAGTATAGACATCTACCAGGGAAAGACTGCCCTATGCACGACATTCGTGATATCAACTTCCCCCTGCCTTCAAATGAACATACATACACATCTCTTCCATTATACTGTCTATCATCTTCCTGAAAAACGGATGTATCGTCTCTCTTTCTTTTGTCCAAGGTAGATACGCCTTGATCGCAAAATAAGAATAGCGAGTCAAGGTCCATAGTAGACTATTGTGTTTGAAATTTATCAACTATCCAACACTACTGTATCTCATCCAGCCACCCCAGTAGGCAAAAACGGCGCAATCGAAGGATCCGGCTGCACAGGATAGTCCGGCGGAGGCTTCTTCATAGCCCGAAACACCTCCTTGGGGACAGAGTTCTCATTAACATACTCCAGCAACGCCTCATAGTCCCGACAGACATGCTTGTTCATGAAGTCCGGGAACGGCTGGTCCCAGCCGCCGACCCAGTTGAACAAAATCACGTCGACGGGGCTCTCGCACTTGATATACTGGGCGAGGATGTCAATGCAGTGGGTGATATGCGCCGTGTGCTGCGCATCGGGGCGGTTCCCGAATTTGGGGAAGTAGTAGTGCTCGTAGGAGATCTCTTTCCGCAGCATGTCCAGACAGTGCAGCAGGTGGAACACTTCCGTTTGGGCAAGGTAAGCGTCGGGCCCGAAGCCGAACTCATCGGGCACCCGCACGGCGAGCGACGGGTCCTTCCCCAGTCGGCGGATCTCTTCGGCGGAGATCAGTATGGGAAACACCCCCGAGCTGATTCGGAACCACTCGTCGTCGGCCTCGTCGCCCTGCGGGATCCGGAGGATCGATGGCGGCTCGCTGTCATACAAAGAACCGTTGGTGATGCGGTCGACTCGAGGGATGTCGAACCGTTCGAGAATGGGAGCTGGCGTGTATGTCAGTCGACCTCTCATAGCTAGTATGTTTTGCCATGAGTCGAACCCTAACTCAACTCACCATAAGCCGAAGTTGCCTTCCATTTGTCCTGGGTGCTTAGGTGCTGCAAGCACGCCTGGCTCGAGAGAGGGGACATGAGGAACAGCACCGATCCACACAACACCATCACGTTGAAACAGGTGATCCATATCGTCCAAGCGCTCGACCTCAAGCTCCAGCGCCCTGCTCGTGGGCAACACCGATCCGACTCCTGCGGCAGAGAGCCCGTCAAAAGACCCTTTTCCGAGTCCCTGTCGCTGGGACTGCTGCTCTCTTGATAACTTTCTTCTTCTCCCTCCGTGACAGCTTTCGTGGCCCCTCTTGTGTGGTGGTCGCACATGGCCTATTATTGTTTCGGGTCGTGTCTCTGGAACAGTGTTCAAGGAAGGTTGGACCCATTTCAACTGTTCGAGTATGGAATCAGTCGTCAACCGATACACCGCTAGTCCCTGACCTGGGATGTGCTGCTGTTGCGATCCTGCCCAGAGCCAGAGTCCGGCTGAATTAGACGCAGATAACCCCTTGCTGTTGCAATATTGTAGGCGTGAAATAAAGGAGATAACGCAATCACCGCACCCACCGTTACACTTAGCTGGGCAAGTTCACAATATCATTGTCCTATCCCTGCCTCCGATCTAGTGTGACGGGCGAGTGCACGATTGCCATGGGCCTGGTGTCTGTGAAGTAGACCATACCACCACAGACAGTAACCCCAACAATGCAAGGGAGATGACTAAATCAAAAGTATGAGAAGCGGTCAATGCTTGTCATATATGTCAAATGATCAATTGACGTTAAGATCCCTTCCTTGCTACCCAATAGGAAAAAACGAACTCTATCGACGACGAGACTTGCAGGTGGCGCCGGCGACAGCCAGGATATTACTACGTGCTAGATAAGACGTCGCGTCATGTCACATCGCATTCTGCAAGGTCCGCGCAAGGTCTCAAGAGCACCCTTCCCCTCCCCCTTCTACTTCACAGCTACACAGGGCTCAAATCAAGCTGCAGGATGGGCGATCCTCAAACCACCGCCGCTCTAGCTCATCCTCAGCTCACCAACACTCCGAAGACTATAAGGCAGGCTGAGCCCGTTGCTGGAAGCCGAACATATACCAGTCACCACCAACTTCGTTCAACTCATCGCCCCTCAGTCGATAGTGTTTCCCAAGCAATAGGCAGAAAAACATCCTAGCTTCGACCGCCGTTGTATCCCTCAGCAATGCAGCTCAAACAGTTCCTCGGTCTCTTGGCCTTTGGCTTGCCGTTGGCCTTTGGCTCCCCTTTGCGTATGGATATCCGTCTGTACGGTCTTGATGGTGCTGTCTGCTGATACTGGACTTTGAAGCTGCTCAAGATAGCGAGGCTATTCCTTATTACCCGAAGCGCAGCAACGAGGGAGAGGCTATTCCTTACTATCCGAAGCGCAGCGACGAGGGTGAAGCCATTCCCTACTACCCCAAGCGCAGCGAGGAGAGTGAGGCGATCCCCTACTACCCGAAGCGCAGCGACGAGAGCGAAGCCATCCCCTACTACCCGAAGCGCAGCGACGAGAGCGAAGCCATCCCCTACTATCCTTAAGGCAATGAAGTCAGACCACTCCCGAAGCAATTTCACCCCAGGCGATGAAAAATCTACTGGAGATTGACGGGGCGCATTCGACTTCGACGTTCACTACATCCCTTAAATAACTTGCCGTGTTGCTTCTATCCGGCTTGTCAGCGACATCTTGGTTTTTCTCCACCAGAGACTTTTGTGTGGCCCGCAACCTGACAAGCCGTTCGTTTTGATATTCTCCTCAATTGTTGCCAGAATGAAACTAGCCTAGGATTAGATATTTGAACTACGGTTAGAGTGTTCTTGCTTTACTTCTCTTGTCTTCCTGCACTCTTTAGTCGAGTAGTTCAAGCTAATTTGGTCCAGCGTAGTTAGAATCACCACCACAGGGAGAGTGAATCGCGGTAGGCTGTAATTTCTCTCCACGCTCATCAGTCACTGCCATAAGGATGTGCGAAGATCCAGTAGACCAAAGAGCCATAACCCATGGAGGTTCGCTCATCCCCAGACCAAATGAGCGTCAACATGTGCAGAAGGAACCAGGGAATCCTGGCAGCAAAGCTGAACTGCAATGCGGTCAGCCCATAAAGCAAGGAACCAGACCACACCGTACATGTACATGGTTGTCTACGCATGTGTAAGGTAGCATTGAAAAGAAAAGTAGTACAATCTCCTCTCTCCAGGCAAGGGCGCCAACAAATGTCACATAGAATCTCTCGTCCAGATATCCGGTGGAATGCTGTCGACGCCAAAGGGCGGTATACGTCCTGCTGATATCCTGAACCCAGCACGACAAGGCCCTCTCCCTGGACCCTCAACGTCACACCTACCATATAGCTCATATCCTCAAACCATGTTCACCAAGAACAACAGACAGCAAAAAGCCTACATCAAATATGAGCAGCTCAACAGAAACCCCAGCGTCGAGCTAGACTCACCGCGCTTCATGACCGACTCCCCCAGTGAAGGTTACAACAACAATGGCAACAACCAAGATGAAAAGACCCCTCAAGCAAAATATCGGTTCCCCCCAAACAAACAAGTAATCGCCCTCCTCCTCGCCCTATTCGGCCTCCTCGACCTCGCCTACCGTGCCTACGAGCTCACCACCACCCCCCAACACCAACACCCACACCCACACCCAACGAGCCCCATCTCCTGTAACTGCGGCGAAACCATCGCCGAAGCCCTAGCCAATAACTGCCGCTACGACTCCTTCGCAGCAGCCTGGCTCCCCCCCGCCTGCCGCAACGACGATCTCATCGAGCAATTCGAGCGCGCAGGCCCCAACCCAGACGGCAGCTGGAATTACTACGCAGACGCGAACAAGACGCGCACGCTGACCCTCGACGAGGTATCGCGGCTGCCTGAGACGAAGGGCTCCTTCTACACGACGCACCGGTGGCATCTTGTGCATTGCGCTTATTACTGGAAGAAGATGTTCCTGGCTGCTGAGAGGGGCACTGTCATTGAAAAAAGGTATAATCGGATGGGTCATCTGGATCATTGCGAGATGATGTTTTTGGCGAGGGATCCGTTGGAGAGTATTGTTACTGCTGCTGGGGTGGCGCTTCATTCGGATGTGCTTGTTGTGAAGGGTGGTGGTGGTGATACTGATCATGATCATGAGAATATGCGGACTTATTAGTGCTTTGGGTTTTTTGTTTGGAGTCAGAAGGAATGTTCCGGTATCTATAGATTGATGCTGTGGAGAAGGAGCCATGCCAATCTTGGGTTTATCATAGTAGTTTATGAGCACTAGAAAGTGCCTAGCTTGTGGTCTAACCTCCATATTTTGATATTTATCAGTATACTAGTGTGATTATGAAGTCTGAACTTCAAGAGCTCTATTAATAGACACGGTGAATATGGCAAAGCCTACAATCAGCAGGAGAAAGTGAATGTAACCATCACTAAGTACTACACACGTGTCAGGTCTACCAAGAAAAACCTCATCAAGTCGATAAAGCCAAATTTTATAAGATAGACAGCCAAAAAATAATATATGTACGTCAATCCAATTGAAAGTTAATGACAGTATATCCAGATCAGTTGCAGATACCGCAATAGTGACAGAACAGTCCCCAGCATCCAGAGAATAAGAAATCTATACACCCTCTTCCAATGCAACCCACTCAACTCTTGAGGCTTCCCCTTTTTTCGCCATACAACGCGTGTACTCCATGCTCGCCGAAATATAGTGATAAAGAGGGACACGGTGAGAAACAATAAACCCGCGCTGTGAAAAAACAACAATAACAAAACCAGTTGAAAAGCAAAGGAAAGCAAAAACAAAGCAAAGAAAGAAAACAAAGGAACAAAAACAGGAACAGTAAACGAGTCTCAGCCACCCAAACAGTTATGAAAACATAGTACACCGCAGACGCTATGCCAAGAGAGACGACCAAATATTGAATGAAGGCTTAAATGTCCAATGCAGAACGCTTGCCACTTTCTCAACCAAAGGAATCAACCAAGGAGATTCATGACGTGACAGGAAATGGGCGCCCAGCGACGGGCGTCATGCAAGATGATGATGATGATGATGATGATAAAAGGAAAGGTCGATTACGGAGACGGCCCCAGGGAGGGACGCCGCGAGACCGGGACAGAGTAGGAGACGGGCGGGAAAGCAGGCGACGACGGTCCCGTCGTCGGCGGAGTGTGGCTCAAAAAGGCATGACCGAAAGACTGCGATGATCCCGTGTGAGGCGGGTCTAGGCGAGAAGGCTCAGTCCCGGTGGCTCCGATCTCGTCGCAGAACACGCGCAGGCCCGGGAGCATGTTCCGCGGCCGGGTGTCGGTATAGGAGGCGGCCAGGGGCCGGGACGCGGCGGGTTCGCTGCGGGGCGAGCGGAACATGTGCTCGTAGGACTTGAGCTGGAGCTCGAGGGCTTGGTTGCGCTCTTCCAGCAGCTGGTTCTCGTGCTTGGCGGCCTTGAGCTGCTGCTGGACGGACTGGTTTTGCTGCTGGAGGTTGGACACCAGCTGCTGGAGTTGCATGCAGCGGATCTGGGGCTGCAGCTTCTCGGTCAACTGCCGGGGCATCTCGTTCTCTTGGCGGATTAGGTGGACGATGATGAGAAGCATGAAGTCGATGAGGAAGATGGCACCCTGGACGATATGCTCCTTGGATTCCGGAAGGCTCTTGGAGGGGTTCCATCCGGCGCGCTCCAGGAAGAAATCGTGGATGCGGCTGTCCAGCTCGCGGTGCAGCTGGCTCAGGTTCTTCCGGCGGTTCCCCTCGGCAATGCGGTGCTTTTCGCGCTGGTCGTCGGACTCGCCTGAGATCATGCTGCCCTTGCGCTTGCGACCGCACAGTTGCTGCAGCGGCGGCTTGCGGTTGATGTGCTTTGGGGCGATCAGGTTTAGGAGGTCGGTGGGAGCTAGTTCGTGGGGCCAGTCGAACACCTTCTGTGCCGGCATGGCCTCGGCCCAGGAACTATCGGCGGAGTTGGCCGGGGAGGGCGGCGTCACGATGTGCTCGGCCGACGGCCAAGGGGATTTGACGGGGAAAGAGTCTTGCGAGCTGGCTGGGCTGGGGGCCAGCGCATTGGGGTTGGCATGGAATGGGTTGAATGGACCCCGAGGTAAAGGCTCGCCCCGCGGAAGGGGAGGCAGGCGACGGTCGTCCCCTACTTCTGCACTCGCTCCATGGGGAATGGATCGCAAGGCACTTGGGAGTCGTCAGTCATGCACAAAGACATAAAACGAGGTAGGTAGGGGGTGAACAACTTACGGAAGAGGGTAGCGTCGGAAGGAGTCGTCGGTCATGTCTTCAAACATCATATTCGGGTCTGTCAGCGGGAGTATCCGGGTGTCTAAGGTCAATGTCGGCCTTGAATGGTGTCGATATGTTGGAGTGCAGATGACGGCGGGTGTCTCAGTTTAATATAACCCACAGAGAAGACAAATTCTTCAGCAGCGAGACACAAGGGGGAGGAGCAATAGAGCAATGATGATATCAATAATCACAGAGAGGAAACAAGGAGGAGAGACCCATATAGAATCAAGGGAGGTTGCTATGGGAAAGTGGACAGGGACGTTCTTGTTCTTTCTTGTTTTATGGTTGTTGTTGGATATTCCCTTTCTTGTCAGTCTGAGTGATCAAAAAGGATGCGATCCGTCTGCATGTTTTATATGTTCACTGCAGCCTGGGAACGAGGGGGATCGAGCGAGCCAAAAAGACCTGAAGAGAGGGGGGAGAAAGGCGCCACCTGGTGGTGGCGCTCAGGCGTGCATTAGGGCATCTCGAGACCAGGTTTCGATGAACTGCAGATGAACATGAAATCTCAATTCTGGAACAGGAGGATGTATCATACCGGCTATACTGGTGGGACAAGACAGCTCTCGAGATGGGGATTCGGGGATCTGCGTCCAACTGAATGGGGAAATGGGGACGTACTTTTCATGTTTTTGATTTATCTTTTAATTTTTATGTATTTTATTAATCTTTTCAGTAAGGTGGAGCTACAGATCAATTGATCCTCGTTTAGTATGTTAAGAATAATTCTCCACAATATTCTTGTCTAGAATATGATGACGATAGGGCAATGGTTGGAGACGGGGAATCCACATACTGTATACAATGAATATACTCCGTACAATATAATCAGCTATTCAAGCTGGCAATAGCTGGAAGAGTCAAACTACACTCATGTATAGTATCAGAGCCTTCAAATTAGTATGTATGATACACGTACATACACACACTTCCATAGACATCCAGGTCCTCGAGCGCGGGGAACCCATAGGAACCTTCCGGTCCAGTTCAACCACCCTGGATGTCTCATCGGGAGCCCAAGATCAGTAAATCCCTATCACAAAAAAACAGAGAATCAAAGGTCCAGATCGACGAATCAACGTGCCATGATCCCGGATGCCAGTCCCAGACACTCGATTTGTCAACCGCTGCAGCGGGTTCTTCGATCCACACGGGTCAAAACCACGCAAAAAGAGTATCGATATCGACTCCCCTTGCATCGGCTCGCCCCAATAGTCTTTCTTTGGGCCCTGGTTTGAAATAGGGACCCGAAACAAACGTCCCCCGGTCCAGAAGCACACCGGGATGGGTCCGTCCCCCCTTCCAGGGCCCCGACGGAACTGTGCTTCCGGCGCTCATGCGTCAGGTCAACTCGGGGAAACCCTCCAGAAGCTTCCTGGAAGCTCACCAGGATGTTCCCATCTGGGTAGAAAAGGGGATGATCTTCAATAGATTGGAGGGGGGAAGGGGATGGACGGAGCGTGTGGGAAAAGAATCACCTGCAGAAAACTCAAATGGATTCACCGGATCACCCGCAATGCCCACAAATCATGGATTGAACGAACATCCCAAGAATAGATCGTGGAGTCGCTCATACGATCAGTCCGAAATCAAGCGCAACATGGTGGTTCCCTCCCCCGGGCCCAGATAATGCACCCGCGCGATCTGGATCGTGATCTTGCTTCGCCTCAACCACGTCCTCCATCTTGTTGCGTTCGTCTGGATCAGAAGTACACCCTACAATCCCCTTTGAGATAGAGTCGTAGATTCTACTGCGCGGTACTAAACATCCGAGGCGCAGGCGGAGCGCAGACTTCGCCCCCGAAGGGTCAAATCATCCATCAACGGGACCAAATAGCACGAAGTAAGGACATCTGAGCCAGATGGCGAATCCAATCCCTTCAGCCGTTCAAAAGTACTGGAGACCCCCCTGGAAAGAGGCAATCTACAGGGAGAAAGGATATCTGGCATATGCTGATCTGAAGAGCATACCTCGTCATGCACAGCAACGGGTATGTAGGTGTAGGTGCGGAGTGTCATGTATCCCATCCCATCGCCACTGGATAACAAGCATCCCATACCCCCCGCAGTATTGGGACATTTCTTCCGCGGCTCACGGCCGAATGATGCCGAGCTCAGAAATTCATTGTACGCATCCATTTTGAGAGTCCAAGGGGAAGGGCCTGAGCACTCTGATCGCCGCACTATCGGGCCCGTTCTCCTGGGTCATGGGGGGGATCCCAGTGACCAGGATGAAATCTGACGGCTGTCAGACCCGGCGTCCCTCTCTCTCTTCGTTCTGGACTCTTTCTGTTTTTAGTCTAGGGGCTCGACCATGGTCTATTCGTTTTGACCATTCATAGTGGGGGGAAGGGGCCGATGATTTGGAATAACAATGGCGACGTCTAACAGCAGTCTGCCCATACGATGCCCCATACGGAGTATCCCGTACTTGCATACGAAATGGAGTATTTGGGGAAGTCCAGACGCCTCTTGTTGTGGACGGTTGTAATTTGATTTGGGGCTCAAATTTCGAGGTTTGCCATCGTGAGGCTGTTCCCTTGGGGGGCTTGTCCTCTACGAAGGGCGTCTCGCCCTTACAGAGACAAACTCAGGAATCAAGATCCGAGTACGTCAGTGGAAAAACTCCTGAAGACCGAGCTCGACGTCCAGCATTGGCCCCTTGGTACTCCGTATACGGGTCTGGAGTGTTATTAAGAGGTGGGTCGCATAGACGCCGGATACGATCTGTCATATTCGGATCGAGGATGAAGAAACCGACCTCATTGTTTATTTACATGTTTCAATCAATATGTTTTTGTTTACTTCACATTATTTTACTTGATAATTTCTATTTCAATTTTATTTTTATCCCCCTAACTCCTCTTCAGCTAGCCCCACGTTTTTGGTTTCTCGTTAATTCTATGCCACAGTCATGGCATCATGCCCAGTAATGGATTCCCGGATTTCACATCCTGTTCGCCGGTTTCATCAACCCCATGTGGGGTTTCTAGAACCTTGCTGTCTAGGCAATAGCTATTGGACTTCTATGGGCATTGAGATCGCTCTCGAATCCGACTTTCGTTTTCGCTTTCGCTTTCCAATTATGAGTGATTTCGCCTGTTGGCCCTGAGGATAAACGACCACCACTCGAATGCATACCTGGGCTGCAGTAGCTTCGTTGACTAGCTACCACTCTTTTCGCCTTCTCATATATCTTATATATTGGGTGGAGGCTCTAGCCCGCGTCTAACGTCAAAGCAACGCCGTCGCCCCATTAGTTGAATGCGTTGGCAGTCCTTACACTCCATCTATCATTCCCCCGATCCAACGAGTGGATCAGAGAGCTCGTTCCCTGTATCTATCTATCCCAGCCTCCTCTCTTAAATCAGACGAGATAGGATGAGAAGGAGATGAGTCCCACGTCGAGCAATATCAAACCCTGAGACATCATCTATCTATGCTCAATGTTACATGAGACTTTAGTTCAAGGGTAAATCATCACCATCCATTCACGCACGAACCGTCTCGCTTTCCGTCCTTGGCGGCCTGAACCCAGCTTAGTTGGCTACAGAATGTCCCTCAATCCGTGAAGATCACTCTACTGGCCTCGTTCCTTGTATGTGTAATGTGAAATGGGCATGGTCGCAATCCCATTCGCAGTTGCGCGTCCCCAGATTCAATCACCCTTCCCAATACGAACTCCCCTCCCAACTCAAAACTCAAAACTAGCAGTCAGCCATTGCATGAGCCTCACATGGTCTATACACATGTTTTCAAGGGGTTATTAGACGGGGAGAGCTTCCCGAGTGGGTTTTCCGTCATTTCCCCGATAGATGTCGTGGTCTCGACCATCGATGGCCAATCTTCTTCACCTAGTATGTTGGATTGAAGGGACAGTAGAGGCCATTGAAGTTTATGCTGCAAGGATTTCCTCTCTTCCTCTCTCCCTCTCTCTTTCTGTTCTTGATTCTAGACCATGGATTCTTCAAGATGGAGGTGTTCAGGCAGGGAGGCGCATGTTACACGGCATTCGATAGATGGAGCGGGGTCAATACGTCTATTTCCTTGTTCTTTTCCTCTTGTGCATACTAAGTTCAGACTGTTCAATGCTATGGAGTACACTTTAGCTATGATCCATATGTTGTGGTTGATTCTGCATCTTTCCCCTACCGATATAGAAGTAAACAAACCACAAAAGAAACTACAAGAAAAAAAAAGCAATTGAAGAGAAAAGAATGTGAAGAAAAAAAGAAAAACAATAAGTGAAACAGTCCGTTAAACTACCACAGCAAGTGGATACTCCAGAATCTCTCACAATTCCGACTACCGAGTAAAGCAAGAGATGTGGAGAAAGTTGTTTGGATAGATCAGATTGAACATTTCACCCAGTAACCAACTCCCCCCCCAAAGCAGTTAATGCATTGTTCATCTTCTCTACCTGTCAAACCGTCCCTAGACCATCGACGTCCACCGGCGTCTCCGTTTCAACGCACGTACATTCCCGTTTCTGTTCTTTCTTTTTCTTTCTTTCCTCCTGCTAGTACACATACATTCATACCTACAGATGGACCAGCGCCATCCATGCATCCGAATCCATATCGTCCATCTACCTAAACCCACCCATTCTGACATCTTCCGCTTTCTCCCGTCGATGCTGGAATGCCCAGCGAACCAGATCTCCCTATCCAACCAACCATGTAGACCAACACCAACACCATCAGTAAAATGGAGAGAAAAAAAGAAAAGCAAAAAAGTCCCTGCATGGATGATCCTACAAGATCCATCGTGCGCCGCTTACGTATCACCTCGGCCCGTCTCGTCGATATTACCTATGCCATGTCAACACCCACTGAAACATCCATCCCTCACGAGATCTATACAAAGAATCTCCCCAGGAGGGGAAGAAAAACAAGGCTGAGGATGTGGCGATGACTCGTGCCGTGTTTCAGGTGCTGCGTAAGGAGACTGCATCTTAGACTCCCGTTCGACGGTCTATCCTCGGACGCTGGTTATGGAAAGTCGACATTCTCTCCGCAAGGATTGAATCTGGAGTCTGGGCCTGTCTGGATGGCGCTTTGCCACTGTGGCTCACTCTTTTCTCTTTCTCTATTTCTTTTCTTTTCTCCAAGACAGAAAGAAGGGGGAGAGGAGAGAGAGAGACGCCGGAGTACTCCGTCCTCCGTCTCGTCCACTCTACAGTGTAGACTACACACATCACTTCTATTTATAAAGAAACAAGGATCCCCAATCCCGCCCCGCCCGTGCAGCCTCAAAACCTCCACATAATGTCGTCCAGCCAGCCGAGCCACGCCGAGATAGATTATCTCGGTAGACAGTGGGTAAGAAAGAGCCTGAGAAATCCCCACACATTCACCAGGAGAAGAAAAGAAGCAGAAGCTACAAAAGAACGAAAGAACGAAAGAAAGGGGGAAAGGGTCATATCACCCACCTACCCATAATGCAAGGCATACGCCGAGATAGATAAATACGTACATAGTAATCCGTACATGCCCGTTTAGGTACAGATTATGAGATGCATCCACCTATCGACATATAGTATGCATGTCGAGAGTACCCAACACATATGTACTCCGTACTTATGTATCATTTTGGTGATTCATTGCTGCCTTATTGTTGGTTCTTGTCTGATGTTACTCAACTAGTCCCAATTACTTTCTGCGCTATGTGGCGATATACAGTTACTGGGGGCCAGAAGGGGGCAATATCCAGCCTCTTCTCTGGGTCTGCAGCTATGCAAAGGAAAAGCTCACTGTCTTGAAAATAGAGGAGTTGAACTCACAACTCATACTATTCTAGACGAGAAGATGGCATTGGTGATTGGTCCTATGCAGTGCTTTCGGGATAAGCCACATGGGAAGTGGCTTGCTAGGTGTGACTTGATTTATGGCTCGGGGGACTGTACTATGTGATGTTATAGACAATAGGATAGGGCTTATCTCTAATACTGTATGATCAACTAAGTCTTATAGACAAGTAGATATGTATAGAAGCTACAAAGAACACATAGAAATCAAGAGAAGTAACTATCAAGTAGATAAAACACACATTGGATGAAGCACATACAGATAGACATCTCCTGGCAGAACTCTCGTGATATACTAGATATTCACCACTCTGTGTTGCGTGAACACAGCATATAATCACTGCATATATTCTACTTACTCATTGACCAGAAGTTAGAATAGATATACACATCTAGCCCCAAAAGATACCTATACTACCATTCGCTTTCACGTAGCATATCAAACATAGTAAACCACTATGATATGAAGTACGAAGATTAACCCCCCAAGACAATCACATACACAATTTCCAAAGATAGTCACTGAGTCACTGAATAAACCCTCCACAAAAGCCTAAATCCCCTCATGAGCACACAACCTCAAAGCTAACCAACATACTATATCTAAGCCAAAGCAAGCCCCCAAACTATCCAAACTCTATCATTCAAAGAGGCAACTCACTCCCGCACCTCAAACAAGCATGATAAGCTCGGGGTACCTTAAACACACAATCAACCATGTTTGAACCATGCTCAAACTCAATCTCGCCCTGTCCACTAGCTACTAGCTAGAACCTTATGGATATACTTCGTATAGATACAGCACTGTCCTTCAACTACCAGGCACTAAAACTGGCTCCCCTCTTCTCCCTAAGCCTGACTCAATAGTACGCCAAACCAAGTCACACATCGTGGCCCCTATACATTGTGCGTTCCCAGTATCGGATCAGCGCTGTTTAGCTTTTCTTGCTTGCTTGCATGCGGGGGAGTCACCCAGTCTCAGGAAAGTTTAACCAATTCTTCTGACTTTACGACCTCTAGAGTAAATTAAACCAAGACCCTGCTCGCTTTCTTCAATTACTTCATTTCTTCCCTGTCAGTCGATAGATAAACGGTACTTTCTCCAACTACCTACCTCCCAAGACAATAACTCAATAAACAACCGTAATTAGTACCTCTCTGAACCATGGTACAGTCTTCATCTAGTATATCCCCCCTACATCTGGTGACTCATACATACTTAGGTAGTATCTAGATCCTACTACTATCTCTGGGACTTTTGTCCTCATCATAATTCCAAATCAGGTCAACTCAAATCAACTCAAATCTACCTAACTGGCTATCCCGCTCCTATACGAACCCTTGAACTCACTCACTCTATCCTCTACCCTCTATCTTTTACAGTCTGCTGCCGTAGCCAGTAGCTAGTTGCCACCACCCAGTGAAGAAGGGAGGGGAAACTGGATAAATATGATGGATCATTTTTCCGCACCGCGCGGGGCTGTCCACCTACATCTACAGACATCATACCTACAGACAAACGGATAGACAGACAGAAAGAGCCAGGTGAGACCAGAATATCAACCAATAAATCGATAAATGAAAGAAAGAAAAGAAACTGTTGCCCCCACCTATTCCTCCCTACATACCTACATGTAGGTTGCATACATGCTGTGCTGCACTGTACTGCACCATGTATGAAGTACATACCCTTTGCGGCCCGCTGACTTCATCGGCAGGGAGTTGTGTACGTTGGCGTGACACTGTTTAGGGTTTATTCTGTGTTGGGACAGCATTGTCTGTGTAGTCGTGTAACGGTCGCAGAATCATGTCATTGATTGATTGCCTTGATGACTTTCCATAGGCAAGTTTACAGTCTACTCTTGCTGGTGAGAAAAAATGTAATTCAAACGAACAAACATACAATCAGGCAAAGGAATGTCTATAGAACAAATAAAGTAAAATGGGTCTTAGCCCACAGCAAATGATGAAGAGAAGCCCCCAGACACACATACGGATTCCAATATCTCCTCATGTTCAACTCCAACCGTGTCGGAACGAGAAAAGAAAGAAATATGATAAAGGATGTGTTCTGAGAACACTCCAAAAAGTGCTCAAAACGAATTCAATTATTATCATAAGAACTGCAATGGACGAGAAAACAGGGCCCGATTGCGTATTAGGCAACTCTACAAAACAACCTTAAAAGACGGTTTGGAACAGAAAGATCGCGCTCGGCGTGATATAGACGACTCCTTTACAGGGCGTACTGGAGGAGGGCGCCGAAGACGGCGGCCATACCCATGGCAGGGACGTTGGCGACGTTCATCACGGAGGCACCCTCGCTGGACTCGGAATCCTTGCCGCCGCTGGTACCGGTGGCACCCGACTTGCCGTCAGCGGAGGTCGGGTTGTTCTTGTTGCCCTCGCACTTGTAGGAACCGCGGATGACCTTGTCGGAACGGAGCTTCTTGAACTCGCCGCAGCTGAAGTTACCGGTCGACTGCATGTTGAAGCCACCCCGAACGTTCTCAAGGGCACCCAGAGAGACCCTATGACACAATTAGCCCAGCGCCAGAAAAAATGAAAGGGGGGAGGGGGGATATGGAGAACGTACTTGTCGAACTTGCCGCTAAAGTCAATGGCACCGGAGACCTGCTCAAGCTTGGGGAAGTCGAGCGACTTCAACTCGTCGTTGCGGGTGATCTGGAAGCCACCGTTGATGGTCTTGAGGTTGGGCATGCTGATGTTGGAGAGCTTCTCGTTGCCCTTGAAGACCAGGTCACCGGTCTCGGTCAGGTTGGGGGCGCTGAAGGTCTCGAAGTTGAGACCCCAGAAACCGAGCTGGCCGGACAGCTTCTCGAGCGAGGGGAACGAAGCGTCGCTGACGTTGCGGAAGGTCATGTTCTTGGCACCGGCAAGGTTGGGCAGGGAGATCTTGAGGGACTCCGAGTTACCGGCGAAGTTCATGAGGCCAGTGGCGTTCTTCAGGTTCTCGACGTTGACCTTCTTCATGTCCCGGTTGTCGGTGATGTCGAGCTGACCGACCCGCTTCAGGGAGATACCGTCGAGGCTGGTCAGGCCGGTGTTGGCGATGTGGACATCGCCGGCATCGGTGACACCCTTTTCGAAGCCCAGGCTCTGCAGCTGGGGCAGAGCGGTGAACTCGATGGAGCCGACCTTGGTGAGGGAGCCCATCTTCAGGGAGGAGAGGCTGGTGAGGCCGTTCAGGTGGAAGGTCTCCTTGATGCTGCTGAGTTCGGCGGCGGAGATGGAAGTGACGTTTCCGGCCCCCTCGGAGGTGAAGCTACCGTCGATCTGCTGGACGCCATTAAGGCTCAGTTCGCCCTCGGCCTGCTTTTCGATCTTGAGGTCACCCTTGATGGTCTTGCAGGTGCTGTATTTCTCCAGATCGCTCTGGTTCTCGATCTTGATGGTATCGCCGCTACCGCAGTCTGTCCATGATACGAGTCAGTCACCGTTCCGTTACCTTCCTTCTCCTTTTTACGGTGCGAAGGTAAAACCCGTAGACTTACCGGCAGCGAAGACGGCACTGGCCGCAGCCAGAACCGGAAGGGCGTACTTGAGGACGACCATTATGATATCTTCGCAATGAGTACTAGATATTGATGTCAGTGGGTTGCGACGTTGATCTCCAGCCAAGCACGGCAAAGACTAGAGACAGGGACTTGGGGGGGGGACAGCAACGAGAGAGGATCTGGGTGACACTGAAATTGAGAGTGAGACACTTACCAATGACAGAAGACGAGTGATGTATCACGGGCAACAATAAGGCCCTAGGTATGTGTGAATCTCGAGGAAATGGAAGCGAAATCGCTTAAAGTGAACTGGAGAGCGAACGATAAATAAACGAGTGGAAGAGGGAGAGCGAGCTTCAACGAAGGAGAAGCTTTGTATGGCTGAACCCTGAGTGAAAGAAAATGCACGGAATAGGCAAGCACGTTTTACAGAGGAATGAAGGGAAAGAAAGAAAGCGAGGGGGGGGAGGAAAAGAGAGAAAAATTAAAAAGGAAGGACTGGGATGGGTAAGAGAGAGAAGCGTGTCAGAGGAAGAAACAAAGTGCTTTCAGGGAGGACAAGAAAGGAGGCGTGGCGCACGGATTGGATGGGAGGAAAGTGGATCTGCTGCGACCGGGGGGAATTTCAGTCTCCTTGTTCAGTGGTTACAGTGGCTATATTTACCGTAGTATTTTTACTAGACTACTACGGAGTACTCTGTACGGATAGGAGGTAGGAGGAGTAAATATAGATAGATGGAGGTAAGGATGGGTAATTGTGCCTGATACCTCGTACGGTACGCAGTATGGTAAGTAATATACAGCAATCTATGTTTTCTCATGGTACAATGGATCATCCGTCTTCGGTTTAGCCCGCCCAGAAAGGGGCCATCGTGAACGAAAATCCGGATTTCTTTGGCCCAGTTATGCAGTGAATGGCCCCGTTGTTTTGAGTCAGACTCCATCGTCTACTAACACCTCACCAATAATCTGTTCTTGATCTGACCTGTGTGATTCGCCCCGCGAGTGACCCCTCTTCCGTTGATCTCGTTGCTATTCGGAATGGATTTCAATCGATCGGTTGGTAGAACGTACGGAGTATCTGTATATGTTGTCCATTCTATTCTTATCTGGAAGACGGTCGCGATGCCCAACCAGATCAGAACAGCAAGGGGATGACAGGAGAACAATGGGAAAAAGACAGGATACTACAGAAAGATTTAAAAAGCGAAAGTGGCAGGCATACATACCTTGCTTCCACCCCGTCTTGTCAATCCATGCCTTGTAATTTATGCTCGGTGGATACTCTGTAGATAATGTCAGAATCACAAACATAACATCAGCAAAAGATCAATCAATCCACATCACCTATCCACCGTCTGGTATGGATGAGTCCATTCCAGTCTCTGTTTTGACAGCAATTGACCAATATGAATGGCAGTCTCCTGCTCTATCGACCGGCAGATCAACACAATGGCGGCTATCAAAGGACTAGGACTTGAACATCTGTAATACGCATACCACCATCGAATTAATTACAACCTAACGTCTAATCTAATTCTTACAGCTGATCACCATCTCCCGTCCAGTAATGAAACTCTTCAATTTACAGCTCACTATCCTTCAGTAATTATTTCTTGCTACTAGGCTGGTGTTTATTAGAGTAACAAACAACAGATCTAGAATGTCAAATTTTGATCCACGGCGGTCGACCAGCTGATCCCTCCAGCTACCTTCACAGCCAGCTGGAGGTATGTGAAGTCGCAACTTGCCGCCCCGAGGAATCCAGTCACGCCAGTCATGCGCTTGTTATACATAGCACAGTATTGAAAATAAAAACAAGAATAAAAATAAAGAAAAGAAAGGATCGAGCAAGGCTTCCAGATCCTCTCTATCGCTGGCTGCCTTTTCTTTTTCCTTCATATGAGTTTTCGCTTCTAGACCTCATCTCTATTCCTGAACCCGAGATCTGCATAAAAACTCCATCAGTTGGGTTAAGTCAGGTACCATCCTAAAAGTGGGTCTCCTCCCCTTCCTAATATCGATGTAAATAATCAAATCCTTTTCCAAGATCGCTAAGAATAAACCAGAATCAACCGTGGGTGAGTGGCAAAATCTGAGCCAAGTCCAGCTCGCCCGCCAATGGCATTGTTATCACGTGTGCATAACTTGTATTCGTATCTGGGTACGGCGTAAGGTAAATAAAGTAAATCAATGTGATTAAAATACCAGGTATGGGCCCAAAACCCAACCCCTGCAGTCCGTAGGCCCTTTCCATGGGTGGTTGATTAATCCATCTCCACCAAACAATGAACTAGTTCAAACTTCTCCCAGGCCCATCTTTTCTCCTGTAATCTATCCAGTATCCCGAGACTAAACATTGTTAACAGATAGCTGCGGCTGGGATTGCCTTCTGGACGCATTCGTCTGCCCATCACCTGTTTTGAATACCGTCAGGCAGATCCTGTGGCAAAGAGTCGATCAAAGGGCCCATCACAATATTGAACCGGCTTGGCTGGAGTGCTAGTGACGCTTGCGGTCGACCGTCAACGACAATCATGCACATCTTCTTCGGTCCAGGGTCTGGAAGATGGGGCTTCATCTCGGGAGGCTTTATGAATAACGTATTCTGTAAATGAAGAGGGCCACTGTTGCAATTGCTTGTTTTTACCTCGTCGGAGCTGTCTCAGCTCTGAGTTTCCGTTTCCTTCTACGGAGTAGGGGGGAGTATGGAGTGTGTTTCGTGATTCAGCTCCTGTCCTCCTTTGATAGCCCTTCCGACACGATCACCTACCATCAGACTGATCTTGCGATAGAGGTAGATACTACCAAGTAGAATACTGCACTTCTCCTCAAAACCTACTTTACGGACAGTTCGGTTCATGACTATCATTGCTGTATAAGTTTCCCATAACATCATCCCGACGAGTTTATCTGCCTGATGAACACCAAACGATCCGCATGGTATCAGTATGTAACTGGAGGTATCTAGTATCTACCGTAAGACGAACTCTGTCCATCCCTTGTTGTCATTATGGAAAAGAGGCGTGTTCCTGGAGTGGCGGCATAGTGGATTAGATAGTCGTCACCAGGAGATGAGTGAAACCCTTTTTGGCTGTTTTCGTACAATAGCCACCCTCGGATAGTGTATGATCTACGGACTATCCGTACACAACGATATCGATGTCGATGTTGCCTCGGAAAACAAAAAAGAAAAGTACATCAAAATGAATTAAATAGAATAAAGAAATAAAATGGAATCAAAGATGGCATATCATGTGGTTGCAAGTAATTCGTCTGAAACAATCGTATCGCTGTATTACTACCGCTGACTCTGTACTAGTTAGTTCTCCTCGTTAGTGCTGAATATCATCATCGCGCCGACAGATGTTGTCAACCCGAGGATCCATAGTTTTCAAAGTCTGCCTTCCTGAACCAGGATCAGTTGGCGCTCCTTGATGACGGCGAGGAACGCCGTTGCTGAGTTGTTAGCGTTCTGATTCTTCTGATTGGATTTGTTTTGGTCAGTAACTTGAATAAGTTGTTTAAATCTTACTCGCTTCCACTGCAGCCACTACTCAGGTAATTAACTAATTACCTTCGTAATGGTCACTTAACAAGGTAACTGAAAGAGTGACGACGGTGACACGATGACCCTTTCGTCCAGCGAAGCTTTTTAGTCTGCATGACATGCCCCTATTCTGGCCACTCTCCACCGCATGAAATCTCATGATAGACTTTCCTTTTCTGCTTCTTTTCTTTTATCCTTTTTTATATCATCTGCTGTCGTCTCTCACCTCCTTTTCTAGCATCAACATTATGAATATCAAAGATTTTCATGATACACACGTAGTACCCACCACCTAAGCTCTCCCTACGGTAACGCAAGAACTGTAACCAGTGTAACTCCCCTCCAATTCTTTCACCATCTCAGTCATCTGTACGAAGTAGTACCTACCTCCTACCTACGGAGTACCCACCACATCTGTACTCTGTACAATATGTGGTGGCAAGTGGAGTTCAAACCCACCAGCTGTTCATACCCAGACCAAGCCAAACCATCCCCGCATTCTTGCATACCCGCACGACAACGCATTCTTGCTCTGGCTGGGACGACAGGCAGTCCATGGTTGAGTTTCCAAGAATGTGGAAAGCTTCGGTGGGCTGCCTATTACCCTCTTTCTTGTGTGGCACACGGCGAATCAGGTCTTCTCCAGCCTGGAGGAAACTCTTGCCGTTGACAAATGCTGGTGTGGACGGGCTGGTGGCCGGATGCGTTCGGTAAGTTCGGGGGGTGTCCACGGTCTGTTGCCTTGGAATACCACCCATGGTTACTTATTTTTATCTTGGAATGTGGGAATGAGGATGGGGTTTTCTTATTGATTCCTGGATAGCATGATGGGGTCCTCCATGTGTCTGGTGATATTGTTAAGTATTATACATGCCAAGTTTGTGGCACTTCTATTGTCGGCACTGTGATATTATATGTAGACGGAAGCCGATGGATCCGACATGTTGCACAACTGGGTATACATATGCCTAGTATGGGGCCATCAATGACCCATGGCATAGAATTGAGACATAATGAGATCAAACGAGATTCTTTTATTTCCATACTCAACACGATGTCATCATTGTGAAGAAAGTTATCAAACACAATGATATCCCAGAACGAATACGAGGTGATGACCTAAGCGGGTAGTTCCAAGTTCCATGGCCAGACCACCAATAACAACTTGAACCCAGAACTCCGGGGTAACACTTATCTTGATCACTACCAATACAATAAACAACATCGTATATAGCCAATCTGGAATTGCTATTATCTTCTATTCTCCAGCCTAGATAATACAAATGATGTCAGCCGTACGGCGCAGCGCCCGCCTAAGCGTCGCATCAGACACCAAGGCATCCTTGATACCCAGCGTCCAACCAAACAAGCGCGGCAAAACCCAGCGCAGCAGCAGCGGGATAAGCAAGCCCACGCGGAAAGCACCAGCAAAGGGAAGGGGAAGTCAAGTCAAAGCTTCAATCCCGGAGATAGACCAGATCTCCTCCGCCCAATCCTCGGGAGATACTCCCACAGTGCAATCTAATTCGAATAAGCATGGACACAGCGCCAACTACTGGGACCCCTCGCCCACCACCACCAGCAGAATCGATTCCACTCCACCCCCCCTCGACCGACCCGTCGAGCCGCACCGAACAAACGCAACGCTCCTCACTCCACACGGCTCCTCCCTCGTCGCTTACCCCGCCGCGTCAGAGGCCCCCTCGCCTAGTAAGACCAGCCGACCACGACGTCCCAGCCCCCTAGCCACGACAGGCACCCTACTAGAAAAAGCCGTCGCGCACCTGATCGCTACCGACCCCCGCCTGGAGCCCGTCATCAGACAATACCCCTGCCCGCTGTTCTCGCCAGAGGGTCTCGCAGAACAGGTCGACCCCTTCCGCAGCCTCGTGAGCAGCATCATCGGGCAGCAGGTGTCCGGCGCGGCGGCCAAGTCCATCAAAGAGAAATTCGTGGCGCTGTTCCAGACAGGCGCCGCCGGTAATACCAGTAGCGGCGACAGTAATAACAGCAGTGATAATAGTATCCCCCGAAAAGACTACTTCCCCACCCCTGAAGAAATCTCACGGTGCGATATCGCCGTTCTGCGCACGGCGGGCCTGTCCCAGCGCAAAGCGGAGTACATCCTTGGTTTGGCGGAGAAGTTCGCCAGCGGGGAGCTGAGCGCGCGGATGCTGCTCGATGCGGAGGATGAGGAATTATTGGAGACGCTCACTGCTGTGAGGGGGCTCGGACGCTGGTCTGTCGAGATGTTTGCTTGCTTTGCGCTGAAGCGGACGGATGTTTTTTCGACGGGGGATTTGGGCGTGCAGTATGTTCTTGGCCCTTTGTTTCTATTTGTGCTTTCTAAGGATGGGCGGGTACTGACGGGAGTATACCTGCTGTTTGGACTGGTACTGACGCTGACGGTGATATAATAGGAGAGGCTGTGCGGCATTCGTGGGAAAAGATGTCAGCAAGCTTAAGGCTAAGGGTGGCGGTAAGTTTAAGTATATGCCAGAGAAGGAAATGCTGGAAGTAGCTGCGAATTTTGCCCCGTATAGGTGAGTCTTTCTTAGTGCGGTAGCTGCAGCGGAAACGGTTGTTGACTATCTGTTGGTGTTGTAGGAGCCTCTTCATGTGGTATATGTGGCGGATAGAGAATGTGGATGTTGCTGTGTTGAGATGAGACTTTGCTTTGATGATACCCATTTGTGATCTGTGTTATATACTGTAGGGTGATATATAGGTAGATACATAGTGTGTGGTGATGTGCTGGGTGTGGATATTGGAGGCGATGCCTTGACACCCTGCTGTTAGTACCTTATGCTATAACAATTATTGGAGACCGGTACGAGGGCCAGCGAGCCATGCAGTCGCCATACTCGTCTACTCCTAAACATTGAATGAGACAATGAATTTGTACAGTATCAGTACACGTGATAGAACGACATAAATCCACTTGAATTAACATCCAGGCCATGCACTTCGAAGTGGAGCACAGCACGCAATTCGCAACAAGCCCCTGCTTTTCCTCCGTCTATGTCCCTCCGCTGAATCTTGTCTTTCTAAACAGAACGAACCCTCGAGGGTCGAGCGATTCACCGCTTGACAACGAGGTTGTCGAGATCCGCACGCTCGGCGGCCTCCTTCTCGATCGCACGGATGATGGGGCTGAGGTATTCGACGTCCTATCGAACAAAGTTAGCGTCCATTCGGTTTCTAATTATTTAGTATATGGCGTCCAAAATCCATTGCATGGCTCCGATCGCGTCCCGGTCGATATAGGCATCAAATATGGGGCGCAGATCAGGTGACAAATCTAGCCGACGGGATTGGCTGATAGCGCGTGTGGAGTTTTGGGGGGCATAAATAGGCACGTAGGAGAACGTAATCGACTCACCTCCTCGGGCTTGACCTGCTCAGCAGCGGGGAGAAGATTGTGAGAGATGGAGCACTGTGTGAGATGTGTTATTTAAAATGAGCCTTCATGGAAACGGTGGCGGGTCGACGAACCTGGAAGGCCCGGCGGATACGGAAGACACGGTCGTAGGCCTCCTTGGGAGGCAGACGCTTGAGCGCCTTCTGGACGGTCTCGGTCTCTTCGGGGATCAGGTCGTCCGCGCTGGTTGTTGTTGTTAGCTGATGCTCTTGCTGGCTGTCCATGACATGATGACGTGAAAACGCTCCCCGGATCATCGGAGATATGGATGTGGACGAGGCAGCCAGTGGACGGTCGCTGCACCACCAATTCCACCTGTCCTGTTCCCATATACCCCAAAAACCCGGATCCGCCTGTCCTCAATGCCCAAAGAGAAGGTGTGGCCTACCGCAGACCGAGTTTCCTGTAACCGGCGGCATCGGTGTACCAGTTGGCAATCGGCATCATCCAGCGCTTCAGCATCGGGCGCTTGGCGATGTAACTAGCGAGAGAAGGAGCGGACATGGTGAATGAGCCCAAAGGGTGGTGCCTTGGGATTCAATTGACGGTATGGTGGTGTGGTGGGGGGGGTGGAAGGGGAGGTCGCGAGAAGGCCGGGAAGCTGAACAAGAAGTTCAAGTTGTGCAAAATGGACGGGCTCGGCGGGAACTTTCCCAAGATCATCCGAATTCTGGCCTCAGGCATCACTTCCGTTCCGATCCCTGGGTCGGCCCACGTGACATTGCCGTTGCGGGTGCTTTTTGCCTGAGGCCGTGAAGCGCGACCGAAAGGCGTAATGATTTCCGCAGGCTAAGCTAACCCAAGGCCGCCTTTTCTACTCCACCTGACCGATGACTACGAACCAGTCACTTCTACATCTCTCGTCCACAATCCTCCGTCCTCTCCCGTTCTCTCCTCCTTCTTTCCCGCCCCTCGTCCTCCTCACTCGGCTTTTCTCTCACCCTGGTCAGATTTCCTCGGCTTACTTTTTACTGGGCATGGGTATTGTCCACCGTTAAATTTGCTTTTTTCTTGGATTCCTGTGGAGGGAACTTACTAGAGACCCCGCCCCGTCTGTGCTCCGAGTAGGTGAACAGAAGTCTAGATTGCGGCGACAAAGTATCAGTGTCTCTGGATTTCTTCCTCTTGTCATCTCATATCCTCACGCAGGTCGTGTTCATTCCGACAGCGGTGTCGACCAAAAGAAATCATCCACATACCCGCTCTACGGCCAGAACACTTTCTTTTCTCTAGGGTTCCGGGGCGAGCACCGATATGTTCGAGTCCGGGAGCCCTCGTGACAGTTAAGACGGATAGATCGACTGCAGGAGTATTGGCTGGAAAGATGTATTCAGAAGGACACGGCAATCCGGGGCCTGCCAACGGTTCTCCGGAGCAGCAGGCTAGCCACTCCGATGTCGTCCCGTCGTCCAGCCTCCATGTGGCTCCTAAAATCCCATCGAACTCGACTTTTACCGATCGCCTCGAATTCTTCTTTACGCGCATGCCGGATTCTTACATTACACCGTTCTGCGGGGCCAGCGCGGGTGTGGCATCCGGTATTGTGACATGCCCTTTGGATGTGATCAAGACCAAATTGCAAGCCCAAGGTGGATTTGCACGAAGGGGTGGGCAGGTGGGCGCCAAAAAATTATACCGCGGAATGTTAGGTACAGGAAGGATCATTGTGCGGCAAGATGGTCTCCGCGGCCTTTACCAGGGACTGGGTCCCATGATTTTCGGTTATTTGCCGACCTGGGCTGTTTATCTAGCGGTGTATGATCGATCGCGGGAATATTTCTATGGAACGACCGGTAAGTGACTTTACCACAGCATGGGTGATGGGGTTTTCTGGTGGATCACTGACTTTATTCTCTTTTGCAGACAGTTGGTGGCTTGCACGAGGATACGCCTCGGTCACGGCTGGCGCCTGTTCTACGATTGTGACGAATCCAATATGGGTTATCAAAACACGGCTCATGTCTCAAAGTGTCAGGTCGGACAGCGAAGGCATGCGGGCTCCGTGGCATTACAAGAGCACATGGGACGCGGCGCGCAAGATGTACAGAAGCGAGGGGTTCCGTTCTTTCTACTCCGGACTGACACCGGCCCTATTGGGATTGACACATGTTGCTATCCAATTCCCACTGTACGAATACTTTAAGATGGCGTTGACGGGCTATGGCATTGGGGAACACCCTGATAACGGCAACTCCCATTGGATCGGGATATCCTGCGCGACTTTTCTCAGCAAAGTCTGTGCGAGCACCGCGACGTATCCGCACGAAGTGCTGCGAACCAGACTTCAAACCCAGCAGAGAACATTCTCTGTCCCAGGCTCGTCGTCAGGGGAAATTGCCTTTCGCGGAGCACTAGACCAACACCCGGACCACAGTAGGCCACCGGGAGCCGCTTCGTCAGACGGCATGCCTAATCGCCCACGGTACACCGGGGTGATCCGCACTTTTCAGTCAATCCTGAAGGAGGAAGGCTGGCGCGCCTTCTACTCTGGAATCGGCACGAACCTATTCCGTGCCGTCCCTGCTGCCATGACTACTATGCTTACATACGAATACCTCAAAAAGACGATTGGCCATCTTCAACACGAGGGACGGCTCAAACAGGATACGTTGGGAGAGAATCCTGACGATGCCGTCGGTCTTTGAGCGGTTGGCTGGTTTTTCGCTGACCGATACCTACACGTCGTGGGCCCGACCTGGCTTCTCGGGCTGTCCGCGTGTGATGAAATCTCCCCTGACCCAGTGTCGCTACTGGCAATGTATAGAAGCAGACCAGTTGCCCCCACTGCACATCATCCCATGAAGCCACCGCTATTCCTTTCAACTCCATAGAACGCCATCTATTGGACGAGCTATTTTCCTCGGCATTGATGGTCACTTGCATCATTGTTATTAGGGCGATCATCGACTCTAGCATGTGAAGATTTCAGATTTCACTGCGCGCGGTTCTCAACGATCACATGGATCGCTTTGCTGTTTTACGGAAGAATTTTGGTTCTGAGCGTCGTTTCTGTTTTGACAATACGTCGGCATTTCCCTTGTACATAGCCTGTTCATACATTTTCTACATCAATGAAATACATACCCAAACTATTATTTTATTTTATCGTAAGAAAAAAATGAAATCAAATTTGAAAAACACCCTATGCCTTCCTAGTCCTCACTATAAACCAAAGCTAAAAAAAAAAAACATCGCCAACCGTGGAATTATTCGACCCTTTCCTTGCTGTAGTATAGGAAGCAACTGCGCTACTACTGAAATAGTCTTCGGTGCGCCAGAAAAGGGAAGCCGTGATCATGTGACCAGTGGAGATTTAAAGTCGCCTGCCGATCTCAAAATTCTCCCACAACACACTCTTCATTGAAGACCTCTCCATACGGCAAATTGGCACCAGAACAGCAAATGACGCTGTGCAATGCTTGCAAGACATTAATTGGTGTCTGGAACTGACATTGGCATATTGGATCAAATAATGAATTAATGATTCAAAACATGTCGTACTGGTCATCTTGCAGGATCGCAGGTTTCTTTCCTGGTTGCTTCTTTTTTGTTTTTTTCCCCCTCTTTTTTGCTCTGCGCAAAGTTGCAGAATCAAGCGAAATCCGCCTTGGTTATCCATTGATATGATGAACATTCTTTTAATGGTAGATCCAGTCACTTTCTGGAAATGACTATTCATACACTGAAAATTCTGATCATGGACAATTTACGGAGTTTGCATGGTGCTTTCTCATATCCCCCATAGGGTTGATACATAGCTTAGCTTCGAAGAATTACTGCAAATGGAAATATGTCCCGTTACTTGGCATCTTGCATAAACCATGTGTGTTTGTAGTCTGTAGAAGCTCAAGGATCAAGGTTGAGCCTTGGAGATTATCGTATGAATTTTCGAGAGCTCTACGCCGACATCGTGATCTTCTTATACGTAGTTGCTAGTAGAGGCGCAGACGGCTTCTACTACCTAAAATATACATCCAACCCTATAACCCATATCAAATACCATGGTGGCATATCAAACCGGAGTTTATCTACCGGCCAATTGCCCAACCAGAACAAGCTTTGCAGAACCTGAAGGTGTTTTTCCACGGGAAACTGGCCGAGGCCGGGAAATGCATTCTATGACGTCCGTGATGGTAACGGGGTATTGGGCTTAGAGCTTTGTAATAAATGAATTCTTATAATGCTTGGCTATCAGAGGAAACATTATTACTGACACAATTTGACTGAATAAATACCAGAACAATTGACATAGTATAGAAGTTATATGACGTTCCCTACCCAGGGGCCTTAGGCACCAAAGCTCTTATCGCGGCTCCCCGATAACTCGGCGGAAAAGAAAGATGTTGCAAAGATCGACGGACTTTCTTTCGTCCCCCCACAATCTTCGATATTACAGCTCATGCGAGGCGGAAATTCATATATGCTCTCTGTTGGCTCTTACCTCTTCCACGAGTGCTATCTCTACTTATAATCTTTTCCAAACTATGAAGTGATGCTGGTCCGTCATCTATAGTCAAGCTTATCGGGAATGATTGAACTAGGCCTCAGCCGTATAAGCCGCCTCCTCCAGCAGACGCCTCTGTCCTGGAAGGCTATTCACATTGCGGGGACAAATGGCAAGGGCTCCATCAGCGCCTATCTGTCGCACCTCCTGACCGCCGACGGGATCCGCTGTGGCCGATTCACTTCCCCTCATCTGATTGACCGATGGGATTGCATCACTATCGGCGAGAGCGTGGTCCAGGAGTCGCTATTCCGCCATATAGAAGCACAGGTCAAGCTGCGCGATCAGACGCTAGGGATCGGAGCGAGCGAGTTCGAGCTGTTGACGGCTACTGCCTTTGAGATCTTCAATCATGAGCGCGTGGAGATCGGGGTGGTCGAGGTCGGTATGGGCGGCCGGCTGGATGCCACAAATATCCTGAACAATGTTCTCGTTTCGGTGATTGCCAAGATTGGATTGGATCATCAGGCTTTGCTGGGAAACACGATTGAAGAGATCACCCGCGAGAAGGCGGGGATCCTAAAACCCGGTGTCCCGTGTGTGGTCGATGGGACGAACTCGCCTGAAGTTCTTTCGACGCTTGACGCTCGAGTCAAGGAGCTTGGTTTGACTGCGACATACACCAATCCTAATGCTCCTAGCGACCTATCACCTTCACTCGGTGGGGTTTTCCGGGACCTCGATTTACTGCCTCACCAGCGGGCCAACATGTGCGGTGCCGTATCAGCTCTGAAACTTGCCGTCCCTCGAGTCCGACCTGGATCCGATGTGGATAGCCTCATCCCGCAACTATCCAACGTCGAATGGCCTGGACGCCTGCAAAAGATCGTTCTCAACCCTTTGATCACGCGCACAGAACCTGTCTTACTGGATGGCGCTCACAACGCGCAGTCGGCGGAGGTCCTTGGTCAATACGTGGAACAAAAGCTTCGTTCGCAAGGGAAAAACGTCACATGGGTCGTTGCAGCATCCCGGGGAAAGGATGTGACATCTCTCTTCCACTCGTTCATCAAACCGGGCGATCAAGTCGCCACTACGACGTTTGGCCCTGTCGACGGCATGCCCTGGGTCAAGGCAGCCGAGACTGAAGAACTGGCGGCTTGCGTCCGATCGATACCTGAGATCGGGGAAGTCAAGTCCTTCGGAGATGATATCCTTGGCGCCCTCAACTGGGCATCTGGCAATGCTGGTGGAGGCAGTATGGCCATTGCAGGTAGTCTTTACCTTGTGTCAGACATACTGCGTCTACTTCGGGATGCACAGAAGGACCGACTATGAAACAATGCTGGCAATTTGTGTTCTTTCTGCGATACCCCTCTCCTTATCAGCCACGTGTGGGATTGTTTGTAAAATAGATATCTCTTGTTAATGCAAATAGCATGGTGATCAATTGCCGAACGGACCATTTCCAGAAGCTTTATTCCGTATATTCCGGAATATCAACCATAGTAGCGCAGAGAACACTCTATTTACTCTAATTCTATTAACAGCGCACCATTCGAGCGCAATATCAGTTCGCGAAACGATCACAGGCCCAGATGAAGGCATAGTTCGGGTCCGATAAGGTTAATCGGAGATACAGTCCAGCAGCCGCCGGTCGCTGCGTCATGCCCCAAAGAGCTACTCCGGCCTGTGGAGAAGGAGAGAAGGGGAAACTTCAAAACATCCATCCATCCCCTCCAACTCTATTTGTGCCAGCGGGCACAACAGCCAGCCCCTTTCGTCCTGTCTTGTTCTTATTTTGTTGTTTTGTTGTTTCTCTTGTCACTCTGATTCACTATTGAGGGGGGTTTTTTTTGTCTCTCGTCTAGAGAGAGATCTGGATGTGCTGCTGCTACGACGCGGTGGGTCCAGCACAGCTCTAGAGGCTAGAGATTAAGAGTTGCTCAGTATGTTTACTTTTTTTTTTCTTCCCCACGGCGTTGAGATATAGCTTGATCATCGGTAATCTGGCTCACTTTTTGTTTCCTTCTCTTCTCCTGACCAATTCGAGCGCTATAATGTCTCCGAGCTTTACTGATTGGATGTTCGCTATCCCCAGGTTTTTTGGCTGACATGAGTGATCCGACCGATCCCCTGGCGCTTGCCCGTTTATTTCCATCGTCTTCGAACTAAAACGCAACCCTTTGAATAAGTCGATATTCCAAAGTCGACTCTGATACGACACAAGAAAGAGGATCTTCCGCTTCGACCCCGCGATGGTATCTCGAGCCTCCGAGGCCGGTGAGGGGCCTCTTCCGTCGAAACGCCCCGGCACTCCTGTCAAATCTCGACTGGCGAGACCCGGCTCCAGTCCCTCGAAACGGGAGGATAGACCGAGGGATGAGAGAGTATCGAAATCGTCGGCGAAAGATGTCGCAGAGTTGAAAGACTACGTATGGCAAAGGCCCCCTAGCGCACGTTTGGGATTGACGGTGTGCTGACTGACGCTGGGGCTTGAAGCAACTGGGTGATTGCTTGGGTAGAGGTGCATTTGGTTCGGTCTACAGGGCGCTGAACTGGAATACTGGAGAGACGGTCGCTGTGAAGCAGATTAAACTGGTCGATCTGCCGAAGAGTGAACTCCGGGTCATTATGGTAAGGAGCTCTGCCTTGGCTGCTCAGGAGTTGTCGCTAATATTGTGCGCCACAGCTAGAAATCGATCTCCTGAAAAATTTAGACGTGAGTGTCGCGGGGACCACAACTGAGAGACCGTGCAGTTGAGCTGACACTCCTGCAGCATCCAAACATTGTCAAGTACCAGGGATTTGTAAAGTCGGTCGAGACCCTGAATATCATACTAGAGTCGGTTTCCCTCTCCTCTTTACGTTGGCAGTGGTACTGACGAGACAAGATACTGCGAGAATGGGTCCCTGCACTCTATTGCTAAAAACTTTGGCCGCTTTCCCGAGAACCTGGTGGGATTGTACATGTCCCAGGTTCTCCATGGCCTCTTGTATCTACATGAGCAGGGTGTCATCCATAGAGACATCAAAGGAGCAAATATCCTAACGACCAAAGAAGGCCTCGTGAAGCTGGCAGATTTCGGCGTGGCCAGCCGGACAACTGGTTTGAGCGAATCGAGTGTCGTTGGCACCCCCTACTGGATGGCCCCAGAAGTGATTGAGCTTTCTGGTGCGACAACGGCGTCAGACATCTGGAGTCTTGGGTGTACCGTGATTGAGCTGCTGGAAGGGAGGCCGCCATATCATAATCTCCAGCCAATGCCAGCTCTTTTCCGCATTGTCAACGATGACCATCCCCCGCTGCCGCAGGGTGCATCTCCGGTTAGTATCGGTGGGAACCTGTCTTATTTTAACTATCTAACACATAATAGGCTGTCAAGGACTTCTTGATGCAATGCTTCCAGAAGGATCCCAATCTTCGTGTATCAGCCAGGAAATTGCTGAAACACCCATGGATTGTTAATGCGCGCAGATCAGACTCGGTGGTTCCCAAAAAGTCAACCGAGTATGAAGAAGCAGTGAAAAGCGTTCAAGAATGGAACGAAGCTCTACGGTCCCCCGATACGGGCACAATGCATAGAACGTTCCGCTACGAATCAAATTCAACGCCCTTACGACAGGTCTTGCCGTCGTCACGGAGCACTCCGACGAAAGATGGGCTACCAGCCTCCAAATATGTTTCTGACCGATTCCGATCTCCCGATGCTACGGAAGAAGATAACTGGGATAACGACTTCGCCACGGCTATCTCGCCCAGCGCGTTGCAGTTGCCTCATCTCCGCCCACATGATAATTTTGGCGGCATGCTTTCCTCCGAAAAGCTCAAGGCATTTGCGTCTCTTGATGGCACCGTTTTAAGAACAGACGATGGGTTTGAAGATTTTGGAGAGTCAGATTTGCAGGAGACCATTCGGCCTTACCCCACCCAGCAAGCTACTACAGAGGACGTGCACCTCCAGACACCCTCTCGTCCAGGGACCAATAAGTCAGTGATGCAGAATGTGCCAATTCTGCAGCACCCTGTTCCTCCGGCGAGATCGCAGCGCCCCGCATCATTTTTCAAAGAGAACTCCGTTGAAGATTATTCTGATCTCATAAAAGCTAATGAGGATGTGCTGGACCACAAACTCAGCGCTTTCCAGGTAAACATGCTTGTATCCATTTCTTGGCTTTACTAACGTCTGCTTAGGAGGTCGATGAGGATGACGAACCATTTGGATCCTCGCCTATAAAGGATCTTTCTCGATACCAGGAATCGTCTGATGATGGGGAGGATCAAATGCCACAGCTCAGAAAACGGATTTCGGTCAAGCGGCATCGCTCTGCGATCGAAATTCAGCGATTTGCGGAAAAAGAAGGTGACGAGGATTTCTCTGACATCTTAGGCGCAGGTGAAGTCGCTTTAGACAACCCAGACAGTGATGGTAGCTCGGGGCAAAGCACCTTGATGCTCAACTCCAAACTGTCCAACAATTCGTGGCTTGGAGACCAGGATGATGAAGATGATCCATTCGCCCAACTTGAGGAAGGGCTGGACGAAATGGACCTCGAGGCTAACATTGCACGCGATAAGCACGCCCGGCTCCGCAACCAGGTGGAGGGACTTGTCAGTTCGTTGAAGACCTCTCAGGATGAAGACGTTCTCGCAGACATCTCCGAGCAGCTTTTAACGGTCTTCTGTGATCTTCCGGAAACGAAAAATATCATAATCAGTGCCCACGGAATGCTCCCGATATTGGAAATCCTCGATATGTGCCGTCGCCGTGACATCGTATTCTGCCTGCTGAGGATTGTCAACGCGATCATATACAATGACTATGAGATCCAGGAGAATCTGTGTTTTGTTGGAGGTATCCCTATTATTAATGAGTTTGCCTCCAAAAAGTACCCGCGAGAGATTCGTCTTGAAGCAGCCGCTTTTGTGCAACAGATGTATCAGACGTCTACCCTTACTCTCCAAATGTTTGTCAGTGCCGGAGGTCTGAATGTATTGGTTGAATTCTTGGAGGATGACTATGAAGATGAGCGTGATCTGGTCTTGATCGGAGTCAATGGGATCTGGAATGTCTTTGAGCTGCAGGTGAGTACTCTGTTTGCACTGATAATGCCGAACAGAGGAGTCTAACCGAACTCAGGGATCGACGCCAAAGAATGATTTCTGCCGAATATTATCACGCAATTCTGTTTTAGATCCTCTGTCTCTCGTCTTGAGCCGTGTACTGGACGAAGAAGGGGAGCTAGCGGAGATCATTGAAGGTCGGATTGCGAATATCTTTTTCATTTTCTCTCAGGCCGAGAATCATGTCAAAGAGATGGTTTCTGAGCGAACTGTTCTTCATAGTAAGTCACTGTCGACGCTTTCTGTCACATTCTGCTAACATCATATAAGGGGTACTTAAGGAGCTGAAGCGCATGACTCCCGCTCATCAGATCACTATGTTGAAGTTCATCAAAAATTTGTCCATGTTGTCCACAACCTTGGACTCGCTGCAGAATTCCAACGCGATTGACGTGCTGACCGAACTCCTAAGATCGACCATAAAACGCCCGCATTTCCGAGAGGTGTCTAATCAGATCTTGAATACTATCTACAATATGTGTCGTTTGAACAAATCTCGACAGGAAGATGCCGCCTTGAATGGGATTGTGCCACTACTGCAAAAGATTGTGAAGACTGAACGGCCACTGAAGGAGTTTGCTTTGCCAATTCTTTGCGACATGGCCCAGTCTGGGAAGGTTGGGCGGCGTGAGCTGTGGCGTAATAAAGGGCTGGCGTTCTATATCTCTTTGCTCTCTGATCCATATTGGCAGGTGACTGCTCTGGATGCTATTTTCACATGGTCCGTACCACTCCGCTTGGAAGATTTACCCTCAACTGACATTATCCAGGCTGCAAGAGGAAACGGCCAAGGTTGAGGAGCACCTCCTAGATGGCCGCGCTGACAAGTCATCGTTTACGGATGCTATTGTCCGCTGCCTGACCGTATCCAAGGCCAATGCTTTTGAGAACCTTCTTGAGCCTCTCCAGAAGCTCCTGAGACTCAGTCCCCCCATTGCTTCCACGTTGGCCCGACCAGATTTATTCACCAGAATCGGGCAGAAGTTGCACCATAACAAGGCTGCGGTACGCTTGAATCTGCTGCGAATAATATCTAGTATTTGCGACTCGACGGAAGAGCAAGGGGGTTTGCTTGCGCGATATGACCTGCTCGACGCTATTCGAGAATTGGAACAAGATCCTGCCATTCTTGTGAGGGACATGGCTGGTAAGCTTATCCAATCCAACGAAAAGAGCGAAGCGTATAGTCTGGGCAAGCGCAAGCCCGGCCTGCGTCGGCAGAGTACATCCGCCACGCCTCCTGGCTTTCTCGTGAATCAATCCGCGCCATCCACACCGCATAGGAGTAGTCAGTCGAAGGGATTCTATGAAGGACGCGAGGGCCCACGGCATCCACGGAATGCTCTCAGCGGTTCTGCTTTGGCGTTGCGTCCCGGAAGCAGAGACGGGGCCAGCCCCGGTCTAGTAGCAGGTGTCAATGGAAACCCGGGCGCATCAAGACAAAGGCTGCCACGGCCACTGTCCAACAGACTCTCTCATGCCGAACTCTTGAACGAAGAGGACCCTCGACCAGCGAGCTCGCTTTCTCGACGACAGTCGATTCTGCCCCGCCGTCGTCGCCCGACTCAGACGGAAACAGACTGGGCGGCGTAACTGGTCATGTTCTTGACATTTTCATGTTGATCCCGTCTCGTCGGACGGTTGTTGGGGTACATTGCATAGTATGGCGCATTGGGAGTTTGATCTTTCGAATGCCATGGGGGCCCTTCTGGGACGTCAGGATTGGTGCTACATGGGTTGTTTCGAAATGGGACTGCATTTGCCGGCTCACGGTGAATCAGGAGTTTGCGTGTTGTATTAGTCGATGGTGAACATACAGTCTATCGGAGTGTAGATAATTGTACGGCATGTGATAACGCTGTATATTCTATTTTGTAATTGATCAAGTCGGGGAAAGTACAGATCCACGATGCATGAAGGATTGTAAGTACTAAATTTGACGAATAAATAAGAATCAACCTAATGAACATGAAATCCTACAATAGTAATACCAATCTACACCCTCGGTCCAAAGTATGATGCGGGAAAAGGGCAAGAGTTGCGAAGGCGGCGAAACGGAGAGCGCGCAGTGGGTCAACTTTCACTCTCGGAATTATTCCTCCTGTCGAACAAATTATTCCCTCTCTCCCCAACGCCACCCGCCATTTTTCTATATTTCTCCCGCCCGCCATACAATGGCTCACTGTTGACCGATTCGGAGGAAAGAATTCTCGCTCTGCCCGCTACATAGCCTGATCTTACACGTTGGTCTGGACTAGACTTTTCGGCATGAGGGCGGCGCTCCGCTCGGCTGCGCTGCGGGCGTCCCGGCTTGACCCTGCGACGACGACGACACTTCCACGATACGCCTCTACCGTTGCACCCTGGACTCGATCTTTTCAAACTGCGCCTGCGCCGCTCGTATCTCCCCCGAACGGAACCTTGGGAATACGGACTGGGGCGTGTGCGCGACGCTCCCGAACACCTTGGCCTTCGACGTCACATGCGACGTCTTACTCGACGAATACCACCGGACCTGGACAGGCGCATAATAATGGACATGGATCAAACCGGCCGCAAAGGAAATTGCTGAAATATGCTATCATTGGGGGAACGATTGTTGTTGGCGCAGTGGTGTTTTCGGACCAGGCTCAGCATCTTTATCGGGCCGCTGCGAGGACTGGACGGGTGGTGGGGACTCTAGCTGTCTGTATCAATGAGTAGGTGATCTAGTTATATTTCGTTTATATTTCGGGATATCTAGCTGACGCTGCGATCTAGTTACCGAGTTAAGCTCAAGCAAGAGACGTCGACCCCCGAGGAACGGAGCGAAATACTCAAGGCATGCCACAAGCGGTGCGCGGAGCGGACGCTCCGCGTTTTGGAGAAGAACGGTTCGATATTCATTAAGCTGGGACAACACCTGAGTAGCATGGGCTATCTGCTCCCGCTGGAGTGGACGACGACCTTCGTGCCGCTGCAAGACAAATGCCCCGTGTCGTCGATCGAGTCCATCGAGCAGATGTTTCTCGCCGATACGGGCCACCGCGTCGAGGAGCTGTTTTTGGATTTCGACCCGGTGCCTATCGGTGCTGCCTCGCTCGCGCAGGTTCACATCGGTACGCTGAAGGAAACGGGCCAGAAGGTTGCTGTCAAGGTGCAGCACCCCGCGCTGGCGGAGTGGGTCCCGTTGGATCTTGCGTTGACTAGGTTTACGTTTTCGATGCTGAAGCGCTTCTTCCCGGAATATGATCTCGAGTGGTTGTCTCGCGAGATGGACCTGTCTCTGCCTCAGGAATTGGATTTCCGTATGGAGGGTCAGAATGCTACGCGGGCTAGCGAGTACTTTAAGAAACACTCGGATGCGCCAGTCGTTATTCCCGATGGTTTGTTTATTCCCGGTGTCTGTTAGTCAATATGCAAGTACTAACAAGCACAGTCATTTGGTCTCAGCAGCGCATCCTCGTCATGGAATTCATCTCCGGCTGCCGTCCCGACGACCTTCAGTCCCTAGACGCCAACCAGATCAACCGCGACGAGGTATCCGCGCAACTAGCCCACGTCTTCAACGAGATGATCTTCGGCAACGGCGCACCCCTCCACTGCGACCCCCACGGCGGAAACATCGCCATCCGCAAGAATCCCAACGGCGGCCGCCACAACTTCGAGATCATCCTCTACGACCACGGGCTGTACCGCGACATCCCCACCGACCTGCGCCGCAACTACGCCAAACTCTGGCTGGCGGTGATTGAATCCGACGTCGACCACATGCGCGAGTACTCGCGCAAGGTGGCCGGAATCACCGACGAGCAGTTCCCGCTGTTTGCCAGCGCCATCACCGGACGGGACTACACTGCTCTGCAAAAGAAAGACATTGTTTCGACGACGCGCGATGCCTCCGAGCGGGAGCACATGTCCGGTGCTTTGAGCGACGGCATGCTGCAACAGCTGGTGGAATTGCTGGGTCAGGTCCCTCGCGTTATTCTGCTGATCCTGAAGACCAATGATTTGAGTAAGTTATAATCAAAACCCTATATATGCTGTACGCTCCCAACTAACGTCCTCCAGCCCGCAGCCTCGACGAGAACCTCCACACCCGCCAGGGCCCAGTGCGCACGTTCTTGATCCTCGCGCGCTATGCGACGCGCACGGTCTTTGAAGAGCAAATCGACGATATCAACGCGACTGGGGGTGTCCTCCGCCCGTTTAACTTTCTGCGATTCCTCCGAGCGTGGGCTGGCTATCTGCGCGTGGAGCTGAAGCTCTCCGTGTATGAGACGGTGTTGTCGTTGAAGAGCCGACTGGGATTGCTTGGATGATCTTCTCCCTCGATGGTTTCATTCTTTTTCTTTCCCCTCCCTCTCCTTTCCTTCCCTTTTTTTGGTTCCTTTTCATTTCCTTTCCGTTTAGACAACCCCCACATGTACAACATCGACAATTTCTATATACGATACAAGATACAGATACAGATACAGCAAGACCTCGACCTGATGGGAAATACATACACGAGGAGCATCTGTGTCTGAGCATCAGTATCACAGCTGGCGTTTCTCTCTTCTCTCTGTTCTTCGGGTTTCTTGTTTATTATACACGGTTGCCCGTCAATGATTTGAGGCTGCTTGGCAGGTAGGCAGGTAGGCTGTTGCGGTGGATGGCTACACATATCAAGGTCGAATGAGTGTGTGCGTCTGTCTATAGAGGCCGGATTTGGCGGTCTGGCAGAGCACATCCCACACATTTATATATATTTATACACATAGATAGATTGGCGAATATATTAATTGATAGATAGCCTGTGCCGGATTTGTTAGTAGTCATCGTGACAGCATCTGCTGGTCTTTGCAATAGCCTAGTACCAATACTGCAAAGGACGCGACATTAGTATGAGGTAAGTATTTAGGTAGACTGAGGTCACGTCGGGCAGGCGTACTTGTTGTACTGTGAGTATTGATCTTTTCATGATGACCTGTGGTAAAGGGATTAAACCACCTCTGTACATACTGTACTAGATATGAAGTATCATTTTTTCTTTGGTCTTGTTTGGATAGGCGACTAGTCTGAGTAGAGTTTTTTTCTTTATACTGGGAAGCCTTGCATGTTATTCAAGTTGGGTATCCACGTATCCAAGTCGAGCATGGCTGATCAAGTAGAGATTTAGATAGTATAGGACCACTCCTAGTTGGTCATTTGGAGGTCATGTAAACATGCATAAAACCTAGGATATGACGTACTCGACCCCGATGAATGTGATGCTGCAGAGATAGTTTCCAGACCCTTCCCCTGCCCCTCAGTTAGTTCCATGTGCTGCATATTGTCTTGTCGTGTGGTCTTCAAGCTCTACTACTTCTCTGAGAATTCTTTAAACATTATTTTACTGTAGAAGATAAGGATTATCTCGTAATGCTTTTAATTAAGCTAGTAATGTGACAAGTAAGCGCTGCTGTTCAAATATATCACGTCGCCTTTCCTTGCTTCGAGACAAATAAAAAAAGAAAAAAAAAAAAAAAAGAATCGTAAGAAAGAAATAAACGAGATAAACTTATACAATCGAAGCCAAATCAGTCTTGCTACTGGAATGACGACGCCAAAAGTTCCATGCAATCAAACAAACTCGCCACGCTTGTTTTCCAGCCATCCGGTATTTGGACCATAGGCATCGACGAGCGCAACTATACAACTCTCAACAAAGGGAAAAAAAAATCTCTTCAACTGGTATCGACAAGAGGTATCATGCTTTCTTTTTTTTTAAGGTGTTTTGCTTTTTTTGTTCTTTTAAGATGCTTCCTTGCAGGATTTACAAAGAGGCGGGAGTACCGTCGGTCTTCTCAACCTCGATCTTCATGTCGGGGAGAGGAGCGCCGGTACCGCCCAGGTCGGTCTTGGCCGCCTTGGGGTTCTTGGTGTAGTAGTCGTTGATGGCGCTCTTGATGGCATCCTCAGCAAGCATGGAGCAGTGCACTGGTACAGTCAGCATGTCGTCAATTGACAGACGAAATAAGAGAAACATACACTTCACAGGAGGAAGACACAGCTCCTTGGCAATCTCGTTGTTCGTGATTGCCCCAGCATCATCCAGAGACATGCCGCGCACCAACTCAGTCAGATAGCTGGAGCTGGCGATGGCACTGCCGCAGCCAAAAGTCTTGAACTTGACCTCGGCAATCTTGTTGGTATCCTTATCAACGCGGATCTGCAGCTTCATGACATCGCCACAGGCGGGAGCGCCGACGAGACCGGTTCCGACGTCAACGTCACCCTTCTTCAGCGATCCAACGTTTCGGGGGTTGTTGTAGTGGTCTAGCAGTGCATGCGGTCAGCATTTTCCTCGCGGCGAAACATAAAAAGAAACCAAAAAGATCGCTGAGCGATCCCGGCTCCCAAGGCTACTTATCTTTCTCGTGATATCCTCTCCGTTGGAAGGCAGGGGCGACTCTGGAGATGGGGGTGGCGGATTGCAGGCCGGAAAGGGCCGGAGTGACGCGAGGCGACACCAGAGTGCCCACCGAGCGAGGAGCGACTGTTACCAAACGGCGGAACATTATGAATGTGATGAAGACGGTGTTGTTTGAGATGGTATCGAATAGATGTCGTCTGAGATAGGAGGTGGGTGATGAGATGGTTGGAAGAAAGATGAGATGCCCGAGGTAGCGATGTTGGTTCTAGTACCTTTAAGGAAGAAAGATTAAATCACTGATTGATTAACTTAGACGTTAGTCATTTCTGTCTACACTAAACCACTTTGGGTAAGTCCGTCGCCATCCATAAGTCCGGCCTCGGAGATACATACACATAACGACCTGACTGAGGGATGTTTCACCGGCTTAGTCAAGTGGGATGTGGCAGATTATTGCGTAATTGGTCTAGTATCAAATAGTTGTCTGGTCTGTTATCTATGGTTCGTGATGGCAGTTCCACTATGATTTGTTGGTGGACTGGATATGATGTATTCAACCGGTTTGAAGATGCTGACGGACCAACAAAAGGGAGCAGAAACACACATTACGAAGCGAGACCGGTAAATACGAGAATACACGCTGATCGCCTCCATCTGATAAACGTTTCCCCATTCTGCGGCCGGATCTTTGGATTTTCCGTTGCAATCCTCGGCATTACGTAGCAGGAGGTTCTCTCCGGGGGTCATTTGTTTCGTCGCAAAACATCGAATTGTGCAGAAATGGCGGGGAAGATCTTTGGACGGACACCAGGGGTACGTCATGGTTGATTTCTGATCTATCTCGACCGTTCTTCAGCTTTCATGCCCGATGCTAACTTTCCAGTGACATGGACAGTCCCTCAGTGCCCCGATAGCTGCCTTTTCGATGGCCGCCATCCTGTGCTCCTACTGCGTCAGTTCTATAAACACCGCTCGCCGGGAAGCGCAGACTTCTTCGGGATCTGTCGACATCCGCCACAAGCAGCCGACGTCAGACAAGGCAGTCACGCCCTCTTGGGTTCAAAAGGCACTCGAAGAGAGCCGCGAGGCAGAGAATCGAGGTGGCACTAAGTGACTTTGAGGGATTGGCTGTTCTGACTCTATCCGGACATGTTTGTTCTTCTCGCTAGGGAGAAAGCGCGCATCTCCGGACTGGGTCTGGTGGTTCCAGGCGGGCAATCATCTCATGCAATGGCTTTTCATGGAACGGAAACTTGACCGGATGCAACGACTGCTCGTCTGTGGATATTCTTTCATCGAGCGGAGAACATGATCCGTTGCCTCTGGTCCTAGGAGTTTTGCGCCGTGGGATCAGTGCAACCGCCAAGTTCCGGGAAAGCCAGATGCTGTCGTTCATCGGTCTCACTGTGCAAAGTACCACATCTAAAAGACCATAGTTGTCTACATATCGAAGACTGATTTTGACTGTTGAACCACACACAGTTGTATTCCCTATGTCGCATCAGCTAGCACTAATGAACGAGTCTGTTCGGAGGGGACACCCTCTGTGGCCGTTTGACCAAAATACATAATTGCCATGAGACAGAAGGAGTAGTAGTACCTAGTAATCAACCGACTTATCCTGAGATGGTAGAAGAATGACCAGCATGAATGTAGCATGAATGTATAAATGTTATACCTCAAATTCCGCCCCTGTCAGTCACGTGATGACTATAATGTACTGCCTCAGGCTCTGACTGTACAGCCTCGGCCTGGCCGCGCTGACCGTTGCCAAGACTCCGTCCTCATTAAGAACTCCAAACCCAAACGCTCACCTCTCCTGGCCCTTCGTGCAGCAGTGCGATGTGATCACGATGTTTGGTCCTCGCAGAGTCTTACAGTCTCGGCTCCGGCTACTTGCGCCTCAATCCATCTCGCGGTCCAGGCTCCAAGCCTCCAGAAACGTCAGCTCTGTCGCCCCGAGCCCCACGACTGAGCCATCCAAGTGGCCGCGACGCCTGGTCTACGCCGCCATCTTCGGTACTCTGGGATCATTCGCTGGAAAATGGATGGATGAGAAGGTCTCCGCGCCCCCGCGACCGGGATCCCACGAGGACCGTCGTCGATTGGAGGACATCCATCACGTATACGAACACCAGCTCCCCATCGTGAAGAAACTACGCAACGACCCGGATTACATCGAGGATAACGTCTACGTGAACTACTCAGATGACGACAAGATGAATCGCTTTACGTCTGGCTTGCTGCGGGGGAGCAGAGGAGTGGCGTTCCAGGTTTGTTCCACCTGTTTCACCTTTTTCCAAGCCAAGCCCTGGCGGTATGGAGGAAGGGCTGGCTTCGCTGGCACATTCGAACTGCCGAACGGATGACTGCCCGAATCCCGGCAGATGGCGCTCCATGAGCCTCGGGACGTTCTATCCTCGTAACTGACGCCCCGTATAGAAAATATTCTGGAACGACAAGGAGAAGAAGGCTGTAAACATCGTCTACCTGGGTACCGGCATCGAAGGTTGGCCAACAGTGGTCCACGGTGGTGCTCTTGGCACCATCATCGATGAGCATCTGGGCCGTGCTGCGGTACGGCATCTTCCGGAGCGTACGGGGGTCACTGCGAACCTCGAGATCAACTACCGGGCCCCTGTCTTTTCCGGTCATTTCTATACCTTCTACGCCACGCTCGACCAGGAACGCAGTACCGATCGGAAGGCCTATGTCACGGGTGAGGTCCGCGACCCCATGGGTCAAGTGTGTGCCCAGGCGTCTGGCCTCTTTGTGGTTCCCAAGAAATACGAACTCCGGACCCTCGGAGATCGTTTCTGAGATCTCGCGCTTGTCGATGGCCCCGGGTTCTGCTGGTGCAAACGCTATCCACGCCACGTGGGATGGCCAGACTCCTGGCGTCTGTCTGTGTTGTGTTCTCGGAATTTCCACTACGCACCCGACAATCCACAAAACCCGGGAAAGAAATTGCCCAGGACACAGGGCACTACACTTCATGTCTAAGCCCTTAACTGCGGTTGATGTGCAACTTCCTTTCCGGTACAACTTTGCACATGATATATAGAAACCTGGATTTGCATCGTATGTATATAGCTAAGAAATTTAAAACTGCAGGCAATCTTCTAACTCCGGAATAGTAAGGCCAATAAAAGTGAGCCGAGACAGTTGGACACCAACCCTCATTTTAAAGGAGACCACCCCAGTAGTCCATGTTTCACTCCAGCTATCATACCTTAGTGTTTGCTTAAGTTTTGACGGGATTTTGTCGGGGAGAGAGAGCGTCGATTGGTCGGGACAGACAAACTGACTGGGGGCGGATCCTTCTCCACGCTCTCCACCCCCGCCTTCTCACCTTCGACCTTACTCCACTTGGACAATTTACCCTGTTAGTCCCTCAAGGTCGGCATTCGGCATTCTCTCTTTACGGCTTGATCGCACCAGAGTTTGAGAAAATGCCTCGGTTGCATTTAAAACGCGTCGTCTTCGGGCCCATCAGCCGATTGAGCTTTGGAATGTACGCTCAGACCCACGCATGGGCGTCATGTCATTATCAAGGGGGGGGGGGCTGTTCTTCTACATAGCCAAGCGTCGCCAGCTTCAAACGATACAAAGAATATATATAATTCTACTTGACTAGAGCTGGTGATATATTGGTCTTTCTGCTACATTACTCACCGCTAGCACAGTGCGGGTTAAGCGTCGGCCCAACACATTGCCCTTATTATCTTCCTCTTCTTACTTCCCTGCTGTAGAAAGCAAACATGGGAATCGCAGATAGTGCAAGCAGCAATCCCTCTGAGGAGAAGGTGCTTCAATCGGGACCAACGGCTTCGGATAAGGGTCAAAACTATAGCCACCACGAGGTTACTGGTTTGGAGACCTACAGTGATGAAACCGCACTTCCTGGGGGAGAGGTTCCTGTGAGTCCTGGTCGGATGCTTCTTTGTTTGCATTCAGGCTCGTGGCTGACCAGTGATTTCTCTACCGTCAGATGACCTTCCGTCGCTTCATGGGCTTTGTGGCGATGGCATTCCTATGGACTGGCAGTCAGATCCCAGTTTATCTCTTCGGTGGGTTGACAATTATATCAGATCTCCCAACGCCTTTCTTCTGTCCTTCCGTGATTAAAGACGATATCTTCCTATCAACGTTCTAACCAGAATCACAGGAGGTATTCCGCCATATATCTACGCAAGCATTGGCGGGGCAGATAGATGGGTCTGGTTTGTTCTGGCAAACCTTTTAGGTCTTGCTGGTGTCTGTCCATTTGTTGGTTCCCTATCGGATCTGATCGGTCGTCGATATGTCGCCATCATTGGGGCTTCCCTCGTCTGCATCGGCATGATAGTCAGCAGCACCGCAAATACGATGAATATATTTATTGGTATTTTTGACCCCTAGCATTTTCGCTGCCTAGCTGACCTAGTTCAGCCGGCATGGCAATTGCAGGCGCCGGTGCCGGTGTCAATGAATTGACAGCCCTGGCTGCAACCTCCGAAATGGCGCCAACCAGACTCCGGGGCAAATACGTGTCTATCCTGATCTTCACCATTGTCCCGTTTTGCCCATCCGTCCTTTGGGCGCAGCTTATTGCCGCCCACAGTGGTTGGCGCTACGTCGGTGCATTCTGCGGCGCGTGGAGTGGATTCGGCCTGCTGGTCACGATCCTGTTTTACTTTCCGCCTCCTCGCGCTAACTCGGAAGGTCTGAACAAATGGGAGACGATTAAACGCATCGATTTCATCGGTGGCTTCCTCAGCATTGTTGGTTTGATCCTGTTTATGGCTGGCATGCAATGGGGTGGATATCAGGTACATTTGCCTCCCGTGTACTTGGTCCTCAGGCGCTGACGCCGCTCACAGTACGACTGGACATCTGCCCATGTTCTTGCACCGCTCATCCTCGGATTCGCCTTCTTGGTTGCCTTTGGCCTCTGGGAAGTCTACGGCGCCCAATACCCGATCTTCCCAGGTCGTTTGAAGCAAGAGCCTCGTACTCTGGGCCTAACATTGGTCATCACCTTCATCTCGGGTGCCAACTTTTTCTCCGTCATCATGTTCTGGCCTACGCAGTCGTTCAACGTGTACGGTCATGACCCTGTGGCCGTGGGCGTGCGCAGTCTTCCCATTGGCTTTGGGATCATGGGTGGTGCTTGTATCGTGCTGTGGTTGCTCAGTGTGTTCCGCGGCCGCAACAAGGAGCTGTTGATTATCAGTAGCGTTCTCATGACAGCAGGTATGATCCCAAGCAGAGACCCCCCAATGCAAACCAATACTCACAGGAATCTAAGGATGCGGTGCTCTCGCGGTCGCTCGACTCGATAACTTGTACCAAGTCTGGGGTCCCCTCATCGTCGCCGGACTCGGCATTGGTGGGATCGTCGTCCCAGCCTCGATCATGACCACTATCATCTGTCCAGACGTGAGTCCATCACTCCATATCAATCCCCCATTCTCTCCCCTCCGGGAGTGAAACAAACAAGATAAAAGCAACAAATGGTGAACTTACAAAATACAACAGGACTTAATCGCCACCATCTCCGCCCTCACCCTCTCCATCCGCGTCGTCGGCGGCAGCATCGGCTACACAATCTACTACAACATCTTCATCTCCAAATTCATCCCCAGCGCCACACACTACATCGGCGGCGTCATGCTCACAAAACTCCACATCACCAACACAACCTACATCGCCGAAGCCGTCGAACTCACAGGCGCGTCCCTCCTCGACGAACTCCGCCACATCCCCGGCATCGCAGGCAACGAAGCCGCCTACAACGCGGTCGTCACTGCGGGGCGGATCGCCTATGCCGAGAGCTACAAGTGGGTGTATTACGCTAGTATTGGGTTTGGAGGGGTTAGCATCATCGCTGCGCTGTTCTTGGAAAATATTGGCGATTACATGAATGATAATGTGGCTGTTGTTATGCATTGATGCTGTTTTGTCTGTTATTGTGTGGCAATTTGAGGTTGCTAATTTTGAGTGTATTGAGTATGGATCAACCGTTGCTGAGGTATGTGTCTGTTTGGTTTTGGCGTTTGCGATTTGATCTGTATATTGGGAGATGGTGCCGTGGGCATTATTCCTTTTTTTTTTTCTATTGATCTTTTTATTTTTATGAAAAAAATCTATGGTTAAACTTTCTTTGGAAGAAGTTATTTACTTTTTACTGTACCTATCAGTCACTCGTATTGGTGTTTGCAGTGAGATACATATATTAACATAAATAACAGTGTTGTACATTTATTAAAATCCCACCACCTTCCTTCCTAATAATACAAGTATAAATAAATCCCACGTCCAAAACAGACGCAAGCATCGGGGTATATAAAACAGACAAGCAAACAACCAAAAAAAAAAACAAGTAAATAAACAACATACAACCATTAACAACAACAACATACACTCGCCAAATCCACACACACACACAAAAAGATGAAAGCCAAATCAATACTCAACCTGATTCAGTGCCGTCTTCCTCGGCACAAAATTCGCAGCACTAGCCGGCTTTGACTTGCGTCTTTCGTCCTTCGCACGCAAACCCCGACTCAATCCACCCCCGAGACCTCTCGCCAGCGACGCAAACGGACTCGCCTGCCAGTGGTCGAGGTCATCTTCGTGCTGGCCGACGTTGGCGGCGAGGATGTCGCCGTTTCGGCTGGAGCCGTCGGAGCGGCGGTTGCTATTGTTGCGGTTGGTGGTGCGGTTGAGGGGGTTGTTGCCGCCGTTGTTGTCGCTGCTTAGGGTTGGGGAGGAGGGACTCCAGGGGGCGGCGATGTCTGTGACGGCGTATTCGGAGCAGCGACAGCCACAGCCGCTGGGGCAGTACTCTGCGTCTTGGGCGGGGGCGTCGTCGTTATTGGAGGTTGGTGTGGTGGTGGCTGTGGAGAACCAGCCTGCGTGGCAGGTGAAGCAGCAGACGTGGCCGCAGCCGAGACAGGGCATTAGCATGCCTTCGACTACTTCGCCGCAGATGATGCAGGGGAGTTTGAAGGCGAGCGCGTGTTTGGGTTTGCAGTTTAGACAGGTGGGTGGTAGGGTGTTGCCCTTGATTCGGTGTCTGATGGCCTCTTCTGCCATTGCTTGCGTCGAGAAGATGGATACCTGGAGGGCCTTTCCGCACCCGCTGCAGTGTCTTTGGATTTCTAGTCCCTCGGCGCGACCGGTGCCTGGGGCGGTGGATGGCCGGTTGGGGAGACTGGAGAACGAGAACGAGTCTTTGTGGGCCCTGGGGCGCCATGGGACGCTGCCTGGATTATTGGTTCTGCCGATCTTTAGGACTTCGCTGCGCTGTACCGGTAAACCCCATATTGAGAGCATGTGAGCGTATGCTACACGGTACGCGCGGTATAACCGCTCTTTGCTGGCATCAATGAACGAGTTTCGTGAACCCCCTCCATCACAGTCAAAAGCGCCTTGATTCTTCAGTCTCACCTGAAGCCTTCCTGCGGGCTTGGAAACTTGTGCCCTGTCGCTTCCGCTGTCGGAATGCGTTCGTGAAGTGAGCGCAGTGGATGTAGTGAGATATTCTGGAACTGCTGTCACTGGCTTCGCGGCAAAGGCATTCGTTCCCCATGTGCCCGGATTGGCGTTAGGGCTACCGCCCGGGCTTTGCTTTTTCCTGGACAAGGCGTGTCCTGGAGGCGAGGCCGACGAGGGCCCAAATGTGAAGGAGCGCGAAAGGGAAGAAGCCAGTACAGAGCCGAGCCCTGACCCACTACGTGGCTGCGACTGCTGGTCAGGAGAAGCAGCGATAGACACAGTCTGACTCATAGCCCTCCTCTCTGCTCCGGTAGTTGGGAAACGAGTCGGAACGGGAGGAGTTGTGCCCGTGGAATATGGAGGCGTGGAATCAGCCCGCCAATTTTCGGAGGAAGAGCGTGCGGAACTTTGGGTGACAGACGTGGCATGGCTATCTTTCGGTGTGGCGCCGGGCGGCGTTATTGTTTGAGGCTTGTTCTGCGAGCCTGCTTGGGAATGAATGAACATTGGGAAAGTCCCGGGGTCTAGTCGTCTTGATGCTGATTTTCTGTGGCGCACGCGCTCCGGCGGGCGGGTTTCTTCGCAACTGCGTTCATATAGTATGCAAGATAGCATTGCGACCATCTGCACGTCGCCATTCCGTTCAAAATGTTCAAAAAGAGCCGGTATGAGCCACCGGCTTCCAAAAGGATGATCACCCCATGAAACCATCCCATTAGATGGTTCTTTCGGAGGTTGGTTAGTGTTCATGTCGTAGCTCAAGTCCACAGCGCTGTCCTTCCTTCGCATGAGATATTTGGTCTCGGCATTTTCTGGGTCAGGAGGGAGAATGGCTTCCTTGGAGTTATGCAAGATTGATCTAAGCAGACCCCAGATCCGGGCTAGTTCATGATAGCCATGATCGAGGGCCACAGAACAATTATGGGCACATACATCGGTGCCCTTCCCACAAATGCGGTACTTTCTTGCTAGGTCGCGTTTTGAGGGAAGCAGGTCACTTAAATCGTGGATTGAGATCATGTTCTGCGGAGGCTCAGAGGATTTGGAAGTCATAGCCCCCGCAGTAGATCTCTGGGAGTTATCTGTAGAGCGTGGTCGGTAGAGTCCCATGCTACCGGCACTGCGCCACGTTTGGGGCGTTGGAAATCGGTGCTGAAGTCCCAACAATATACCAGAGGACCCCGAAGAGCTTGAGGATTCAGCGTCCGAATCGTCAGAGTAGTCAGATGTACCATCATCCGTGCTCGTAATCGTTCCAGTGGGCCGAGGCCCTGGAGAATTCGTTTGCAAACGACCAAACCCCTCAAAGACTTTATCGGCTCTCGACAGTCTCGTCATCTCCTTGAACCCTAGGTTCTCCAACAGAGAAGCCGATTTGTCCTTTTTAGACGGAAAGAAGCACACCAAACGGCCATCGTTCGACCATAGCGCACCGCATACCTTGGCTACAGGGACGTTCACATTCGCATTGACCGGTCGAAGGAGTTCGGAGCTCATTCCAAGCTCCTGACTGTGGGACAAGCCAACCTCGTCTTCATCACTAGATTCGTCTCCGTCGATCTCGCCATTGACAGGTGACTTGACCGTTTCAGCAGTCTCACCCAAGATCCATGCGATGCTTTCTTCCAGACTGCTCTCCCCCAAGAGATAGCGGACAACGCCTTCAAGACACCCTCGATCGTGGGAAAGGTAGGTCTCGGAAATTGTCCGGAGCTCGGCGATTATCTTATCGGTCAGCTGGTCCGTGACGCCGGTGGTTTTTTGCACGCGGAATGCGGGCGTCGACGCCTTCGGATAATCAACGGGGAATTTGATATCCACCTTGAGGAAAAGGGAGGCACCATCAACACCCCAAGGTCCATGGAGGGATATGGTGGCTTTCCGCTGCCTGACATCAACGGACTCAAAGGCAACTTTGGTAAATTTCTCGCCCACATGAGTGATCTCATCTCCCAGGGTCTCAATATCCCATCCAGATATCTTCACACCCCGCATCCAGGAGATTGGGTTGGTATCGGCCCGGAAGTTCGACCTGCCCTGCATCCCCACCCTCGAATCTGCGTTGCCTCGCTGATTCCAGCCACGAGGGTATGGGACTGAAATGGTGTTCGGCCCCATGCCAATCGAGGGTTGAGGCGCACCGGCCTGGAAGGCAGACGGGATGGACTCCAAGTCATCAAACTCTTGATGAGCATTTGTGTCCCGGAATGATCTATAAACGGCACCCTTGCGTGTTATTTTCATGTTCGGGGCGTACGATTTCCCTTTTTCGTATCCAACTTTTTGCAACACTTCGGGGCCAACTTTGTGCAGACGGAGTTCACGGTCGGTACCCCAAGATACGAGCTGGAAGTCTCGATCGTCGAGTCTATCTGTCTCACCCCCGCGCGCTCTCCAAACGAACTCCTTCACCTGGCCTTTGTGTCCGGGAAAGCTATGAACCGGAGACACGTCTTCGTCAGTGTCAATGCCTTCTTCAACCCTGCGACTGTATAAATGCAGGTCACCATCTCCTCTCTGTGGCATGGCCAACACACCCCATCCGAACGGGGTGTTCCTAGCTCGCCTTACTGGGAAAGGCATCTTGATGACCTTTTCGGGGACATCCCCCTCGACAGTGTAATCCCAAAACTTGACGGTTCTATCCAAAGAGCATGTCACAAGTGCCCCTGGACGAACCCTATTCCAATCAACCCCATAGATTTTGGTGTTGTGCGCCTCGATAGATCTGATCGGGTACGTCCCCTTTCTCTTGTCCCATATCCGTAGAAACCGATCATGCGAGCTGGCAATGATGTTGGGGTCCTGTCGGCTCCATTTGACCTGAGTGGCACCAGCAAACCAATCGGAAAATGAGATGACAGGGCGTGACGCAAGTCGCAAATCCCAGCAGTGGACAAAGCTATCGACAGCGCAGGTCGCCAGGGCATCGGGGTGGTGGGTGGAGAAGTTGACATCGGTGATCGCTCGAGTGTGGGCGTGCAGGACATGCTCGATGGAGTTTTGGTAGGACTTCATGCCCAAATTCCACACTAGCGCCTTCTGATTTGACGTACTCACCACCCAAGAGTCTCGAGCGGGAAACGGTGACCACTGAACATCTGCGACTTCCCATGGTGTATGGTGAGGGAGGTATCGAGGCGGGGAGTATGGCGAATCCAAGTCAATGATGTGGAGTCCTTCCTTCGAGGCCAATACCACATCCCGTCCGCAGGGCGAGACTGACATCGAACCCACGGGTTGTTCCACATGGAAGGAACTATCCTCCCCGAAAGTCGGGCTTTCGTATGCCGACGTCAACGGCCGAGGTTCTGTAAGGTCCGCCATTGTTGTGACTTGCGGAATTAAAGCCTGGAGTAATAGTTTTTGTTTGGTTCAGTATGGAGGACCAGTCGCCTCCAACCGAAGGACGCCTCAACGAGGTGTTGGGTTTCAGACGCTCAATCCAGACATTAGGGAGTGATCACTGGGAGTCCGATATGACGCTTTCATCTCGAAGACATCTATAGCAGGCTCATCAATTTTGCGAGGTGGATGGGCTCGGGCGACTGTCCGAACACATTGCGCGTAGTAACATCAACCAGCTAGAGTTGGAGCAACCGAGTAGGGGTTCGACGCGATCTAAGCCAATGGACGTTAATGCGTGTGAACCATCCCCATCTACCTCGAGACAAATGACTGTCTGATAGTGATGGAGAACAGGTATAATATACCTTCAAGAAACAAACAGGTGTGCTGATTGAACGAGCGAGTCCCGATTCACGGTGCCTCTCCGCAATCAGGTCAATAAACTGACGTCGTGGGAGATAATGGCGGGAGACCCAGTGACCTGAACCAGTCCATATCGGGACTAGCGTGGCTGCCGTCCTCGATGACGTTTGGGGAAGGCGGTGAGACGGGTTCAAAGCCTGAGCCCCTCAGTCGTAATGGCCGCGGTTTGATGGTCTCTGTTATCACTCTCCCCAATCTGCCCTGTGGCTGGCGCTCTCGATATCTTATACTCCTTGATATCCATCCGTTCAAATCGATTTGGAGGCTTCGTTGTGCCTTATCAGACTGTACGGGGCCGAAATTACCGGCCCACTTTGGATTGCCCGAACGCGGGGTCACGACGAGACATTTACTTCTTCCCCGGCTTACGTCTGCATTTGAACGGGACATCATGGCGTTGCCAAAGAGAATCATAAAGGAAACTGAGCGCCTTATGGCGGAGCCGTGAGTTGAACCCAATCATTACAATAGGTAGTAGTAACCAGCTAATACGTCCTTACTTCTAGGGTTCCCGGTATCAACGCCGTGCCTCATGAAGAGAACCTGCGATACTTCGATGTATCAATCCACGGGCCGGCGCAGTCTCCCTATGAAGGTAAATAACTCAAAAGGGGGGGTTTCAATGACGGAGTGGTTACTGATTGTCTCTACTTCCAGGGGGGATCTTTCGTCTGGAGCTCTTCTTGCCGGAAGACTATCCCATGACTCCGCCCAAGATCCGTTTCCTGACCAAGATCTACCACCCCAACATCGATCGTCTTGGACGTATCTGCTTGGATGTGTTAAAGAGTATGTTTCTCAAGCGTTCCCGGAATTCTGGGCACATACTGACTGGCCGATGCTACTGTAGATAACTGGTCGCCTGCCTTGCAAATTCGAACGATCCTGCTTTCCATCCAGGCTTTGCTGGGTGCGCCGAATCCCGATGACCCGCTTGCTAACGACGTTGCTCAACGGTGGAAGGAGGATGAGCCTGCAGCGATCCAGACTGCCAAGGAATGGACGCGGACCCATGCGATGACCTAAACGAAGATGGACAGAGCCATGACGTTCGTCTTGAATGATGATAAGATTGTGAGCGAACACGCTGTGATGTGACCATGAAGTAACACTGAATATTCGGCGGCTACGAGCATTGCGGCTTTTGCCATTTTGGATCGCCTTCCTGACACTTGGGGACCAATCTATAACGTTTATGCGAAAGAAGATATGCTTTCAAGCTTCGATCCTAAATACTTCAGAGCTGTTCGGCCTGCTTTGTTACCCCTTTGGCTCAAGGGCGCGGAAGGACAATTGCTCGTCTTGCAGCCAGTCCTATATGTATAACCCCCCGCGACGTGATGCTACGGTTCGAGATTTCAATAGACACATTTTCTATAGAATTACAGTGTTCCCCTTTTTACCTGTATATCGTTTGTTTCCCTGTAGTAGTAGGCATGGTTTGGTACAAACATTACAAGGCCCTAACTCCGCTTGCTGCGGCTGGGCTGAAACCAATAATCAACCAAGGTAATGCCGTCAGTGCATATTTCATGTGAAACTTATTACCCGAAGAGGAGAAAGAAGTATGTTTGAATCCCAAGTATAAGCAGAGAGTTACCTATCTGGGGTCTAGACACACCAAGATATTATCATTCACTGGAGTCCCTCCCAGAACTGTCCCATTTCCAGATAACAAGGGTCTCCTCGTATTGTACTCTAAGCTTGGTGGGTGGACAGGGTTTCGAATCTCACTCCCAAGATCAGCCGTCTATTTCAAAAACATCCAATACTTCGAATCATCGTAAACCCCCCGCAAAGCAAACAATAACAGCACATTCGTCATGCAGGCTGATGACGAGAATTACGAGGAGTCTGACAGAGCCAGTTGTGGCGATGGGTTCCGTCGCAGCTATGCCAGGTACCAACAACTCATTCATGTTCTATTTACGTACGGCTTTGTAGCTAACTGGGTTCTTCAGTTCCTGTGTTCTCCCTGGAATCGAACCAGACAATATGGGCGGAAAGCACTCGCTGCCAGTCGGGAACAGACAGTCGGCCGCCACACACAGCGAAGTAGAGCTGGGCAGGTTTACCGATGACCTCACGAAGCACATCGACGCTGCGTTTCACATAGAGAGCAACGATGTTGAGCTCTCGCTGTCGGCGATCGAGTTCGCCCCGAAAAAAACCCCTCAGGAACATGACGAGCAGCCTGAGACCGAACATATCGAAACCAAGCAGGACTCACCATCGAAGAGACGTTCGCTGAGGGAGCGCGTTCGGTCGTTCGCCTCGAACTCAAAGGCCTCGATTGGTTCTGACAGGGCCAGCTGGCAGAGCTTTTCATCGGGACACGCTGAACTATCTCGTTCGCTGCGGTCTAACTCTGTCACCACTTTCACCGGGAGTATAGGAAATACCAGCACGAAATCAAGCCCCAAAGCGAAGAGGGGTAAGAGCGGAGAGAAGAAGAGGCGTTCCGTTGCGCCACCTTCTCCTTCCAGGATCGTGAGATATGTCGCTCCGTCGCAAGGTAGGGCTCTTATTGTGCATGCAACGAGGGTCATGAGGGGTTTGTCCCAAAGCTGATGGTACCCCGCTTTAGATTATATGTTTGTCGACCTGGATTACTTTACGCATCCTCGACCGATGAGCGAAGTTGCCAGTCCTGATGTATCACCAAGGGCAAAGAAGCCGATTAAAACGAGGGATCTCGAAGAGCCAGGCAAGAGCGCATTCCAGGAACTGGTACATCTCCCTGCGATCTCCCTCCCATGCCCAAACGCAAGCTGAGACTAAACCCAGGTCGACTATATCCGCACTGTGACTGGAACTGAAGTAAAAGCTCAGTCACTTGAAGACTTCAAGGTGCTGGAGACCATGCAGGATATCAAAAACCGGAGCGCGATGTATCTCAGGTGCACCAACTGCCGTGGCGACTGTCCAGTCTGCGGCGCCGCATGCTGCATCTATGAGAACGCTCGTCGCGCAGCGGTCTTTGCCCAGCCCAGCTCCGAAACGGCTCGCCAGTCGAAGACGGTATTAGACACTATTGAGAGTTTGGGCCCTCATATCCGGAACGTGGGCACTTTCTCCCTGTGCAGTGAGTGGTACGGCTGCGGCAGATATGTGTGCTCCAACTGTGCCGGCGTATGTCCCAATGGGATATGCCGTGATGTTCAATGCAAGGTATTACCTGCCCCGGTGTTCTCTGGCTTATACCAGGTGCATTTACTGGCGTGGAAGTGTTGACGTTGTCTGCTTTAGGCATGCAAACCCGACCCCTGGTGCCCATGCGACTGGTACAGCATAGATTGACACATGAGAGACAGTCTCATTAAGAGGAAACGCATGTCTATGGCAAGAGGTGGAACATGAGAGACATGCCCGAGAGGTCATACCCGCTAGTATTTACTGCGGACGATACGGCGACGAACATAGATACCCATTAAAGGAAATCACCGCCTAAAGCTGGGCGCAATATGCTGCGTGAAATCCAGAAAATAATGATACCAGATCAATCTGGCAATTTCTAGAAAAAAACGGTAAAATCTACTATCTATAATTACCACGCTATACATAGTTGCATAGTAGAAGGAAGAGTGACGGGGGCCGGCCGGCCAAGGGCAGAAGCGATCACGTGTCCCGCTTAGCGAGGCTCCGCACCGCACCACAATTGTGCCCGGTCCCCATCACCAGTTCGCCGGTAGAGAAGCGCTTCGACTCAAACCACCCAACGCCAACCGACACTACCTCGTCAAGACCGGCTGCGCATCACCGACATTCAAGATGCGTACCTACGACGATTCCTTCAGCGGTCAGAAGATCTACCCTGGAAAGGTGCGTTTTACCCCTTTCCAAGAGCGCTATCCGGACGCTTCCGCCACAAATTGATTACACCCTCGAATCTTCAAGATGTGACCTCCCTATCGTGGGAGGGATGCTGCTCTGTCTTCACGCATGAATTATTGGGGTAGATCGTTGACATATTTTTTGAATGATTGCAGGGTAAGCTGTTCGTCCGTGGCGACAGCAAGATCTTCCGCTTCCAAAAGGGAAAGTCCGAATCCCTCTTCCTCCAGCGCAAGAACCCCCGCCGCATCTCCTGGACTGTCCTGTACCGTCGCCAGCACAAGAAGGGTATCTCTGAAGTCAGTACCGCCTTTTTTTCAATCCCCTCGAGTTATATGGTTTGCCACGATTTCGAAAGGAATGGATCAACAATTGTCGGAGGAGGACACAGTCAGCAGACGAAAAGGATAACGAGACACGTCGACTCTGTTGATTCACGCTGGGAATCGTGGCTGGACCATCGCTATTGATTTGGAAAGTGGGAGGATATGTTTGCTGACGGGATATTTTACTCTGCGAACAGGAAGTTGCCAAGAAGCGTACCCGCCGTGCTGTCAAGAGCCAGCGTGGTATCGTCGGTGCCTCTCTCGATGTGATCAAGGAGCGCCGCAACCAGCGCCCCGAGGCCCGTGCCGCCGCCCGCCAGCAGGCCATCAAGGACGCCAAGGAGAAGAAGGCCGCCACCGAGACCCGCAAGAAGGCCGAGAAGGCCAAGTCCGGTGCCACCAAGCCTGCCCAGCGCATCCAGAGCAAGCAGGGTGCCAAGGGCTCTGCTCCCAAGGTCGCCGCCAAGTCTCGTTAAGATGGTACTCTGAACGGTCTGGCTTGGGGCTGGGGAGTAGGGAAGTGAAAGCGTGGTCTGCGTTTGTGTGTTGGATTTGGGAAGGACTCTTCGGAGCTGGAAATTTGTGTTGTATTCCCCTCACAAACTTTTTATGCAAACAAATCGGCGTACGAGCGATGGGTTCTTTGCGGACGAGAATCCCGCATGGTCTCAGATAGGCTTTTATCATTACGCGCCAATGGTATATCACCAGGAAATGGAACCAAAAAAATGGATGTGATATGATAAGTTAGCTTTGCTCGAGCCGTTCTGGGCCTGTAGATCCACTGGGTTGGAGTTTAATAGACTCTATCACTTGATACTCGTAGTGAGTATGGGACCTTCATGTCTGACTTGGAGGTCCTATTTCTCGCTGTCCTCACTCTCTTGGTTTCAATATGAGATTCTATGTCGCAAGCATCAATACTCCTACGATAGTAGACTACACGAGTAGTATCCATATATAAGACTCCGTGATATCAAACTAGCCATACAGGCACATGTCATCATCGGCTTGACTCTCAGCCCAGTAGCGCATGGAGTCATGGACAAACCATCCTATGTCGTAATTACAATACCAGATCGTATCACACTAGGGCTCAAACCTACACTAAGCCATTTCGGGACGCCGACTGAGCCGCCGCAGCCTCAAGCATACAATAACGCTGGGGAAGTATAGAAAGAGACGCCGATAATATATGAATAAAACCTGTAGTATGAAGAACATCCTCTACCCCAAGTCAATCTCCAAAGCAGTTCTCAAATCTCCCTCTCTCTAAAAGTCCACCTTGACTAGATAAAACAAAGAAATCCTGCCTGAGGCGCCAAACCACCCCGCAACGTAAGTCTGACTCAGCAAATATCTCCCTATCCAGCAGGCGGTGGAGGAAATTTCTCGCCATCCGGCCTCGCTTACGGCGCAACTAGCGCGGTTTGCCCACAAGAGTACGATTGAATCTGCCTCCCCTTCCCCTTCAAGCTCCGACTCAGTCAACCACCTTTCCTCCATTTCGATCCGACAAGCTTCACATCACCAGCAGCCATGGGTAAGGTTCACGGATCTCTCGCCCGTGCGGGTAAGGTCAAGTCTGCGACTCCTAAGGTTGGTTTTTTCCCCTTTCTTTCTGTGTCCTATTTGGGCGTTTTCTCCGAGATGAACGATATCGCCACTTCGACGGACGACCTTGGAAAATTTCGGGATGGTTTTGGAATGAAGACAGGGCGGGCGGTTGAAGTGGGAAAAGTTACGAGATGGAATGATTCGATTTTGAGATGATGGGATGGATTCGGTTGAAATGGATGAAATCAACGAACGCCGGATGGATATCGCGATATACGGACGATCAAGCGAAACGAACCAAAGCTGACGACTTATCTTTGATAAACAGGTCGACAAGCAGGAGAAGAAGAAGCAGCCCAAGGGCCGCGCCATGAAGCGTCTGAAGTACACTCGCCGTTTCGTCAACGTCACCATGACCGGTGGCAAGCGCAAGGTGCGTTATCAACCAGAAGGGGGATCAGCGGGCGTTTCATTTGAAGTGCCGAGTCGCACCTCTGGTTGTTTTGAACTCCCATAAAAACAGACCCTAACATACACCAGATGAACCCCAACCCCGGCGCCGCCTAAATTCTCCATATCTTCCAACGCGCGACATAAGATGATGCAATAACGACCGAGCGAAACCCCCATACGACGGTTCCATCATCGTCATCATCATCTGGATCAAGTTTTGTTTGTTACGCTGGTTGAAGGCCAGAAGGCTCTTTCGCCAGTATGGTTGTTTCACGGGAATACTCCCCGGACGGAATATACCCGGAAGGAACTCGAACTTGGTTGGAAAGGTTGGGGAGGGCTGCTTCATGACTAGATAATGGGCTTGAACAATGCATTTCGAATGGGAATTATTTGTCGGAGTCAGTCAATATTTGCTTTGAATGTCGTAGTCTGGAGGAGGCTGGAGTAGTCTGAAGTTGGTTTGTGCCCCTATACTTTTGGAGGGTACAATCGTCAAGCAGGTGACTTGTGCATAAATGGCTCGTATCAACGAAAGCTAACTACAGATTGACTCAACTTTCCAAAGCTACTAAAAACAACGAGCCAATAAATGTTCATATTATCTAGTATACTAGTATGTAAGTATCTCACTATTCTCACTTATGTTGGACCCATCTCACGGCACCCCAACCCCGAACAACACATGCAGCAGATATTCTATATCGAATCACTGTATACTCAATCCCGCACACAAAACCAGTGTATGAAGTAAACAGACAATAAACAACGCCAGCAAGCTCAGACGAATCAACGCAGAATGTATGATCAAATCAATAGTAGTGAGCCATCTCCAGACCCGCCCGCTTAAACCCGCACTTGATGTAGAAACCCTCGTTAATTTCGGAGCAGTCGAGGATAGTCTATACCGATCTAATTAGCATTTCCCACCCTCAAATACTGAAAGACGAAAATATAAGAAAGGAGAGGGACAAACCTTATAACACCCCACCCGCTCCGCAACATAATCCAGCGCCTGAATAACCCTCAACCCCAACCTCTTCCCCTGCTGATTCTTCTCAACCGCAATATCCTCAATATGGCCCACCAATCCCAACGAGTGAATAAACTTGCGCTCCACAATCAGACTCCCCGTGCCGACGACCCGGCCCTCCCCGTCGCAGATGACAAGCAGGTAGTACTCGTCGTTGCGGGAGCAGATCCAGTCGAAGCGCGCGTTCCACTGCTCTTCGCTGATGTCGCCGACGGTGGTGAGCACGCGCAGCACGTCTAGGTAGCCGCGGTGGAAGTCGGAGCGGCGGATGGGTCGGATTGTGTAGTCTTGGGGGAGTTCGGCGGTTACTTGGGGGGAGATGAGGGTTGGTGAGAAGAGGGGGGTTTCTTTGGGCGGGTTGGCGGTTGCGGGGGTGTTGTAGGGGGGTGTATGACTGTCGGGGGTGGGGATGGATGACTCCGGGGTGGGAGGGGTGATTGCGTTGATGTTGGTCATGATGGTTTTGTTTTTGTTTTCTGTGTAGAGGAGTGTCGAGGTGTCGAGTGTTGTTGAGGGAATCAGGCAGATTCAGGGTCGGCAAGCTGAGGCTATCGCGGGGTGAATAGTCACTTATGCAGTTGAAACCAATACGTTTCAAACAATGATAGAACGAATGACTGGACAGTGATGATGAACTTAAACTAACAAGAAGAAAGAAGAAAGAAGGAAGGAAGAAAAAGAAGTAAAACAGCACCAGCAGATCGATAAATAGGTCCCTCCAGGCTAAAAGAATCGAATAAGTTACATGAACGAACAGGGTTAGTCTCATCCCGTCCAATGGATCGGAGAGGGCCCGGCTGAGACAGGGGAATTTCTCCCTCTTTCCTCCCACTGACTTGTCTCCTGCCCTGCCACACTCGGTGTCTATTTTAATCCCTTTCGCTTCTCTGGATACATACATACCCGAGGAGATACTGGGGGTGTTGATTGCCACATTCCTTGGGTTATTGGAGGGGTTCCTGTCCGACGAACCCCTTGTCGATATGCTTGTTTTTATTTGTATTGTATTCTATTAATAGACCCACTAGTCTCAATTATTTATCGCCGAAAAAATACAAGCCCGATCAGAATGATCTGGAAGATATAAGTAGATAAATAAAATACAATGATTGTCTCAATATACAAAACTATCAGGCTATAGGCTATAATTTTCAAGGGTCGCTAAACCAAACACAGTCCTCTATTTCTTCTCCTTGGGAGCCAGCATCAGCTCCGGACGGACGTGCTTGTCAAAGTCCTCCTCGCTGAGAGCCTTCAGCTCCATCGCACTCTGCTTCAGAGTCAGGCCCTTCTTGTGCGCGTTCTTGGCCACCTTGGAGGCCATGTCATAACCAATGACCGGGTTCAGGCAGGTCACCAGCATCAGACTAGAAGAGTTAGCGAAGATTCAATAGAATTCTACAGTAGGGAAAGAAGGAAAATACCTCTCGTGGAGAAGAGTGCTGATACGCTGCTCGTTGGCCTCCAGGCCGTGCACCAGGTTGCGCTCGAAGCTCTTCATGCCGTCGCGCAGGATGCGCGAGCTGTGCAGCAAGTTGCGGATCATCACCGGCTTGAACACGTTCAGCTCGAACTGGCCGTTCATGCCGCTGACGGTGGCAGCCACATGGTTACCCATGACCTGGGCGCACACCATGGTGAGCGACTCGCACTGGGTGGGGTTGACCTTGCCCGGCATGATCGAGGAACCGGGCTCGTTCTCGGGCAGCACCAGCTCGCCCAGACCGCAGCGGGGACCCGAGCCGAGGTAGCGGATGTCCTGCGCGATCTTGAACAGAGAGCAGGCCAGAGTGTTCAGCGAGCCCGAGGCCTCGACCACGGCGTCGTGCGCGGCCAGCACCTCGAACTTGTTGGGGGCCGTCTTGAACTCGGTCCCGGTCATCTTGGTGACCTCGGCGGCAACGGCCTCGTCAAAGCCCTTGAAGGTGTTCAGGCCGGTACCGACGGCGGTACCACCCTGGGCGAGGAAGCGGAGGTGGGGCAGGCTGTTCTCGACACGCTCGATGTTGCGGTCGAGCTGGGCGACGTAGCCGGAGAACTCCTGGCCCAGAGTCAGGGGAGTGGCGTCCTGCAGGTGGGTACGGCCGATCTTGATGATCTCCTGGAACTTGTCGACCTTCGCCTGGAGAGCGTCGCGCAGGCTCTTCAGCGAGGGCAGCAGGGCACCTTCGAGCTCCAGGACGGCGGCAATGTGCATCGCGGTGGGGAAGGAGTCGTTGGACGAGGCGGACATGTTGACGTGGTCGTTGGGGTGGACGGGCTTCTTGCTGCCCATGGTGCCACCCAGGATCTCAATGGCGCGGTTCGAGATGACCTCGTTGCTGTTCATGTTGGACTGGGTGCCGGAACCGGTCTGCCACACGACCAGAGGGAAGTGGTCGAGCAGCTTACCCTCGGCGACCTCGGCGGCGGCCTGCTTGATCGCCTCACCAACCTTGGGGTCTGTCGCGAATTGATCAGTTGAGAAGGGGTGGAAAGAAGGTCGGAAACATCTTACCAAGGCCAAACTGCATGTTCACAGTGGCAGCGGCGCCCTTCAGGATACCGAAGGCCTTGACGACACCCTCGGGCATGCGGTCCTGAGGCTGGTTGATGTCGAAGTTGCCCAGGGAGCTGTTTTACTGTCAATCGCCGCTCCAAATCGCGTTCTTGTAGAGCCACGAGTGTATCTCCAGGCGATCGGGGCTGTAATCCTTACCGCTGAGTCTGCGCACCCCAGTACTTGTCCGAGGGGACCTAGATAAGGAGACAGTCAGCTTCCATCGCCAGTCGACGTATTTCAGTATGAATTGAGCCACTTACTTGGATTTCACCGAAAGCATCGGTTTCCGCACGGTGGCTAGACGACTAGGACCCCGACCGCGTCAGCCATGTTCTCCAGGTCTTCCATTTCCAACGCAACCATGCACCCTCGTGTATTTTGAACCGTTCAAGCAACACTCCAGCCGATCAGATCGACCTCAACGGTGACAAGCGACTCACCATAGTGACAGTTGTGCTGAAAGCTCTCTTGTTGGTGTTGGTCAAAGACTGGAAGCGGGGGAACTGATGGAGGGATCGGCTATTGCTCAGCATGTGTCGACTACCGAGCGAAGCGGGGAAGCGACCAGCGCAAGCCAAGGCATTGCGAGCAACTGCGGGGGAGCCGGCGGTAGTCGAGCGCGAAGCCACATGTGTCAATGAGGCCATGGATCGTGCCACAACTCGGGTAGATGAGGGGGGTAGCATGATGACGACAAGCGCGTGTTTTTTTCCCTGGGTATAATTTCACCTTTAGTACTCTAATTCGCCAACCAATTGAAGATTCGGTGTTGTATACCAATTTATTAGGAGTATAAGGAGGGGAGAAAATTCAGAAAAAGTAGGTGAAAGAGGTCTAGAGAAGAAGAAGGCGACAATGAAGTCGTTTAGGAAGTTAAGTTCAAGAAGCAACCAGAAAGAAGAAAAGTGCAGAGAGCGGGAAATCCAGGCAAAGATTCACTGCTCGTTCTTCCTCCGGTCTTCGCCTGCCGATTTCTCCCGGTCTGTCGTATACGGCAGGCGGTGAGAGATCTACCCTTAACTTCCTTTCAGCCATGATCTACTCTGTACCTCCGTACTCGGATTCTCTCTTTATCAAGACTCAAGAGTACTCGGAGGTCTTTTCTATTTTACCGTATCAACTCCCGCCGGATCGCGTCGATAACCTTCTCGTTGTATCGCTGTCCTCCCGCCAAAATCCCATCCAGGTGGACAAAGGTGTGGGGCATCCCGGGCACGCCCATCAACTCCGCCCGATTTCCTGCAGCCTTCAGTTTCTGATAGTAGAACTGTCCTTCGTCGCGAAGGGGATCCATTTCAGCTGTGACCACCAGCGCTGGTGCCAAGCCCGAGAAATCGGGGGCCAGCATGGGGGAAATCTTCCAATCCTAAAGGTCGGTCAGTTTGAGGTGCCGGAAGGGTGCTAGGCGTGCTAGGTGTGTGGATCTCACCTCGTCCGACGGAGCGGGTCGGGGCACCCCGAGGAAATGTCGGTGGAAGTATGCCATTCGAGCTGCTGGCAGCGCGACCGTGAACTCCATCTCGCGGTACGACTCGTAGGGGCAGTTCTCGCGATCGAACTGCCCATCCGGAGTGAACATGCTATGCAGGTCACAGACGGGCACCGTGAGGACCTGCAAGCCGAGTGGGATGCCGGCGTTACGGCAGAGATGGCCGATCACCGCTGCCAAGTGCCCTCCGGCCGAGGCGCCTCCCACGGCCATCCGATCCGGGTCAATGTTGAATTCCTCTGCCTTCTCAGACCGCACCTGCATGGGGTTAGCCGTTAATGGATCCGCATGTCGGAATTAAATGATAATGGGGTTGTCCACTGACCCAGTTAAACGCTGCCCAGCAATCATCCACCGGGATCGGATATCGGTTCTCGGGGGCTAATCGATAGTCCACATCGATAGCTACCAGCTGTCCATCAAGACCATGCACCAGTCGTTTACAGAAATCATGGTCGGCTCCCAGGTCTCCAAACACCCATCCGCCACCGTGGAAATTGAGGTACGCGGCCCTTTTCCGGGGAACCCCCTGCTCATCCAGAACCGGGGCGGGCTCAAAGATCCGGACTCGGATTTCCCCACCCTCCACGGGACATTTCTGTTCGGTGATGCGGTGGATATCCGGGCCTGCCGCCCGGCCGTAAGCCGTCAAGTACTTCGCAGGGTTCTTTCTAAATTCCTCGATGGGCACCTCGTGCGTATGCAATCGTCCGGCGTTGTACTTATTGTAGTGTTCCACGTAGACTGGGTCAAAACGAGTGAGCAACTCCTCGGGGATGCTATTGTGGAGCGGCTGAATGATGGCCTTGGGTCGGAGAGAATGCAAATCCGGATTCCCTGCTGGATGGTCCTGTGTCACAGTCATGGTGAGATACCTGAGTCAGGTCGATGTCACTAATTAGTGAGACTTAGAGGTTTGTAGGCTTGTGCTTAGAATATATTATCAATCAAAATGAGGGTAGAGAAGGTTGACGGCAAACTGTAGATGACGAGATATATACTCCGACCACCACTTATCTTCCCCTCACTGACCCCTCTTCGGTCATTTCTCCGCTCTCTTCCTCCCGCATCCTTCCCTCCGCTCCTCGAATTGGGTCAGGCCGATAAACAAGCGTCGAGGAAGATCGGATAGACACACCCTGTTGGGTAAGTGAGTGAGGAGTCAGCCCGCAGATCTTCCCAAAGGTGAAGGTCAGCATGGTTGTCAGCTTTCCAGAACTCATGCGCAGCAGCCTGTGTTTTCTCGAATGAGAACTCCCTATCATCACGTTCAACAACCATATCTATGAGACAATCATCTTAAATTCTATGATATACCACGGCTCTCTTATCCATTTCGGATATACTGCGGCCTGTCTGACCCCAGCGTGTCTTCTGTTTGAGACACGATATCCTAGGCTTGATCGTATATCAGCCATGGACTGACACGAGAGTTTAGTCTGGATGACTTCATCGTCAGCACAATGTCGACTCCTCTTATATTTTGACTGTCAGACAGTCATGCTTATCTCTGACAGCAAGATCAAATGTACAGATCCCCGGGCCCACTACGGGGTAGACGGACACTCGCTGAACCACTCCACAGATAATCGAAATGGCAGGCCGAGGCACGATCAAACAAAAGAACAGAAATAGAAGAGAAAATCACCAAGTTCTACATCCTATAGCGATTTTGTGATACTCAGGTCGTTATTTCATACTTTGGCTCGTGACGGTTGAGATGTTGGACCCTGATCTTATTATTGGGCGCATTTGTCCTCGTGTTTGCGCCACTCATCCAGGGGTGCATGCAGCAAAGGCAAGATTGATATCCCTCCAGCCAGATCTACAACCATGGTAAGGATGGAACCCGTGTGCAACCACTTCGTTGCCATGCATTTTATTCATTCACCCCCCTTCATATTCAATGAGACTGCCACGGCGCCGCCACCCAGTCGGGTTGGCCCAATATGGCATGGGACCCACCGTCCCCAAATCCACGGAGCAAAATTTCCTACACTAAGCGGGCTTTTCCGTCCGGCATTCCCTTGCATGACAGAAGCTAAAAAAACAATTACAAAAGAAAGGAAAAGAAGGAAGGAAAGGCGCGAAAAAAAAAATAGAAGGTAGGTTGATCTAAATGACACCCTCCCTCTCCCCAAATTTGCGTTCCGTGGATGGCGATATCGGGGCCTGTACTAAGCCTTAATAAATAGGACGAACCATCTGGCTCCACTCCTCTCATTCTTCTCATTCAGTTAATGCGTGAATGACTCTACTATAGTTCTACTATAGACTCGGAGATTTAACCCACCCTACCTGGTGGCCGATCTTGAATCACTCAACTAGTCCTTCAACGGGAATCTCTCGTCATTCCCCGTTTGTCTGAAAACAAACGATTAAGATCCGATCTACCCAGCCAGGCCCCACCGCCCCTTCCCCGAGACCTTGGACTTTGCCCCTCCGCTTTCCATCTTCGATTCTGTTGGCTTCGTCATTAACGGCCTCCTTTGCTCTCCTCGACTCACCACTCCTACCTCCCATCACCATGTCCGTTCTCACCACCCTGGCCCCCGTTCCCGCGGACGAGATCTTTGCGTTGAACCGCGCATATGTCAATGACTCACACCCGCAAAAGGTCAACTTGGGGGTGGGTGTCTACCGGACGGATGAGGGCAAGCCGTGGCCGCTCCCTGTCGTGCGCGCGGCGGAGAAGAAGCTCCTCGCCGAAGACAACCTCATGCGACACGAGTACACCGCCATTGAAGGCGACATTCCCTTCCTGGAGCTGGCCCGGGACCTGATGTTCGGTCTGGACTCCAAGGACACATCCGAGAAGACAAAGGCCATCAAGGCCCGCGTTGGCTCCGTCCAAAGTGTGGCCGGCACCGGCGCCAACCACCTGGGTGCTCTCTTCCTGGCCCACCAGATGAAGCCCAAGAACGTTTGGCTCTCCAACCCGTCGTGGGCCAACCACCTGACCATCTGGGACCTGGTCGGTGTGCCCCGCAAGAGCTACCCTTACTACGAGCCTACGACCCGCTCCTTCGACTTCGACGGCATGATGTCCACCCTAGAAGCCGAAGCCCAGCAGGGCGACGTGATCCTGCTGCACGCCTGCGCGCACAACCCCACAGGCCTTGACCCCAGCAAAGAGCAATGGAAGGCCATCGCCGAGCTGTGCGAGCGCAAGAAGATCTTCCCCTTCTTCGACTCCGCCTACCAAGGGTTCGCATCCGGCTCCGCCAGCGAAGACGCCTGGGCCGTGCGCTACTTCCTCAACGAGAAGCCCAACCTGGAGATGTGCGTGGCACAGAGTTTCTCCAAGAACTTCGGCCTGTACGGCCAGCGTGTCGGCGCCTTCCACTACGTGCTCCCCGCCGGCTCCGAGAAACTCCGCGACACCGTCGTCAACAACCTCTGTCACCTGATCCGCGGCGAATACTCGATGGGTCCCACCGGCGGCTGCAGCATCGTCAAGTGCGTGCTCACCAACGACGAGCTCACCGCGCAGTGGCACGACGACCTCACGGTCATGAGCTCGCGCATTAAGTCCATGCGCAAGGTGCTGTACGACGAACTCACCCGTCTCCAAACCCCGGGGACGTGGCGCCACATTGTGGAGCAGGTATGTTGTCACTATTGTAGTCCTCTTTTCGAATGAATACTAACACAGTCTCCACAGAACGGAATGTTCTCCTACACCGGCCTGACCCCGTCTCAAGTCTATGCCTTGAAGGACAAATACCACGTCTACCTTCTCAAGTCCGGCCGAGCGTCCATCAGCGGCTGTACGTCAAGCCCCATCTCCTTATTTCCTCGAAATACTAACAAATCAACACAGTGGCCGAAAATAACGTCACCTACGTCGCCCAGGCCATCGACAATGTAGTGCGCAACGTCAACTAAGTTTGCAACGAGTGACGGCGAGACTTGTCACGACCGACCTACTGATATCTAACGATGTGAGAGCATGTAGTGGAACGGAAAACGAATTTTGCATTTGGTTTTGCATTGTTTCATTTTTGTTTGGTTTTCCTACTTTTGAGTACATACAAGATAGATCTAAAGAGAGATGAATTTACAGACAATACTGTCGACTTAAGTTAGCTTTAAAATATTAACTCAATTTATTTATTCATTCTTAGGCATGATATGCCAATTTTAGAAGAAGTAGTGCCGATGAAAGAGGGAACGGGTAAACTATATTGAACTACCTTGCAAGTGATATACAAAACGATCGACCCGCTACCGCCTATGCGCGTAGTGGGATACGAAATCATATACACAAACAACCTCTTCCTCCTCAAGTAAAAAAAGAGAAAGGGGAAGAGAGACGATCTGCCCCGTCTTTCGCAATCGACTCTATAAAAATTACCGTAGGGTACCTTGCCTGCCACATTGAATGATATACGTGGTTAACAATCACAAGAAACGCTATATAATGAGGAATGATAAACTTATAAAAATATAGATAAAAAGACTAGGGTAAAATAAATATGTAGATAGATAAATAGATAGGTAGATGAATTTAAAAAAGAAAAGAAAAAAGATCAAGATAAAGAAAAAGGATATAGATAGAACACACAACACGAAGAATAGGCACCAAAGAGCAGAGTAGAAAGAGAAGAAAGCAGAAAGAGGCTATAAAAAAAGCTCACGTTGGTTCAACGATTCCCGTATATCCCATTCGTTAAGGTAACTGACTAACTCAATTGATTCAATTGATAAGCTTGATGTTTATAGAGGGACTTCGTTGAAATCCGACTTCTTTCCGTCGCTGGCTGAGGAGGAATCCTCCGCGGATGGGTTTTCTACTTTCTTTAGCTTTTCTGGTTCAGGTGCTTTGGTTTCTTCGCCTTTCTCTTGCTTTTTCTCGTCAGCTTCCTCTTTCTCTTCCTCCGGCTCTTTCTCTTCCTCTTGTTCTTTTTCTTCCTCTTCCTCTTCCTCTTTCGCTTCCTCCTCCGGATGGCCGTTGGTTTCTTTCTGGTCTACAGACTCGGCGTGTCCGTTTTGCTCCAGGGATGTTTCGTCCTTGGGGGGCGGGGGCGGCGGGGATTCGTCGTCTTCGTCGGCGGAGGCCACCTCGCTCTCTTCGGCAGTGGGTTGGCCGCTCATGTGCTGGCCGGGGAACGGGGTGATGGGCGGGTCGCCGGGAGTGTTGCTTTCCTGTCGTGTCCGATCCTGCGACAGGGTTGGCCGCCGCCCGTCGCTCGACACAGGTAGCTGGACGGAGGGGGACGACGGAGTGTGACGGTGAGCGGAGGTGGCGGACGAGATGGTGCGCTGGTGCTGGGTGGAGCCCTGGATGGGACCCAGCTGGCGGGTCTTCGGGTCGGCGTTGAGGTAGTAGCCGCGGACGCTGACGATGGTGCCCTCGGACTCGCAGGCGTCGACCCATTCGGGGACCACGACGGGGATGTTCATCTCGACGGCCTTCTCCCACAGGGGGCCGCGGCCCTCGGTGCAGACGAAGTGGGTGGTGTCGATGCGCACCGAGTCGATGAGCCGACCGCCGATGCGGTCCAGGGCAGACGCTAGTGCCTCCTTCTGTGGCGGCGGCAGCACGCCCGCCGTGACCGTGATACCGGACAGGTCGGTCATCTTGTGGGTGCGGCACGTCAACTTCTCCGACTGGTAGGTGCCGGCCGTCGTGCGGAGCACCAGGTGGAACGAGTACTCGGTGTGGATGGCGAGCCCGCTGATCTTGGTGCTGCGCGTCTCCAGGGGACGGGGGATGGACCCGGCCTTGGAGCCATTGCGGTACAGCGAGAGCGACTTGAGCGAGGCCGTGGCCAGATCGACGGGGTCCCACTCCAGCACCAGGGAGGTCTGCGTAGCATTGCGCAGTCGCAGCACGGGCGGGGAGGGCGTCTTCACTCCGTATGTGTTGAGGATGCGTTTCTGGAGGCTCTGGAAGGCAGTGGCATTGGCCACTTCCGCGGCATGGTTGCGCGCGACGGTGATGTCGACGATGCTGCCGGAGGTGATGTTGCTGGGGAGGAGGACGGAGGGGAATTCGATCTGCCACGGTGGGGGTCAGGAGTCAGTATGATGCAGAATAACCATTGCGCGTATATTTATTGACTGTTCTCTTGTGATGAAGACTGGTACAGTCGCCAGGGTAGGGGTTGACCATGCATTGCGCTGCAGCCACAATAGGGAGAAGGAGCTTACGAGTCGGTTATCTTGGGTCAGGAGGACGGCGACACCGGCGTCCACCTTGCCCACGGTCAAGGAGACCAACATGGTAGTTATTGGAGGAGGGGAGTCTCCCAAAATTCGGGGAATATGGTAAGTAATGGATGATATGGAGGGAGGTGGAGGTGGAGGAGAGAAAGAATGGATGTTGTTGTCTGGCTTGTCGAGATCGGCATTAGCGACCCTGCCAAGGAGGCGGTGCCGCGCGGTCCATTCTAACTACGCCGTCAGGGGATCGACTGTTTAACATCTACTCTATTATATACTCTGTACGGAGTAGAGCATGGAGAATTCTCCAGGACGTCTCTATTAAATAGAGATCCGTCTGAGATTACTACTAATTAATAAAGCACATCGATTTGGCGGGTTTATGTGCATTAGGCAAGGAATCAATTCTCCGAAGAGTACAAAGAACTCCCAATGTCCCTCGTTATTTATAACCCTGATATTTTATACATTATCAATACACTATGATACATGTCATTGCCCATTATTGTTCGTCTTCCCCGACCATTTTGGTTGCCACAGGCCCGTTTTGCGCGCTGGGGTAGAAGAGGTTACTCCCTGCGACCCCAGAACTCGCGTCTTGTCGACTAGCTGGTCAAATGAAGAGTGCATATCGGACTGCACCTCCGCGAACGGTTCGTCGATACTCTCCAACCGCACAATCACCTCCAACGACCCCTTCAAGCCTCCATTAGGGCTATCCATGCAGCCGTACCCCGTAGTCCCAGGCTCCAATCGCTTGCCTGCCTCGTCAAACCCATGCTGTTTCAAGGCCTCCCGGAATGCGACCCGCGCTCTCCGGGCTGTCCACGACCGGACCACTCGCTTATATTGCCCGAACTGATGCAACGACACGCGCCACCACAGGGTCTCGGGGTCTCGGTTGTCGTACATGTGCTGGATCTTGGGTCGGAGCGGATGAACCGGGAGGTCCAGATATCGTTGGGCGACCGGCGGGATAAGGGTTTGGGGGGAATATCTTAAGATGAAAGATTTCCCATGCGAGGTAAGGTACTTCTTCACCATGGTGGGCAGACACAATCCGGCCCAAGATTGGAGATTGATCGGAGTCGGGTCGGGTCACGTCCTGAGACGGACGTCACGTCGTAGCAATCCCAAGAGCACACTTGCTGATATCCGGGATCATGTTCCCAAAATTGAATCCCTAGCCAACTAGCAGGCTTTCTGTTTGAATCCGACAACAAAATGAGACGAGGAGAGAAAGATGCAGGATGGACGCGTTCGAGAATGACGATTTGGAGGAATATTTTCTGCCACGGCCAGGCACCGGCGGTGTAAAATTCATCCTCCTGATTGGACGACCCCTGTGGCGAGCCTAAGGCAGGGCTCAGGCCGCCACATCCCCCACTAAACCGAGCGACCAGATTATATAAGAGGCAAAAGCCTCGAAATTCCACCCTAATTCTCGCCCCCCCCCACTCTCACCACCTTTCTTCCTACTCTCTCTCTCCTTACCCAGATTACCTGCTTATCGCATCGACTGTCCAGTCCCTCAGCGACTAGCAAGTTTCCGCCATGCCCAAGAATAAGGGAAAAGTATGTGTCCTCCCCATATCCTTTTGTTTCATCAAAGAACCCCTCTTCCCCCGCCTGGGTCAGACTTTTCGGGTTCTGTAGGGGGCTCCTTGCCACGATGTCCACTCTGGATGTTTCCCTTTTAGGAGGTCGACATGTATGGAGAGACAAGACAAGAAGGCGACCATGCAGATCTGAAATATCTATATCCATCACAACCTGTTTTATACAGATGTATCGCTAACACACTCAACAGGGCGGTAAGAACCGTCGTCGTGGAAAGAACGAGAACGACAACGAGAAGCGTGAGCTCGTCTTCAAGGAAGAAGGCCAGGAGTATGCGCAGGTCGTGAAGATGCTGGGTAACGGCCGTCTTGAGGCCCTCTGCTTCGACGGCGAGAAGCGTCTCGCGCACATCCGTGGCAAGCTGAGGAAGAAGGTCTGGATCAACCAGGGCGACATCATCCTCCTCTCGCTGCGTGACTACCAGGACGAGAAGGGCGACGTCATCATGAAGTACACGGCCGACGAGGCCCGCAGTCTCAAGGCCTACGGCGAGCTGCCCGAGCACGCCAAGATCAACGAGACCGACACCTACGGCCAGGATGGTCTCGAGGACAACGTCGAGTTCGACGAGGACCGCGAAAGCGAAGAAGAGAAGGAGATCGACGTCGACGAGCTCTAAATTGCTCTCCTGTTATTATTTCCCATGGCAACCCTTGCCCTGCCAGAGCCCACCGGGGTTTTCTTTCACCAGCCTTCTCTTTTCATTCTTCTCTCTTTCTCTATTGTCAATCTGTCCCTCTCTCTGGGATCACCCGACTCGCCCTTATTGTTGAGAAGCTTTGGTCTTCTGGCGTGCCGAGGGTGATCCGGACGGTCGGCTGTTGCTTCTGACGTGCTGGCCATGATCCCGGGAAAGGAGGAACGAGGAACGAGGGATGAGGGACGGAATAGGGCTGTGACGGGGCCTCACCCGCATCCACCAGAGGCCTCGTTGGACTGCCCGGTGCCGCAACATTCAGGGTATGGATCATTGTTAGGGGAAGCACGGTGGCGTTGCACGACGGGGTTCCGGTAGGCACTCGGCCTAGAAACTCCTCCGTCGTGGGAGGCCGTCGCGGGTTTCTAGAGAATGGTTGCAACGCGTCTGCAGAGACTGGCTCCTCGCTGGGTCGTTCGTGTTAGCGATTTCTTATCTGTTTCCCGTCGTTTCATCTCGTTCTTTTTGTCTTAAAACTGGATGATAGATTATGAAGGTGTTACGAATTACTCAACCGTTGTATCGTAGATGTTTTCATTCCTAGTAGATGGCTGGATATTTCTAGGACCTTTCTACCTAACTACCTAGACTCCGTCCATCCGGCTAGTCACATACCCAATGACCAGAGACTATGTCAAACTGAATCCCAACTTAAGAAACCGTGGATTTTACTCTGCAAGTAGTTTACTAGCATGTATTTACTGATCTATCTTCATCTGTCAAAGTGCCCCGCGGCATGCGAGAGGATATACCGGCGTCTCCCTGCCATAGCCCATTCTACGTACCCAAATTGTAAATCATTGAAATTTAAACAAGAGGATAGATTTCCCTACTCCATGAAGTCTACAGTATAGTCTCTCAAGATCACAGAAGATCGATAGCATCTGTATAGATGACGTCACTGTTTCTGTCTCATCGAGATGAATTATGGCATTGTAGTATGGACAGTGTCGTCAGATTCAGGTTCGTCTTCAACAATGATATCATATACAGGAATGCATTCAAACATTGAATCGAGGTAGATTCAACGCTTTCCATAAGCACTCGAATCCGCTATTTATTCAACTCCTTCATGCGAGCCTCGATCTCTTCCCTCGACGCTTTGGGTGGCATGTCTAGACAGGATTAGTTATTATATCGAAGTGAAGAACGGAGTTCAGGTTGAATCACTAACTGTCTGGAATTTGAGGTCCTTTAGATAGATGATCCTGCATAGTGGCTTTCTGGGACGAATCCGGCTGGGAGTCGGTCCCCTTGTTGCTGCTTTCTTTGGCGGGGAAGCTCTTGGGATCTTCGGGGATGACGGGCATTGTGTTTAGTTTATTTTATTCGTTATTTTAAATTGACGAAGTTGTAGTTGTAGCTGTAGCTGTAGTGTATGTGGAGGAGTTGTATTGACAGAGAGAGGGTAAAGTAAGAAGTAAGAATGAGCGATATATATGTTATGGTCGGGATGACGTCGGTGGGCAAACAAGCAGCAGGCAACCATCTTTGGATCCCCTCGTTGGTCAGATTACAGCAAATCAGAGCCTGTAAGTACATGGATCTTTCCTATGGGTCATGTCAATTCATGGTTGTGCATTGATTTGTGTGTAAGGTTGACTCTATATGGTTGAATGGTTGTGGGTGGTCTGATAGTGGCTGATCTTCTCTGCTTCATGGTCTGTGGACCTCGACTGGAATTCAGATATTATAGTAATCATTGAAGATAGTCCACTGAGAATTGACTATTGATTATATATAATAGAACCCCGAATTGACTGTGATGCGTATGGTATACAAGAATGAAGATCGTGGACTCCCTACTCAGCTCCCTAATGAACTGCCTGACTAAGGAGTTGCCGTCACCCCAACTCTCCCTCTCTCTCTCCCTCTCTTACTCTCTCTCTCTCTCTCTCTGACTACTCTGTTCCTCAAGGCTTCATCATTCAACGCCCCCGTTCTCACACTTCTCCCCTCTCCTGACGAGGGATTCAATTCTCTATTATACGATTCTTCTCCACAACTCTCATTCGCAATTGCTCGAATTGCCCACCTGTTCGAGAGTGTGACGCCGCCTTCCTATCGTCGTTGCCTGTGCCCGACGCCGGCGCTATACCTCCACCTTGCAATGCGACCCTAAGAATCGACTGAACCAGCCTCGTCCGTCCAACCCAACTTTGCCGATTTCTGCGCTTCATCCTCTAGCCTCCCCGGCTCTCCGTCATGCCGTCAATCCTCACCGACGCCGACAAGGAGACCGTCAAGCGGAATGTCCCCAAACCCGCCAACAAGATCTTCGCCGTAGCGGTCGCACGACTCTATGTGGCCTATCCAGATCCCCAGAGGTGGGTCTACACCGGCCTGCAAGGAGCTGTGGTCCTGGCAAACGACTTGGTCGGCCGCACCCTCTGGCTGAAACTGGTGGATGTCTCGGTAAGTCACTTTACCCCGTTAAGAGTGCACCCCGCAGTATAGGTTGCTGATGAATCCCTGAATGATAGCCCGCCCAAAGAGGTGTGATCTGGGACCAGGAGATCTATGACAATTTCTCCTACAACCAGGACCGCACCTTCTTCCACACTTTCGAGCTGGAGGAGTGTCCCGCCGGTCTGTCCTTTGCCGACGAGAAAGAGGCCAAGACCTTCATCAAGAAGGTACACGAGCGGGAGAAGCATGTCAGCAAAGAGACGCGCCAGACCCCCTTCGCCTCCATGCGCGGCCAGGGCCCCGCCCCCATCCATAATGAGAAGCATGGCATGGGTCGCTCCATATTCGGTAGCTTGTTAGGCCACCGGTCGGCCTCGGGGCCCAGCGCACCACCGCCCCCAGCCGCGCAACCAGCCCCAGTGGATCTCCCCCCGACCCCCTCCATCCACGTCGCTCCGCCCCCGCTGCCGACGAGCCCGCCCCGCAAGGACCTGCCGTTCGACACCAGCGATCCGTCCTGGAAGGGCCTCTTGGACGAGCTCCTGCAGATGGGCATCACCGAGGACCAGATCGCGGACAACTCCGATTTTATCAAGGCCTATATCGATCAGAAGCAGAGCAGTGCGGACAACGCGACCCCATCGGCGGAGGACCGAAGAGGAAAGGCCCCTCCGCCGCCGCCCCCGTCGGCCCCTCCGGGCCCCAAGCTGAATGCCATCAGTCCGCAGAGCACTGGGGCGAGCTCCGGTAGTCGACGGGGGGCGCCTCCGCCGCCCCCGCCGTCGCGCAAGCCGCGTCCCGATGAGGAATCTCCCCCAGCGACCCGCGAGCCGTCTCCGCCCCCGCGACCCCGGTTCCGTGCGCCGCCGCCGATTGCTGACGCCGGGAAATATGCCAGCATGGCCCCGAGTCTGCCCACGCGTCCCAGGGCCCACTCCGGTGCCGCGGGGCCGCCGCCGCCGCCGCGACCCCCCAAGACCCCCGACGATGGCGCCCAGCCGCGCTTTGGCGTGCCCCCGCCCTTCCAAGGCGACCGGAAGGTCTCCGCGCCCCCTGCTCCGCCCAGTCGTAACTCGGGGCCGCCGCCACCGCCACCGCGCTCTGCGAGCCCGGCGGCTCCCCCGCAGCTGCCTCCGAAGGTGCCCAATGCCCCGGCGGCAGCCGCGCCAGCTCCACCTCCCCCGCCCCGCAGTCCGGCCTCACAGCCGCCCCCGCTGCCAGCCGCCAGTTCGCGACCGGTTCCGCCCCCGCCGTCGCCCGGGGCTCCCCCTCCGCCATCCCCGCCGCCCCCACCACCCACGTCTCACGTCCCCCCGCCCCCTCGACCGCCGCCGGTTCCCGCTCCCGCTCCGGCCAGCACGGGTCCCCCTCCACCGCCGCCGCCTCCGCCCCCTGGAGCCGGTGCTCCCCCTCCACCGACTGGCGGCGCCCCTCCTCCGCCACCCCCACCACCACCACCGTCCTCCCACGTTCCGCCGCCCCCGCCTCCGCCGCCTCCGCCGCCTCCAGCCAGCACCGGACCACCGGCTTCCCCACCTCCCCCTCCGGTTCCCGGGCGAGGCGGCCCACCACCGCCACCGCCTCCTCCCGGCGGGGCCCCTGCCCCTCCCCCACCTCCACCCGCTGGCGGCGCTGCGCCACCGCTGCCCAAGCCTGCCGGAGACCGCGACGACCTGCTAGCCGCCATCCGCGGATCAGGCGGGTCTCGCGGCGGCGGACTGCGCAAGGTCAAGGACACCGAGAAGAAAGACCGCAGCGCGGCCCACGTCCCAGGGGGCACCAATGAATCCTCTGCTCCGTCGGGCGGCGGCGGCGGCGGTGGTGGTGCCCCTCAGGGGGGACTGGCGGGTGCGTTACAGATGGCTTTGAAGGAGAGACAGAAGAAGGTCCGGGGTAGTGGTGTGTTTCCCCCTCCCCCCTCCATGTAATATGATGTGTGGTAAAGCTAACTGGTATGACAGATGATGAGAAGGATGACGACGATGATTGGAACTAGTGGATTTTGCTTGACTGAGCTGTTCACATGGGTGTCATGATGGCCTGGTTATTCAGGTTGCATGTGATTGATGGCCTCGTGGATGAGGTGTGAAGGACTCAACAGATATGTACCTAGTCGGTGCTTATAGCATCTACAGTGCATCCATCGTGAATACAACGTAGTCAACAACCACCACAATAGAAGCACAGCAATTATCGTAGCTAAACTACAACACACACACACAACATACGTAACTACGTAGATCCATTAACAACGGGTATCTCAACTCTATACACGATACCTATAGTACAGGATAGTACCTAGGTACCCATCCATCCATCCATCCGTCTATCTATCCATCCATCTATCCATCCATCTATATAAGGCAGGTCTACCAACTCAATGTCTAGGCTGCTTCCCCCTCCCTTGACCGCGATGCAATCCCCTCGCCCGATCAACCCATATCTTAGCCGCTGCTTCGACGCCTCCTTCTGTCTTGCATTCTTTTTGCACTAGATGTGTTGCTTGCTGCATCACCTTTTCACCGTCATCACCACCGGCACCGGCTCCATTACCAACAGCAGCAGCAGCACCACCATTATTATCATCGAGCCCCCTCTTAACCCACCACTCCCTCGTCGTGCGAACCCTCCCTCCGAGAATTCCCATATTGCGCGTACTAGGGATCCGCAACAGCGTTCTCTCCACCTCGTAGCCGACCTCCGTCGCGACAGCGACCGTCTTGGCAGTCAGAGATCCATACATGGAGGAGTCGAATCCTGCGTTCGACGGGTCCGTCGCTTGTTGTTTCTTCTGCCGGAGGGCGGCGAGGTCGCCTGACATGGGCTGTTCATCCTCCCCATCCTCCCTACCATCTTGGGAGGGAACATTGGAGGCCTTGTGATTCTTGTTATCTTTGGATTTATTGCTCCCCTTAGGAGGCGGATACCGATGTCTCGCCCCAGACAACGCATGCGAACAGCACGGTATAGCCAGGAACGGTAACGGGGAGGACGGATTCGCAAGAGCGGCCATAAGCGGTGTCCACACGGTGAGTTCGTCCGCGTGGTTCGAGATGATGAAGGTATCTGCGGGAAAGGAGCCCGTGTGTGTTGGGACGCCTACATCAAAGTCATATTTTCCATCATCATCATCATTTTCTTCTTCTTCTCTGACTCCGTCGGAGTTGCTGAGATCGCTGGTAATGGCATCGGCAAACGGAGAAGGAATGTATATCTCCTCGCGGAGACGAGCGCGTACGTCCTCGGGAAAAATCCCCCACGTTTTGCGCGCTCGCGCATCGAAGCCCCAGCCCGAGTAGCCCTCCTGCAGGAGGACATAAACAAGGAGGCCATTCCCGCAAGCGACGTCCACGAAGCCAGGAAACACATCACCACTCTGCGTGGAGTCTCTCTCATCTCCAGGAACAGCCCCGTACATACTCCTCCACAACTCGATCAGGAACGCCGCGATGGCCAAATCCTCAAAGACATGCTTCGACGGCTCGGTGTCCTCCACCCAGTCGCGGCACAGAGCAGGCGCGTACTTGAGCTTGATGCGCAGGTAGGTGTTTTGCACGAGGTGCTGCGGGATGACGTTGTCTTTGATGGGGTTGGTGTTGCCGCTTGTTGCGCCGGGGGGTTTGTCGGCGAGCCGGGTGCCGCGCGCGAGGCGGATTTGGGTGCTGAGGAGGGCGTGGAGGGTGCGTTCGAGGCGGGTGGGGATTGGTTCGTTGGGGAAGAGGAGGAAGTGGAGGGAGAGGGTGCCTGTTCCTTTTCTGGTGGGTTGGTCGGAGGGAGGTCCGGCTGGGGATGTGGTGTCGGTGAAGTCGTAGAGGGTGGCGAGGGCGCGGAGGAGCGGGTGGTAGAAGGGGACTTCTTCCTTCTTGGTGAGGTGGGGGATGTAGATGATTAGGAAGCGGGTTGTAGTCGAGGTTTCGGTGCGGTTTGTGGCTTCATAGAAATGGCACGTTTGCGCCAGCGGCCGGTCGATCTTGGGATTCCGCGGGATGAGATTGCGGACTACCGTGCGAGTGAGCTTGAAGCCGGGCACGTCGTTCGCCGGGAGGGGATCGACGCGCTCGTCAGCTTGACTCCCAGGGAGGTCATTGTCCGCGAGAGACGCGACGGCAGGTTCTTCGAGATTGGGATTCCCCGTCTGCGCAAACGACTGCGCTTTCTGCTGCGGGGTGCTCAGCGCGCCCCAGCTATCGTATAGGATATCCGCGCGGAAGAGGTGCGTCGCATTGATGTTGATATTCTCCAGCAGGAAGACAGTGAGGTCTTTGATCACCTCCGGAGAGAAGGGGAGGTCGTGCTCGATCAGGTCGCGCGAGGTCGTCCATTCGGGGCTCAGGATGGGGGACGGCTCGAGGGTGTCGGCCAGGGGTTTTCCGGAGAGCTTGGATGCATCTCGGGGGTTTTTCCTGTTCTTGGGCATGCTCTAAGTCTTTGGTTTGGTGGTATATAAGTGATATAGATGATAGAGGGGTTGCGATCTCTGCTTTTCACATGGTGGGGTTGTGCTGCATTGTTAGTCATCATTATTCATGCACAATGTGTAGATACAACAGCCAGTATGTTCAGTCAAGTATCATACCACAGCTTTACTACTATTCAACACTGAGAGATCCAAGTCAGCAGCTAATATTATAAAGAGCACATCCCCTCGCTGAGAGCAGTATACGCTTATCGAACATAAGACTTTATCATCAGTGACAGACCCAAGGCTGCTGTCACAGCCCAATATTCACCGCCCTACATTATTTAGTAGTCGATATAAAAAATGCAGATCAGGCACAATCAACTCCTTACTGCAGTCCAGATAAAGTTCAGAAGTTCATCTTCAACTGCCTGTTAAAGCTAGGCGATCTGCTCGCCCGGACGGGTGTGCATGAAACAGACGCTGTAGAACAGATAATCGACCGTAATTGACGAGCAATCTCAATCATCATAGCACTCAACCTGTTAACAAAATACTACGTACCGGAAATCATCAACAGGGTAAAAGAGCAGAGCAGAGCAGAGTAAGTAACATCATAGATAAGCCCACCCACCCTATCGATAACCCAAACTTGTTCAGCACGACCCATCATTCATCCTATGACGCAATCCTCCCCACCACTCACTCTCACTTACTCTATTAATTTCCCAATCCTATAAATTCCTGCACCACTCAACCACACCATTCAATTACCCAAATCAAACATCCATATCAAAAGCAAATAAGACAAGAAAATGGCTCCTCGCTGCTTCATCATCCGCCACGGCGAAACCGAATGGTCCCTCAACGGCCGCCACACAGGCAGCACCGACCTGCCACTGACTTCCAACGGGGAAAAGCGCATCAAAGCGACTGGTAAAGCCTTAGTAGGAAATGACCGGTTGATTGCACCGAAGAAGCTGGTTCATGTGTATGTCGCCCTCTATGCTTTCTTCCAACATACTACTACTCTTCACAAGGGCCATATAGTATACTATACTACGGCAAGACAATGCTAATGATAAAGATAGTTATGTCTCCCCCCGCACCCGCGCCCAACGCACCCTCGAGCTCCTCGAAATCGGCTGTCGCGAGCGTCTCCCCTGGACAGAAGCGCGCAAGTCCGAGAACGAGGAACCCATCCGCACGGAAGCCAAAGTCGAGGTCACCGAGGCGATCCGCGAGTGGGACTACGGCGACTATGAGGGCTTGACTAGTCCGCAGATTCGGGAACAGCGCGCTAAGGAGGGGAAGGGGGAGAAGTGGGATATTTGGAAGGATGGGTGTCCTGGGGGGGAGTACGTTTTTTTCCCCTTCTTCTTTCTTTTTTCCCTTTCATTTCGCATTAGATAAAGTATACTGACAAAGAAAGATCTCCCAAAGACGTCATAACCCGCCTCGACGCCCTCATCGCCGAAATCAGAGCCAAACACCACGGGCCCTGTCTGGACGGGTCCTCCGAAAAGGGCGACGTGCTGCTCGTCGCACACGGCCATATTCTCCGCGCGTTCGCCATGCGCTGGACGGGGAAGTCGTTGGAGGAGACGGCTTTAATCCTTGAAGCCGGAGGTGTTGGAACGCTCAGGTATATACCTCCTTTCCACACTGATGCGTTCTACCGCGGTAGAAGTGGGGAGAAAGAACCCAGCTAACGAAGAACAGTTACGAACACCGTAACATCGACGAACCGGCCGTGATTCTCGGAGGAGGATTCGTGGTGGATACTTAGGTGCTTGGTCGATAGGACTATAATGAACAAATTAGTAAAATATCTCAATGTGAGGGTTGGAAATCAAGCCATACCTTAGTCTTTCCTCTCAGTTTCCCCTCTGTATTCCCTTCCCCCCCACTGCCTCTATCTTTCATCTTTCATCTTCATCTTCACCCTTTCCCAAGGAAAAATATCCTGAAAGTACAAAAACCTCACACTTCCCTACTATCCCCCTCCCCCTCCCTACCAGGATCCCCATCCTCAGCAGAACCCTTAACACCCTCCTCCCCCAACACCCTCGCCGACCCCATGAACAACCCCCCCACATACCCTCCCAAAAAACGCATATCCTCCGCCTGCACGGCCGTCATACGCAGGAGGTTCTCCGTATCTGCGAGGTTGGCATTCAACTGCGCCAACTGTGATTGCAAGTTCGCGTATTGGCGGGTTTTGGTTGCGGACATTGTTCCGGCTCCTGATCCTGACAATGTGGTGCCCGGGAGCATGGAGTGGCGCGGGAAGTGGGATTGGGATTGTGGGTGGGAGGTGGTGTAATTGTGGTGGGGGGGCATTTTGATTCAAGTATACTGTTGTCGATGTGGTTGTCTTGTTGTGAGTGTGTTGCTTTGGATGATGTTGCGCGGGTCTGTTTGTTGATTTCCATACGTCGTGTCACGTGTTTTATATGCCTCAGGCACTACTGCTACTACTTGAACAGGAAGACCGCGCTCAGCTGTAAAATCGCTCATGATCTACTATCAATCTACTACCAAGCCTATGATCAATTGATGATCAGTCTATTCAAGAGCAGGCCTAACACCGCTCGTAATACCATTCAGAACGCAAACTCAACAAGTCGTCAACCGATAAATCAGATCCTGCTCTTTTTTTGCGCCGATACCAAACCATGACAGAGCCCAGATAAAGGACAGTAGTGGGCAAACATAAGAAAAGCTGTGGGAACAGCAGTAGACAGAACAAAACAGCAGAAAAGAGAGAGAGAGAGAGAAAGAAACAAACGATGCGCCGGCACAATAGTGTACAGCAATCTTCAGTATGATGGAATGCACAGTGGTGAGGGGTTACGTGGTGGTATAACTGCAAAGCCAAACATATTTATCAGACGAAACAAGCCCGTCCTCCATTAGATAGAACATTCGCAGAAGAAAAGGGTTCAAGGGTCAACCGGGAACAAACACATACACACGCCGGATCACTCCCCCACAGTAAAAGAACGCATGAAACGACAAGATATTCCTTATGTCTCTCGTGTATATGTAAAAAAAAAAAAAAAAAGAAACAGCAGAGGAAGATGCGCCCAACCCGATCATCTGCCAAGTATCTCTTGTCCAAGACACGAGCGGGAGGAGGGAAAAGAAAAAACGAATGGTAACGGGAATGTTATGAGATGATCATTCGTCGAGCAAAAATCGAGTAGGAAAAAGGGATCATGGCGATATCATTCAAGGGACGGGCGTCGAGGCCTGCTGCGCGCCCAGACTGATTTGGCTGCTGTGGGCCGAGTTTCCGGAGTCAATGTTGGCACTGGCCCCGCTATCACCACTCTCCGCGCTGGCGCTCGCACTTCCGGTCAGACTTCTATGCTTGGGAGTGGGCTTGGCGGAAAACGAGTTGCTCACCCCATAATGTTGTTCAACTTGCTGCGGACCTACCGCATTACCTTGCCCCGGGGGATACCTGGGCACCGGCGCGCGCACCTGTCCAGGGGGGGACGGGTGACCACCGCGAGGCGGATAGCCGTTGGGCGGTCCCAGATTGGCATCGGGGCCGTTCGACGGCCGGCCCATGCGGGGGCCCGGACCGGGGGGACCGAAGGGCGTCGCGGGAGAGTGGCTATTTCTCCGACTCTGCGGATGTGGGGGCGGGGGGTAGTCGCCCATACGGCTGGCTGTCAGGGAGTTGGCACGCGAGCCCGCATTCATCTGATTCCGATCGACCGCGCCGTACCGGTTGGACGAGTACGCCATCATCGGGTTGTCCATGAGCGAATCGTGAAGACCAGGAATCTCCTGCATGATCCGATCGCTGGCACGCTTCCGGCCAAAGTAGTTCCGGAACGACGATCCCGGTCGAGGACCACCGCCGCCGCCGCCGCCGTTCATATTCATCTCCGGGTTTCGGCGGATCTGGCTGGCACTGGGGCCCTTCTTCGCCCGTCGCGAGGTGATGCTCATCATGTCCACATTGTCGGGGTCAATATGCGGCACCGGCAAGCCCTCCATGGGGTCGAAGAAGTCGTCCTCGTCCTCCTCGTCGAAGGCAGCTCGGCTGGGCGGGGGGCGGGGACGGGGGGGACCGCGGCGCATGCTCATCTCCTGTTCCCGGAACTGCAACTCCCGCTGCCGGAGGGCCAGTTCGCGTTCCCGCAAGGCTAGTTCGGCCTGGGACGGGGGGCCGCCCCCGGGGGACGTGTCCGGGAAGCCGTTTCCGTTCGCGTTCGCGGGCGGCAAGGCACCGTCAGCGGCGTCGTCGTAGAGGACCAGGTGGCTGAATTCCTCCAGACCCTCCAAGGAGGGCTCGCGGGGGATTTTGCCCTGGGGCGGTTGCGTGCTGGGTGGTCGGGACATGGGGCCCGGCATGGGCATCGGTCCACCCGAGGGACCGCGCCGCATAGGCGGCATCATCCCCGGGGGTCCGGGCCGGCCTCCAGGCCCAGGGCGCATCCCGTTCATCATCCTCGGGGGAGGCGCGGACGACAGCCGCGGGGGCGGTTGGGCCAAGGCCAGCGGGGGAGATTCACTGGCGCGGGGCTTGGTCAAATTGGTAGTATTGGCATGGTGGAGGGCGGCGTAGAGCGTCTCGAGGCGTGGGATGGGGACCTCGGCCTCCAATGCCAATTTGACGGGCGAGCCCAGATAGGTTTCCACCTCCATCGGCCGGCGGGACTGGAAGTCCTGATACATGGGGCTTGGGGGGCCGTTTGCCGTCATCTTCTCGATGACCTTTTCGGCGAAGTCGTCGGGAAACGAGCACCCGTTGGCTTTGCCCAGCCGGAGCAGCTCGTCGATGATGCCCGTGACCAACGGACGGACCCCAATCTTCTCCAGGAGTTGGGAGTGATTGGGGGTATCAAACATTACACTAGTTGGGTAGAAAGCGATCGGTCTAGCACATAGGTTAGCCGGGAGGGGCCACGATGGGAAGGAAAGCTCGGGGGAAACTCACCCTATCATGCGTTCAAACTGTTCTTGGCGGATGTTTTCGGAAACCTTGCATTCCACCTGGCCGGTGGCCAGGGTCATGGCCAATGCGGCGGCCATATCGTTCTGGATCGAGGACGGAATGGTCGACTGTTTGGTGGTTGCGCCCACCCAGAGGTCGGACGAATTCAGATGCTCGAATTCGCTGGCACCGATCTGTGAGACCTCCACCCCGGACACCAGCGACAGAACGACATTCGTCGGAAACCGTTGTTCCAGATGTGATTCGACACCGATGGTGTTTGTCGTGTTCAGGAGGATGCAGGTGTGTTGAGGGGTCACGACGGATTCGATTACAGCCGCGAGGTCGTATACATCGGGCAACGCCTTGACGCACAGGATGACATAGTCGTAGGCATTCTCTCGCGAGGCCGCTTCTTCGGGGGATCGGACGACTGTTTTGGGGAGGGAGAAATCAGCGATTGAACGGGAACTGTTGTATGGAGAATCGGGGAACGAGCATACCGTGACGAGGTTTGAAACGCTCGTTGCCAAAGGATTTGGATCTAGATCGACGCTGTCAGTCACACCGGGGAGAGGAGGCGGAGCGGAGACCGGTCGGACATACTTGAACGACACACCGTACTGTGCCACCGATTCGAAGCCGTTTTTCCAGACCAGGGTCACATCGCACGAGGTAGTTGCCTGAAGTCTCCAAGCGAGGAAGGCGGAAATGGCATTGCTCCCGACTATACAAATCTTGGTTAGATGGCGGCTCATCGTGAAGATACCAGGAAAGAAAACCAGAGGGGGACGGTGGAACGGGCGATCATTCGGGCATCAAGAAAAGGGATCCCCAGGCGAAAGAGAGAAGGAAACAAAGACGGGGGGGGGGAGAAGGGGAAATCCGGGTGGGTAACAAACCTGATAAAATGCGCAGGCGCGGTGGAGGAGCCATTGTGATGGATCCAAAATTGGAAAGAAGCGATCCGCCCGCGCAAAAGAAAGGTGAACAATCGACCGTTCGGGGGGAGGGGGGGGGGGGGGGTCGGATTTTTGTTCTGCAGCGATTCCAGGCGCGCGATTGACGCAGCCTATCTCGGGAGTCAAAAATGCTATCTGCGGAATGAAGCCAGGACGGTGGATAAGAGAATCGAGGCGATTAAGATGGGAAACGCGGAGAGTGGTCGATGTCTTTTCTTCTTCCCTTCTTAATTAAACGAGAAAAAAAAAAGCAAGTAAAAACGTTAATAAGAGTCACAGGGAGAAGGAATCGAGACCCCGGTAGAAACGACAGCAACCAAACGAAAGTAAGGGGAATCACGAAGGGAAACTGATAATGTTCAGCCAAGGAGAAAAGGGACAAACGAAGGAGGGGAGTGGGAAGAAAGAGGGAGAAGAAAGGATGATAGATTAGGAGGGAAGATAGAAGTGTAGAGATAGGAAGAGAGAGAGAGACAGAACGAGAGAGAGAGAGAGAGAGAGAGTGAGAGAGAGAATGAGTAAGTGAAGGATGAAAAGAGAGAGATTAGATTGATGGATGGAGGAGTTGTTTGAAAGCAACCAAAGGTCAGCTCTCTGGCGGACTGCCCGAGCTAGGAATTGGGGTGAATATTTTATTATTCTAGTATTTTATTCGATTCTCTTCTATTTTATTTTCTCGATTATTCTGATTTTCTTGTATTGTTTTCTATCACTTCCCAAGATCGCCTCTGGCTCTCCAACCGTGATCCCCACCAGCGAAACGGAAACGGGAGTCTGCGAAAACGATCAATTTGATGGTATGAACATAATGGAACCGAAACAAAATAGATTAGAAATAGGAATAATCTATTTTCTGTCAATACTAAACTGTTCCCAAAACAGATCCGGAATGTGAATTGTTGTCTGTCAGGTATCTAAAATAGTCCAGAAGAAAAAAAAAACCCAACCACAGCATTAGCGTTCTACTATTAATATACCATGTATGATCATGGGTTGGTTTCTATTTTATTATTTATCCATGATTTGTACACGTTATGTTCCTACTATCTAGTTATAATAATAGTTTCTTATAGGAACTACACCAGGATATTCTGGCCGTTAGTTATGTCTGGAAGAACCATTCTCGTAATTCAAGGACAGAGGAGATGATCATAATTAGGCATACAAAGCATGCAGGAGTCAAAGCAACGTCGATCGTAGCGCCCAACGACTGAATCAGTATCTAGGTGATAGGTACCTACGGGGTACCTTAGGTACCTGGTACCTAGGTACGAACCGTATGAGAACCAACCAAGGACACAACCTAATATACCAGAGGGGGTAAACAGATGGAGAGACGGAAGAGAAAAAAAAAATAAAATAAAAACAGGTGGATTCGAATCAGAATTCGTGAGACACGACAACCAAACCCACCACCATCCACCAAAGCCAACCACAAAAGACCGACAGGCCCCTCCCCGAATCGGCGACATTTGCACATCGCTCCCCGTCATCAAGAAAGTAAGAAAGAAAGAAAGAACCACTCGGTCTCGCTCAGGCTCCACTTGACTGGTCGAGGGTCGAAAAAACCGGGATTTTCAAGACACGCTGCAATCGGGGTCGGGCAGATTGGCCCGGCAGCTAAGTACTAGGTAGCTAGCTACCTAGCTAGACTTGGAAGTTAGTAGTTAGCAGGTAAGTTAGTGTCCAACCCGGTGTGAGAGATGCTACTGGTTGGTGATGGATGATGGTGGGTAGGGAGGGGTGCCACCTGGACGCTGCGTTGACCACTGTCCACTGGTGTGCTAGACTGGTTTGAGTAACAAGCTAGAATGGATCCACCGAGAGAAGGATGATAATAATCATTGGGAAAAAAAAAAGAAGGAAAGAAAGGAATCAGGCTGCTTGCGAAAGGAACGATTTTCTTCTCCGCTTTGGTAAATGAGAGCCCAGTATGTCATCATGTCATGACTGGAGTGTTCTGGGGTAATGGGTAGAATTCTTGTCCCGCCTTGGTCTGGACATGCGGGCCATTGTCATGTTGTCAAACGATCATGTCTTGTTCTATTGGATTGTGTGACTGACGGTCTGCCATCAGCCGACTCCTCGACAGAAAAACGAGTGTCATCAAGATGGAAGAAAGATAACAGAAAAAGAAGGGAAAGAAGGAGAAGAAAGAACCAGGTAGTACAGCTGAATCACCCACCGTTGGCCTATTCTTTGTCCCTACATTATCCACCTGCCCAACCACAATCATCAACAGAGAAAGAGAATGAGAATATGCGATCAGATAGAACATTCTTCTTCAGCCTCCCCACCAGCATACCACCCGTTCGCCCAGTAAGGATCAATACCCACGGTAAGATGTCACCGGTTCAATCCTACGTTGTTTGCAGAGCACGCAAGCAGTTTGACCCAAGACGGTTCCAGTCTCTTTCCAACCCATCCAGACCCATCATCGATTTTATCAACCGTGTAAAGCGGAATTCTAAATCCAACCCAATCTAAACCGTTCCCACCGATTTTATTCTCCGATATCAATCGGCCAGTCCGACCGCTTGGAGATCGAGATAGAAGTATGCAGCAAAACTTTATTCTGCCTCTTTGGACGGAGATCAAATCCTACCCACGCGCCCGCACGGATGGCTGAACTCTCAGCATCCTCATCGTCAGCACCATCATCCCCGGCGGTATGGATGAAACGGCAAACGGTCTGAACCCAGCGGAGTGGCTGATGGCTGCGTTTGGAATAGATTAAGGGGAGAGGTCACGGCCCGTTTATATGGGACAGCCGATACATATATGACTAGCCACTTCAGAAGTGTAGAAAGGTATCCCTAGCTGGGGATAATTCTACAGCCTCCAAACCATACATTCTGTATGGAATACTCAGAATGTATGGAATACTCTGTCGCCGAGTCCTTGAAAGCACCCCTGTAAACACAAATCAGAATAAAAAATAATAAAAAATAGAAAAATACCAGACCATCGACGAATCCATGGTCCAGACCTCTCGAGGAGGACAAGTGGGCCGAATCCCTTCCTTGGTGGTGTGGGTCATAAGCAAATCACATTATCGCGTCCGCTTGTTCCTGTTTCTATCTATGGGTATCAGCAGTGGGGGTCTGGAAAAGGACTCTTCCAATAATTGAAGACGAACGGATCAAAAACCCCATTATATTACTTAATCGGGCGATCCTGTTTCAGTTTTTGATTTTCTTTTTTTTTTTTTCTTCCTTCTCCTTCCAGCTTCAAAACCGGCGCGGTATTGACTGTCTATACCCGTATGCGGTGTACACGGTATAATAATTTTTTTATGCTCGACGGTTGCAGCTTGTCCAATGTCCACTGTTAAACTGACGGAAACTCTTGAAAATGAACAGTTGTTCTCATCGCTTATCCACTTCTACGGCCGTGCCTGCATTCGGCTGTGTTGGCAGTTGGCACAAAGATCCACTGTCAGTCTGCTGACCGTTCGCGTCCGTCGCATCTGCCAAAGTTGCCTCGCTCCTTGGGAGTCGTCAACCCTAGACAGCAGAACATCAATCAATCTACCAGTGACCAAGGGAGAGAAGGGCCCCACCACGATCGATCTGGACTGGCCCCTGGGCGAGGGAGTTTTAATTTCATGTATTCCCCAGGTACATAGGGAGTATTTCTATACCTTTACATCATGAGCTCACTCCAAATCAAGCTCCCGATGATAATTGTCGGAATAAGCTACCATTCATAATTTTATCTGTACAGCTTCAATGCCGTCAGTGATCACCTCTCCAAAGAAGACTAAGGAAGCAAAAAACAAGAAAGAAAGGGAAACTAAAGGAGATCAACGCCCCAAGTTTCTACCTCCTAACCCGAAACTGTTTAGGGCGACTCCGTGGTGCCATGAAGGTGATGCAATGTGTCTGTAGATCGACCCAATGATTACACTATCTTGACCTCAGAGCCTTGCCGATTGTTACTCGACGCGGACCCTCAAGCCAGTGGTTTTTGCCGAATCGGGGACGGAAGAAGAATCACCGTCAACGCAGAACCCTGATTGAACTGATTCAGAGACTGAGACCGGCGTGGTGATGACTAACATGCCTAACCCGGTGTGTTTCCTTGTCGGGTTAGGATGCGACCGTCAATGGCATTATCGCATTGGGTTTACAGTATGGAGTACGCATACAAATATGATAATATCAAGTCAAATCATCATCATAATTATAATAATAATAACTGAATCAGCTTACCATACCTCGATAGGTACTAACAACTCCACCGCGTCCGACCCCGTTCCTTCTCCTCCGTAATAAAGTCAGCATAATAGTAGTCACCGCATCTATCCGAATCCGGAGCCCTCACCATCCGCAATCCAAAGAATTCCACTGCCTACCCCATATTCTTTACTTTTCTTTGCTCTCCTTCATTCTCATCCCTTCAATTTGATATTATCTTTTTTATAACTTCCCTTCGAATGCGCATAGAAAGGTACCTAATACACCAATCAGAATGGCTGGATTGCGTTTCCTCGTTGCGCGCAGATCAAGTCGATCTTTGCTCCTATCGGGCTGGACCCTGAGGAGATGATCGCTGTGCGGCGCATATCCTAACTTCGAACTATGGGGTACACTGGAGTTTCGAATGTACGGAGAAGGAATGGGAGTTGTCTGCCGTACCGGATCACCACTAGAAGCCCTTTCAGAAGTCCTTTTCCCAGATCCTAGAGCCAACCAACCACCTAGCAGACAATGGCGGTCCTCTTTGTATAGACCGTGAATTGTATAATACCGGATAATCCGACGACTGGTATCTTTTGTACACGCTGTGTTTCATACTTCCAGCCCCCGTGTCACTTGTCCTTGTGTAAAAATCTCTTGGTGCAATGAACCGAGGCTCCTGATCTAGTAGATCTACGCTCAAGTTTACTTTGATATGCTACCATATTCCAGGTAGCTGAAGCAGCCAGTGTAGTACCCACGTAATCATGAGAATCAGGTCTACTATACCAATACTCAATTGCACCCTATCAAATGTGGACCAGTAAAGAAATAAATGTCAAAGACCCGCAGCGCAAACAATAAGAGAACGCTCCAAACAACGGAAATCCTCTGCATGGCAAGTAGGATGCTGACTTAGACTCCAGACAGACAGATCAAACCATAACTGATGCTAGCTTCGAATAAGAATACCAGCAGCGACAGCACCATCATACACTGGCGCCTTTCGAGTATCTGCGCTTGACCGAGTCTGGCTTGTTTCCGATGTGTGTTGACTCCAGAAGTCGTGTACCCATGGCACGCTGTATACGTGTTGTTTTTGAGCTGCTCGTCATCCTTGTAACAAAATGTCAAGTGCCAACCCTTCGATCCTCTCCGGCCTTGCCGTTGATAGTGGTGGTTTTGTGGTGCTTGGACCTACAGTGTAGATGGGAGAAACTATCAGCCACCACCGCCGCAGCAAACAAGCAGGAACTCCGATGAGCAATACCGTCTCTCACCTGATCAATACCGCCCGCGGATAAAGTTTCATATCTCGCGCTTCTTGATATGCCAGAGCCACCATATTTCTCAAGTCGGCTGGATTATCCGGCAGCGTGTTCCTGCAGAAGTAGTACTTGACCATGTTGACTGTAGACATGTTGGGAGAAGTCAAAACGTGGTCCTCCCAATTGCAATGGTGTAGAGATGTTTTAGAACAAAAGCCGGGGCAGCACACGTCTCATGAGGGCATTCTATATTCACGACGGCGTCCACGTAGGGGTGCATTGGCGGTCCCCTAACTTGACTACGGGGTGCCAACATCTAGCTTTTCTGCGCGCGCCAACGCCAAATGCAAAATGGGCGAGTCGCCTGCTGATCGCTGCCCTATGCCACAGCTCTCGACGAGTAAGGGAGCTTAGGATCTGTTTCAACTCAAGCCCAGTCAAGTCCTGATAGATCGCGTCAAAGAATCCTAGCGCCCTGAGGATAAGGAAGTCCATGATTGGCCATGATGATCATGGCAAAAACGCCTCTGGAATCAATGAAAGCTGAATAAGATACATGATCTAGTACTGAGCTGGCTTTGAAGAAAGGTAAACACATGTTTTTCTTGGACCTTCTGTATATGATCCCGCCTAGTGCTTGACAAAGAAACACCGAGTCTTAATTTTCTTGGATTTACTTGAGATGCAGACCATCAGCATATCATTCATCCAAAGTTCTGGCTACCATGGATGGCCCGTACCAGTACCAGACACCCAGTGTGTAATTTATACTATAAGGTATTGTTCAGGAAAAGCTATGGAATATTTATATTCCGAGGCCATTCTCGATGCGATTTAAATAAAAAGTATAAACAAGCTATCATAATTCCATCAGCTGAAGATTGCCAACTCAGGTGAGGCTGAGCAAATGCTCACACCACTAGATCCTTATGACGTTGTGGCTTTTCCCCAAATGTGATATGTGATACGGCAGCGGAACTTGCATGGCATGTATGCAGACTGAGAGATCGTCAGCTTTGCGCAGGAAGGGCATGCATCTTGTTATGAGTCTGTGATATATGCCATGAGGGCTGTTGAGATCTGAGGGTTCTTAGCATGGCATGCTTGTTTTGATGGTAATGAGTAGTGTGTCTGTTAGTTTCTGAGGACCTCGCTGATATGCTCACGCCTATCTATCTATATGTTTGGAGATGTAATGGAGTAGATTACTCCTCTGCAGACTGTACACTTGTTAAACACCACCTGTCTAATTTCAAGCCAATCAAATTAGATTGATAGTCAGTTCCGTCCGTGCCTGGGTACAATCTCCACTTCTACCTAAGTACCTAGATACTCAAGTGTGGAGTGTTATACCAAAGAATTAGTAGCCTCAACCTATGATCAAGCGAAGTACTCCATACTCTCTATCCAATCAATAAATTATAATCACAGCAAACTGACAGAGAAACCCAAACAAAGAAAAAAAGATCCAATCCCTATCAAGCCCACACCACCATCATCAACCAAGCAAACACAAGCAACAAGCAAGCACCAAGTAAGCAGTAAGATTGATCTTCTCACCTATATCTCAAATCAAACACGGGCTTAGCCGGACAGTCTGAAATTCAAAGTGACACTGGTACACTGGGTTACTTTCAAGAGGCTTGTCCACTGGGCCGAAGTGGGATTCTTTACCCTCTGTCCTTGCTTATTTTCCTGAAGAGCATATTCGTTCATACCGCACATTCCTAGACAGTTACTCTAATTCCCAGAGACTTATGTAGACCACTGACTTTCTCTGTGAGAAGTAACCACCGGTGCCTTCAATGCCAATTTGTATGTACCTGCGCTCAATCTGGTGACCTAGCCAGTGAATATAGAGTCCGTGGAACACCACAAAGAGATTCTATAGCTTTCTTGTCTTCTATATTGTTTCCCTCTCTCTCCGTGGAGGTGAGCCCCAGACATCCCGATACCTTACACCTCACAGCAGCGGATGTGACTAGCTTCATACTTAACTTCATGAGCTTTTCAGAGCCTGCAATGTCTTGATGGGCAATCCTACAGGGTTGTAACCCGCAGGCGGTCAGTCAAGCTATCACTATCGCTATCATGTTGAATGGCCAGACAGTGTCAGACACTGACTACCTAAGATACCTAAGCTAGACCTCGCTGTTGTCTTTGACATCACTAACCAAGCATGCATGGTGTGGTGAACTTAGGTCAGATATCATACTTACATGTACATCTCCAATATGAAGTATGGGTTTCTTACTACGTACGACTAAACGATCCTTCTTCTTCTTCATTCAAGCAAGCCCAAGACCCGGAAAGCCCAAGGAGCTAGATTTATGGCACTCACTCCAACGTGATTCACTACAACCAAGCTGGATTAGCGCATTAGTCTCTTGCCGCGAGTGCAGTGTTTTCTCTACCCTTTCTAACTCCAGTCGGAGACTGTATCTGTGAAATTGCCATGCCCTATAACCACTGGGCGGACGAACCACATGGTTGATCATCACCGATAACGACTACGTTATCCCTGACGACTCTTCTGGACAACTCTCGTCTCTAAAGTCGCCCTCTCGTTTAACAATATTACACCAGAGATAAGCGAAGGCCAAACCACGAGGCGAGTAGTGACTCGGTCCCGAATGCGAGTGAGGTGTATGCGGGAAGTAGAAGGAGACTCGCATCTACAGAGCCAGCTTGGACAAGCATCGGGCAATCGACAGGTAGAGCGAGGCAAGGGGAACAGGAACACGTGATATGGTTTTGTATAATTTTCCCAGGATGGGCATTAAGACCAATCTTTTGGTATTATACAGGTTATGGGTTCCTACTGCATTGATCTAAGTTGATCTACCGAGACAAACTGCCGAATCATTGATAATACACCTAAGACTACCATGAGCACTGGCCCTGGACCGTGCCTCATTACAACGACAACGGGAGACAAACTTTAACCGAGCCATCACGCCAAAACAAACGAAAAGGAAAAACTAGAACGGGGACTGCAAAATGAAACGTAGACAGATTTCGCCAGATACAATCTTGAGATATTAACCGGTTTTCTAAGCCATGTAGGTGCTGGAGTCGACGCCGCCCTCGGGGTATTCACTGGTATCGTTAGTTTCTGGTAAGCTATATCAATTTGATAGGAGGTACATACGGAAGGGCAACTTCGAATCGCTTCTCGATATCCTTGAGCACCTTCTCGTCGTCGTCGTTGCTGACGAAGGAGATCGACAGACCCTTCGTACCGAAACGACCGGCACGACCGACACGGTGCAGGTAGGAGTCGGCGTCCGCGGGCATGTCGTAGTTGATGGCAAGGTTGATCCGCTCGATATCGATACCACGGCCGAACACGTCGGTGGCCACACAGATACGCTTGTTGAACTCCTTGAACTCCTTGTAGCGTTTGATACTGCAAACTATTAGCCAGATCGTCCTCGCTTATCCGACTAGAAATACTCACCGCTCCTCCTGGCTCACACCCGAGTGCACGGCGATACTGGGGAAGTTGCACTCGCGCAGCAGCTTGTCCAGCTCGTTCGCACGAAGGGTGCTCTTGACGAAGATGATGACCTGGTTGAACTCGAGGTTATCCAAGAGCTCGTTCAGCTTCCGGTTCTTCTCCGCCTCGCTCAGCTTGATGTAGTATTGCTGCAGACCGTGCAGCGTGAGCTTGGTGTCATCGTCGACGTAGACCTCGAGGGGGTTGCGCATGAACTTCTTGCAGATAGGTCGGACGTCCTGCGACAGGGTGGCGCTGAACATCATGACCTGCTTGTCGGCAGGAGTGGCGCGGAAGATCTCCTGAACATCGCGGCGCATGTCTGAAGGAGAACGCAACGGTTAGACACGCGAAGTCGCACTCGCAAGAAATACAAACTCACCGATCTGGTCCAGCATCTTATCACATTCGTCAAGGACGAACGCCTTGACATTGCGCAAGGAGAGCTTCTTATCGCGAACCAACGCATTCAGACGACCGGGGGTACCGACAACGATGTTGGGATAAGAGTCCTTGTTCGACAGGACCTCCACGTCCTTCTGGATGGGGGTACCACCGTAGAAAACGGCCGTCTTCACATCGGGCAGGTACTTGCTGAATCGAGCGTACTCGTTCTTGATCTGATAGGCCAGTTCACGGGTGTGGCACATGACCAGGATAGAGCACTCGCCCGGCACGGGCTCCAGCTGGTGAAGGGTGGTCAGGACGAAGACCGCGGTCTTACCGAGACCGGACTTCGCCTGACAGAGAACATCGACATTCAGGATGGCGGTGGGAATGCAGACTTGCTGGACTGTGGTAAGGCGAAATGTTATGTTAGACTTGCACTCGATCCATAACAGCTGAAAATCAAAAAGCAATCGCGTCGCCAAGTCCGTCCATCCCCCGAGTGATCGATCAGGCGAACAAGATGCGGTGTCTGCACTCAACCATCAAAAAAACAAGATGATATCGATTAGGCAGCCAATCATGCAGCACGCGATGATTCTATCGCGAGCTCGCTGCTGACGGCACGAGGACGTCTACCGTCTAGGAAAAAAGTAGAAGATCTCGTCTGAAGGGATCTTTGTCCTGACTGGCCCGACGTGGCTACAGGTCTTTGAACCTGGAAGTCTTGGCGAAACCGGTCTCACGGTCATTTGCCATGGCAAAAGCAACAGACGGTAGTCGCAGGAGCGTGTGCCGCGACCCACGCAGCGCGACTAGTCTTGTGACATCCCGAGCAGACATCCTCATGCCGTCCACAGGTTCGGATAAAACGCGTGGCTCAAAAGAATAAAGCGACTATTGATTTTTTTCCCCGCGGAGATGGACGGACGTTGGAACATGGAGCAATGGAGGGAGGCTTGTGAGAAAGAACTATGTGATGAACTAACCCTCCGATGGATGTTCGAAACCGCAATCGGTGATGGCACGTAGGAGTTCTCCTTTGAGCAGGAAGTCGCGGAAACCGGTCGAATGGATACCGACATAGCTACCCTTCTTGTCAGGACGGCCAGTCACCGTCAGATCGCCCTTCTTGTCTTCTCCATTGGCGGCGGGAGCGGCCGCGGTGGTGGTGGCCGCCGCCGCGTCGGTGGTCTGGAGCTCCTCGTCGGAGTAATCGATGAGATCTTCCTCGTGAGACATGTTGGCGAAAGTTGTTACAATGGCACGGGGGTTTTAAAAAACTCTAACGGTCGCGGCGCGTCTTTTGCCAAGGCAACAGGAAGCTTGGAAGTTAGAGGTCGAAATCGAAGCAGACTTGGAAAAATTAGAAAAATCCAACTGGTTGGACAGAAATGACCACAAGAACACGATTTCCAATCCGTCTGTGATGAATTGAACGGTCGTTGAGGTCGGGATGAGAGGCGTCAGGAAGGCGATGGAGATGGAAAGAAAGATTGCAGGTTCGCGAGGGATGGGCGGAGAGGCTGAGTCCGGCGTGATCACGTGCACAGGTGGATTAGTCACGCTGTCTCTTATGGGTTTAGCGGCGATTCCAGCAAGCTCTGCCAGCTTTCGATCTATCGTCTCTCCACCAACATGACGACAATAATAGCTCATTGGATCTTTTGGTCAACGGGGTCCTGTCAGAGGTCTTGGGCCAGAGACACTCTACACAATGGCCAAACCAAAGGCGAAGAAAGCCAACACAGGCGGCGCAAACAGTCACATTCGGGCTAGACTGGACTATCTAAACAAAGCCGCTGCCTTTCTGCAGTCAACAGCTCAGCTACCAGGACCACCAGCCAGAGGCACTCCCAACGACCACAATGAGGACGACATGGACCTATCCCCCAATGCAGCACGTGTTGTCCCCCAGATCACCGGCGTCCTCACCGACCAAAACCCCGCAAATAGCCACAAGACTACTAGTACTACTACTACTACTACTACCCCTCAGCATTTAACCCAACTCTCCCGCAACTACATCTCCCAAATGCGCGGTGTCTCCCTAAAGACCCGAACCCGGCTCCCCATCGACGTCAAACGATCGTTTTGCAAGCGCTGCGACACAATCCTCACCCCAGGAATCACCAGCACACAGGAGATCCAAAACGCCAGCCGGGACCGCCGCAAGCCGTGGGCGGACGTGCGCGTCGTCCGCTGCGGCACCTGTCAAACGGAAAAGCGCTTCCCTCAAACGGAGAAGCGTAGCCGGAAACTACCAGACCGTCGGAAGGACAAGGAACAGAAGCAGGTCCATGTCGTCGACGAATCTTGATTTCGGACCCTCCTTCGGCAAAATCGAAAAATAAATAAATAAATGAATATCAATATTTATTTCGACGCTATTATTTATTTATTCTTGATTGTCGCCCCCACACCCCATCTAGCAACCGCGCTTGGACCTGGCCATATGACTTGGGCTCGGGGAGGACAAGCGTCTATCACCCTGCTAGGGTTCGGCAACAGGGAGGGTACCTGCCTCCCACCCTCCATCTGAGGCCTCCCTGCGTCAGTGTGGTGGACATGGATCGTACTGTTGGGGGGAGTCGATCTTGAATCTCATTGGCACACTCTTTCAGTCAACATGAAACGCCGATTTGCGGGTTTTTTACTCTGTTGGAAAGGGACTCACGCAGGTCCAACAATCCTAATAATCCCGTTCGCCACGCGATCGGCTCGACATCGCCAGCCCGCCAGGCCGGGGGGAGGGGTCATGTGTTACTACAATTGGATTTTATGGTGTGCGAGAGAAAGCCCGAAAGCCAGACCTGAGGGATTATCACCCCACCGAAGGGGATGATTGGAAAGCATATGCGGGGTCCCCTTTTCAGCCCCGGTAGATGGGAGCGGGAAAAAGGATAAAAAGAAAAAGGGCAAAAAAAGACAAAAATATAACCCTTGTTCCCTACAACGTCAGATACCGGATTTTGACATCATATGCGAATGCTACCCCGGACAAGGCTGTCGGCGGGGCCATTCGGAAACTAGAAGTATCAAGGCTGTTCTAGGGGGCTCACTGGCGTGTAGGATAGCCCGAACTAAAAGGGAAAGGAAAAAGCATGGGGTAACCTTGGGAGACATGTGCAGGGCAGGCTCAGCCATACTTCCGCTTACCACGATATATTCGGTACGGACGTGGTCTGTCGGAGATAAAAAAAGAAATAGACAGGGTCACACCACTGGTGTTTGAAGAATTGCAGTACATCAAAACACAAATTGCAGCCTGAGGGGAATCGCAACTTGAGAGGAGACAATAAGTGGAGGACTTCATAAAGCAAGACGTGGTTCTCGTGAGACATAATAATCAAGTCGCCGGACCTACGTAATCCAGGCCCAGAACAAACGAACATATACCAGACATAAAAAATAATAGTACTAAAAAAGCAAACGAAAGAAGGGAGGACTCCAGCGCTAGAAACACCATGTTCTTCCCATCCAAGCCCGGTGGTTCCAAAGATCGCAAACGGCCGCGAGGCACTCAGACCCATCTTTAACAAAGGCGCTTGAAACACATAAAAAAGCAATAACGAGATCGTAAATCTTCCGAATCATCTCACCATGCGTGAGCGTGAGCATTAGGTCTGAAGTGGACGCACGCTGCCAGAGAAAGCCGCATGCCGTCGTAATAAAACAGAGTCCGTGAGGATACATTTGGTATATGTTTTTTTTTTGTTGTTTTGCGGTTGTCATGCCATCCAACCATCCGTCGTAATTTTTTTTTTTCGTGTTTCATTTCTGGTTGTTCCAGGTTTTCCATCGTATGTTACTGGTCACATTGCACGGAATGTTCAGATCGTCGAAGCCGTAGTGAAGATGGTATCGATCGTGTCGATCCCGTTGTGGCGGTCAAGGAGAGAAAGCGGAGAAAGAGAAGTGGTCAAGGGGTGAGCGGAGCGCCTCCAGGGCGAGAGAATAGCGGTAAAAGGAAAAAGCAATCGACCGAGTGCATGGACAATGTGCGGCACGGGTTGTCGTGCATATTCCAGAGGATATGTATGTCGTATGTCGGAGAGGTAGTGTGGGGAAGAGGGTCGGGAGCGAAGAATCATCGTCGGCGACGGGCGGCGGCTTGGTCAAGACGTTGGTCGAGACCTTCGATCCGCGCGCGATACGCTTTCACGATTTCTCGTATATGTCCGATTTTAGCCAGCTCGTTCTCCAGGTCGTCGACAGACGCCAGGATGGCTCGCGTGCGGGCGATTTCGGCGTCGGCGTTCTGAATGACATTTCCGGCGCGATCGTAGGTGTTTTGGATGGATAGTTGCATCTGCTCCTCCAGCTGGTGGGTATTAGATTCTGATCAGAATGGAGGGGGGAATATGACGGGCAGTTGTGGCACACAGGGAAACCCGCGCGGAACTTGCGACGGAGAGGTTGACGAGAGGGATGGATATGGCGAGAGAGGGAAGAAAGCCGGATTACAGAAGGGAAAGGGAGAGGAAGGACATACAAAGTCGATGCGACTCCGAATCTGCTCTTGTAAGCCATCCAACTGATGCGACAGGGCGCGCAAGCTCATGGGATCCAGAAGTAATCGTCCCTGACTGCTGGCGGCGCTGGCGGCGCTGGTGGCGCGCGAACTGGAATTGCTGGTTCGCCCGGTGCCTCTGCCTCTGGGACCCCCATTGCCGACATGGCCACTCTGCAGGGCGAGCTGTTGTTGCTGGCGGAGGATCTGGATCTCGGAGGAGGTGAGACCAAGCGAGGTGTCGGGAATCGAGGCTGATACGGACATTTGGTTCCGGCAGAGACATGCTCCAACCGCGACGGGGAGTCTAGCAAGCGCCGGTCGAACTCGATGTGTAGAGACAGAACGGACCGAAGGTCATGATGATAGCCCACGGACACCAGCGAGGGAGGAAGAAGGCGAAGGGAGGAGAAGGTGAGGAGAAGAGGAGACGGGAGAGAGAAGGGGGGAGATCAGGTGTGTGGGGGGGGTGTCTGTCTTCCCGCTTGTGATTATTTTCTTTTTCTTTTTCTTTTCTTTCGTTCCTTTCTTTCGGTTTCTTTAATTTATGAATTTTCGAAAGAAGATCGACCACGAATTCCCATCCCAAGGGTCAGGCTGTCATTGGGAAAGGGAAATGGGGGGAGAGAGAGATGAGAGGGGAAAAGGCCGACGAAGGAGGGATGATGGTGGGAGACGAACAAGCCCGATTGAGGAAACGGATTGTCGGCGCCAACCAAAGTCAAAATCCTGGTTGATCCAAGGCCGTCAATTATCAGAAGAAGGATTTGTCATGGGTCCGAATCGAATGCGACCAGACTAACCAACAGAGTCCAGAGGGGGGTTACACTGGGAGATCTGACTATCAAATGAAGGGCGCGAGAGGTCCGAGTTGTCTCTGATGAGAGGGAGACAATGGATTGATCGGAGAAAGAATGCGAACAAAAACAAGCAATAGAATAGGAGAGAGAAGAAGAGGAAGAAGGAAAGAAGAGAAGGAAAGAAGAGAAGGAAAGAAGTATGAAGAGGAGAGATGTTGGTGATGCGGAGATGAGGAGAATCTGCAGTGTAGAAGAAGAATTGGTCTTGAATGATTCCAGAAGATAGGTATATATGTCTTTCCTAGAATACAGGATCAAACTAAAGGATAATCGCATTCATTTGATGGAGAGATCCAGTGGTTGTAGCGTCGGAATATGTGATGATCATGTTTGATAGCAGATCATTTCCTGCCATTTCTCTCTCTCTCTCTTTCTCTCTCCGCTCTTCTTCTTCTCCTCCTCACTCTCTCCAACCAACATCACCCGTTCAGGATCCACTTCGTCCTCCCTTCAAATCCAGTCTCCCCATTCTTTTCTCTTATTTATCCTCTTGTCAACTCTGGACCCTCTCGATCCTTCCATTGATTCGACTGATTCGACGGATTCAACCTCCGATCGACTGCGCGAACCCCAACGGTCCGTCCGCCGCAATTGCGAACGCCTTTGCTCCACCGATCAAGCCATCCCTCCGTCAATTGAAAGTCTTCAGTCTTCCCCACTAGGAAAAGAATCCAGAATCTCCACAACCCAGTTCAGAAATCCCGCTGCCCAACTCGTGAGGCTGGGGCTCTGCGACCGCGCCGTGTCGCCTTGATTGGGCTGGAAGCTCCCGCCGCACCTCCCAGAGACGATCCCCGAACCTGGCGAGGCCAATCCCGGTGCGCATCTGCCTCTACTGCCTGCACCAACCGTCCGGTGTCCGCTCTGGACCTGTGAGTTCGATCCACTCATCTGACTCCCCGCTCGACGGTGATTCCCACCGGCTGAGTAGCGTCGTTCGTCGTTGGGTCGCTGCAGCAAGTCAGACAGTGGACTACACCGCAACCCCACTTCCCTCTTTTCTATCCCCTCTCTCTGCCCCTCCTTCCGGGAAAGCGGCCGACAAGAACAAACGTACGGATTGACGGCTGGAGCTGACGGCTAACGGGTCTCGGATTGGTACAGGTGTAAACCAATCATCGATCGTATCACGACTATCTTTCTGCACCTACTATCCCTCCACGATATCCAAGACGTCAACAGAACAAAACACCCTCAACGAGAAACGAACAAACAAACCACCACAATGCCCAAAGACAACCTCTCCATGAACCCCGCCATGGCGCAGCGGAAAGCCGAAAAACAAAAGCAGCTCAAAAAGAGCAAAGCCGAGGCCCAAGCCCGCCGCAACGAGAAGCTCGGCCGCCGCAACCCAGACCGCATCCAGCGCCAAATCGACGACATCAAAGCGACGGAAGAATCAGGCCAGAAACTGCGCCCCCGCGACCAGCAACTCCTCGAGGCGCTACAGCGCGATCTGCGAGCTGTCCAGAAAGCCCGCGAGGCGCTAGGCGAGCAGGCTCCTAAATTCGACGCCGGACGGGGTGGTGGTGGTGGTGGTCGAGGTGGCGGGTCATTCCGTGGTCGCGGCCGCGGCGACAGCAGCCGCGGCGGTGTCTTGGGAAAGCGAAGAAGAGACGAACACGGGCAATTCGTCAACGACGACGGCGACAGCAGCTCCACCGACGAAGAAGTACGGCGCATTCCCATGCCACGCGATACACCCCCACCCATCCCCAAAGAATACCAACGACGACAAGGACGTGCCAACAACGACATCGGTGGAGGGGCACAAGGCCCCCACGCCCTCCCATCCAAACCATCCACAGCCGAACCCCCCAAAACAGTCTACGAAGCCAAACCCGAGATCCGCAACCTCCGCCAAGAAGCCACGAAATTGTTCGTCCCTGCCGCCGTGCGCACAAAGCAGGATTCTATCCGTGGGCAGGGGAAGCTCCTCGAACCGGAGGAGATGGACCGGTTGGAACAGGCGGGGTATCAGGCCGGTCCGGGGAATCAACCTGCCGCAGGAGCAGGCGACAAAGGCGAAGATAAAGGAGAAGGAGACAATGAAAATGAGGATGAGGTCCAGAAAAGGCTACAGGAAGAGGAAAGGCGATTTAATCAGGAGTTGAGATCTGTGCAGATCGAGGAGGTGGAGGATGAGGAGGCTTAACTTCCTTTCTTCATGATTGATTGATTGGTTGATCACGGTATGTATGAATATGATATCATTTGTATACTAGGAATTTGACAATGCCTACCTTACTCCTCCTTTTACTTCTGTTATGATATCGTTAGTGTGCGTAGACTGCTACCTTGAAAGCCACTCACTGTCTTACGCAGTTTTACAAAGATAAATGTAAAAGATAGTGCAAATGGTTGAAATAGTATTCCATGACCCTATTACAAAACTCCCCAGAGAGCCAAAAAGAAAAGAAAAAGAAAGGGGAACTCCAAAACCTGTATGTACATATAGTACTTGAGAATCCCTCATACTCCAAACACCAGAAGATAAGATCCAGCCGACGCCATCTCACACAGAGGAGGAAGCAAAACGGAAAGAAAGAGATGGAAAGGGAGAAGAAGGGGGACCGGGAAAACTCCGATAAGTAATCTAGGAGAGGGGATAAAAGGAAATGAAAGGCAACGAGTGACTAGGGTTAGAAAAGCTGTGAAGAGGGGGGAAAGGGGAAGGTGGACATTTCGGGCGTGAAAACACAAAGGAAATTGGGGAAGAAGAGAAGAATAGACGAGTATTCTCCGTGCGAAGTATTCGACAGATGCAACGCAGAAAACGAAATATGCTCCATCCAATGACTAGCATGGTGTTGCTTGCGGTCTTTTTCGAATATGCACACCACCGGGCTCCCGTAACTCCAGAAAATATGGCGATTATTAGTAGGTATGTATGGTGTTTCAAAAAGCATTCTGCCAACTAGATACCCAAAAGGTAGGGATCTCTTCGGATGTCTGCTGCAGATGCAGCTGCTTCCGCGGGTCAACCGCAAGGGATGAGCAGTAGATTAATCAAATATCGGCGACGAGATAGAAACGAAGGAATAGAATGTCGGGATGACGAGAGCGGGCTGAGCTTTGACTACCTCAGGTTGCGGATGACCTTGCGACCACGCGCGAGGAAGGGGCTGGGCATCTCGTCTCGTTCGGGATCCCACACCGCAGGAGGGTCGCGGTCCACGGACTTCATGCTCGAACATGCCGTGGCCCGGGAGTCGCTGGCACACCGTTTGAGTTCGTCCATCGGACGTCCGCCGGCGCGCGCTTGAGCGAGCTCCACCAGGGTCCTGCCACCCATGTTCCGCTGCATCACGGCCTTGAACATCTCTTCGCCCCCGCCGTTGTTTTTCGAGGGTGGCTGTTTCGAGCCGCCGGATTTGCGGGTCGGAGATCCAGCATCGGCGGCGAGGTTCGCAGATGACGGGATCTTCGACAGTCGTCGGTGAGGCGACCTGGATTTGCTCTCCCTCTGGTGGGGCTCTGATTGATTGTGCCCTGCTGCCTGTGGCAACCGGGACGGGTTAGAGGGAAAGAGGGAGGGTTGGGTGCTGAGCTTTTGCATGAAAGCCGCCGTGTTCTGTCGCAGAAGAGGCCGGACCGGGGCCTTGAACGGATCGGGCTTCACCTTGGCGCGAGTCGGCGAGGGCAGGTCAGGGATGTCATCTTCGTCGTCGGAGTATGCCAATGTCGGCTCCCACTTGGTTTTATGTCGCTCCGCATCGGCGAAGATATTCTTTCCCGTGTGAGCCCCCGACGTGCGGCGTGGGGAGAGAGAGAGCGATGCGATGGAGATCGGGGATGGCTCGGCCATTTGGACATCAACCGGAGACTCGACCATCGTCTTGGAGCGGTTCAAGGGCGTCCGCGTTTCCTTCTTGGGTCGCTTGTTCACGTTCGAAGTAGGGGACTCCATCGACACCTGGCTAACGTCGGTGCTGGACGGGAAATCCGTGTCATCGCTATTGCTGACGGAGGACTGAGATCGGCGACTGGACCGGAAACCAGACTCGTCCCGGATGCTGCTGTGGCTGCTGTGGCTGCTGTTTCTCCTTTGTTTCTCAACTTCGTGCGAGACGCGCTCCTGAACTTCGAGCTCAAATCTCTTGCGCAGCTTTTCCAGTTCATTGTGCACCTGGCGGTCAATCTCCAACCTCGCCTTGACTTCCCACTCCCGACGCACCGAGTTCTCGATGTCGTTCTTTATCTGCTGTTTTTCTTTCTCGAGCCTGCTATACGCTTGCTCGACGTCCCGGGCTTTTTGCAGGGCGCTTTCCTCGCGTCTCTTGAGCGTCCTGGCCAGGCTGACGACCTCCTTTTCCTTGCGCATCAGACGGATGACTGGCATGTTGATCAAGGTGGTCGTGTCGGGACGGTGATCGGGGTTGACGCGCAGGCAGCTCGCGATGATGTTCTTCAGCTCCGGGGAGTAGAAGTCCGGCAGGGGCGCAAACTTCCCTTCGCGGATGCGCTGGACCAGCTGGATGTGGGTCTTGGCGTTGAAAGGGGGCTCCCGTTGGCACAGCTCGTACATGATGCAACCCACCGCCCAGATGTCGGAGCGCAGGGTGTATTTCTCCGCAGCGCAGATCTCGGGTGACATGTAGAAGGGCGTACCCACGTAGGTGGATGCAAAGTCGTGGGAATTCATCAGCTTGGACAGCCCGAAATCACCGAGCTTGACCGAGTTGTCGCTGCCCAGGAAGATGTTCTCGGGCTTGAGGTCACGATGCAGGATGGTCATCTGCGCCTGTTTGCCTTTCAGACCCGACGGCTTGGGCACGGGACCCAGGACATTCGATCCGACTTCCACCGGGTCTGAACCATAGTGGCAGCGGTAGAGGGCCGTCACCAGCTGCGACAGAATCCGCCAGACAAACTCCTCTTCGGCATACTTGTTTGTCTTTTTCAGGTTCTTGATGACCATGCTGAGATCCCCACCGCCACAGTATTCCATGTACAGGTACAAGTCCTGGCTTGCCTTCAAGTGTTCTCGGTGGTAGTAGGCCACGATGTTCGGGTGACGGAGGGAACTGAGGATGTTGAACTCGGCGGTGAGCTGTTCCCGTTCTTTCTGGGACATCTTGATGTAGTTGATCTCCTTGCGACAGAGGATCTGGTTCGGGTCAGCTCGGGTCTGTTGGTCGGTGATATCTGAGAGCCTTACGAAGCCATCTGCCTTCCTCCTCACTTTGCGGATGATACCAAACGAACCACAGCCTGGACACAGAGAGCTCGTTAGTTCCCACAGGACAGCGACCTGCTAGAAAGGGGCCTGTGGTTACCAATCTTCTCCAACACCTCATACTTTTCTGCCTCTGCCAACGCAATTGCCATGGTGACTAAAGAGTGCAATTGAGGAGGCCAGCGGCAGGGAAATTAAGGGTCAATTCGAGGTCGCCAGGAGCGGAGGAGTCGGGGGGGAGGGAGATGAGATGAGGGAGGAGGGTTTAGATCATTTATGATCCGGACGTTGGGGATGAGTCGGACGCTGTTTAGGTTAGTAGATGTCGAAGACGAAGGTTGAAGATGGAGAGTACAGATGCAGGTTTAAAGAAGTTTGGCATTCTGTATGCACTGCCAGAGCAGCCGAATGTTTAGGCGGAGCTCGTTGCTGAGCAACGATGCGCTCCGTGGCTCTTATCCTATTATCGCAGGCGGTGAGGGTGGGCGGTGTATTCTGGGTTGCGATCATCCTCCAGAACAGTGCGTCACCGTGGTGCACTGGAAGTTAGTTGTCTGTAGCTTCATTGAGGTGCATGACCTCGAGGGATAGATACAGACATGAGGTTATTGATCCGATCCTCAATAAATGAGATATTCCTGGCGTACTGCAAGGACTCGGAGGTTGATCGGGGCAAAATCCGCGAATCGGTCTGCCCCACGTGATCGGCCTTATCGATAAAGCGCGCCCGCACTCAAGTCGCCTCTCGACATCATCGGCGATCAAAGAGAGAACGAGAAAGTTACAGCCGTTCTATTGCCGCTATGACAGATCGGAATGTTCTTCGCAAAGATCAGCTGGAAATCAGTCTAGTCAAGGAGAAGAAATTGATCAAGGAGGGCAACCTCAAGGATGATAACCCCCTGGATCTAAGCGAGCCGTTTGCGGAGCTCTGCAGCGCCTGTCGTAAGGGGGATCTTAAAGTTTGTCAAGAGAAGATCACCGAGGGGGTAAATATCAATGCCCGCGATCCCTACGACTACACCCCTTTGATCTTGGTAAGTCGGACTTTCTGGGTTTCCATCGACTACCCTGGTGTGTTTTTCTAACGGACACAGGCAAGTCTCTGTGGCCACTACGAGGTGGTCCGGTTGCTCCTGGAGTCCGGCGCGTTGTGTGAGCGAGATACTTTCCAAGGAGAACGGTACGGCGTCTCTGTCTGAATCGTCAAATGTCGCCCACTAAGACATCCTGCATACAGTTGCCTGTACAATGCGCTGAACGATCGCATCCGCAATTTACTCCTGGAATACGACTACTCCAAATCGACCGATCCCCTGCAGCCTCTCGCCGCCCATCTTGCTTCGTTGCTCACGCGAGAACAGCCCGTGACGTCCGACATTGTCGTCACCGCCGCCGATGAGTCGCTTCACCTACACAAGTTCGTCCTGGCTGCGCGATCGCCGTATTTCCGGAATAAGCTAGCGGCGGCCCCAGAGAGTCCTTCGGGGACTCTTCCGCCCACGATCCCGCCCCAAGCGTTCGGCATCGCGATCAAGTATCTGTACCTCGGAGAAGCGCCCCGCGACTTGAAAAGCGGACCGGGGACGGGGTTCACCGAGTCGGAAGTCTTCGAGGGGATCGACCGAGTCGCGCGCCACCTCGAGATCGACACCCTCCTAGACAGCATCATCGACAGCGGAGATCGACGGCTAGCCCGGCAGCGGCGATCAGCGGAAATCGCCAAAGGCCGGGACCAGCTGGAGACATGGTTCCGGGCGAACGTTCTGGGCAATAAACTGGAAGTGGAGGCGTCCGAAGCCAACAGCGTGAAATGGGACCGAGAGAACGCCATCTTTGCAGACATCCTACTCCAAGCCGACGAGCTCCCCGAGGATGCCGAACCCGGCAGCGAACCAAAATCCACACTCTTCCCCTGCCACCGGGCCATGCTCCTGCGCTCCGAATTCTTCAACACCATGTTCTCCAGCATGTTCCGCGAAGCCTACGTCAAAGACCACCTCCACATCGTCAACGTGGACTGCTCTCCGGAAGTCCTCGAAATCGTGCTCACCTTCCTCTACACCGAGCGAGCCGACTTCTCCCTCGACGTAGCAGTCGACGTCCTCTTCGCATCAGACATGCTCTTCATCGAGAAGCTCAAAACCAAAGCCGCGGTCGTAATCAGCACCCTCGGCAGCGGCAACCTGTCACAGTCCGAAGCCGCAAAGACGCGGGGCGGCACAAAAGAAGAAGAAGAGCTAGACATCTACGGCATCATCCGCGCCGCATGGATGACGCGCGTCCAGCGTCTGGAAGAGTTCGCAGCGCGCTATCTCGCCTACCGCCTCGAAGCACACATCGACTCGCCCGAGTTCGCGGAACTCATCGAGGAGTCTGCGTCGCGCATCAAGGCCCGTCAAGAAACCGACTCCATCGAACTGCTAGACGACATCCGGTTCTACCTCAACGAGCGCTTCCGCCTGCGCTTTGACGACGCAGGACTGGGCGAAATGATGCGTAACGCGGCGCAGCAGCCGCAGAAAGGACCCCCCGCCGGCGCGGACGGCACCGAGAAGGAGCTCGAGAAGGTCACCAACGGCATCGACACGATCGATCTATCCAAGGTAGCTGCGCCGGCGTCCCACCCGGACAGGGACCACCACGCCCCTGTGATCCGGACGCTGGACGGCGAAATCGCCGGCGACGAGTTCGACAAGGACGCTGCTAACTATCAGATTCTGATGGCCAAGCTGGATGCTATTCTGGAAGACCTGAATCTGGAGGCGTAGCTGGATAGGTGGCAGGTGATGAGTTATGAGATATGCAGGTATATACGCATGCCATGTTATACATAAAATATACATATATACAATCTGAATCCCGTCAAACTTATTGTGAAATAGAAATCTCCCATGAGCACCACCCTTCTACCTAAGACCACTTGGTGGAGGTTCTTTGCCTGAAGAGCTGTGCATGGAGCTGGGTACCTTGCATATCATAAAAAATAAATTAATTCATAATAGCGCGGTGCAATTCTACTTACCTAATAGTTATTTTCTAGTACTCAAAGTTTATAGACAAGGTCAGAATAAGTGGATTGTAAATCAAGATAGACTACTCAACACAACCCACAATTGGATAGAAAAGAAGTATACAATCTAACAGATGATAAATATGGAACTGGGGATGGAAACGCGTCCATGAAAATGATGATATTCAGAGCCACGGAATAGCTTACTCTATTTTATTGAAATACAAACAGGCAAATGCCAAGCGATTGCAGTCATTTCCACACTAAACATACACACTAGTTGAGTCCCCCGGAACCTTCACTTCACATCGAAGAGATACCGTGCCTGCTGGCCATCATGATCGACCACTCAGACGGCGGCTACACGAACGTTCTCGGACTTGCTGGGAGTTCCCTTGTCATCCAGGACATACAGCATGTAATACCCAGGCGTCGCAACTCCAGGCTCCTGAGGGATCTGGAAGTTATAGGAGTATTTGAAAAACCACTTCCAGCTCCTGGAGAGCGAGACAGAAAGACGTCGCTGGTCGGTATCCACCGTGTGGGTGGCCGAGCCGTAGCGAATGATGGATGCTGCATCCTGGTTGACAGACGAATCTGTTTCGATCTGGACCCAGTCACCCGGTTTCGCGTTGGCTGGCGAAACCGACTTGATGACCGGACGCTTGCGTAGGGATCCGTCGTCATTCAGATGATTCGGAGGCGTGAAGATCTGTCCGTCGAAGTGGTTGGCGGAGCAATTTCCACAGAGCCCACCGCCGCCGACGAAGACAGTCCCATCCTGGAGCAGGAGCGCGATGCTGTGGTAGGTCCGGGCCACGGTGTTGGGGAGCCATGTGTCCCACTGGCTTTGCGCAGGATCCTCCGCGTTGTAGACCCAGCGCTCCGGCTCAAGTAGGCTGGTGGATTCATCGAACGGGGCCGCGAGCTCTTGTCCTCCGGCCGTGAATACCGAGCCATCTGGAAGCACCACCGAGTTATGGAAAGTCCGTTTATGCTTCATTCCATCTGGTTGAACGACTGACGCGTTGGTATTCGGCTCATCGATTGAGATCAGGTATGTATCATTCCTGGCACGGGATTTTTCATAGTCTTGGGATCCACCGAAGCCGAGAATCTTCCCCGAGTCAAACATCACCGCGTTTCCACACATGTTATCCCCCCACTTCCTCTTGTTGCGTTTACCAGCAGCGGTGACTGAGCCGGTGCCGTCCACGCCGTACCAGTTCATCATCTTGCTAGGACCTGCTTGGAAGACAGTTTCGTTCTTCCAGCCGAAAAGCCAGCCATGGTTGTCTTTTCGCCAGTCGTCGCGGTCAGCCGTGAACATGTTGACTACCTCGGCGCCCGGGAGTTCCGTCCATGTATTCTTTCGGACGTCGTAGATCTCGCCGTTCTTCAGGTTGACCACCTCACCGAAGGAACCCCCAATGACAAAGATACGGCCGTCGGAAAGGATGGTCGCTCCTTGATAACCCCGGTCCATACGCATAATGGCTTTTTTCTCCCATTCACGGGTGGTAATGTTATACACGGTGGTCTGGCGCGCGCTATTACCACCGGTGACAACAAGATCTCCTTCGTCATCCAAGGTAATTCCGGGGCAAAACATGTCATGGTTGGTCTGGTTCACTTCCCGTGGCGTCACGGCCCGGGTTTTAGGGTTCCAGGTGGCGGTCTGGGTCTTTGAGCCCTGGTTTTGAAGGTAGATGTTGTATTGCCATGACGCCCAACCGATCAAGCTTCCTGTCGTCGGGTCGATGGCCCCAGAGACCGGAACAAGAGGGAGATCAATCGTCGGCCCCCAGGCGCCTTTCTTCGGGTCCGGCTGGATGTACTCGGTTTCATAGACCTCTAACTCAGAGATGAAACCAGAACTCTCGGTCATCGTGAGTCGCAGGTATTGGCCCTTCTCAGGCTGGAAGACCGACATTTTCTCACTGTTGTCGGGCCACCACCGGCCGTATGCGACCTCCTTCCATGTCTTCCCATCCTTGCTGACTTCGACCGAATGCGTCTCGATGAACGATTCAGTATCCGGGAAGGGAACCATGATCAGACCGCTGATGCTCATCTCCCGCTTGAAATCCACTGTAATGGACTCATCCGCACCGTTGTTGTTCTGCCAGTATGACTGGACGTCTCTGTCCAGAACACTGGAACACCCATGGCTGGCCACTTCCGACGAACAGGTAACATCGAAGTCAGTGATCGGTTTGCCGGGTGGTTTGGGTTGGTCGACGGTCGGCACGACATCTTCTCCAATCCTGTCCACAGCGGGTGTTTTGCCCTCCTGGTACAGCTTGTCTTTCTCCATGGGGTCGCTCTGCGCGCTGACGAGCGCCGGCACAACGGCCGCAAAAGCCCATGGTACCTTCATTGGTGAATTGTGCGTGTTGCGGTGAGAGTGAACAGTCGCGATAGGCTGCACACAACTGCGGCTCGACCGTCGGCGCAGTCTGCATCGCCTTTAAATACCGTATCATTGGTTTGTTTATTATTGCTCCAAGGCTGGCATAACTCCACCAGTAGGGTCTGTTACGGCAGGGGGGAATCTCTATCCCTTCTTCGTTTCAGTCATGATCAGCATTCTGTTCTCCGGGCGCAATCTCAGCTCAGCCATCGAATTCCCATCGATATCCATGTCTCCCAGGCTGGGAATGATTAGCAAGGAGGTAGGGGAGTTGTCCGGCATAAGAGCACTGTTGAGAGATAGTTTATTACATACTATCCTTAACAGTCCCTGAGACAAACATGTAAGGTCTTTCTTTTATCATGACCTGCATCGGTAAAACTCCACCCACTTTATGATCTTTAGCAGCAAGGGATAGTCTACCCTTGTTTTCAGTAGCCTCAGAGCACGTTTTGGGGGTCATATTTGTAGTTAGATTGGTTAAGACATGGCTGGGGGAAGCGCAGTATGCGGTCCGGTGGGTATGTGTGGCTTGCCTGTAGACTACATGTGGGGACACAGCTCATCGGGTATGACCTCCTTCATACCCGCTCAGCTTCTAGTCGTACCCGATGAGTTGTGTTCCCTATAAGGCATACCTGCTGGGATTTCTTCTTGGCAAGCATTTTGAAAAAGGTATAACCAAGACCCACTTTGCTAACTGCTTTAATTCGTCCAGCTTCTTGTCATACCCAATAAGCAGCTGTGTCCCCATGGAGAAGGCGAGATGGATGGCCACCCCCACCTAATCTCCACGACTAGGTGAGATGCACGCGCCTTTTTACGAACAAAACAATTGCATTTTTATATCAAAAGGATCAGTGGGTGGTTTAGGACATCTGACCCTAGCATGACCCCAAATATAAGGATCAGAACATGCGTACGCGTGGTCCGACTGCGGGAAACTCTAGATCTCTAGATACCATGCCTTGTACTACAGAGGCCCTATTTTTTTTGCTGGAATTGCTCCTGACCCTCCTGAATTGACAAACCTTCTGCTACAGTAGAATGCTAAATAGAAAAGTTTTTATTTTATTTGAAGGTGCTTCTCATGGGCAGCTGGTGAATTATGAGCCTCTTGACGTGCAAGAACTGCCTGATTGGAAATTTTTTCGCTGTTTTTGATAATCTTGTCTTATCGGACCTCTAATGATGAGAGCCTTTCTGCATTCGTCTCTGGTGCTCTATTTGCACCATAGATGCCTGCTTCTCGAGCTGCCTAGTGATATAGGGCGTTTGAGGTTCCGAGTTAGTTGACCAACTACCTGTTGATGTAGGTGTATTCAGTTGAATGTCAAGCTGACTGGGTACCCTCACTGGATTATGTGGAACTTACCTAGCAGCAGAGAAATTGCTGCAGATATCGCTAGTGGTGTGGATCTCTATACACGCATGAGGGAAAACCCCAAGAAGTCAAGCTTGAAAACATGATTAAACCCAAGGCGCATCTTAGTTTCCACTATGCATCCGTATGCATGCTGCGATGAAAACAGCTAGCATCTAGAGGCGGCAGTAGATGCGAGATGAGCCACGGATTGACAATATTATTCCCACTGCGTATCTTGTCAAACTGGGATGTTAGATGACTACCATAACCATCAAACAACTAGGAGGCTATATTTCGCAGTAGTACGACCGTTAGCAGGAATAAAGAGATATTCGTTCCAGCGAAGACTTGGCTTTATCACTAGTCCAAACATCTGGACTAACTTCGATCCTCCACTCGTGTGGTATATCACTCTAATATTCGCCCTCTGTATGGACCTTTTCCCTGAATATTATATAAGAAAAAACTCTTCCCGCGCTCATGATTTAATCTCAAGACTGCTACGCCAAAACATTGACCAATAATTGGTATAGGGCTTAACCTGGCTGATATACCCAACAATTGACCTCGGATGGCGGTCTATCATGCGCAGGAGACGGAGAATAGAGTCTTCTCCATCGCGCCGCGCTCTGCGAAACCAGGGACGCACATACGGAGGCCATGTTCCCAGTCGCAGACGCACCAGCCCCTCGAGTGCATGTATTAGAAAGCGGACATGATCCATTGGGTACGATGTAGCTCCTGGATACCCAACTGGAGGTAGGGATAGGGACCCGACCTGACGTCTCCTCACCGTTGTTAGGGTGGCATCCCTTCTCATGCCCAATGACCCAATCCACCTGCACAGAGTCGAGTGAGTCGTTGTTCCAGCTCAGGTCGCCACAATGATGCACATGCACCCACCTACGTAACTGTGCACCATCTGGACCGATTGCTCCATCATGCCTTATAAATGTTCGAAACAGCACGGCCAGCGGCCATTGTAATCTTCATTTCCGTCACTTCGCTGGGAAAAAGCCCTTTGATCCATAATAGAATTTCTTTTGAAGCAAACTACGATTCCCCAAGATGCCGCCACCAGCTAAGGAATTGAAGGAGATCCAGGGCGATATCTGGTAGGAGGTATCTCAACATGTCTATGACGCACGTGTCACTAACCTATCACCAGGCCTGGTCTTGGGAAGAGCCATGAAACGTTCTACTTGGTTTCAATCGACAAACCCGATGACTTTATCACGAAAATGAAAGCCTTCGTGGATCAGGGACACATCACCTCTGCTGAGTCGGCTTTGGAAAAAAGATCCCAGAATCGTGATGCAGCGAAACCTAGCCCTTCTCCTGGGATCAATGTATCCTTCAGCGCATCCGGGATGAAAAAGGTAGCCCTCTCTGAAGGCATCCGTCCAGCATCATACTGACGTTTCATCGCTTTCAGCTCAAATGGGATGATATGTCACTTCCTAGGGGTCAGGCTCTGACAGACCGCTACTTCAAGGAAGGGGCCAGGACCGATGCCATGAGCCAGGGTCGGGATGACCAGAATGATTATGAGGATTGGATGAAATCTTATGTCAGTGGTAAAAAGCTCATTGACGGATTATTCCTCATCTGCGGCAACGAGGGTTCATGTAAAGAAGGAGTCGATTTGGTTAAGCACCATTTTGGCGACGCGATTGGACTCATCGAGGCCATTTCAGGAGATGTTGGGCCAGAACCACATGGCTTTGAGCAGTAAGTTGCCCTGTCGGAGAGGGGGGGGGGGGGGGGGGGGGGGATGGTATGCCATATCAGGGCAGTCTCTAACCTACTTCTTTAGTTTTGGGTTCAAAGATACCATCTCACAGCCGTTCTTGGAAGGATGGGAGGATTCGAGTGACACAACTCTGAATTACCAGTGTAGGCCAGGGTAAGGAGATTGGGCACCCCTCCGTTCCAACCATCTACTCCGGAACATGAGCTGATAGCATGCAGTGTCATCGTTATGAACCACAAGGGCATGAAGGGGAGTGACAAGAGAAACCCCCTCTGGGAACCCGAGTGGGCGACGAACGGCAGCTACTTTGTTTTCCGCAAACTGGCGCAAGACGTGGAAGCATTCCACAAGTAAGTCCCTGCGAGCATTACCCACATATATATTACTAAAAGCCACTAGACGCGCGGAAGAACTTGCCAACGACAAGGAGCTAGACTTGAACATGACCCCAAAACAGTTGGAAGCACGCTTTGTCGGCCGATGGCACAGCGGTAAGCCAGGGTGCCATATCAAGTTGCATACGGACCTACTGACCTGCTGATTCTAGGCGCTCCAGTTGAGCTGTACCCAACGCAAGACCCTGGACCTGGCTACTCGGACAACAACTGGGATTACGAAGACCCGAACCACGAGCTGCATTGCCCGTATGGATCTCACATCCGCAAGTGCAACCCCAGAAACACCTTCAGGCAGGTGAAGGACAAGGACCTGAGTTTGATTATGCGCCGCGGCATCCCCTACGGATCAAGATGGAGTGAAAGCACCAAGGATGAGCCCCGGGGCCTTTTGTTCGGATGTTACCAGAGCAGCCTCCAGAATGGTTACTGTGCTATCATGAACAGTAAGACACCCCAAAGTCCCTATTGACCCAAAAAGTCTCCTGCTCTAACCTCATCTGAAGAGTGGTGTAACAATGATGGGTTCCCGTTCCATAATTCGGGACAAGATGTGCTTGTGGCACAACCCATTAAGGGCGCCGTTGATCCCAATGATCAAACACTGCACGCTAACCTCTATGGCTTGTGTGAAGAGGGGAATCCTCACAAGCTACGTCCTGACGGAAAGCATCCGGAAGAGAAGAAAAAGCGTTGCAATTTCCCCAGCTTCATCAAGCCCCGTGGTGGAGAGTATTTCTTCACGCCCCCCATTTCCTTCTTTACTAAGCTGGTTGAGGGGCCGCCGGCCATGGACGATGAAGACGAAGAAGAAGAAGAAGAATGAAGCACTCATATATGCATCGGAGTCTGCTAGGGCAAGGATCTCTGGCAGAATAGGTCACAAGTTGGAAAGCCCTATTCGTTTACGCTTTTTTGTCGTGTTTTATCCATCACAGTTACCAATAAGACTCGAAGTTTCTGATACACACCAAAACAATAGTCACAACACAAATGAGTAGGGTTCTGAATTGTTAACTATCTGCAATCTCCGTCTGTACAAATAAGCCCTGACAGACAAGCCATGGACATCTTACGAACATCGGTAGCTATTCCTCATTGATTAAAATGAATGTAGTCTGTAGCCAAAATTTATATGCCTGATTCCTGGCGGAGGATAGCCCTAGCCACATACATATAGAATGGGATAAGTTTGGCTACACAAACTGGATGACAATCAATCGTTTCTCTATCTCCATCGGTATTGGGACACTACCCCTAGGAATAGCTCGTAGCATGCATGATAGGGCAGGTGGATATCCCTACCCCCCACGAGCTACACCCGTGAATGTACATACATATAATTACCAGACCCAATTTATCTTAGTAGTAGTAGTAGTAGTAGTAGTAGTAGTAGTAGGAGACCTAAGTACTAGGCAGGTATTTGGTGGGTAGGTGGAAGCACGGTATGATCGATTGTAGAATCCAGAAAGGTCTGCCAGATTAAAAGTGTAGTCAGGGTATCAGTGTAGATTGGTAGGTAGCCTGGTGGGTGCCTAAGTACCTAGGTACCTTGATACCTTAGGTAGGTAGAGCTACCATAAACATCCTGGTGTACCACACAGCGGACCTCAGACATCCAAACCAAGTCGAATGGACGCAGTGAGGAATGAGATTCCTACATCTTCAATCAAATTTACATGTACTAATACTTTATAGATATCAAAAATCTAATTATGTATACGACAAGGTAAAGTAATAAATCATATAATAGCTTCTCTTTCTATATATATCGGGAATCAAGCCAATCTATCAACAAAGACTCAACAAGATCCAGGCTCAACCGGTTCCCTTAGAGCCAGCTCATCTGGATGAAATATACAGCAATTCTTCAAGTCGTGTCACGTCATCAAAACAAAGGAAAATGAAGGACACACAAAAGAGATACAATCAACACTTCCAACAACTCCTTTCCCGCCTGTGGCTCCCCATATGACATGATAACCGACGTCAATCAATCATCAATCAATCAAAGACAACGGGATAAAATATACACAACTTCCACAGTTCAAAAATATGTAAAGAGAAAAAAAAATGTATGCACCTTAATTCCCGTTGTATATAAGAAAAAAAAAGCCAAGGCTGAAGGGAAGAAAAGTAAACACGCAGGGGGGTATCATCAAACAGAACAATCAAGTAAAATATTGCCCTTTTTTTCAAAGTTTTCTTTTTTTTTTGGTGTATTTTGTTGTTGTTTTTTTTCTTTCGTTTGTTTATACCATGGCGGCTGCCACGGGACGGCCGGAATGGCAACCTCGCTCGTGGCGCTTCATGTTGCTGCGCACGCTGAAGGCCTTGCCGCAGCCGACGTGCGTGCAGCGGAAGGGCTTCTCGCCCGTGTGGCTATGAGAGTGGATGCGCAGGCTGGAGGGACGCGAGAAGGCCTTGTGGCAGGTGCGGCAGATGTACCGGTCGTGGTGCTGCTGGTAGGGGGTGGAGTTGGAGGGCGGGAAGTAGTGATGGTGCTGCCAGGCCGGGGTGACGGGAGAGATGACCGGCTGGTGGGCAGCGGCGGGAGGCATGGGAGCGGCCGTGGGGGACGCGGCGCTCTGGTAGGTGGACGAGGTGGGTCGTTGGTAGTACATGGCAGTGGTGGAGGGCTCCACGGGCGAGGTGTACGAGGCGACGCTGGGGGCGGGCGAGGCGTAGGGCCCGCTGGAGACGTTCTGGATGGAGCCCTGGCTGGAGATAGAGGAGCGCTCGGACGGGCTGGGCAGGGTCACGGGGGCCTGCGAGTAGGACTCCATCTTGATGGCGGAGGTGGAGGATGCGGAGGGCGAGTAGCCGTTGCTGTGGAAGCCCGAGTCCGGACGCAGCGGGGGAGTGGGCGGCATGTTGGCCGGCAGTCCGTGCAGGGAGACGGGGTCATATTGCGACCTGGCGTCGGACTCTCTGCGCGCGGGAGGAGTTAAGCGCTGGCGCTCTGAGGGGTGCTGGTTAGTGGGTTGGTTTCGTCTGGGACTGCTGGCATAAGACCTACTGGCAGCGTGCATGGCGGCACCGTCGGCGCCTTCGAGCAGAGAGGAGATGGAGGGAAGGGAGAATTTGCGCTGTTCGTCCACCGGAGGGGAGAGAGGTGGCTGCGGGGAGCGAGAGTATGACGTCGGCATAGTAGGGAAATACGAGCCCTCGACGGAGGGCTTGAAAGACGAAGAAGCCGGGGGGCTGTACGAGGCCTTTGCCTTGGACAGGACGGGTTCGGGACCCGGGGTGATGAGGCTGGCAAGATCCATGATGTAGATGTATCGGACGCTAATGAGGTTGATAGTGGAGCGGCCCTATAGGTGTGGGAGGAGGTGGGAAGATGGGATGGTAATAGGTGATGATGAAGTAGAAGTCAGAGAGGGCAAGACAGACGGGGCCATGCAGGATAGATATATGAATGAAGGTGTCTCGGCCGTGGCTTGGAGAGTAAGGTACAAGTGGGGGTGGGATTGGAGAACCAGGGGGGGGGATTATAGAGGATAGACGAGGTGGATTTCTGGGTGGGGATGATGAGAATTATTATTTATTATATTATATATTAGATCTTATATTTATTATTTATTTTATATTTTATATTTTATATTTTACATTTTACATTTTAATAATACGGTACGATTATGATAATAATAGTTAATTATAGCTCGTTTGTCTATACTTCCGTCAACTAAACGAGGTAACCGGATCGGGCGGCGGAACAGACCGACTGCGCTCATCCTGTCGATTATAATCACTCGTTGATGCTGATCTGCTAGTATTATCTTTGATATTACTCGATCTTGCCTTATCCCTGCTCCATCTCTGTCTATCTGTCTGTATGGATGATGTATGGATGATGGTACGAGTGTAACAAAGATACAAAGCTTAAATAATGTTTGGAGACACACGCGACATCTGTCATTGTCTTTCATTTCCTTTCCTTGGTTGAGTGGGTCTCCATCAGAGACTAGACCTGTCTAGGGTGATTTGCCATTAGTTGTATTGTTTAGGTAGGCTCGACGAGAGCTAAACGTGGTTTCTGGTTCATTATTAATTTGTACCTACCACCTACTGAGATAGTCACGGAGAAACTTGAGAGGATAATCTACTATAGAACAGTGGTTATATAAAATGTAAGATACATTATACCCCATACAATATAATATACAACATAATATATATAGATAAATATGTAGATAAGAAAAAAAACACGTACGTAACCGCGTCGTACACAGATCGACCGGTGGACAAGGGGACTTTTTTACACTTCGGGGCTCGGCTAGAATCAGTCTGGCACTAGTGCAGATCCACGGACACTTTTGTATTATATTATTATAATAATATATTATAATATTTCATATAAGTGATAAAATATGATCGCACGATCCTCCAAGAACTGATCTCACATTCTAGCCGAAATTTCTCTGTAGATCTCCTGTTTCGGACTCCAGCCCTGTTCCATCCTGCGTGAGACTCTGGTCCAGTTGAGACTGTTGACTCGCTCAGATCAACAGTTTGATCTCTGCTCTATTGCTCCATTGAGCTCCTTGATTAGTGGGATATTCGTCCTGACTCTCTATTTATTCAATAGATATCTTGATATAATTTCAGATATATGTTGGAGATGTGATACCACTGGAAGAGCCTACATAGATGCAGGGGTGAAATAAAAAGAAAATAAGATAAACACGCAAATAATGTGGAAAAAGAAAACACCGGTTGACGGATTGGCGGCACGATGCGCGCGCATGGCAGCTCCATCCATATGGGATGGCTTCGTTAGGTGGCAGTTGGTGCAGTCGGTGCAGTTTGGGTTGGATCCAAAGCCCCAAACCGGCCTAGACCCGACAACCCAGAAAGGAATCTCTGAACGATTTTCCATTCCATCCTCGCTTGGAGAGGGCCAAGACTGTTAGCGTCGTGCGGAGCCCGGAGATTATCGTGGTTGGGTTGGCTAATGAGATAGATGGATGAGGCCCACTGTCTGACTAAGTTGTACTGACTCCTTTGCAGAACGGAGGAATGACCGCACTGATCATCCTCTTAATCAGGATACTACTGTGGAAAGTCGTGATAAAGGGGTGAGTCGAGTCAGTATGATAGGTCATCATGATTGTCATTTTGTATTTTCCGTTTGAAGTACACAAGTACGCCTTATCAACCACAGACTAAAACATGTATCAGGAACACTAACTTACCATGGAATCAAGCAGGATGCCAACGTACCAATTTCCCAACCATTAGGATCGACCATCAGATCATGGTTCCGCGGCCACTCCACGAGGGAATCGACTGCCCTGGACTCACCCCGTCCCTTGGTTAGCCCTCTTGACTAGAGATACAACCGGCATCTGGGCACGAGGCAACATGCCTCGGTAGGCGCTAGGACAGAAAGGCAAAACAAAACATCCATCATCATAGGTGAGACGGACTCGGACTACTGGGTGATCATCGGTACATCACTGTCCCACTCATACATATTGCCATGTCCACGACCAAAGGAGTTAACAGTCCAGACACGATAGCATACAGTGCTGACCTCGTACGAGGCCAGCGACGGGGTGACCCGCCACTAATTACCGGATACGGCGGGATAGACCTTAATACTAGGCGGTATTAGTGTCGATCCATGTCGAATGTGGAAACATTCCCGTTGACTCGATTAACATCTCCTTTATGATGAGAGAGGCTGTCATCAATCGTCATCTCTCATCTCCGATGTCTATCCACACTCCGGTTCGGGAGTATGCGGCTACGCAGTGACATCTCTAGTCAATACTAACAGTCTAATAGTATCAACCGTCCTGTCTATCCAGATAACATTGACAATCCTCATTTCAATAGCATAATTATAGAAACAGTTAGGATCCTTGATCAGCCTGTCCAGTTCCACTCTCCCGAGCGGATGAGTCGTCAACGCGTATGCCCCTTACAGAGTACGTTAGCGATGCCGGCTGATCAACGGTATAGAATTCAATCTGATACTGTACCCCGTATGGAGTACTCCGTACAAGGGATGCCGCTGATATTAAGACTGTGATGTTAATCAAATATATTGAATGATCTTATATTGTATGAATCAAATAAGAAGGATCATCCATAACAATCAATCAGGAAAGACCAAGAAGACTCGAAGAAACCACGACGATCTAAATCCATGTGAGCGCCTCGCAAACTCTAATAAACGACGTGGGCGGCCGCGCCCGAATCATGAAATGGTGTCCAGTGTCCGCTGTGTCTCGTGGAAGCGAATCCTAACGGCCAATCATGACGTTTACCTCACTGGTGCGGGTCCATCTTTCTACTACCGGGGCGAGGCAACTTCATCATCTGAGGTGTCTCTCATTGTTCACACTCCGGGGTCTATGTTATTCTAGCTACATGATTATCTTGATTGGGATCATTACTCATGAATACTGTTATGCTTATTAACTGACTTCTGTCTGTTAACTACGTACCTGTCTGTTAACTACGTACCTGTCTGTCCAAACCGATGATAATCCGAAGTCAGTCTGGTGGGTCACCGAGTCATAATCAAGTGCAGACTTCCTATCCACGACATAGACCACCCTACCTATCTATATTGACCACAATCTGGATCTCATTAATCTCTATTAATCTATCATCAATCGCCTTAATATATAACAGTGCACCACAGTGTCAGATTTAAACCTCCAACCACGGATACTCTGTATTATTGAGCCATGGTTATACCACCACCAACCAGTAAACAATATATATTCCACGCGGCGAGCCAGAAATCCAGACATGGAATTAATCAGGACAAAACAATACAGCCCAATACATGAGTAATTATACACGATAGACTCATTCCCCTTCGAGTCCTGTAAACGAAGCTGTCAATGATCCACGACAAACTGATGATCTTCCTCAGATCGATGGATGATCATCGTCCCATTCCTGCCTACGAGTCTTTGGACCTTGGTTGTCGTGAGCCCAGACCTACGCCGACCTCATCCTCCCTACCTCCTTCGCTCCTTCGAACCAAACTGTGAAAATGAGGTCTACGCGTCCGGATACCTTCCGAAGAACTGAAACATGGCTGTCCATATTGACATTGTGGGAGATCCAAACCGGAAAACATGGCTGGAACATATAGACTGGAACAGTCGTGGTAGATGAAAGACAAAGTAAACTATAAAACAGGTTAGTGACATGGGACGCCAAAAAAGGTTAGTACGCCAATCCAACCAACTACCAAGTCCAGTTAAACACATGGTCTTTCCCCCCATTCCCCCCCCTTTGTTACGGATGGATGGTTTTCCCAGAATTATGTAACCCCACAGGGCGATCGCCTTGGCTCGCTTAGATGCTCGCTGCCAGTGCCAATGCCAGGACTCCTGGAGAAAAAAAAAAGGGCCAACCTTGCTTTAAAAAGAACATTACTAACTTAAATCTGACCCTTGACTCAATGCGGTATGGTGAGCAGAATCCATCCACACTTCCCCTGTCTTCTGTCCTCTTGCTTGTTACTTGTTTGGGATACTACGACGAACACCCGTTCTACTCCATCTTTTTTCTCCTGTTTTGATAAAGGGGGAGTTAGGAGGTGTACTTCATAGCTTATTATTTTGCTCTGTATATTCGACTATCGTGTGTACTACCTTGGTTATCATTTCGTATGATGATCATCCGAGCTTCTGCAGTGATTGATGTTTGCTCCATCATGCCACGAGGCAAGCCTCCTCCCTCCTGGCAAGCCACCAAATAAGATTACCCGTCGTTCATCACCGAAGTACTCCGTCCTACGGATAAAAACAAGACATATAAACATGATCTGTCTGAGATCATGGATGTTGTGGTTTATTTCCCGCTCCCCATGTCCAGGCCAGCAGGGTAAATGCAAAATTGGTAATAGGGGCAGACGATTGGAAACCAGTTAGAAAAGGGGCCACACATTAGGTCGAATCAAGATTGACAATGATGTGCGCTGATCATCCTAACGCTTCCCAACGCTCAGCAGCTTTGACCGCTATAGTAAATAAATAAATAGTAAATACGGATACCGTCTGATCATTTAATAGACTCTGGCTAGTTCCGGATGAACTACCGCTTGTCGTTTAGCGCCCGGTGGGAATCAACATCGCTTAGCTCGAAGCCCGGGGGCCGGAGGCTCGGATTTTCTTTCTTTCTTTCTTTCTTTTTTCTTTGTTTCTTTGATTCTTTGGTTTTCTTTGGTTTTCTTTTCTTTTTCTTGTTGTGATGGAAACTTTAATAGTGGTAGCTTGGATTGTAGCCCTAATAATAGTACTCCTTTTGATGGCTTAAGTAAGATGGAACAACACTATCGAACCTGCCACCATAATTGGTGGACTGTTTCAGAACCCTCAAATCAACAGGGTCAATCGTGTATTTTTTCCCACCCAGGAAGGGAAATGGTGAACCGTGAGCCGTGACATACATACATACATACTTGCTGACGGCGCATCCTACCTTCCTCCCTACCAGTACCCACAGCCACCACTCCCACATCTTGCATGATGATGAGCCGCTAATATCCCAGCACCGTCGTGTTTTCATTTGCTGTTTGACCAAACCCAGCTCTCTCCGGACGAATGAGATTCTATCGGATGCTGCAAGGTGATGGTGGTCGTCGATCAAATACGACCTCAGCGAGGCAACCTGGGGTTTCAGCCTTGACGTGAAAGGTCTGGTTGGCTGGGTCGCGTGCATTAGCCACGTCTTTGGTGTGATGGATCATGGATCGTCTTGGATCGGTGCGTCTGCATGTGGTTGGTAGTGGTACTCGGTGCCTTCCATTAGCCAGTAGCCAGTAGACTGAGTAGCCCGTGAGCCACGCTCATGGACACGGAGAGACGGACGGGAAGATCATCCCCAAGTCATCATTTTCTTTTCTTTTCTTTTTTTTTCACGATTTTCCTTTTTGAGGGTCTCCCCCTTTTGGAGTTTGTTGTTTCCCATTTTTTATGTCTGATGTGCAATTGGATTGCGTAGTCTGTGATCAGTGCAGTCACCATCCCTATTTCCTCAAGACACCTTATCTACATAACCTACTCCGTACTACGCAGGAAGATACGTCGCACAAAGCGTGACATACACATGGCGGTAAGGTAAGGTAGGATGATCTACCAAGGTGCATTTCTTGGCCGTCAGCAGACTCGGTGCCTTCTTCTGAGCTGAGCGTACATTAGGAGCACACCGTGACGCGGGGTGACGTCGTGACGAGTCTGAAGGACAATCAGGGTACAGGTCACATCGTTTCGTCTCTTCGAGTTATCAACTATATTTTCGAAGAAGCAAACTCGTTTGATATCACACGGTATGAAGAGCCAGGGAAGTAAAAAGGCACGTTAGCTGAGGCGTCACGTATATCGTCATCGGGGACTAGATAGAAATACGGAGGAGAACCAGAAGTAGAACTAGGGGTGACGGGACAACCAAGAGACAGCTCAGACAGGCAACCAGGGATGCAATAGTTAATTCCCCCCGAGCCCGAACAAATAATAGGCCGGTTGCCGTGTTGGATATCGGTCACATTCGAATCCAACGCGGTCAGACCACGCAGATTTCGGGCCCCCGGGGGATGGAAATGAAACCATCCCCCTCGCAAGCAAGTTCCAACAGGGCTGGTGTAAACCTAGCCGGAAACACCTCGGCTGACTGGGTACCTAAGGCACCAACCACACCCCTGACTTCCAGCCCCCGTCAGGAGAGAGAATAGGTAAGGTAAGGTGGGTAAGGGAGGTACCGGAAATACTTCCCCGTTAGGAATAGACCATCCGCTAAGCGAGAACCGCTGGAGCGGGCGTCAGACAGATCCGCCCAGATGTGGCCTAGGAGCGTTTTCTAGCGGAGTCTGGACCCCGGTCATCTCACGTGGTGGTCATGCAGCTTGAGGTTCGGCCGTTCCCGAGTTTGGCACCAAAGCCGATACTTGTTCCTTACTAGTGGATACGTATTATATTCTAAATTATATTCTCTTAACTAGTAGTAGATTTATTATAATTTTTTTGTTGACTGACATAGCTTAAGTAAGGCTATGCCAGATCCTTCGACGCGCTATTTCCCGGGGGTCTCAACCGATGAATATCATCATATCGGTTGACTGATTACGGATACTTCTTGACTCGATTGAGGTAGCAATGGTGTTACTATCACCATTCTATGCGGATGTGCGTTGCTTCCGGGCGATCATTTATAGATAGAAACTCTTGTGTAACCTCGCTCATTATGTTTGTTTCCTTCTCCTCTCTATAGTAATCGCGAATATCAACAGCTATATGAAAGAAATCCTATCATGTACGATGTACGGATACACACAGCTACAAAGTATAACCCAGTTCAATCATCTCATATCACGATGATATTCCACCATCACGCCTAGTCCTATCAACAGGACCCCTTCATCTTAAACACTCCCCCCACCGATCGGCTCATCCCGCCACGGCTGATGCACAGAGAACCCCATGCGGTAGGATGACGACAGCGGACACAAATACAAGACATAAAAGACATTCTACCTTGCCGAGGACGACTCCGAGACATTGACCCAGTATAAACCATAACTAGTGGGGGGATGTTCGCTGGTTATCTCCGCGACGTCAGTGTGTAGGACGGAGTATCCTACATAGGGAGTGTATAGTAGGAGTGATGTCTTGGAAGGATCGGACTTGAAACTTAGACGATCAGATGGGCGGGGTGTTCCGCTATTGCTGTTTGAGGGTCGGGGGATGCACCATATTGAGTATCGGTATCAGTATCAGTATCAGTATTGACTGTGGAGTGGAGTATACAGTTGCGTAGAGCAAGGTAGTAACTACCGACTTGGGTAACTACCCGGCTTGTATACCTCTGTATAGATCTGTCTATCAACCCACTTTATCCTTTCATACAATTGGCATATATATACAACCCACATCTACAAACCATGCACGATCAAATATCGCTCATTGCAGCCAAGGCAGTAAGATCAAGTAATGACCTCCTCCATAGGTGAGATCAACAGTACCAGTATTCAGTAAGCAACAAGTCATGGGTCAAGATCACCAAACAAAACGCCACGTCAATGAAAGTCAAATCGAACGAGGTGACTCCACTGGGCAGTACGCCGGATATTAGCAGACATTGTAATACTACTGTCTCATCCGCGGGACTCCACCATTGCCGCTGTTGCAGGATCGACTTCCTTGTTACAATCTCTTCGCTCGCTAGCCCGTAGTCACTTGGGTGGGTAGGTTGGCACCGACGTAGTTGGTACGTAGTAGTGTCTACTACCTGCCTACGACGGATACTGGAGCTGGCTACGACTGTGGAGGTGGTATTGCAGATGTGGCGACACTGCACGGCTGTGAGCGAGTCATGGTACATCTCTAGATAATAACAACTACCACAGATGTACTCCGTATATCCGGAGTCTGCAGAGAGGAGAGAGAATGAAACATTACTTCCTTGATCTTATGAAGGACGTCATTCTGCTATAGCTCCATTTATCCGCGGTGCTATCTTGCCTGTGATTTTATAGAGAGTGTGCTACAGGGGGTGTGTGGCTGGTAAAGCTCGTATCTAATAATAAATATATATAAACTCGTATCATGATATTACAAATGATCGTATCTTCCTTCGTATATTACACTTTCCATGTTATATTAGATTCCTCGATCCTTGCTCTAAAACCTTCTACAAATGAGCAGAGTAGATAATACAGACTGAATACTAAACACCAACCTCTGAAAACAAAACATGAAACTCTATTAAAATCTCGCAAACAACCTTTCGAAAATGATAATCACTGGAGAAAAAGAACGAGGAAAAAAAGGTTAAGTCCGATCGTGTCGACTACCCAAACAGGGTTAGCCAGCGGCGGGCGACAGGTAGATCGCCGGCGTGGCAGGCGTGGGTGTTGAAAGACGGGGATGTGGATGGAATGGGAAAGGGAGGACAAACGCCTAGACGACGGGCGGACTCTCGCCTGGCCTTCCCTGGGCCTGATTCGCTGGTTGTGGCGTGTGGCTTTTGAAGCCGGAATTTGGCTAGAATGTTTTTTTTATTATTTATTTATTTGATTGATTTTCATTTGGGATTTATTGATTTTGATTTTGATTTATTTACTTGATTTGATTTGATTGATTGATTGATTGATTGACTGATTTTCAGTCAAAAGATACTAATTACGTAGATTCAGGCGATTACTCTAACGAGCAGGCCAGACGACCCGACCCGATTTACCTACCTACACCGAGTCCCTGACTTTATACTTGAGCCGAGGATCGACACGGGTCTGGCGGGGATAATCATCAGGTCGCCCGCTGTTGACTCTTTATCCAATCTAACTTACTGTGCCTCTCACCTACTGATCGAAGTGAGATCATGCATATCAGATGAAGTATACTACACATTCACAAAAGTAATACGGAGTACTATAGTTAACAGTAACTCATGAAATCCCCGTCGGATCCACCGGAGAGCCGGCTGGATTATTACCAAGCACAATAACAACATGGTTTGTCCCATCGAGGACCGTGCATCCCCGATGAAACGGTAGCTTGACTGCTGGGTCTGATGGTTCGGGGCTCTTCGGTCCCCAGGCGGTAATTCCACCACGAGGCGTTCATACCCTAGTGGGATTCATTCCCTGTCTTGTTATCGTGGACGTTTCCTGAAATCCCGCTCCCGGTCTGTCATGGTGATGGTAGGAGTATCCCCGAGATTATATGGCTATCCAAATATAGGGACAACGCACGCGTCACCAGACGCCCGTGTCAGATGACTGAATCGTTACCGGGAAAAAAATTAAATCACAGACCATCAGCGCCAGTGCTAACCGCAGCAGTAGATCCTCATCTTGCAGACGATGCCACCAAGCACATGCGTGTGCCGAGTTCCTTCCTCGTTCCTTCTCTGGAATGATCCCCGATGGCTGACCAGAGACTCGGACAAGATGACTCACGGCCTCTTAGTAAGTCCTGGATCATCTCGGGCAATGCAGGTTTGTGATGAGAAGCGCAGATGGGCGGTTTCAGCCTGCCTTTGCTTTTGTCATCAGTGGAGGCACCAAGACATCGACTTAGGCTCTACTAGACTGGAATGGGGGGACGGAGGAAGGGCCCTACTGCAAACATGCGCATATTATTGCTAACGGTAGGGCCCCCCGGGAGATCCTCGTATCGGAATGCCACTGCTGATGATGTACAGATGGCGGTATACAGTCCTCCGTGCAGCTCGGCTTTGGGTCTCCTGTTTTGGTACGGAGCAGGTGAGTCGTTATTGGTGTGAGACAGTGCCCCTCAGTGTTGCTGTCTGGACAGATTACTTGCTGGTGGTGGCGACAGACGTCAATCAGTCCAGGCTGATGACCAACCGGGGATTCCACGGACGTGCAAGTGGTTCCATCGTCGCCTTACTGTGCATTCTCCAGGACGCGTCGATCACTAGCCTGCAACTGGGAAGGGGAAAAAGGAAAAAGACTAGACCGCCGGCTATTTAGGCAGTCACTTGCTTGGAGATGAGATGCTATCGTACTAAATTGTCCACAACCAGGATAATTGATTGGACTCGGCGGAAAGGAGGGTTACAGGTGGTTGGTGGGATCGTGTTTGCGATACTTTCGTCTCATGTCGTCCGTGCTCAAGAGGGGAGAGATTTGCCCACGGGGCCACAAGGCGCGCCGCGAACACGATCGGGTCGTTTGGATGGTGGGAAGAGGCATCTTGGAACGACTCGGACAGGAGTTGAATTCCGCCGTTACAAGATTGCGCGCATCCCTCGTGCTAAGAGCCTCGCGTATCGATCACGCCTACTGGGCTGTAGCGTGGTTTCACCCCCTTGGCGGCCGTTAGACGGCTCCTGCCTAGTCTTCCAGTCTAGCCAGGTTTGTGAAGTCGAGAAATTTTCGGCTGTCAGCTTGCGCGCTCGACCGATCTCTTTTCGACGACGGGGGTATGTCGGGTGCGAGAATTTCTGTGTGCCTGGGCTAATGCAGTTGGATGGCGCAGTTGAGTCCAGACACTGTTCGCTTAAACACCAGGACAGAGGATCATATCTATCACCTGGCCGGACGGTTCCAACCTCCCGCATGGCGCGCACATCGTACTATGGTCACTTGCGCTGAAAACCTCCCTCCATATTACCCCAATAGTCGACGTATCATGACCGTGATAATTAAACACAAGGAAGGAGCTGTACTTTGTAGGGTCAAGGATTGACATGCAGCCGACATACACGCCGTGGCCATCGTGGTCATGATTTACCACACAGCCGTAGTCGGGATGGCTAGCCAATGATCTTTTCGTTGTATATCCTGTATCCCAGTGTCTTAACCATTCCTCCCTGTCTTCCTCCCACGATCCATCCCCTATAGTCAACCCCCGTCTGATAGGGAAAACCAATGAGAAATGGAATACCGAAACAATGTATCCAGTTGACCATTCATCATTTTAACTTTCGCTTTTTTTCTCCCCCTAATTGTGAATTTGAACGGTGTCGTGCTCGCAGAATATTTCACCAATCAGAGGCGCATCCCCGCGCGCCCGATCCAGACGGTGGCCACGCCGATCCCTCCTGATGTATGACGACGATCCCCGGCTATTTCTACCCACACTGGTTGGACACTGCCCCGACGCACACAAGGCAATGATGAGGATGTGGATGCGTGTCGTGGCAATTCGTGCAGGTTAGATGGACCTTCGCCAGGATGATAAAGTTGAGTTGGGACAACGGACGATACTGAGTGGTCGAGGAAGGGGGGTGTGATCCACAGCCCACTTGCACTTGCGGACGGAAATAATCATCAGCAAGAGACTGGCGGTGGCCAGTCGTTCGACGCCCAAGCTCAACCTGGTATCATGGCCAGGGATTGTGATTGGCAAGTTAAAAGGCCCGAGAAGGATTGGCCATGCGTCTTAAGTGATCCGCGTCGGAAATTCCCGACGTTGGTGGCCACCATTAGCGTGGACTAAGATCATGGTTCTGGCCATGAAACAGGAAAATACCACCTAATCAAAGAAGAGAAACAAAAGGACAAGGGGGGGAACAGAAGTGCGAGAGAGAAAAGGGAAGAAGAAGCAGGGGCTTTGATCCCCCGGGGATGATCATCATCGGAGGCGCTTGGATCCTCCCGGTCACGGGTCTCGGACTCAGGCCAACCTTTTGCTTTTGTTTGTCGCCTGCTGCCTCAGGCGGTCCAGGGGCTGGCTGAGTATCATTTGATATTCCCATCTATCACAACTTTCTTCTTCGACACGGGGAAGGGCAGTCGGATGCCATTCGTACGGGGGAGACAAATCATCCAATTCGTACAAGACGAGGGGGAAATGAAATTATCTCCAAGCCTCCACACACCACCCCCCTCAGATTGAATCAGCCCCGTATGCACGCCTTCAATTCCTGTCACACCTCAGCATCCTTTCCAGAGCCACGGCCACATGGATCACGGATCATGGATCATGGATCAGGAGGTTTATGGTGGGACGGTCAGGACACGCTTGGGGCTCCTTAGCACCCCACAGACGAAATGAAGCGCTTAACTGATATTCCTATATTTGGTGACACACCAATTATCTTGATCCCTCGCACTGACTTGTTGGAAATGCCTAGGTCTCTTTTCCTCTCCCTATCTGTGTGTGTGTGCGTGTGGTCTGATGGAAGATACATGATAGGTGAAGAACGAGATGCATATGTGATATGACACGTATGTAATCCATCCACGCACCCGCTCACTCACATTGCCATTGTGGATGGGAGGGATCCGAGGTCAGCGAGTAGGATGCAACATCAAGTGCCTTGATGGTGGGTGTGTACTGCATGCTACCTGCTGCGCGCATAATACATGCACTCTGTCTACATACAGCGCTGTTTGCTACTTGGGCAGACGCAGAGGGTCGGATTCCATCCGTACATGCCCTTGACTCACTGTTACTGCTATTACTATGGCTTTCTTTGGGCTTGTGGGAGCTGTTGGGCAAATGAGCATATTTCTGCGCCGTCTTGAGGGATTTCGGGGTGGTATCGAGTGGGCGGTGGCTGCTCTAACGTATTGGGTTTGGAAATCCTTGGTTGGTACATCCTTGGGTAATACTCCCAGAATATGCTAGGGGTTGGACTTGATACTGGTAGAGGTATCTGGTGGTATCATAGCCTGGCTAGGCGTATGAAATCATAAATATATATCGCTTTTTGTGTCGATATCTACTGAAAATGTGGAGATACATCCATATCAAGTATCTAAGAATGCCACATAATAAATAGACATGAGTTGACGATGTTAGCATTTTTTTGATCTTGGCCGTTCGACCAAAAACACCAATTGGCGAGTTGTAGGGTCTTAATATCCAACAGATAGGAACAATCAATCTTTGTGGGATTGCTGAGATTGTCAAGCCATGCATGGTGATTATATATTAAGATAAAACAGACGAATTCAAAAGCAACAGGGACAAGACCCTGCTTCTACATAGATAAATAGTGTGCCTGACTATTGTAATCATTCATTCTACTATATATATCAGAACAATATGTTGGTTGTATATGTCGTTGCTTCCATATGAATAGAGAAGTACCAGCCTATCTACTCCGTACTCCACACCAGAACAATCATTCAATGATTCCATATACACAGCATAACAAGAGACAACTATAAACAACCAATTCAAATATGTACCGCTAATATCCTTAACCCAGGAACCGCCAACACCTACACAACATCCAGACAATACGCCCAAAGCATCCTAAACAAAAGGTATCACAAACGCTATCAGCAGCCACCCAACATCAACCACCTCAACCAGCAGCTTCGACACCACCTCCTCGGTGCGGGTTCGCTTCAATGGCCCGTCCCTTGCCGTTCTGCTTGCTCCGTACCGCTCGCATCCGCTGGACAGCCCCGCGGAAATCAAGCTCGTGGTAGTCCTTCGGCATGTGCTCGCCGCTGACGATGCAGAGGACGCGCATGCCTTGTTTGTAGACCAGGCCGCTGAGAAGCTTGGGTGTAATGAGGAAGTACTGTCCCCCGCCGCCGTCCTTGGTCGTTGGTGCGCATGCGATGTCCACTAGGCGCTCGTGCACCATCCGCTCGTTGCGCGGGTCCATACCTTGGTTGATCTCGTCGACGACGCGGAAAGGAGACGCGGAGAGGGACTGCAGCGCCATGAGGTAGAAGATTGTGCTAACGGCTCGTTCGCCGCCCGACTGGCGGTGGGAGTCTAGAAGCTGAAGACTTGCGTTCTCGCGGAACTTGACGTGGATCTGGATGGACCATTGGTCGAAGTCGGTACCGCCGCTACCGCTGCTGGGCTGGCCTTCTTCGGTGTTTGTGTTGGATTCGTCCTCGCCCTTGTACAGGGACACCTGGCCGGCGCATCCGATGCGCGCGAATGAATCGCCAAAGGCGTCGCTGATTTTGCTCACGAGCGCGTCTAGTTTGGGCTCCCACTTGGAGCGGATCTCTCGAATGGCGTGCTCGTATTCGCGGAGTTGCTCCTCGAACTTGGTGAGTCTTTCCTGCAGCTTCTTGATCTGTCGTTCGCGCTCCTCGAACTCCTTGATGATGTAGGTGCTTCCTCCTTGCGTGAGGTCCAGACGAGCCTTCTCGGAGTCGATGTCCGCCTCAAGTTGGTCGACCGTGTGCTCGACTAGAGTTGGGATTAACTCGACTATGTCGGGCTGGTTCTTCGAGGCCTTGACGATTTTCTGAGCCTCCTTGGATAGTTCCCTGACCGTGTCAGACATGGCCTTGATCTCGTCTTGCGCTGCATTCAGCTCTTCACGCTTAGTCTCCAGCGTCTGTCTATGTGTGGCATTCCGTTCTTTGAGATAGTCCAGATCTGATATGCCCTCAACGCGCCGGACCTTCCATTTGATGAGTTCCTCATACAGAACACGGAGATTCGTAACCGCGCTCTATGGTTTGTTAGCTAGCCGTGGTGAAATTCGAGACAGTAATACTTACAGCGTATTCAAGCGCTGCCTCGGCTTTTCGAATGGAAATTTGGTCTTGCTGGCCGCGGAAGTTCAGAACTCTGGTCCTAATCTCCTCAAAACCGTCCTGGACGGTTTTCTGCTTGGCTTCTTGTTGACGGATTCTCTCAGGGATAGCCCTGTGGTTGGTAAGGGCAGTTTGTTTATCGGACTTTTCTCGTTCCAGTTCGATCCTTTCCTGTTCGAGTCGATCCTTATCCTGGCCTAACTGAGTGAGTGCGCCTTGATCGACTTCCATCTTTTCTTTGGCTTCTTTGACCTCATCTTGGAGCATCTGTATATTCCGTATAATTGCTTCTTTCGTCGAAGTGTCCACGGGCTGAGACGTCCAGACCTTTGCTGGCCTCACTGGCCTCACACGAGTGGAGGTAGCAGACGGCCCGTATTCTCTCCGCCGGGTTACCTGGTAGTGCTGTTTTCCAGCCACCCAGGAACCGAGCGGCCCTTCTGCCATCTTATTGTAGGCTTCCTCCGAGATATCCCGAATACTGATCGGTGTTTGGTGCAAGCGATTCTCACTGCAAAGATTGGCGAGAACGGGGCTTGGCCCTTCGAGGTACTCGATTGCGCATCCGTCGAATCCCAGCTGTTTCAGCTCATCTTTCGGTAGAGGACTTGTGAAATTCTCCAATGGGGCTGTAGATGTCTTGATGCTGATGTCGTGAAGCTTCATGTTTATGTTAAGAGCCCGTTGCAGTGTTTTGAAGTCATTGCGACTCTGGACTGTAAAAGCTGTGAAATCCGACTTCGATAGAAGCATTTCCACTGCATCGGCGAATTTGGGATCCTTCACAGAGCAGGTGACCATTGGAGGGCCGAAGACCTCGTTCTCGAACTTATCTTGGTTCTCCTGAATCCACTTGTAGGCTTTGAAAGAATCGAAGGATGCAGTTTTGAGCTTCGCTTCTTGCCGCCCTGACTGAGAATCCAACCCACGCAATTGCTGCTCTGCCTGTTTTATTTGATTATTCCGGTCCGTGACCGTGTTGACGAGTGGCCTTCGCTCTTCTTTCATCTGGGTAGCCTTTTCCACGATTTCCCTGACTTGCAGTCGTCTTTCTCTCTACTCTATCGTCAGCAAATGTAAAACCTGTCCTGTATTAGGTGAACCTACAATCTGCTCATTGTACCAGTCAACGTCAAACTCAATTGGCTCGTCGTTCAGCTGGCGTCGTAATTTGTTGATAGTCTGCTGGATCTGCTGGGCATCTTGCCGGTGCTTGGTGCCAGATTTCTTTTCCGACTCAATTTGCCTATCGAGGTCTTTCATCTGATATTCGTTCTGCTCGATCTTCTTGCCAAGAGCAGTAGCGGCACTGTCAGCCTGTTCAACAGCTCGCTGCTGACGTTCGATGAATCCGTCCAGCCGGACGCAATACTGTTGTTTCTCGGTCACTGCTCTCAGCGCCGGCTCGAGCTCGATTTTGAGATTGTCAAGCTCTTTCTCGATGTCTTTTGCTTGGATTTGCATCCCCTTGAAGTTCCCATGGACCTCCCGGTACTTTATTACCGGACGGAGGGTTTCCAACATTTCAATTTTCCGTTTGACCAGAGATCGTTCCCGCATGCGCTCTACATCCGCCCTTTGCATCTCCTGGCGACCCTCGAGGTTCGTCAGCAGTTCCCGATCGCCAGTACTCTCTCCCAGCAATTTCTTCTGCTCGGCGCGGAGGGACTTCAGATTATCATGCCACTCAGTCATCTCGGCGCCGGCAGCTGCCCTCTGCGTGGAAGCAAGCAGCTCGATGGGCGTCAGAGCTGCAAACTCGCTGACCTTGTCCTGTGGCAGAAACTGACAGAGATTGTCAATCTGGATGGCGAAAGAGCGCGCTAGATTGAGAACCTCCTGTCGGGATGCACTCTTCCCGTTCAGCGAGAACGTGCTCTTGTTGCCGTCGCGCTTGATTGTCCGACCGACGACGGGGTTTTGGCGTTGCTTGGGGCCTTTTGCCAGCTCGATCTCAATATGAGCTTCTCGACAGCCATGCTTGACGAACTCGCCGGGATCCTTCGCGCGTCCCAGGTGCTGGGGACCCCATCCTAATCCCAGACATATGGCGCATACCAGGGTACTTTTACCCGTCCCGTTGGGTCCAATCACCATGTTCAGCTTTGGACCGGGGTGAAATTCCGCCTCCGTGTACGTCACGAAGTCTGTAACTTTGATGCGTAGGATAGCACCGGGCTTGTATCCTTCCTGGTTGACCCCGCTTTGGTCGCCATTCTGGCCGGCATTGGTAGAGTTCGACCTTGACGCTTGGGTATTAGGGCCACTTTGGCTGGCACGGGCGGAGTTCACTTGCGACGTTTGGGCACCAGTGAGAATGGTACTGGCGCCATCGGAGTTGGATCCCGGGGCTTCATATTCACTGCCGTTCTCTTCGTCCTCCTCTTCGTTCTCATCACTGGACTCCTCTTCGCTGCGATTGCTTTCCTCTGCGTTTGACAATCGGGGACGCTTGCTGGCGGGGGCGGAAGCTTGCGATGTTCGGGGGCCAGTGCCATTTTGGCTGGCAGCAACGGAGTGCGTTCTTGACGCCTGGGCGCTACTGCCTTTCCTACTAACAGCAGCGGAGTGAGGTATCGACGCTGGAGCGTCTATTCCATCCTCACTGACGCCGTCAGAGTTGGATCCCGAGTCTCCATCTTCCGTGCCGCTCTCCTCGTCCTCGTTATTAGACCCCTCTTCCTCGTTATTGGAGTCTTCTTCGCCGCCACTATTTCCCCCCGCATTCGCATTCGCATTCGACAATCGTGGACGTTTGCTGTCAGGGGCGGAACTTTGCGACGCAGGCGAGGGATCCCTCGTGTCGGCGGAAGAAGAAGCAGAGGCGTCCTCGCGGGGATTATCGTTCTCGTCCTCGTCGTCCTCGTCTCGCCGTCGACGGCGCGGAACCGTCGTTGCAGAAGGCATATCAGGTATTACTGAGTGAGTTGCATAGTAAATTCTTTCAAAAAACCACCGAGAGAAAACGGAGGTGGGGGTGGTGGTGTTATGTCCTGTCCTGCCTTTCTTTGTCCGATTCAAACAATGGAAGTTTAACGTGACACACGCGGTGACGCGACGCGATACCAAATGCGGGATCAATCTTCTTCCAGATATAGTAGGCGGTGTAGTGTGGCAGTTTAGTGCATTTCTCCGCGGTGTCTTTAGAGCTCCGGACCTGGGACATTTCAGATCTGTATGATTGACGGATTGGAATATAATATCCATACATAACACTATGTCTGCTCCTCGGAATTACAAGCGTCTTGTCCTGACGGGCGCCGTCACGGCTATCACAATCGCGGGATCCCTCTACGGCGCAGGGATCAAAACCGGCCAGGAAGCTGGTCAGGTACGTATATGTGGACGAGAAGAACAAAACAGAAAACCCCCTCGGAAATGAGGAAACAATGATTTGCTAACGTCTTTAATCTTAATTTACAGCAAGTCCAGAAAAAACAAGAAGCCACTCTCGACGAGCGCATCGCGACCCTCCAGGGTATTCGAGAAAATCTGTCGTCTAAGAGGCTCCATGTGCAGAAGCAGCTGGATGACTTGGATGCGAGGGTTGAGGATAAGAAGAGGAAGGGACTTGGTGGCCCAAAGAATGGGGATCCGTGATGGATTGATGGGTGATTGAGTGTATATGCCGACCTACTTCTGAGGTGGGGGATGTTGTATGTGTTCCGCCGGATTCCGCCGTTCGAGTCGCCGCTTGGAACTGACGTTCGCTACGATTGAAGATATGATATCGGAGATAGGTGGATTAAGACCGGCGATGTCGGGACCTCTGTGACACTATGAAGGGGGCGCCTTTTTGTCCGCGCTTCATAGAACCCGGGTGTCTGATTGCTGTGATGGGTTCCGCCTCCAATGCCGACAGAGCTCACAGTCCCCGGCTTTGATGAGGGCTCTATGCTGGACCGTGGACGGCTTCCCATCGGGGAATATCGTGAAGTAATTAGACGGATCCATGCTGCTCCTAAATCCGACCCATCCGACCATGGACAATCATGAGACAAAGATGTGCCTTATCTTTCGTACGGATACGGAAGGTTGATCTTTTCTACCAGCATGTGGGAGCAGCCTCTGCTTTACCAGGACGAACCAATATCCCCGGATGGATCAGGTCAAGTCAATCTCAAATGAAATGATTCTAATTTCTAATCTATGAGTATAAATAGTGGGTATATTCCAACGTCCAAGAGGAAATATGTAAGGCGGTCGAAATGCCAATGTACCAGCACAGATCTAGACAAAAGAAAACCAAAAAATAGTATCAAATGACAGATGATTGTAAACAATTTCTAGGTTCTGAAATCTTGGAAAATCACTCGATATATGCCGAATATGAAAGAACAAAAGGGAAATAAGCAAGAGGAATGATGGAGTAATGTTGTAGAAAGGATCGTCACACGTTAATCGTCTATGACACCGCGCGCAAGGGCAGCAAGACTAGTTTCATATCTGGCCGGGTTATGATCGCTGAACATCCCGGAGCCAAATCTCAGCTCCCCGAAAAGAGTCTCTGCATCTCGGATGAACTTCAGCTGCACCCTTGTCGCCGGTTTACCGAGATAGCCGTCGTTATTCGTTTCAGTTGTGAAAGCGTTCCGCTGCAGGACGCGCATGGTCTCCACCACGAAGACCTCGCCGGGAGGCATGAGTTTGGGGGCGAGCATTTCGTCCCTGAGCCCCTTCAGAGTCTTCCAGGCCCAAGCGTCTTCGCCGACTCCGTCGCCGGCGTGCAGAAGCATGGGGGGCTCGTTGACGTAGAATTTGTTGATGATGCTGTTCCGTAGGCCTTCCCAGACCCGGTATCGCACGTGCGACTTGGCATCACTGATGTCGCTTTTGAAGGCTAGTGATACTGTGCGCATGTCGTGCAGGATTCCTAGGGATAGACTGGGGACTACGTCTTGGCCGTTGACCACGGTTGTGATCAGCCCGCGTGTCGCACGGCGGAGGAAGGGCGACATGGTTGCGGGCGGGCCGTACGCGTATACATGTACAGCCCGCCCGGGTGGGAGGTAATGCGCGACGCGACTGTCTGTTTCGCCAGTCCCGCTGGGAAGCATTTGTCGTCTGCTCGATTTGTATGAGGCGGTTATAAAGGCCGTTCCGGTTTCTTCGCTGCTGGGCTCGGATACCATTGTTGCAAGCAGGGCGGCAACTCCGCCTCCTAATGAGTGGCCGCAGAAGATGACACCGTATTCCGGGAATTCTTCAAGGGCCGCTCGGATGGTGATCATGACCCTTCCACCACCTCCCATCAACAGACGTCTCGCAGAGGCATGCATGCCCTTGTGGACTTTCCAGCTCTTCCCTTGCCACTCGAGATCATCATAGTCACAGGTCATGTCTGTAAGAACATCTTCAAAACCCCACGTTCCCCTGAGAGTCAAGACGACTGCCTTTGACTCGTGGTCTAGAAATAGATAATGGACTAGAGGAAACCCGGTGTCGGTTTCTCCAGCAGCGTTGGAGCCGCCTGCAGGATCGACAAAAGACGACAGGAGAATCGCGGAGGCGGGAAGCCCAATATGATCTGAAAAGTCATTATGCTCCTGAGTGTCGGGTGCTTCATAGGTCAGAGCTCTAGCCGTCTGCGGAACGCCCATGACCTTGAGAGCATTTGACCCGTATGACCCGGATGCAAAGCGGCAGAAGCGCCTGATATTCTGTACAAGATGCTTTTGAGGGAAAATCCCTGGAACTGAACCGCTGCGGTTTAGTTCTTGTATGGTTTCGTTGTCATCATAGGCACTCTTCCGCGAACGGTGAGCAAGTATTAGGGACATATCCGAGCCCGCGGTTGCCACAGAGTACATGCTTGGAGTGTATGTTTTAGATCGTTGATGCATAGGAGTGTTCGGTCGCTTGTCATTGACAGAAATCGTGACGTCTGCTTCGGATCTAGTCAAAGACATCGAACTGCTGCTGCGCACAAGTGTCGGGGACCCTGGCCGCCCGTCGATAGAGTGGATTGAATGAGTGTCGGCTTGGGCCATCAATATTTCCTCATTCCTTTCGTTGAAGCTATAAAAATCACTCATTGAGTTCCGCGTATCGCGGGGGTTCGTACGGCGTGTAGTTGGAGAAGGAACGGATCGTAATTGTGACGCCTGGACCGGTGATCTTGGGATACCTCGGTTTGCTAAGGGTGATGAGGGCCGGCTCCTCGAATATGCAGATACCCCAGCTGCCCGCTCATCAGGGATAGGCTGCCCAGAAGGTCTTTGGGGTAACGGTTTGCGAGCCGATGATTTGGCACGTTGTGCAGACTCCTCGGATCTTTCAAAAGGCGACCGCAGATATGGGCGTTTTGCCGGGTCGCTTTTTCCCGGCCCAGCAGGCTTTACCCTCTGTGCTAATCTTGAAAAGGAACCTTTCTGAGATGTGCCTTTGGAACCGTCAGAACTACCCGATACATTATTTTTGTTTTCAGGAGCATGTTTTTGGTCGGTGCCTGTCGAGTATCGGACGTAACGATTGCCTGCTGGCTTCGTGAGAGAAGGTTTTCCTTCCGACAATCGGTGGCTGTTTGTTTCTTGCCATCTAGGGTCGCCATTGGAGGAAGATCGGTTGTTATCATGATCTAAGATCTGTTTATGGGGCTCTGCATCGACTTCGTAAACATCGGCTTGATCATTTCTTGATGATGAAGGTCTGAAATCTGCGCTTTGCGATCTGTTGAAAGCGGTCCGAAATACAACGGTGTGCTTGGGCAACTGCGGTGTATTTGCACTGCTGGCATTGCCAAAATCACTGTTGTGGAAACGTTCTTCGACCATCATGGTACCCGGCGGAGCAGCAATTTCAGCATTATCGTCATCAAAAACATCGACAGTAATGGTGCGAGCTGTAACCATGTTTGTGGTGATGGAAGCGCGACATCCTTGGGGGAGCTGTCGCATTATGTACGATCGTATATCCTCGTCGGAGATATTATGTTGATTTGCCGTGGGGAGCGACAAGTAGAGGCTTTCAGGGGGTTCGATCATGCTCGGCGGCCGTCGGACGGCGTCAAATCTTTCCTCGTCGGCTCCAGGCGATATGAAGGAGGAACGCCGGTTCTCACAGGGAACATCCAGGGATTGTCTCATGGACATCTCATGCGTACCAACAACATCGGCCCGGGCACCATTATCCAGGATGACCACATCCCAAATGATCTCATCGCCGCCGTTCTCGTGGATGTCTCGCTCCGTATTCTTCCTACCCCAGCGCTGCAGCATCGCAAACCCCACTGTCCCAACTAGGAGATCCCCAGCACTGACTTTCTCGGTCCCATCCTCCAGACTCTGGTTTTTAAACTCCCTTCGGATGAGGGTTACGATTGCCGCGATTGCTCTCGAAGACTCCGTAGATCCAAGTAGCGCATCAAGCGTAGATAAGAGAGCCTGCGACATATAGGAAGCGGAGGAAAGCGTCGTAGAAGACAGGTGGAACGTTGCCGCCGCGAAGAACGATGCCGACGTGATTGTGGTGTGTAGTGCCGCTAAGCTCCGCTCGAGCAGAGACTCCGCCTCCAACTTGCCCTGCTCACCACCGCTGCGAATCGCAACATCACGACCAGCCCTTGTCAATATGGCTTCAATCACCCCCCTGCTAAGCTCCAACCCGGTCAGCGTTGTCGCCCGCGACGCATCCAACGCTACCCCCCCGAAGAAGGTGCCCACCCGGAGTGAGAGGGACGTCGATTGCGTCAAGAGAGACACCATCGATGCGATGGGCCGTGGGAGTAACGTGATGCCCGAAGTCGCAGGCGCATGGCTCGCATTGTCGCTGGGGACCGCCTCCTCACGCTTGGGCTGGGCTCCCCCACGCGTCAGTGACGGGACAAAACCTAAGAACCGCGACATTGCGAGTCATTGATATGATGATTTAGAGAGACCTGACTAAGTAGCTCATTGGCGATGGGAATTTCCTTCTTGTAGCCATGAACAATGAACGGTGGATGTTCGGTTGCCGAGGAACAGTCGGAGAGCAGCGATATCACAGACGAACCAGAACCACCACAATAATGATATAATCAACTGGAGATAACACGAGAACAAATTGCCAAATCAAGTCTGCCAACGTGTTGCGTCAGTGAGTGGGTTCCTGGCTGACAAACACCTGTAAGGCACAATAACTCAGTAGTGTTGCATTGTCATTACATTAGTGTCGGCTGTCGAGTCCAGGCGAGAAGAGACTCGGTAGATCCAGATTAGACGAGCGAGTCACAATCCAGAAGATTCCAAGTGATGCGGATCAGGGGAGAGATCGAGACGCGTATGGATCGGTTGGGTTGGGATTTGGGCTGAGATTGAGATTGGACGAGAGACGACGAGGGGGGCGACAGAATGACCGGGATGGGCGAGAATCATATGCGGGCATGTGATTTTCCAGTGGTCGCCCCAACATTCAACATTCTGACTACGGAGAAGTTGCTCGAAACATACATCATCCCGACCACTTCTATCTTCTACATCACTTCGTAACTAGCTGGGTGGATCCATGACATGTTCAAATTTTAAGGAGGATTCTGACATGGATATGTTACTATTTGTCTCATCGCAGGGTCTGTGATGTCTCTTGTGCCGACCGTCACAAGGATGGCATCATAGCTGATGAGTAATCATACATGAGCTGTGCCGGAATGACAGCCTGAATGCCTGATTTCGCTGGCGATCCCCTATCGCCTGAGATATGATGATTATTTTTTACATCGGGCTACTAGCGTCTGATCTCACAGCATGGCCTTCGCATCACCTCCGTACGGGACTTTTCGGAGCCTATCGCGAGTGCACTCGGCGACTCCGGAGATTCCAGCCAGAGACATGTTTTGCCATAAATCGGCCAGGAGACCTTGCATCACCGATTTGGCACCGTGTTTGCCGTTAATAGCCAGGCCGTATATGAAGGGCCGACCAACGAGGACTGCTTTGGCGCCTAAGCAAAGGGCCTTGATGACGTCGGCACCGGTCCGGACGCCGGAGTCAAACAGGACCGTCATCTTGTCGCCCACGGCGTCGACAATCTCCGGTAGTACTTCCAGGGAGCCGATGGCCCCGTCCACCTGTCGGCCTGAATGATAGTTAGCGGATTTGCACTAGTGTCAGACGCACGTAGATCTGCTGAACTTACCGCCATGGTTCGAGACAACGATACCGTCACACCCGGCCTTGAGTGCGAATCGAGCGTCATCTACATGCTGGATGCCCTTCAGGACCAGCGGACCCTCCCAATTCTTCCGCAGGAAGGCAATTCTCTCCCACGTGGGCGGTTGACCGGGAAACGCATCGCTGATCCAGGCCCTCGACGCGCTCAGAATGTCATCTTCCACCTTGGTACCAGTCTCCTTCTCGAACTTGGCGCGAAAGACGGGATCTGAAAAGCCATTTTGGCACCCAACACCCGTGGAGAACGGAACGTATGCGTTGTCCAGATCGGCCGGTCGCCATGCCAAGGACCAAGTATCGAGCGTGACTACGAGGACGGAATATCCGTTTTCTTTCGCGCGCTTCAGCAGCGACAGGGTGATATCGTCGCTTTGGGGCCAGTAAAGCTGATACCATCTCTTTCCGTCTCCGTTCGACTGGGCCACTTCTTCGATCGAGCTGGTGCTTGCCGTGCTCAGGGTATACGGGATGCCGACTTCGGAGCACGCTTCGGCTAGACCGGTCTCCTTGTCTTCGTGGAATATGCTCTGCACGCCGACCGGCGCCATGAGAACCGGAGAAGGGTAGTCCTGGCCGAAGAGGTTCACCTTAAGGTCCTGCTTGTCCATCTATATCGGCGATGTCCGTTAGTAAATCGCGAGCGACTGCGCCTGACAGCCCACACGTACCGGCCTCAACATGCGGGGTATCCTTCAATGTATTGTCAGTGCAGTACCGAACGAGTCTCCGAAAGAAACAGCTTACAACTTCCATTGACGGAAAGCCAATCGGTTGCTGTCCATCGTCGCTTTCTCTCCAGCACCTCCCGCGACATAATTGTAGCCGCGGACGCCCAGGGCCTTCTTCGCCTGTTCTTCGAGCAAACGTGGGTCGGTCGTGACGTTCGGTCGCAGACCCGCAATGGCCCCCTGGCCATAGATCTCCGTCTGGTAATCGCCGTATCGTTCGGGCATATTGGCGGAATCCGAAAAGTCAATGGGTGTTGTAAGTATTCAATTGGGGTATAATTAAGTTGGAGGATGTTAATAACTGAGATGAGGTTGGATTGACCGGGTAGGGTGATGCTCCCCCGCACCCGAGCTTATTAGCCTCGGCAAGGATATTCATTCAGCTCGGAGCGTTCCTAACGCAGTTAAGAGGTGTGGTGTCTCCACACGACCACATCTTGCTTTAACAGGAACAACGCAGTCGACTCCTCCAGGGCATGGTCGATGCAGGGAAGATGTACAGAGATCATAGTATGTGCGCAGTGACCCACTCGTCTTTTACTTACTGTTGGGGGCTTGCTTTCCATTACTACATGTAAGGCAATTTGACATTCTATGCCCGGTGGGAATGCCCGTCTGGTTACCACAAGGATAGAGTTTCTATCTGGCATAGGACATCAGATCGTATCGTTTCCCCAGTTGCTTGGATAATCAGATAGCATCTTTTCACAACACGGTCTGCTGTATACTTGATCCGATTTCGAGTCATTCCGCTAGCAAATCTCGTAGGAATCAAGCGCTTCATTTCTTTGGTTGAAGAAAAGAATGTTTCGCCAGTTCGCCTGCCTGTTTCCTCTCTGGATTCCAGACTTTGAAATCTAATATCTTGGTTACATCTACAGTCATGACCCACAGGTATATTCAAGGGAGTGTAAGTCAGGCCTTAAAAGCGTGAGGAGGGGAAGCATGATCATCCAGGAGATAACTCATTGACTAAATCTCCAGCACATGATGCTCTACCTACTCTGTAGACATAACGAATCAATTAGCTTTCCTAATTTATAAGAATGATAAGTAGGAGAAGAGCAAGTGAGATAGCCTGTTATCACTAGTTAGTAGTTGTTATTCACTCTCAGACGGTGTAGACCTATTAGGTACGACTGGGAGCTGGTAAACGGAGACCAGTTTAGATCTTTTATTGGATTTAGAAATCTACTACTCTGTAATTAGATCACAGTCATTGAAAAAATTGATAGACCAGTGAAGCCCTGCAATCCACCTTTGTTCTTTACTAAAATACATCTTTACAGCTAACTATTTAACTCTAGCAGATACTACCCGTAATAATCCAAATTATCAGAGCATTTTTTTCTGTCTCATAAAATAAGATAAGATCTATCATCTATCACTCCCCAAAACGCTTTATCACAGGGGATTTGTTAGGGATCCTGTTCCTACTGACACTGCCAAGGACCCCCACCGCTCGCTTAATCCATCACCAGGAAGGACCAAAGGGGCCAATATTCTGATTGGTTTTATACTGCTCTGTCATGAAACTATCATGCCTTTCTTACCTAGTCACCCCTTGGTCTATAGTGTATGACTAGTCCTTTACAAGATTAGCATAATAAGTCCTTGCCTTGCCTCCTGCCCCTGAGATAATTTCATGTGTATATTTCATATGACTTGCTCAAGTATCTCTTATTCCAGCTTGAGCTAACTTACTTGACAGATTTTTAGGTAATACTATTCAGAATGTTCATTACTCACTTCTGTACTCCAATCTCATATTTTCCTGTTATCCTGACAGAGCACTAGGATTAATTCATATTTTATAAACATTGCCATGGCGATCTTCAAGTTGGTCAAACTATCAAATTAAGAGTAGAGTGGCATTCGGGACGAATTCGGTTTAAACTCGCAGGTTTTTGGAATTATGATCTTATAAACAAAGTAATTGAAGATCAGCGCGGATACCTCCTAGGCTCCTTCATTCAGTAGTCAATCAGTAGTTCCTCTGGACTGCCATGACATTAGTATCTACACTAACCCTAGTGCGGGTTCTATTCAGGGATCTGAATCTGCTGTGGATTCTGACCCCTCCAAACTCGCACGTGTGGTTCAGTGCGGATTTTGCAGTGCGGTTGTGCTGACCTGATCATTCACCAGTTTACTTCTTAAATTTAATTAATACAGAGTATTACAAGTGAAAACAATACAGTCTAGTAGAGATCTCTGCGAGGAAATCTAAGGTTAGATTAGCATGTTTCAGGTTGGTCAGGGTCGGGGAATAATTCCTTAGAGTGGGAGGGTAAGTCTGATATCGAAGATTACTGTATCTTGAAGTATAATTAAGCTGTTTGACTATACAAGCACTTAGATTTGATAAAGAAGAAAATACTGACCTTTGAAGGTGCTTCTTGAGTGTCCAGCTCGAACTTGTTACCTCAGCTGTTGCTCGCTTCCTCCCACGCCAAGAGAATGTCAAGGCTTGGGTGGATGCCACTGAAATGACAATCCGTTTAACTTCATTTGCACTGCCTCAATTTTGCGAGAATATTTTGATTTAGCACGGTCCCGCCTCGGCGGCAACCTCCAGCCGAAAAAATCCGGTGCCTGATGATTATGAAAAAGGAGCTCTACTTTCCCAGATTGGATAATGTGTCATGTTGGTGGCGCGGCGCCCCCTTAGATAGATGGAAGAACAGATAAATGAGATGTATCAGTCCTTTATTTCCAACAAAAGAAATCCCCAGACGAGTTTCCTTAGGTGAATCCGGGGTCCCAAGAGCGACGCCATTCCTATTCAGCCTAGTTGCCAACCCTTGTCGTGGCACTTCACCCCTTTTCACCAGTCTTGTTGATTTTTCTTTCTTCTTTCCTTCCCAGTTCAAGTTGATTCATAGAAGTCACAACTACAGTAACCATGAGGCTTTCTACCATCTTGGCCAGTACGGCCGTGTTGGCCGGATCGATGGTATCTGCTGAGCTGGATCCCATTGTGATGAAGGTGGGCGCTCTTATACACCACAAGTGTCTGGTTATCAAGTGATGAACTAACATAATCTTGTCAAATTAAGGGCCAGAAATTCTTCTACAAGACCAGCGGGAAGGAGTTCTTTATGCGCGGTATTGCCTATCAACGTGAGTGATGCCTAACACCCAATTCGACCGTAAACCACAAAACATAACATCGTTGTGTGTACAGAGGAATGGGCTGGCAAGGGCAGCGACAGCGGCGGCAAAAAGTACAAGGATAGCATAGCCGATGTTGAGGGTTGCAAGCGTGACATACCCCTCCTGAAGGAACTTAAGACAAACACCATCCGTGCCTATCAAATCGACCCCAAGGCGGACCACAAGGAGTGCATGAAGATGCTTGATGAAGCCGGTATCTATGTGGTTGCTGACCTGTCGGAACCTGCCACTTCGATCAACCGCAAGGACCCTAAGTGGAACGATGATCTCTATGAGCGGTACACCGCTGTCATTGATGAATTGGCACCCTATTCCAATGTTATCGGATTCTTTGCTGGAAATGAGGTCACCAATGACAAGAAAAACACCGAGGCCAGTGCCTTTGTCAAGGCGGCTGTTCGTGATATGAAGCAGTATATCAAGAGGAAAAACTACCGCAAGATGGGCGTCGGTTATGCCACCAATGATGATGCCGAGATCCGTGACAACCTTGTTGACTACTTCTACTGTGGTGAGGAGGATGAGACAGTTGACTTCTGGGGTTACAACATCTACTCATGGTGTGGCGATTCCTCGTTTGAAAAGTCTGGCTATGATGATGTTGTTAAGCAGTTCACTGGTTTCTCTGTTCCTGTCTTCTTCGCTGAGTATGGTTGCAACGAGGTCAAGCCCCGCCCCTTCACCGAAGTCAAGGCACTCTATGGCGACAAGATGACTCCTGCCATCAGTGGTGGAATTATGTACATGTACTTCCAGGAAGATAACGAATACGGTAAGTCTCATCACTCCTTTCAACTTTGGCAGGTTTCCGTTTTTCTTCTGACTGTTCCCCAGGCTTGGTTGAACTCGACGATGGCAAGGCCAAGAAGCTAAAGGATTTTGGGGCTTTCAAGAAACAGATGGAGAAGGTAGACCCCAAGGGTACCACCCTCGATGAATACACCGCCAAGAACATTGAGCTCCGTCAATGCCCCAACATCAGTGGGACCTGGAAAGCTCATGAGAAGCTCCCCCCAACCCCGAACCGCGAGCTCTGCAAGTGCATGGTCAAGAGCCTATCCTGTAAAGCCAAGGACGACATTGACCCGGAAGATCTTGGTGACCTCTTCGGCTCAGTCTGTGGCATGGACAAGGAAGCCTGCGCCGGGTTTGCCACCAACCCCAAGAAGGGGTCGTACGGAGCCTACAGCATGTGTAACCCGACCGAGCAGCTTTCGCACGCGTACAACACCTACTACGAGCTGAACGGCAAGAAAGACACTGCCTGCGACTTCGATGGAACTGCCGAACTTGACGACGCCGAGAAGCCTGAGGGTAATTGCGCGAAGCTTATCAAGGAGGCTGGTAAGGACGGCAGTGGCACCGTCAATGCTGCCCCAACCGCAGGTGACGGTGAAGGCTCTGCTAGTGGTACGTCCGCTGCCAGCCCTCTAGCCATTCCCAGCTTCAACTTTGGTATCCTGTCGCTCTCCGCTTATCTGGTCTGCGCTATGACCGCTGGTGCTGGCATGATCTTCATGTAAATCGAATTACCGGGTCTCCCAATACCAACCTGGAGACATTGAGCATGGGAGGTGGACATTCTGGCACTACATGCCATGCTGGGATGGCGATTACTTCAAAGCTTGTGACTAAGTTGTGATATGCCCCCTGGACCCTGGGAAAGCACTGGATTGATCAAGATTGCCCTGTATATTACCGTTTTAATAATTGTTCATAATTTACCGTCCAATTCGTGGATGGATTCTTTTCAATAAATACCTTCTATCTTCTAGGTCCTCTTTACTGCCAACGGGTATCATGATCCGCGGTTGGTTCAACAAGTAGTTTTAACACAGTGTACTTTGACTCTTTCGAAATGTATAAAATGTTCTTTATGCTCTCTAATTACTAGAGTAACTTTGATGCAAATATATATATATATATTATAAGTATTTACCACGTCATGAATATATTCTTAAATACTTCCTGAAAGTGTGCCGTCACCCAGCTAGTCCGCATAGTAGTACCCCGGAGTCGGTACGCTGCTAGAGTACCAAAAGTGGGGGTCAAACGACGATCTTCCTGCAACGTTGAACAGTTTATCCCACTTTAGCGTCGACCAACCAGCAGGATCATCCATATCTGTTTGTATCTCAACCTCCATATGGGAGGAGTATCAGTTCTCAAGACTACTATTCCCATAGCAAACGGCGACTAAGCTAACCAGGGACTAATCGGGTGAAGAGTGGGTAGACCCCCCAACTTTAAAAAGTTAAAAATCTCTTCGCGATAATCCCCGGTGTGGATTCTTGGCAGTCTGCCCGCCTTATCAACTCCCCACATGAGCTCACTTTTGTAGTCTGTCCTACTGTGGTCTGGTTGCATACCAGTTGGACCCCCTGGCTAGTTTCAGCACGATGATATAAGCTAGTAATCAGTGGTTATCATGGACTGATCTCGCATTTGTCTTCTCATATACCCCCCGGAAACCATCATCTCCAGGACAGGCCCTGGCTTGCCTTTAAGGATTTTCGCTTTTGATTTTTTAAGACACAGAAGAGCAGAGAATACGAAAGAAAGGAAAACATCTCTCGGCTGATCGACATGATACATCATACACCACAGAAGGATGTGGAGGTCCCTTCATTGGGCTTCGACTCGGATCTTCCAGACGAGGGAAGCCTGGAGGAGTCCGCCATGGAGGAGGCGAAGAGGAAACAATTGATTTGGAAGATTGACATGCACATTTTACCCTTTGTGGTATTGTTGTATCTATTCAGCTTTCTGGACAGAGGTGAGTCGCCACATCCACCGCCGCTGTCCTAACATTCCAAGCGGCTGGCTGACCCGTCTCAGTGAACATCGGCAATGCGAGACTTTACGGGCTGGAAGAAGACCTTGGTCTGGTTGGAGACCAGTATCAAACCGCGGTGTCTATTTTATTCGTGACCTACTGTGTATGATGCCCACCGAGACGACCAACCCTGAATGCAGCGACTGATATGCTCTTCAGCTTTTCGAGGTCCCGTCAAACCTGCTCATCAAGAAACTCCGCCCAGGACGCTATATCGCGGCGATCTCCGTAATCTGGGGCATCATCGCCACTTTGACAGGAATTACCAGGAACTATGGGGATCTGATCGCTTGCCGTATCCTCTTGGGTTAGTTCGAGTTGTAATCCCGTGCAGATATCACACGCTGACTTCCGCAGGGGTCGTGGAAGCCGGGTTGTTCCCAGGCCTCGTGACGTACCTGACGATGTTCTACAGCAAGCGTGAATTGGCTCTCCGGACAGGATATCTGTTCAGCAGCGCTGCCATAGCTGGTGCCTGCGGGGGTCTTCTGGCGTACGGCATTGGCTTTATGGAGGGCATCTGTGGGCTCCGGGGCTGGAGATGGATCATGATCATCGAAGGCATCCCTACCGTCCTCATCGGGATAGCCACCTGGTTCTTCCTCGCTGATAGCCCCGACACCGCCTACTACCTCAACGATGACGACAGAGCGCTGGTGGTCCGCCTCCGCAGCCGCCAAACCGGCCAGACCGCCTCGGCCCAGAACTTCCATTGGGCCGACGTCAAAGAGGGTGCGCTCGACTGGAGGATCTACGTCTTCTGCATCGCCCAGTTCGGCGTGGACACGATGCTGTACGGTTACAGCACATTCCTCCCCACCATCATCAAGGGCATGGGGTCATGGTCTACTGCTGAAGTACAGGCGCTCACCATCCCCTGCTATGCATTGGGGGCCCTGGCATATCTGGCGGTGGCGTGGATCAGCGACCGGACCCAGCAGCGCGCGCTCTACTCCTGCATCTTTGCCGCCATTTCCGTCGTCGGATACGGGATCCTCATCTCGGATACGTCCTCGGGCGTCCACTACTTCGGAGCCCTGCTCATCGCCTTGGGTCTGTACGTCGCCGTGGGTCTTCCCCTCGCATGGCTGCCTACCAACCTACCGCGCTACGGAAAGCGAACATTCGCCACTGGTCTGCAACTCACCTTTGGCAACGTGAGCGGCGTCATGTCTCCCTTTCTGTATAAGACCAATGAAGCCCCGCGCTACGTGCGCGGAAACGCCGTGACGCTCGCGCTTGTCGGGTTCGCGGGGGTCATCTACGCTCTGATGTGGGTTTACTATCGCCAGAAGAACAGTCGCAGAGCCCAGGGTCTTGAGGATGAGAAGGTCGCTGGGTTAACGGATGAGCAGATCGAGGAGCTTGGGGATAAGAATCCTCGGTTTTTCTATTCTATGTGATGATCGTATCTAGTATGGGGTAATTCGGGCCCAACAGCGGTGGTTCCAGCATTTCCTAATTTAATACTGTTTCAATGTACTACGACGAGATGTGTAGTCCAGCGCTATTCTCAATGGCATGGGACTCCATTCTGTAGATACTCTAGTGCATGGAGTATGCGCACGAAAATGGACAAGCCGCTCTCCTTCAGCTCAGCCCCTATCACAGACAATCCAGGCCTGGTCAATCCATCAATCTCAATAATCCAACAGCAAAAACCACCCATTCTCTCCTCCCAATGCACGAGCCGTATCCCAATAAACAATAGTCTTCCTGCGGGCCCCACCGTAACCGGTCTTGGCACCAACAATCAGGCCCCGTCCGTCGATCATCATGCGCGATGCCTTCACCTGTCTTTAGCCAGACCGAACGTCACTCCCCTTGAAACTAACTAGCTAGGGAAAATGTTCGGCGCTCTGTCCTTGGGCTTTGCGTTTTTGGCTGCGATCGCAGCTGCTTTTTACTCGGCTGGCCCGGTATGGCTGGGCTGTGGTAATGGTGGTCATGTTTCCTTCGCGCCGTACTCGCCGAGTTGGAATACGTGGTTTCATCCCTCGCGGGTGGTGTTGAGGGGGAGAAAGGATCTGAACAGAGATGATGATGCCCGGCCGTGGAATATTCTTCACCATCTTGGGGGCAATGGGCCTTGGATTGAGAAGACTGATGGGGGAGTTGAGGCGCAGGGGGTTGACCCGCCGGAGGGGTGCTCGGTTGATCAGGTTCATATGGTATGTTCATGGTTTGATAGCTGGTTGTTACTGTCTTGGATTTTGCTCTACTAGTGGAGCACCTGCTATGCCGCACAACTAACAACTGTAGATGTCCCGCCACGGAGAGCGATACCCGACCACATCAGCAGGAAGCCGTATGTCCCAGCACCAGCACCAGCACCAGCGCCATCACCCTGCCTATGTGCATGGATAGTAGTGCCAAACTAACGAGCGAGAGATAGGCCACCTGGAATTCCTCAGCAGACTCAAAGAAGCCAACGTCATCACCAACGGCTCCCTGTCCTTCCTCAACAACTGGACCTACTTCACCAACACCCCAGAGAAAGACTTCGACCAGCTAACAACCACCGGGCCCTACGCAGGCACCCTGCAAGCCTTCACGACAGGCGTCCGCTTCCGCACCCGCTACGGCCACCTCCTGGCACCGCAGAAGGTGCGCCTCTGGGCAAGCGACTGCAACCGCGTCATCGAATCAGCGCGGTACTTTGCAGCGGGCCTCTTCGGGCTCGACTGGGAAGCGAACGGCAAGGCCGAGCTGGAAATTATCCCCGAGACGGCCGACCGCTTGGCTGACACGCTGACACCAGGTGATACGTGTCTGCGGTACGTCGACGACGCGGTTGCCGGCCATGACAATGGCGCCAACATGCTGGCGCTGTTCCAGCAGGCTTATGCCCCGCCTATTGCGGAGCGGTTGATCTCGCAGGAGGGTAATGCTGAGTTGGGCCCGTTCAGCAGTGTAGAGGTGTTTAGCATGCAGGAGATGTGTGGGTTTGAGATGATCGCGCGCGGCGCGAGTCCCTGGTGTGATGTCTTCACCAAGGAGGACTGGGATAACTTTGAGTATGCTCGTGACTTGATACACTACTACCGTGCGGGTCCTGGGACGCCGTATGCTGGCGCGATGGGATGGCTGTGGTTGAATGCTACGGCGGATTTACTCAGGAAGGGGCCTGAAGCTGGGACTACGTTTTTCAGTTTGTGAGTTGGGCCCTTTTTGCTCGGCGCTTGTGGGTTAATCGTGCTAATGGTGTCTCTTCTAGTGTCCACGACGGGGACATCGCTCCGTTTCTCACTGCGCTGGATATCATGAAAGATCCGAAATACGATCCCTCTCTGCCTACGTCGCACATGGCTGCAGACCGTGCGTGGCGTACGTCGACCGTGATGCCGATGGGCGGTCGTATTGTGCTGGAGAGGATGGTTTGTTCGGGTGGTGCTGGTGATGAACCGACATACCTCCGTACCCTTATCAATGATGAGGTTGTCCCGCTGCCGTACTGTCAGTCGGGGCCTGGGATGTCCTGCTCGTTGAAGGAATTTGAGGAGCATGTCGATAGACGGAGACGGGAAGTGGGTGAGTTCGCAGACGTCTGTGGGATAGAGGGTGATGCAGGGGGGATCACGTTTTTGCGGCAGGATTAGGATGAACGAAACTTTAGACTAGAAGGGCTGCGTCTTATGAGATAGATGAACGAGAGAACTATGACTTAGAACGATGATATAACTGAAGAGTTGCAATGGTCGTCCTAGGAGCCTGAGGTATGAAAATGATAGTCCCAAAAGGGTAAGCGCATAGCTGACACCCATCACGTGACGGTATCCGGGCGAACAGTTGTTTATCCAAAAGTTTTGGCAGATCCGGTCGAGCTGCGGTTATCCTGACCCCAGTCTGCCTCGGAATATTCCACTGATTTTAGCTGGGAAATACATCCTCTGTATTTTCTGATATCATCCCCTTTCTACATTACACATACTCCTCTCGCGCAAGCGAGCGTCATCACTTATGGAGTACCACTTCGTCCCTCCGGAGGAGCGCGCAAAAGACGAGAAGGGAAATCTTCTGCCCTGGGGCTACGTTTACAAAGAGTGAGACTTAATCCTCAGCAGACACATCAGATTGTGCATCTCCGTACTAATACAGTCAGTGAATCCCGCAACCCCCGACGACCACCCGAAGAAACCGGCCCGTTCGGCAAGCGACGAAACGCCCGATACGAGCACACCCGATCGCGCACACGGACAGGCACACCCGCAAAGCGCGAGAACCCCAACGTAGCCGAGTTCGGGCGGCTCTTCGCCGCACAGCAGGAAGACGAACAAGTGCGGAGCAACACGCTGCCGAAGTCGTCGTCGAGTAGCAGCCTGGACAACGTGCGCAAGCAGGTCGCGGAGAAGGTCGCCACGGAGTGTATCTTTTACGGATACAGCAGCAAGGACTTTGAGTGGAAGGTCATCGACAAGTATGAGCGCATCTCGCGCGGCGCTATCTGCGAGGATTACCCGCGCAGCGACCCCAACTCGGCGAGCTCGTTCTCTCAGCTGCTGAGTGGTGGGGATGTGGTTATTCGGAAGGATCTGTCGGTTGATGCGAATCGCAAGTCGAAGCATTATGCTGGGGGTTATCATTGGATTAAGGTCACATTCGACTCGACGACTGCTGCGGATCGGGCTTGCTTTTACTCGCCGCAGGAGATTGACGATCATCTGGTGTTCTGCGAGCTGTACCGTGGTCATGGTCCGTCGGAGGATGTTCCCATCCCCAAGGGGTCCGCCATGGCAGGGCAATTTGCGTCCAAGGCGCCGCGCACACTGAGCACATCACACTCGACTACCTTCCTCCAGGGCAAGGCGCAAGAGCGCTCCACGTTACCGCGATCGTTCGCGATGAACAATCTATCCAGTGTACCAGACGTCGACGAGGAGGCGGACGAGCACTCGCAATCGCTGGAGTCCACCCCGACCGCCAGCTCAGCCACAGCCACCGGCATCGACCAGGGGTCGTTCTCGGGGCTGCAACAGCGGCACGCGCCGCAGGAACCCAAGCCTGAGTCTGAATTTATGACGCACATCCCCACCGTCCGGCGAACGAAGCTACGCCCTATGGTGGAGGCCCTACCGCCGCAGCCGACGGTCACAGAGCGCGTGCTCCGCTCGATCCCCATCCTCAGCTGGTTCACGGGCGACATCGTCGGCGACGGGCCGCAGCTGAAAGAAGACGGCACGTTCGACTACGACAAGTCGAACACTTACTGGCGACTGTGGTATATGGTGGATATGGTCCTGGGTACGGACATTTGCGGACTACGCGAGGAGTCTTGATCTCGACTACATTCTGGCTGCTTTGACTTGACACAACATGAATGGACTGCGACTGCGACTGCCCGCAGTTCCACAGTTCTACCATCCCCAGCAGCAACCGCTCCGTCCGCAGGGACGCGTACCTCCAGTGAGGACAGCCCACTTCTCGGGAGATCCCTACTCACTGGTAGGGATGGGATGGGGTGGATGTCGTGAGGGCAAAATATTTCTTTTTATGATCTTTTACCGGACCAGCTCTTTGATAGCATTTAGTGGTGGCGCTCGGATATGATATGTACTATTCTCTCAATAATTGCATGATGACCTTGACACAATGGTGTGGACATTACTCCATTATAGAAACTTAATCTGATATGCTGTATTTTCTTTCTTACGTATTGTGAGCTACCTATTTATACCTACGTAGTATTACTAATGGGGTCTGTCTATCTGGGAAATCGCCCACATGGCTTGCTTGTTTACCTGTGTACCACTTTATGGACACTGATTTAGCAATGTCTACGTGGATTCTTCAATGCTCATACGAGTCAATCTGTATCAATTGATTTTTGGGTAAGATACCATGCTACTGTGGTCAATGGATTTCTGATTTTGATATCCACTTGATTCATGCTTTTACACCTTACCCAGCCGACATTGGAACGGCATCACATCAACCGATGAATCAATCGATCAATCAATCGAATCCCGAATCGACAGGGAAAACTACCATATCATAATCCAACCATGAAAATCAAACTCAACGCAAAGAATCAAGTAGGAAAAGAAGAAAAAATGATAAACCAATGTGATGGAATTTTTAAAGTTTGCTCATTCATTTAAATAAAAAAAAGAAAAGCGGTTCCTTTACTCAACATTGTTCTCAAAGTTCTCACCCTCGACCAGATCCGGGATATCGTCATCATCCTCGTCCTTCTTGCCCTCGGCGCCGGCCTGGCTCTTCTGCATGTTCTGGTAGCTCTCGGCCAGCTTGCGGAGCGAGGCCAGGCTGTCGGGGCCCAGCTGGTTCAGGATGCCGGGGACCAGCTCGGTGAGTTCCTTCTCCTCGCCGTGGCCGTAGAGGGCGAAGGTGTTGGAGGGGACGGCGGCGTGGACTATCCCATTGTTAGTTTTCTTTTTCTTTTCATGTTTGAACATGCTGGGAGAAGACTCACCCTTGGGAGCACCAAAGTGGATGACGTTGCCATCCTCCTTGAACATGTTCACCTCCTCGATGGCCTGGATCGGCTGCACGTTCATCTTCTTGAGCGTGGCCTGCAGCTTCTTGTCGTCGGCACCGGACGACTTGTGGACCTTCTTGACCTTGCGGCGGGGAGTGCCCTTGCCTCTGTGGGGAGCGTGTTAGCTATCGGGTTTCATGGATCCACGTCTATGGATGTATCTGGTGGTTGTTTTGGGAGATATTGGAATATGGTGTCGGGTTCGTGTTGGGTTCGACATTCGATGATTTCGATATGCATGATGATTTTTGGGGAAACGACGTAGGAACTAGAATGATACATACCCTATGAAGAGTAACGTTAGCGATTTCATTCATCCCAATGGTAAGCATCCTGCCCAGACGGAAATCCCCATCCATCCCATCTAGCTCGGACCAGATCTCAGATAGCGGGGTGAACAAGACAGTCCAACGACCGATCGCGCCCACAGGAATTTTTGCACCCATCTCGCAACCCGATCAATCGTAAACAGCGAATCCGCGCGACATGATACCATCTATCCGTATCCCTCTATCCAGATCCGATCCGATCGTCTCGTTCCCTCCCTTCCCTTCCCTTCCCTTCCCCAGCTGCTCCCGTCCCCCCAACAATGTAAAAAAGAAAATAAGAAAAAAAACATACCAATCCGCACGCTAGCCTGCATCCGAGCCAACTTTGCCTGATCCATGATGACGGTGTGGGGGGTGGGTTCGAGAGTCCTAGAAGGAGAGCAAAGAAGGTGAAGGACGTCAGTGAGGGAAAGGTGTGATTGAATAATCGGGAATTGTGGATCGGGGGACTCGGTAAGGGTGTTTTGTGTGCGGCGGGTAGATCAGTCTTCCTTTCCCTGGTGGAAAGGAATGGAATACTGGAGAGAACTATTCCCTTTGGGAGGAGAACAAGGAGGGGGGTATTTACCGGTGTAATGAGGGAGCTGGATAGTATTGGAGAGGTGAAAGAGGAGGAAAGTCGAGAGTGGAGGGAGAGAAGAAAGTTGGTGAGGTTGGATTGGATTCCCGTCGACCACCGCTTTTGTGTGGGGGAGAAAAGCGTCACTGGCGGGACCAATTCTACGGGGGAATGAATTATAAGATGGGATTACATTAAACTATGTACAATGTCTGTTTCTACAGGATCACTCATGTATCCCATGATTCTATGTTCTTTTGTGGTGGTGGTCCAATCCAAGATCGTGAGTTTGTGTGGGCGATGCCTGAGGCTGCTCGGCTAAACCCTAACGATTCGGGAGATCCTCATGAACCAGTACTTTTACCTAGTGTTCACGTACACTTGGCGGTAACTGAGTTCTAATTATCGGATTGATATAATTATTGATTGGCTCCAAATGTCATAGCAATCAATAGAGGTTCATGGTTCTGCTTGATTCCGGCTCCTGACCTTCGACGCCCATATGGCAGCCACAAGAAGGATCAGCCCTACAACTACGCCATATGTCATCTGTACTCCCATTCCTCCCGCATAGCCCTCTCCATCACGGATTCATAATCCAGCGGCGGTCTCGCCCTCCGCGGGGATCGTCTTGTTGAGGAACTGCTCCAGATCCTGGATTTCCGTCGGGTCGGCCGAGTGTCCAAGGTCACTGCCCAGCCATTCAGCAAATGTGCACCAACGCCAACAAGGTAAGACGAAAAAGATGCGAAGGGAGAACACTCACGGATAAGACTTGAAAGTCACGTCCTCCACCCCCAACTGCTTCACCAACTCCGACGACGTCTTCCCAAACTCATAGTTCACAACTTCATCGTCCAGCCCATGCGCCAGGAAAAACGGCGTCTTCTTATTCGGAAAGTCCTCCGGGATCTGGTTCTTGATCCGGTCGCTCAGAAGCAAGTAGCACGACAGTCCGAACACACCGCCGAGCTTCTCCTTGTTCGTGATGGACGCAAAGACCGAGATGGCGCCGCCCTGCGAGAATCCGCCCAGCACGATCCGCGACGGCTTGATGCCTTGGTCGATCTGCTCCTTGATCAGGACGTTGAAGTAGTCGCGCGAGCGGAGGATGCCCTCTTCGTCTTGCGAGCGGATGGACTCTTCGAAGTCGAGCTGATTGGATGTTAATTTGGTGCTTCTTGTGAAATGCGCCGAAGGGAGGAAGGGTCGCTCACGTCACGGCCGAGTTTGGTGATGTCGTACCAGCCGGGCATCGACATTCCGAAGTTCTAGATGTAGAAGGACGCGAATCAGTAGGGTCATCGATGACAGATGAGCAAGGGAGATAAGATGTACCACTGTGATGGGAATCATAGGCGCATTGGGGAAGATAAAGGCCACTTCGTCGAACATGCCCCGTCGGCGCCAGTTCTGAGCCAGACCCATCCTGTCTGAATTAGCGACGATTCAACCCAGACCGCTGTAGTTGTATTTTGAATATCAGGCATACCATCCAGCACCGCTAAAGCCAGCCATAGTCAGTAAACAATCCGTAGCAACATTGACCATCAAGCAACCAACCTGTCGCCGAGACCGTGGGCCATGATCACGGTCGCGGTGTGCTTCTTGAGCGCGGGAACGATAAAGGGGGCGCGAGGTGTCATTTTGATGGTATTTGTTTATCTGGAATTGAAATCAACAGATGTAGAAATGAGGTCGAAAGGTTGAAGAAGGTCGGGAGTAAAAGTGATGGTGAATCCCCGCCATTCTGCCGCCGAGGTTATTCCGCGCCTCACCGCCCGGACAGCTCGTTGTAGACAGCGGCGTCGTCTGTTCATCTAGTTTAGGATGATGAAAATACTCCGTAGAAGGAGATGGTATGCTTGAGTATAAACCGGAGACGTTGAGGGTAATCATATAATATTAGTCATTAATGTGCTATATACTGAAAGCCACCTCTATATACACCAATACGATATTCCAACAGCGAACGAGATATCACAAAGTGCAAACGCCATGCACCTCCCTCGTAGCCTGCTCTATAATAGAAGCCATCAATGTAGCATCTACAACGTTCGTCTGCCAGGTAAAAGCCAGCACCAAGCACCCATCACCCCCACTAGCAACAGACACCTCGATAGCACTCCCAGTAACACTAGCGCTCTGGGAAAAGACCACACGGCCAATCTGCGGCCGCTCCGCCTCCTGCTCTCCGACCCCCAAAGCCCCAATATTCGACACCTCGAACGAAGCTTTCCGCGGCTTCCCCACCTTCGACCGATAGAGCTCTTCGTGGAAGTCACCGACGTACTTGAGGAGGTTCGGGCCGGCGTTCTTGCCCTTGAGCTGGAGCACCTTCTCGATCGTCTCCCGAGAGCGTCTGGCCTCGGCCCACGGAAAGGTCTCTGAAGTGACGGCCTTGCGGGCGTAGTCTTCGCTGTAGTCCTGGACCCAGACGCCGATGGAGTCGTCCGTGATAGTATCTGGCATCCATCGCCGGGTGGACATGGCGCCGGAGAAGTGCACGCTGGTGAAATGCTCGGGGACGTGGGTGAGAATAGCACGCGCGATAAGTGTCTGCAGCGCTGCGGTGATGGTGGTTTCGTTCTGCCGGCAGCTGTCTCTGAAGGAGCTGGCTACTGCCTTCGGGAACACTACGTGCCGCACGTTTGTCTCCAGCGGGAGGCGGACTTCTGAGCCCGCCCATAGACCGGGGTCGCTGGACGACCAGATCTTTTCGCGGAAGAGAGCGCCTGCCAGGAAGGGAATGGATAGGGGAAGAGGGTGCAGCTCTTCCACGTTCGGAAGCAAGGGCGATTGCGGTGGGCGGATCAGCTGCTGGGCCTCGCCAGAAGCCAGCGATGCAGTGGAATGTAGCGCCTGTAAGAAGGTCCGGTGGAAGGCCTTCCCGGAGGTGCCGTCGCCGATGGCATGGTGGAATACAAAGGCGGCAGTGAAGCGCCGGTTCTCAGCGGGATCGGTTAACACATGGAGTCTCCAATGCGGCGAAGGAGCTACGAACGGCGTATTGTGTTGGGTTTGCAAAACAGCGTCCAGCTCGCTATCTGCCTCGTCCAGACCAGGGAAAGGGCCAGTGCGTTCCTCGAAGCTGACTGGTGTGCTCAAGTCGATCTCGGGGAGACGCGCGAAATAAGGCTCTTTGGTATCCTCGCCAACGGGAATGGCTGACAGAATGGGATGTTGGCCGATGAGTACCTCACAAGCTTTATATATGTAATCCTTCGCTGGAAGTGTGAATGACTCGGGAAGTGAGTAATTGGCTGTGACAACCACATTGTTGTAGAAGCCGAGAGCGTGGCGCGCGGTCGAGCATTGTTCCAGCCGGCCTGACTGATATTAGTTATGCTCTGTTGAGAGAATTACCACAGCAACTCACCCACTGGGCGCAAATTTTCCAGTTTGTCCATTATTATTGTCACACAGGAACCATGTCAGTGTCTGCACCTACGCGTACGGATGATGACCAGGGTCTGTTTAGGCGAGAAGATTTGGATGCCTAGCCCGGATGCACGTGACCGTAAGAAATGAAGATTCATTTGTTTTCTTTGTTTTTGATCATTTATTTATCTTTGATAAATGCTTCATCAGACTTGATTGAGGAACTTCATATGAACCTGATTATATGACTCCACTATCTCAGGGTGTTTCCTCCATCTAAATGCCAATGGAGACATACCGAAAAGCAGCCCTCATGATCACCCCCTGACGGTCAGATACGATGAACCACGATACACAACGAGACCAGCCAAATATTCACACGGAATGATCAAAGGGGCGCTTAATTAAGCTTATACAGATGTATCTATTGGAGAGCGATTCGAGGTTCGCGTTGGGCACTTTGGGCGCTGGAGCAGATTATATATATAGACCCTCTTGTAGCGCTGGCGCTTTAGCAGGTTATAGTTTCCCGGCACACCACGACATTTGAATTAGCATTTCAAACGATGACTTTGATCATGGAACCTTAAAGAATTCCCTGGCTAGACTTTGTGTAGCTCCTCAAACCAAGGGTATGAGTCAAGCCAAACACGAATACAAACAAGCAAGAGTACTCGCCAGTCAACCCTAAAGCATAACAATACCACCCACAACCATCGCACCTAACACACCCCACGCAGCCGTCTCTATCGCCACACCAGCAGCAGCAGAAGTAGAAGAAGGCGCACTGCTGTCATGGTCACCGCTGTGGTTCCCGTTGTGGCTGTCGTCATTACCACCTTGGGGATCGCCGCTTGCGGTAGACTCGTTGGCGTTGCGCTCGGCACTGGCGCCGGTGAAGGGCACGGCTGAGATGCCGGTGTTGTTTTGGCAGGGGGTGGATTTGCTGATGGTGAATGTTGAAGAGAATTGGATGTCGGAGCACTGTGTATGCGGTTCTCGTGGTTAGTCCTGTCTGTCTAGGAAAACAAGAAAGACAGAAGATCGGAATAGAAGAGTAGATATCGAAAAGGAGAACAGAAAAATAGGAGAAGAGATAAAAAACAAAACATACAGTATACAACCCCCCCGCAGGATCCCCATTCGACTGCACCTGCAGCGTCGCATTCATCCCATCAACCACCTTCGTCCCCAAGAGAGCCTCATCGACCACCACATCAGGGATACAGAACGACCCAAGACCCATAACGCCAAAGGTTGGGTGCAGCGTGATGTTGAAATTATCAGACGGATCGTCACCCAGCGCGAGCAGAATCTCAAGCGCCGTGTGCGCGTGGCCCATTGTCACCGCAACGGGGAACGTGCCCTTGCCGTCTGAAGAGATGGCGACTGGGGCGCGCTTGGACGACGGTGCGAGACCGCCGCAGGGGAAGGTGGGCATGTCGTCTTTGTTTTCGCCGCGTGGGGGTGGGTAGTTGAGGCTGAAGTGGGCGGAGACTAGGGAGGGTAGGAAGGGTAGGGCTAGGAAGGGGATCTTCATGATGGTTGGGTTGGGGTGGGTATTGGGAGATTGTTGTGGTTGTGAGGATTCTGGTTGAGAGATTGATGGAATGGGGGGAAAAGAATGAGGGTGGAGAGTATGTCGAGGAAGAGGTATGAGAATGGCAGTGGGATGGGAGTATATTTGAGAGGTATCGACTGTGGTACTGGTCTATCCCACTATCACTATCTGTTGGCTTGGTACTGGTGCCACAGACATCAATAGGTCAATGGTTATGCTGTACCAGTACGGTTTCAACCAAAAGTCTAGGGTTATTGGCACCAGTATCCAAGTGTCATGCATGGCGCATCTCGCACGGATCATGTCCGAAGTTACAGGAACTAGGCAGGAACTGGCTAGGAAATGTGCTCATATCTTCGCAAGTATTTACCAGTATGTGGTTCCTGACTATTGACGAATGTGATGGAAGGTACTTATTGACTGCAGGGATCCATGGATCATGCACGGGAGAGAGATCACTGGCCACTCAGGAGGATCAACTCTATACAGGAACTCTATCTATTCGGTTAATGCGGAAAAGCTGCACAGATGGATCACAAACTGAAGATGGAAAATTTAGAATGATACCTAGTTGCCAGCAACAATAAGTATCGAAAATAAGTCCCACATATGTAATGTCTAACGCCTAATATGCAATATCTTTGCCCTAACTCCATAAATCCCATAAACCCAACAAATCAATGATCATGCTCCCCCCACTGAACATACCGTCCCACAGCCAGCTCCCCCAAGAAAGCCCCCCCAAGGACAGAACAGAAATACCCCACATTCATCGTCATCACAGCCAACATCCTACATAGCCATTAGCAAGCGCCTCAGCGCAATCACACCGGAAAGACATACAGAAGATAAGACACCCCCGTAATAAGGAAATAAAGAAAAGCCCGCGGTAAGTCCACGCTGAACCGCCAGGGCAGAGGGTCGCGCGCGGCGCGTCGCACCACCTTGACGGACTCCTCGACGCCCTGCGCCGACACCAGCGATGCTTTCTTCGCCTCGGGATCCGTTTCGATGCGCCCCGCCTCGGTGGATTTACCGGCTATGGCGATGTAGCGACGGTTCAGGTGGACGTCTAACCAGTGCCGTTCCATTAGAACCTTGAATGCGACAAGAGCGCGGGCGATGATGGCTAGGACGATGAGGAAGATACAGGTGCCTGCGTAGCTGCCAGAGGACGAGGGCGTCCATTGAGAGGAGAAGAGCGGAGTGTCGTGGGCATTGATGAAGACCATAGTCATTGTCGAGTGGGATGAAGACGGAGACGGGGAAGCCATGGTGTCATGGTCCATGCTGTTCATGTCCATGATGGAGGATATCAGTTCTCTGAACAGAGAGAACTGTAAATTACGGGCATGTAGAGAGCAATTGAGCTTTTGAGAAACAAAAAACGAAAGAGAAGAAAGCATGGAGAGGACATATAAGTTAAATGATGAATGAAACCATGGTGACACCCAGGGCGGGCCCACGCCAAGCCTTTTGGCCGGCCAGGGCGGGGCGTGAGCACATTTCCTCCCCTCGGAGCCAATCAAAGACAAGGATGGCGGTTGAATGCATGTAAAGACTTGAGCAAACTTGAGCAGATTATTACCTACTGCATTTGTCTATGATCTCTTTATCTTTCAATATGGTTGATTTTGTGGCTGATTGTGGTATACCTAGGCACTGATTCATAGGCAATTGACTGGATGATTCTATTTTATCGAATTTGATTTCTTATATTTCAATTGATGAATCTGTCCTTTTTTTCTTCGAACCATCATGATGTCTCTCCATGCATTGACCAATGCATATCATAAGGCTGCCTCAGGCCCACAACATCCGTCCCCACTGTCTCTATACTTCATTTACCCTCTCCGAATAACCTCATTTTAACCATCCTTATCTCTTATTTTTTTAGTTTTTTTTTTTTTGTCTGTGTATTTTGTCTTCACAGACCAAATACAACATGTCCGGCATGGGCCACATGTCCATGGGCGATGATGTCCCCGACCTCTTCCATCTCCAGCGCATGTACTGGGCCGTCGTGGGAAGCGCCATCGCAGCAGCTACAGTCGTCAATATTCTGAATCGCTGTCTTGCATACCAGAGGTAGCCTTCTCATTCAAGCCATGTCGAACACCAGTTGACCTCACAGACTACATGACACAACGCTCACCCCATCCAAACCAAAATCACTCTTCTTCAACACATACGCCACACTGACAGCCATCGTTCGCGAAGCCAGCTACGCGACTCTCCCTCCATGGTCCATCCGAGGGTATACACTCCACTTCGCCCCGCTAGGCCCAGTCTCCCTCATCCTGGCAAACCTAGTCATCATCCTCGTCCTCTGCTTCTACAAGCTCGACACATCCGACCGCTGGAAATGGGAAGACGTCGGCTACCGAACAGGATTCATCGCAATCTGCCAACTCCCCTTGATCTTCCTGCTCTCAGGAAGAACGAACATCATCGGCTTCCTCTCCGGATCAAGCTACAACCGCCTCAACTGGCTCCACCGGTGGATCGCCCGCACGCTCTGGCTGACAGCGACGATCCACATGGGCTTCTGGTTCCGCAACTGGGCGCAATACGACTACATCGGTTACCAGCTGCGCAACGACCCGCTGACCCAACGCGGATTCAGCGCGTGGTGCATCCTGACCGCTATCGTCTTGTCGTCGATGGCTCCCGTGCGCCGGCTGAGCTACGAGTTCTTTGTCTTGCAGCATCTCGTCCTGTTTGTGGGGTTCCTCGTCGCTATCTGGCTGCATGCGCCGGCCGAAGTCAAGGTGTGGGTGTGGATTCCCATTGGGTTGGTAGTGTTTGACCGGGTTGCGCGGTACGCATGGGCGGCTTACGCCAATTTGTCTATCTTTCACCGTTCGCCCACCAAGCAGGCACCTTGGGCTAATCGCGCGACTCTCACTCCGCTGCCGGGGAATGTCACCCGCGTGACGATCGAGAACCCGACTGTGAGCTGGAAAGCAGGCCAGCATGTGTTCCTGACGTGCCACTCGCTCGTGCCCCTGCAGAGCCATCCATTCACTATCGCTTCGATCCCCTCAGACGGCAAAATGGAGTTCCTAATACGTGCCGAGAAGGGCGGTACTCGCCGTTTCTTTCGCTACGCTTTGAAGCAGCACGGCGTCCTTGGGTCATCAGCATTGGCATCCGAAGAGCAGACCCGCACGGTATTCATCGACGGACCGTACGGGGCTATCCGACCCCTGCGGCAGTTTGACAGCGTAGTCCTGCTGGCAGGTGGCATGGGAGCCACGTACATCATGCCCTGTCTGCGGGATATTATCGCGGGATGGAAGGAGAGTGGCATGGGAGGAAAACCCCGTACGACAGCCACGAAACGCATTCGGGTCGTGTGGGTGGTCAAGTCGCGAGCCCAGCTATCTTGGTTCGAGAGGGAGTTGCAAGCCGTCCATACGGAGGTCGAGCAGTGTCGTCGCGAGCAGCCGGATATTACCCGAGAGGTGGAAATAAGTGTTTACGTTACTTGTGACGAGAAGTTAGAGCCTGTCGTGCAGCAGACTGTGTGTCTGCAGTCCAACGAGCCGACGCAGACGAGGGGTGAGAACCCCGCTGAAGGGGCAGAAAAGGCGGGACACAAAGACGACGCCTCCGTTCGTTCTGTAACGCCGTCCTACCACACTTCGTCGCCGATAGAAAACTGCTGTCAGTCGGGCGGTGGATGCTGCTGCTGCGTTGATGCTGTCGACGAAGACCAGATTGCGGACGAAATATGCACGTGTTCTGGACATGCAGCCTCAACCGACACACACGATGTAGCAATGACTACTGCGGCCACAGCGCCAGAAAAACCTACCGCAAAAACAGAACCACCTTTCCACTCATCTACTGGAGACAAGAACCTGAACATCTTGTCTGGCCGCCCCAAACCCCGCAACATTATCCGCAAAGCGCTGGAAAAAGCAGAAGGAGAGAGCGCAGTTGTGGTGTGCGGGCCTGCTGGTCTGTCAGATGAAGTTCGTCGGAGCGTGGTGTATCTAAGCGATGAGCGGGCGGTACACAAGGGGACGGGGGCGCAGGGGGTGTATTTGCAGGTGGAGGGGTTTGGATGGTAATTATAGACATATGAGTATGATCAATGGGTAATTGAAGTCATTCATCATTGCATCGTCTGAATAGAACATAGTATTGAGATACGGCATGCAGATACCCAACCCGGCATAAGTGGCAAGTGGGATGCCGAACGTTGACTTGATTATGATACTTTTCTGAGAAAGATGTTTGATCAGCTTGCTCATCATTATCTATTAAGTACGATTAGAGGTGTTTTATAATCATTTGTTGATTTTTAAGATTGCTAGCTAATCAATAGATCGAGGTTAATCAGGGCCAGCGGGATGCCGACGCGAGTCTTCTAGAAGCTTTTGACCCACTCGACATATAGAGTGGGATGGCCGAGTGCAGATGGAAACCATGGAAGCAGCAGACGATTACCAACATGTTTATAAACCGGTCAAAGAACAATTCAATAGACTTCCTGTCCATTATATAAGGAGAAACATCCCCCAATGTTGTACACAATATCCAACTCTCATTCATACTCATCTACAACCATCATTATATACTACCACCCAACATGTCCACCCCAACCCTAACCATCACCCACATCACAACCGCCACAACCATCCTCAACATAAACGGCACAACCTTCCTAACAGACCCCTTCTTCGGCTCCATCGACGGCACCGAATACGACACAACCCCCGTCTGGGAACAAGCCGACCTGAAATCCCTAGGTCTGGACGCAATCCCACCCCCACCGCACCTCATCAACCGCCGCGGTCCAGCCCTCCAGCTCAACGAGCTCCCCCCCATCGACGCAGTCCTCCTCAGCCACGAAGACCACCTCGATAATCTCGACCCGGAAGGCCGCAAGCTGCTCGACGCCCGGAAGGTCTTCACCACGCCCGATGGCGCGAACAACCTGCGCCCTCGCCCCGGAGTCGTCGGCCTGCGTCCCTGGGAAACAGTAACGCCTACCATCGGGGACAAAGTCTTCCGCATAACAGGCACCCCATGCAAGCACTTCCCCGTCGGCGAAGTCACCGGCTTCATCCTAGAAACAGACTCACTCGGCGTCCACGCGGAATCGGGTAAACCCAACGCGATCTACTTCTCCGGCGACACGGTGTACATCGATGAGCTGAAGGAGATCGGAAAAAGGTGGCACGTCACGGCTGCTCTTCTGAACCTGGGGAACGCGACGTTTGACTTTCCGGTGGGACCGATCCAGATCACGATGGATGGGCAGCAGGCTGTGCGGTTGATGCGGGAGATTGGGGCGGAAGTTATGATTCCGGTGCATTTCGAGTCGTGGGAGCATTTTCGGGAGGATCGGGAGGGGTTGGTCGAGGTTTTTACGAGGGAGGGATTTATGGAGAGGGTGGTCTGGACTGTTCCTGGGGTTGCAAAGGTTGTTTATTAGTAGACTTGCAGGTGTGATATTGAGACTGGATCGATCTTTATGATCTGGAGGAGTGGCTGAGTGGGGAATAGTAGTGTACTATATCGTGTTGAGAAGATCAACAAGATTAGATAGATTGAAGGAGATGTATGAAATTTGCGAAAACAGGAGAAGTTGTGAAGAAGGATTCAAATTGGCACAGTATACCAAGGAGTTATATAGCATCTAACTGCATCCACTGCTCTATACATCTTGCAAGACTCCCATGCCAATAGTGTATATGCCCACTACTGCACGTCCTTAAATAATCTACAAAAGACACAACTGTGGACATATAGGAGTACTCTATACCGCAGGTGTGCATCCCATAGAAAGAACTAGAGGCGTGATGAGCCCATAACGGTTAAACGAAGCTAGTCATTACTTTCAGTAGAGAGACGTTCTCCAATACCGATATACAGTGTCGGCTACTGCTGATGTGCACCTCCATCACTGTAGTCTACAACCAACAACACCCTCTACACTTGACTGCCCCAGCGACGACTCCCATGCCTAAAAAGATCCTAAAAAGATCCATTGCATAAAATCAATAAATTTGGCATAGTATGACTCTTACGTATTTTCGTCCAAAAGTCAGTCTTAAAATAGTCTTGAAATAGTCTTATAAAGAACCAAAAAGAACTGAAAAAGAACCGGCTGACAGACATGACAAACATGACGTAATCAGCATCCCTGTCGAGTCATGCAGCCGGCCAGTCTTGACTTCCCATCATCTCCAACACCTCACTATACAACTACTTTGATCAATTGTCAGATAAACAACACAAGAAACCGTCAAGATGGTCTTCCGCTTCGTATGTATTCCTCATTACCCTCACCCTCACCCTCATCCCCATTGCAACCACCATCCCACTCCCATCCCAACCAACAACCACCCAAGAACCACACCAAGCAACACACCCCCAATTCTTTACCGTTCCAAAAAATAAAAACTAACAATACAGGCCAAAACCCTCGACCCCATTACTCTCTTCCACGCCCCCTCCTCCTCAACCTCCACAAACGCCTACAACATCCTCAAGCGCGCCTCAACAGCAGCCTCCTCCACCGCCCGCGGCGACTTCCAACTCGAAGTCACCACCGCCCCGCCTACAACCGACCAGCTGCGCAATATCCTCGACTATGTCTCGGCGGATGCCAATGCGGCGAGTACCAGCCGGAATAGCAAGGCTTATGCGGTTTCGGATGTGATCACGGGAGCGAAGGATGCGGAGGATGCGTTGAGGAAGTTTAAGGAGGATGGGGGGAGTGGCTTTGTTAGGCCGATTGTGCGTTTCTTTCCTTTCCTTCCCTCTCTTTTTTTTTGTTGATTTTTTTTTGGGGGGGGTGTTGAGCGGTGTGGTTGATGGATGCTGACTTATTTTGATTTTATAGACTGTCGACTGGACGAATGCGCAGGCGGTGATTGGTGATAATGAGTCGGAGATCCTCCGCATGGTGCATCAGATCGAGGAGGGGAACTAAACATTTACTCTACCAGGGGAATAAACATATACTCTAAGAAAAGATGGACGGTGAATATGAATGCCATCTACGATACTGTATCATATCATACAATCAATGCTCCCAGCTCTTCCCATCTCCACCTCCATCTCATCTCATCTGGCAACATAACGCATGCAACATTAAAGACATACCCGCTCAGTGAACGACGCTCGAGGCCAGCTCGTCGTCGCAAGAATAGAAAATAAAACACAACCCAACAGACCTTTAAAACATCGTCCCGAATGTCCCGTCCATCGGGAGAGGCTTCCGCGGAGTCCCCCGGTTGGTTCCGTCGACGGCGGGCTTGCGATGGCTAAATACTCGTTAGAATAGGCTGATATCCTCCTGTAAGCGACATACCGGAATGTAAATCCAACAAACAGTCCCTTGTTCATCTGGTCACCTCGCTCGGCCATCTCCTCCAGCGCCCGCTGCTTGTCGTGCACCTCCTTGTACTTGGCCATGTCGGCTTCGCTGCTGAAATCGTCAAAGTAGCCCGCGTCCGTCTCCGAGTCCAACTCCGGCACGAACGGCGCCCGCTGATCGCGCAGTCGGTTGAAGTCGACCTCGCTGAAGTAGCTGTGCGCGTGGATCTCCTGGATGTTTTTGAACCGCTTTTCCCTCGACGCAACCAGCCGCGTGATCAGGTCCCACGTGCGCCGCGACAGGAAGTAGTTCGGGTCCTCGTACACCGGCTTGCGCAGCACCTTGGTCCAGTTCTTCAGGTTCTGCCACGTCTCGTCCACCGTGGCGCCTGCGAACGGCGGGTATCCGGCCAGGGCCTCGAACAGCATGCATCCCAGACTCCAGTAATCCACCGTAAAGTCGTACTGCTCGCCCTTGAGCACTTCCGGCGCCATGTAGTCGGGCGACCCCACGATCGACTTGGCGTAGTTGACCTGTCGGTCGCGCAGCGTGCGGTATCCCTGCCGGCGCTCCGCGACCGTGCGCTGCTCCATCGGGCGGCCGAACGGGACGGGTGTGTTGCCGACCTCCTCCAGCTTCACGCGCATCGACTCAATCTTGCCAGGATTCAACATGCCGGCCGCCAACCCAAAGTCCGTCAGCTTGACATGGCCCGTGGAATCGATGAGGAAGTTTTCGGGTTTCAGGTCGCGGTGGATGTACCCCAGGGCGTGCAGGGCGTCGATGCAGCTGAACATCTCGGCCACGTAGAACCGGGCGTGGCGATTGTGCAGAACCCCGGTGTTGTTCAACAGGGTGCGGAAATCGCCTCCGGGGACGTATTCCATCGCGAGGTAGATCTGGTCCTGATCCTGGAATGCATACAACAGCTTCACGAGCCACTCGCTCTTGGCCGCCGTCAGAATGTCGCGCTCGGTGAGAATGTGGCGGATCTCGTCCAGTTTGAACAGGAGTTTCTTGCTCATAACCTTCAGCGCGCACACCTCCCGGGTGTCCTTCTTTTGCGCCAAGTACACCTGCCCGTACCCTCCCTGGCCGACCTGGGTCAGGATCTGGAAATCGTGCTGGCGCAGGCGGGTCCGGCGCTTGCGCAGGTGCGCCCGTTCGCGCCCGAGATATTTCGCCAATGCCGGCTCGTAGTCGTCCATTGGTGTGGCGGGTGGCTCCGGATGGGCCGAGCGGAACTGGGAAAAGCGATTCTGGCGGTTGTTCAAGTAGCTGAGCAGGTCAAAGTAGTGGTCGAGGAAATCTAAATGTCCCAGATCACCCAATGTTAGCTCAAGGACGGAGCGTTAGCAATCTCCGAGACTTACACAGCTGAGTCACATTGACCAGTCGCTTGACGCGGGGATTCTGGAGTTTCTCCAATTCCTCGGCCGTCAGCCCGCGCATCTGCACCGAGCGCTTCTGGATGCTCTCGACATCGCGGGTCTGATAATGTTCGTGACGCGAGATAGCGGCGGCAGCCGGGTTGGACCCGAGGGGTTTCGGGATGCGTGTGGAACTCGGGGGCGTGTTCTCCTTGTTGGATTTGCGCGTGGGACTCGGGGGCTGGCGAATGACGCTCTCGTTGAAGTCGTCTCCGGATGGTTTGGGTGGGGCGAACATGGGGTGCTGGTAGTGGTTGTGAGTGGCCTTGGTGGGGGAGCTCGGTGCCAACTTCATCGCCGTATCGAAGACATTTGGCAAATCCAGCGCACCCGGAGGCATCCTGTTTTTGCTGGGGCTCCCTTGCGGGGTCTGAACCGGACTGGTGAAGGCATTCTGAGAGGGCGTGGAGGGGCGATCGGTGGCGAGTTCGTTGCCCGAGCGGGTGTGCAGCAGGGGCGGGGGGTTGGGCAGACGAAGGCCAGCCGGACGATCGGCCAGGTCGTATGAAAAGTCCACGCTCATGGCCACCTGGATGTAGTGGATGAAAGGGGGAGAAATTCACAACGAGAGGAAGTCAACGTGGGGAGACGCAACCCTTATCAAGGGCGAAAACCACCAAGGAAGGTCGCGCAAGTTGTCGGTGTGGGGGGCACGAAATGGGGCTAGGGGTCTGATCAACACGAGCTGGGTAGCAGGAGAAAATTTCCACGAAAGACCAGCAACGTGACAGATTGCGCAACCGATGAATTGAGACAGGTACAAGCCACTTCCGAGGTTGAAAGGTGATAATGGCTTTGTTGAGAGCGTACGCGTTGAAGCACAATCGCGGTGATTTCCACTGGAGGAGGGGGGAGTAACACGCCTAGACTAGATTGGGACGAGGGGGACAAGACGATCCTTTTAGTGAGGAGGAAGATGGCGGGAAGGAAGCAAATGAAGTAGACGTCAAAGAAGCAATGGATATGGACAGGAGGTTGAAGATGAGATCAAGAAGAATGAAGAAGTGAGAGAGAAGAGAGAAAGAAGAAAGAAGAAAGAAGGGAGAGAAGAGGGAGACAGAGACCTGATTCCTCAGGTATTCATTCAAATACTCTCGAAATCATCACGATTCCAGCTGAGCCACTACACTTCTCTCTCTCTTTCTCTCTCCACTCTTCTCCTTCCTTGTCTTATTTCCGACTTGCTCCTCTCCCTCTCTCCCTCCTGCTAATCTTTCTTGGGTAAAGTTACCTTCCTCCCAGCTGCTTTGCGAATGTCTTACGCCCCGTTGTCCAGGCAACTCCCTTACTCGCAGCCTTCAGTTTTGAACAATCAAGGTCAGTCTGAATGCTTACTGGCCATTCCTCGTCCTGTCTAGGCGAATTCCGAGTTAATCTATCCCAGGAGCCGCGGGATCGTCCCCGGATACGACCCAGATCGAGGCGCTTAGACCTGGAAATGGAACCCGTGCGAGATGACCCAGTAGACAGCTTTGACTCTGCACGAGGCTGCAAGTCATTCACTAGTTCGTGTCTATGAATTTGTCCGTCCATGTTTATCATGATTTAGCAAGATCGCGTGCGATCGATCGGGGAGACCGGGGATCCAGTGGTCATCCACAGTGCTTGAGATGAGGCTCTACTTAGTCTCTGCACCAAGGGCCACATTTATATCTCTCCAACACTACGACATCAATTCGGGAAGACAACATCTCTATATCCATGAACGTGATATCTTGGTACAGATCTCTAGATCAAGATAGCAGCTGTTTACACCGAACCACGGTCACAGCCAGACGCGGTGGGGATCCGAACGCGATCCATGGTCCGAGGCCGGAGACCCAAACAAACAAACGAGATTTCCAGCGTGAACCAAACCCCAACCCGAGCCACTACCAAACCTAACCAGCCTTCCTTGTTTTGATCCTAGATCTGACCGACCCGCCGAGAATTTTTTTTTTTTTTTTTATGAAGCTTTATCTCTCTCCCTTACGCCCCTCCCTTGGCTCGTTGCCCGGTCTATGCATCCGCCGTTGTTAGCCACAAAGCCACAGAAGCGGACTATGACGACAGCAGTCGGTCCCCTTACAGGACTGGAAGTTTTTTTTTTTTTTTTTTGAAAAGAAGGGAAAAAGTGGGGTGACCTACGAAGAAAGCAAGCCCATATGACGGCGTCGTAAACGTAACTTTGGTCCCCTTGGGGAAGTGGAACACATCCCCCGGTGTGGCCGTCACTTTCTGGCCCGTCTCGTCGGCAATCTCAAACTCGCCCTCGAGGATGATCTTCATCTCGTCGTAGGTGTATTCATAGACTAGGGGGGTGCCCTTTTCGAGGCGGTAGAAGCCGGCGGTCATGGGCTTGTCGGGGTTATACCGGTCACTGTGATTGTCAGTGTACATCGCCACAGAAGTCGGTGTGTATACTCCGTACCTCGAGTCGATATCACCCAGGAAGGCATTCTCATTCGCGATCAATGGGGGTTTAAAGGTGGACTGGGCCTTGGCGTGGTAAACAAAGGGAGTGGCCATGATGATTTCATTCAATCTATACAAAGTAATAATAGTATGTCAATGAACGCCGCAATATGAGACAGTCAACCATCACGATTTATACCCATCCCCATCTATCCTCCAACCCCTCTATTGGCCCCATTCCTATCCCAACTGATAGCTATAGACACGGATCCAACTACCAAAGTCAGCAGTCAAACAAATAAAAAGGAGAAGGATCCCCAACGGCGGGTTCGGGAATGAGGGGAGAGTAGGTAGTGAGGGGTAAAGCACGGCTCTCTCTGCGACGCGCAATTGGAGTCGCTGGATTGTTTTGCCTGGATGGGTTAGTATTTCCTTCCATCATCCACCACTCATTGACACCATTCATCTCGTCACTTCGGTTCGACTCTGTATTCACCATTCCAGCGCACTGGACCTCGTCATTTGAACCAGACCGTCTGGTATCTCGTATCGCGCAATTAATCTCTACAATCGCTATCGCTATCAGTATCATCCCCACTAATAGATACTATAGATAACTGGCTGAACCACCAGAATCGCCCCAATCCAGAAGCCATTCCCCAACATCTCCATCCTATCTGGGTACTGAGTAACCCCAGACAAGGACACTCCAGTTCACTGACAAATAAGGTGCCGCAAGGGGAATCACCGACAGCGCCAACTAGGGAAAGATCACCATCCAACTCATCCTCCTACTATCCTCATCCCGCTCCCCATTCAATCAATCCCACCCATAGACAAAGAAAGAAACTGCAGTGCAAGAAGCACAACACCGAAAAAAGTGCTTCGATCCGGATCAAATCATCTTCCGAGGATTGATTTCCTTCTCTGCTCATCTCTGCAATCCGCACTGCTTTTGCTATCCCTCTATCGATTTCTATCCAGATTCCACTGACAATACGGACTGAACTGGTCCGCATTTTTCCCGCATAAATCATAAGGAAGAAAGAAAAAAATATTACACCACCCTTGAAGAAAAGGAAAGCATATCTACTTCTGAATAACCATCCATCTATCTATTTGTCTATCTACCCACCGCCATTTGGTCTCCAACGCATTGGATATATCCCATCGTCCATCATCCATCGCCATCATCCCATCTGCACCAACAGCCCATCAGCACCACACTCTCTCCAGCTTCGACCCTCACAGCCCAACAACTAATCAGAGAAGAAAATAAAAGCCAACCAACCCCACAAATTCAAACGAAGAGAAAGCCGTATGACGACGCCCACGCACCGTCTAAACCCCCCAATGCAGATCACACCCATCCTCAATCCCGTGCAGATTCCTCTCAACTTTCAAGGCGGAACGGGAAATCACTACACCAGACGAGTCGATTTATCCTTTTCGAGTTGAAGCTCACACCGTCTGTGGACCCTTTCTTGACGTCGTCGCTCGTAATTCCGGTTCTTAAGTTGTGTGCTGTCCCGTCCCTGTTAGGACTTCACTCAGCGGAGTTGCTCTTCCTGGACATCAGATACCGATTGGGTGGTTTTGTTCCGATGAGAGGATACACATTACTATCTGTCTATCATTTCTACGCGACTACACCTTTGGGCCAAAGTAAGAACGACGAAAAGGTGTCAACCGCTACGACCAACGACGAGAGCAGCATTGAGAACACATTAGATGACAAGCCTGTCCAAGTTGAGGGTATACTCTATACTATTCCCTACCGACCCAACCCAACCAAGTCCATGTACTCATCCATCCCATTCTGTCCAATTTCCAATTTCCCCGCGAAAGTATAGAACGCCTGCTGATCAGACCGCGCCTTAGTATCTACCTACTGATCTATCTACTTGCATCGCGGGCGGAGATTGGTTAACCAACAATCCTCAGTCCGCACATACATCGCCTCATCTGCCAGGAGCAAACCAGAAAAACGACCATGTCAACCGTGTCCATCACGAGCGACCTAGAGCCGTACCTGGCGTCTCTGCGATCATACCTCGACAGTCGAGACACCGCGAATGACAAGCCCGACGAAGCAGACATCGAGTCCAGAGCTCAGGAATCGGCTGCGAATGGGACGTCTGCCCCGCGACAGGGTCAGAGTGGCGCCAGGGAGAATCGTACGGCTGGTGTGAAGAGACGCGGTCCCCATACTCGCTCGTTGTAGTTTGTCGAATGGCTGGGCGGCTTCGTGTTTTGGTGGCTTGTTGATTGGCTTATTGATGGTGGTTTCTTGATTTGATGATTTTCTGATGGTGGCTTCTTGTTTCGGTGGCTTCTTGTTAATGAAAAGAATTTTA